GCTACAAGAATGACATTATACAGAAAACTGAGCTTCACCTCAGGTTGGGGCTCGGAAAGCAGAGGTGCCAACTTTTCAAAAGCATTTGCCTCCCTTCCCATTATTTGGGCCTCCATAAAATCTTCCCACAACTTTCCAAGACAAAGACAAAGCCATTGTAGAAACAACGGTTCTGGCTGTGGATCACTTGGTCTGGATGCTTCAAGGTGCCCCAGACAAACACCAATTAAATTAGCTTCAAGACATGCTTCCTGGCCTCGTCGGTGTCCGTCCACAATGACAGCCAGAACAAAAGCAGCCATAGCTCGTTGTTCTGGAAATGCACCCGAGCTATCTAGAAATCTTATGAAATATGTATGCCCCCCATCCTTCACAAGATCAATTTGACATGACTGAAAACAAAGAGAGGCCAGTCAGTGTTGGAATAATCCAAAGACTGCGACGAGAAGGCTTAAGCAGCACGATAGTGTGATGGCCGGAGAAAAGCAACTTGATCTGATGTTCACGGATATGATATAAATTATGTAGAAAACTATTGGATGGTAGATTTATGCCACTCAGCATTCATATCAGAATAACTAGATGAAGAACCTAATATCTTTTCCATTAAGGTCACGCTCAATAAATAACAGATGCATACTAAGAAAATAGCCACAATAGGAACTAGCATAAATTTGTAAAATAACAAGCAGACGTCAAATGTTTACCTTATCCAGTGCAAGAATTTTTGTCCATATGAAAACAAGGATCTGTCTAAGCTCATTTGTTGTTGTTTGCAGAAGCTTCAGCACATATGGGAATATTCCAACAGACAAAGCCTGAAGAATTTTCACTCACGTGTAAAGACATACACATGATAACCAGAAGAAACTATGTGTAAGCCTAAGGGAAAGGGAATTCAAACTTAGAAGTATACCAGATCCACGGCCCATGAACCCATATCAAGAAATCTTCCAAGTAGTACAAGAGCACGAAACCGATGGCACTGGCTAAGTAACACCTGAAGCAAATTAGAGTCTATAAATACGCTATAATGGTAATATGCAAACAAATCTATGATGGGACGTCCAGAAGGACACCAAATAATGTCTCGTAAGTCAAATCCACACAAAACTAGGTGTGCGAAAATGAGATCTCTCTTTTCATATGAGTACAGAAATTTATGTTGCACCTGAAGAACAATAGGCAACTGCTCTGGTGGCTTCTTATGCTCAGATCCATGATCAAGCCACACCTCAAAAGCTGTCAGTTGCTCAGTAAAAAATGGACTTGGCTAGAAAAAAGAAAGAACCAAGTATTATAATCGAGACAGGCGCCGTCTTATACAATTACAAGCAAACTATATAAAACAAAGTTAACCTGAAACTCTGCGTTTGGGTCCAGAACAAGTTGGGGAAGGTGAGAAAGGCAGATTTCAGCAGCCATGTCCCATGCATCCCTGAAAAGCATGCAACATCTATCTGAGGAATAATCGAGACAGATAACATTTAGTCTAACAGAAGAATAGGGTTCTTCTTAAATACCACATATGATGTTGATGCGTAGGCGGCAGCATCGGGTGAGATATTGGATTACAATTTGCGGACCGCATTATTCTCTCAGCAAGTAAGAAATTTCGGAAAAGGCTAGCGACCAACAAATCCTGTCTGAATAATCTCTGGAAAAGTTCTGCAGGATAAAACTAACGTCCATGAGAAGGGACACAGAAATACAAACAAGTCAAGTTAAAGAGGTGTGGCCTTAACATATTATGCAGAAAGTTTGGAAAAATACCATGAGGAAGCACATTCCATGCAATTGTATCCGTCACTGCTGTGAAAATCCAGTTCAACTCCCCTAACAATGTTTTACGGTCATTTTGGCGGCCTGGAATCCTGTCAATAAGTGATTCATCGATGGTTTCTTTCAGAAGAGAACGCCTGCAGAACCTGCAATGGAAAGCCTATTGTGAAAACTGCAAGCGAGACTGAACTTCATAGTTCCATATGGACATAAATCAAACGCATTCAACATAATGTAGTAACCTAAAAAGGAGCCTAGAACTGAAACTGCACAAGCTCAGTAGTAATGAGTTATAGAATAAGTATCATAGGAGGAGACGGCTATTAATCAGGATAACATCATGATCTTTTGATCTCGTCAGAAATACTTAGCGACCAACATAAAAGGTTACGGCAAACCATACATCAGTAAACTTCATTGGCAAAGCAATATGGCAGCTATAGGTGATTAGCAGTCCTGATTATTTCGCAACTCTCATTATACGCTGCTTTACTCATACCACAAAACTAAAACATATGCAGAGGCTCTTCTAACTAAACACCATGATCCTTTTGGTCTCATCAGAAATACTTATGCCGAATAGTTTGACCTTATCTCATGATGTATCAAGAATATGCGAACTAAGATTTTATAAACTAACTTGATGGAATGTAAAGAACGTTTTGTAGAAAGAAAACATGACATCTGAGTACGCAAAAAAAAGTCAGAGATGAAAAGAGGATTTACCATTTCAACGCCATTTTAATGGGTGTCGTGAGGCAGGAAGTAAATACATCAGCTGGAAATTCAACGCTCTGTGGGAGCGTCTCATGTACATCGCAAGCAGCAAGTAGAATGCAGTCCCTTGAGGATCCAGAGGAACCAGAAGAACCCCAGTCATGAAGCTGCCACAAAGAATAAATGAATTTTCATCAACTGATGGAACGCCAATTGCAGAATCAAGTCTTAGACTCGACAGGAGGATGTGTAACATGAGCAAAGTGGTTGTTTCTTTTACATCAGCAAAGGCATTAAGAATCATCCTAGCAGCAGAGCAGTCAAAAACGTAGATGGACGGAGTCTTCAACCAGGAATCAAGCTCACTGATTGGCAATGGAATGTACTGCGTATAACTCTGCTCAACACACACGACCAATCAGTACGTTGTAACAGACGAAAAGGAACAACAACATGGTACAGAAATTAGAAAAAGAAAGAGCTAGCAAAAACAGACCTTGTTGAAGACCCAAATTTCACCATTAGCTGTAGGCTTTGGCACACCATGCCCATTATAATGGAATAGAACTCTCTCAGTCTTTGCATATTTCCGACAAGTCAAGCACAGCTTCCTGACCTCATCTACCGTTGGATCTAACTGAACCTTATAGCGGGCCTAAGAAAGATTATAAAATAAAAATGAAACAAGTAACTTGACGAGACAAAAAAAAAACAACGATATGAAACCAAGAAAATAAATAATCACCCTTGGTTGCCATCTCTCATACTGAGTGCTCAAATTTTTTCCAATACTCTCGAGAGCTTTCGGCGGAGCCATGGAAAATGGGTCTGCCATCAAATAAAGAGAGAGAAAATTCATTGCGGCAAGAAAGAAAAAGGATAAATACGCAAAAGAAAGTGGGGGTGTAATAGCGTTGAGTGTCCGAAGTTTCAACCTATCCAAGCCTCGATTCTAGCACACGGAGATATCTTTATAACATCCGGCGGATCAACAGTAATGTTCAGACACAGAACTAGAGCTACACACCCTGTCTTCATCTGCGAAGACGAAGAATAAAAGTCAGCAAATAACACGAGACTTGCAAGAACCACCCTAGCAAACAGATCCAGTAAATCCATGGTTTAGCTTATGCTAATTGTTTCTCAACCGACACTGGGACTGCATCATGAATTCTAGATAATGTAGTTGTTCTGTGCTCCTATCTCATCCTCAAATCGCACTAAACAGAGAGGCTAGTCTACCATACTTAGAGCTAAGCAATGTTTCGATCCTAAACTTACTCGCTCCTTAAGCCGCCATTTGGGGGCCAGTATTAGGCTCTCGGAAGTCCCCAAGGGCGCAGAAGCCTCGGATGCGTCGTGTCTGAGCTCGCAGAGCACGATAGTCTGAGGCAAGTACGCCATGCTGGTGGCGGTGGCGGCGCTCTCCGCCGTGCCATTTCCGTAGATACTGCTTGTAGCCTCGGAATCCTTCCTCTGCGACGGGATTGACGAATCACCGTCACCGTGACTGGAGACACAGTCGTCGTCGTAGCGGTGGTTTGAGACGAGAGAAACGGAAGATTGCGAGAACCGAGACACCATTAAGTCTCCTAATGCCATCCAAATCGGAGAACACGCCCGAATTAAACACCCTCCCGAAATCCCGCAAATCAAATCCTTAGCCCTAAGCTTTTTTGGTTCGGATTGGACGAGAAACGGAAATAAATTAGAAGCGGGCAAGGAGAAAGGCAGATCAATCAACAAAGCCGCTGCACCAGCGGCGCAATAGCAGAGAATCCAGCTCCAGAAACCTCCAGATGGACAGGGAAGCGGGCAGCGATAACCTAGGAACCCGGAGAAGCAGAGGATGTCGAACGACGACGGTGGCTGAGACGGGAGCGGAGGCGCACAAGCAGTGGTGGTGGTGGTGGTGGCGGCAGAAGAGAAAAAGGCAAGAGAAAGTGAGGATGCGAAAATTGGGATTTTGTCAAGAGAGAGACAAAGGGAAAGTCTTCAGTGCATTGCGTTTTCTTTCCACTTCTCTCTCATTCTTTTTCTCCTTACCGTTTTTAGTTTTACTCTCTTGAGATGAATAAATCGTGTCAAATTAACACAGTAATTAAATTTTTACGTTGCTAATCAAATTTTAAATTAACGTATATGATAAAGACGAAAATTCTACACTTGTATGCATCATCTCTACAAAAATAAAAGAATGCAGATTTAATCTGAATCTTTTGGTTAGATCATAAACACTACAAAGCCTGTTTGTCTCAACATATTAATTTCTCCTACCAGTTTAGCCACCACTACATCCAGTTCTATGACTTTTTCAGATTACTTTGTTGGATAGTTTCTTCACCTTCCAACATAAGCAGCATAGACCTTAAACATCATACACATAAATGTTGAAATATTTAGTTAATCGATTTGAATTATTTAGTCCCAAACAGAATTTTCAGTAATATAACTCGGCGATTTCTGGTCGCAATATCGCTAATCATGATTCATGTGCACGATTAGATAGAATTTCATCTAAGGCTTATTGTGTAGATCTTAAAGAAAACATGAGTTTTAAATCCGGTGGAAAAAAAAGGTGAGATTAAAATTTCATTTTAATCAGACTTTTAGATTTCATCTGCAACTGTCCCATTAAATAATATAATAATCAATAATGAACATAAAGCGAACAGTTCATTTGTCTGAGTAACATCAAAGGCCAGATCAAAAGTCAGCAGAACATATTACACCTACCTCTCTCTCTCTCTGTCTCTTAAACTTCGGAATTTCGAATTGAGAAAACATAGAATTTCGATGATAAGGAAGACACTGAGCATACTTGAAGAACTCGTCTTCGTGCTGATGAGTCTAGTCTCAGCGATCAAGACAGCTCTCCGGACGTCGCCTTCCTTCTCCGCCGAAACTTCCATAACCTCGCCTTCGATGACCAACAGTTTCGCCTTCGCCCCACAGGTTTTTCGTTGAAATTTTATACATAACTCCGAAATATAGATTATTATATGTATGTATATATATATATGTGCAAACAGTAATGGATAAATGAAAGCAGCGACTTTATTATTAATGATACATTTGGCTACTAAAAACCAACCGAAAGATTGTAATTTCAGTTGTTATTGTTATTTATATATACACACACAACTACACAAGGGTGAGTAATGATCATGCAAGATATCGGAAAAGAGAGTAGTAAATCACATCTTGGAGAGGGCGTGATCCATCACATCCACAAGGAAATCTGCAAAATAAAAGATTCGAAAGAATGCATTAGTTATGAATAACAAAAAACGGATTTGAAGAAAGTATATGGAGCTAACCAGCGTCGGGCAGGGTGAAGCAGAGAGGAGGAGTGATTCTGAAGACGTTCCCGTAGAACCCACCTTTCCCCACCAACACTCCCATTTCTTTACATGAACAAGTTTCATATCAATATGCAAGTATATCAATTGAGTGATCAAATTTCAGTTTTTCAGGTTTAAGAGAATTAGTAATCCAATATAAACCAAATGATGATTTATTTAATTTTTTTGGATCGGATTTGCTTCGTTTAGGATTGAACACATTGAAATCTAACCTTTCATTTGATCCATTAGATGAAGAGTCTCCGTTTTAGCAGGAGTTTTTAAGTCACGGTCTCTGACAAACTCAACTCCTAGCATCAACCCTCTTCCTCTCACGTCTCCGATGACTTGACACATAAACAAGAGAAAAAATAAGATTTCAACAAACAAAAATAGTTTTGTAAGACATTCTTTAATATGGACAAGAACTCACGTTCGTGTTTGTTTTTGAGTTGTGTAAGTCTACGTTTGAGATGTGAGCCAACGAGGAAAGCATTCTCTTGGAGCTTCTCTTCTTTAATGACTCTAAGTACTGCGTGTCCCGCGGCAGTGCACATGGGGTTTCCGCCGAAAGTATTAAAATAACTCCGCCGGCTTAGAACGCCGGCGATCTCCGGTCTCGTCACCACCGCTCCAAGTGGAATTCCGTTCCCGATCCCCTGTAAATGTAGCCAGTTCAATACTATAATCGATGATAATAATGAATCGATGCATGATGATGATGGTGAAACCTTGGCCACGGTGACGATGTCGGGGATAACACCATGGGATTGGAATCCCCAGAAATGGGTGCCTGTACGAGCGAAACCGGATTGGACTTCATCGGCGATGCAAACTCCTCCGGCTCTCCTCACGGTGTCGTACACCGCCGGTAAGTACCCTGGAGCAAGCTCTACGATTCCTCCAACTCCCTGTTTCACACCACCATCAATTTAATTAGCATACGTACACATCACACATGCATGTATGCATGTACAACCAAATTTGCCAAATAATCTCGCCTGGATAGATTCGCCAATGAAACCAGCGACTTGACCGGAAGTCCCGAATTGGATCAGGTCGTGTACGTCCATAGCGTACTTTTCACCGTCCGATCCAAATACTCCTCTGTATGGATCTGGATTTATGGCGTGATGAACTCCACTCTGTTACAAAGTTACTACTTACATTTCAAATGTAGAAAGATATATTCAATCCTAATCGATTCAAACATCCCTAACTTGAGTTCATAATTTTAACTTTTCTTGCCCTGATAAACGTTGAAACCAAAAACAGCCGAAAGGTGACCCATAAACATAGAATATCAATTCAAACCAGTAAAAAAGAAAAGTCAATCAGATTGTTTAGATGGAAAAGAAAATAAATAAATAAACCTGAACGACATTAAATTTCCAGTTGGACTGAGCAGTGGCTCCCATAGTGGCAGCTGCGTTCCCATGGTAAGAGTTCCTAAGTGAAACGATGTCGTTACATCCCGTGTACAGCCTAGCCATCATCATCGCCAGCTCATTCGCCTCCGTTCCAGAATTCGTGAAAAACACCACCTACATATATATAGATATATTATGTGCCTTTGCCTTGCTCGTCAAGTCATCCATCAATCCCAATATAAATTTATTTTCTACAAAAACTTGAAAGAGTTTTTCTTTACCTTGAGATCTCCGGGAAGATTGGAGACAAGAGCTTCAGCGAAATCAGAGATGGTGTGATTAAGGTAAAGGATAGTGGAATGTTGAATAAGCTTTAACTGTTTGATGACGGATTCAACTACTTCTGGGTGGCTATGCCCGCACGAAACCGTCGCTATTCCTCCGAAGGCATCTAAATATCGACGTCCTGTCTCGTCGAACACGTACTGCATCTTTCCCTCCACCACGTTTAACTGTTAATCATCGAAAGTACATGTATAACAACAACAGAAAACAGAGTAAGCTTAAACGGTATCGTTTTAAAGGGAAGAAAATGAAAGCGGCTTCGTTTTGTACAGGAGTATTGTAGAAGTGGAACAGAGCGGGACTGAGGAACTCTCGCCGCTTCGCGGTGATCTCTGCGGTGGAAGGACCGTCGTAAGGCGGCGGAGAATAATTGAACGGAGGAATCTCCGGAATTTTTGTTTCTGTCTCGTGAACGGAGTTTGTTCTTTGAGCTACTATCTGGGATAAGCCATGACGTTGGAGAAGAGAGTTGTTCCGTTTCAGTAGCGAATTAACCACCGCCAACCTCCGCATTTTTTCCACCGCCGTTATATCGTCGCCGGAGATCTTTTAAAAAGAGAGAGAGAGAGAGTGTGTGGAGATAGAGAGTAGGAGTTTAGGCGTAGTTGTTCAATTTAAAGGCGCAAGTGATTAATTAGTAAAGTATTAACAGCTGAAGCGTAGCCGTTTGTTTCTTGGTTTAAAGAAATTGTCCACTAATGATAATGACCCTAGTTTAATATTTAACATTACGTATTTATCCTACCTAATAGGAGCTATGTATAACCTAAACTAATTTGAAACTCACTACAGTACATGACAATTATACTTTAAAACTCCACTTATTAATAAATTTTTATAATCCATAGATAAGACGAGCAAGTATAAGCACAGTAATCCAACCGTAGACATGATGTCACGGTGGTTTGATTGGGGTGACTTGTAGGAGATAGCGATAGTCAGATATATACATGGTTCAATGCAACGTGTAACGTATGGTAACAAAATGCAAGCACTTATATACATATACATAAATCTTTTTAAAGCATAGCTTGTGTTGTATGGAAAATTGAGCAATATTGTTCGTAACGCAATCATAGTTTCTAAACTATAACCAGTTGCCAAGATTCTACGTTTCTTAGTTCTTTCAATACACGTTTATAAACTATAGGCAGCCCATCATGAACCTGGACACAAATTGAGGCATAGATTCGTAGTTCACTTGTCGTTGTGACATGAAAGTGAAACAATCAGCCTACTATATCATAATAATTCTGTATCGCTGATTCAAATAATTGGACAAACACAATATTCTATTTTTTTATTTATTTTTAATTGTAGTTTGCTTTTTAAATTGATCCAATCAAAGTGTTACGTACATAAGAAGAAGCTGGAACGGAGCTAAATGTTAATTTTATCTTTTGCATGTCGATGTCGATTTTGTTGTCTGCTTCTCATCGCATCCATATGTATTCACACTTCTTTCTTTGTTTCTTTAAGTGACATTAAAGTTTCCAAGAGGAGTTAGAGTCATCGTACATTCATACCTAGAGATCTGATCGTCTTGTTTAGCTTCTGTTTGTATTTATATGATATTCAATTGTTAAATTTCTGTGTTTTTTTTTCTTCTTTTTCACATATGTATTTTTTCACATAACTAAACTTACGCTGCATAACGGCAACATTTAACATAGTTACCACAAAATCTTAAAAAAAAATAGTTTACAAAAGTAAGTTATGTTCGAATTGCTATTTAATTATTGTTGAACTATCTACCATTAACGAGAGAGCTCGAAGAAATATCCGTGGAAAAAGAAAAAGTATTCGAGCTCGAGGCTCTATCCGATGAAATGCAACCTACAACATTCGATCTAAGATCATCTCCTCTCGAAGAATCTGAGAATCCCAAGTTCCCATCAATCTGTGGAACATCCTCGTCGCCGTTCAGATACCTAATCACGTTTCTCATCGTTGGCCGAGACGTCGGTTTCTGATGGCAACAGAGTAACCCCACAACGAGGGCTAGTTTCGCCTCTCTGCCATTGAAGTTAGATCCGAGTTTCTGATCGACGGCGCGAAGGACTCCTCCATTCGTGTGAAACTCCATAACCCAATCAGCTAAGAAGAAGTTCTCTGTGTTCGTCGGTCTTCTCCCACACACGATTTCTAACGACAAAACGCCGAACGCGAAAACGTCGGACGCGGTCGAGCCTTTGCCGTTACGTGTGAGCTCAGGTGCCATGTACCCTAAAGTCCCAACGACTTTCGTGGTCTGCGTCAGCGTTCCGCGTTCGTAAAGCCTCGCGAGCCCAAAATCGCCTAATTTAGCGTTCATCTCGGCATCCACAAGAACATTGCTCGCTTTCACATCTCTATGAATCACAATTTGTTCCCATTCTTCGTGGAGATACAGCAGCCCCGACGCGATCCCCTTTATGATCTCGAAACGCACGTTCCACGACAGAACGATGCCGTTTCTTGTCGGCGTTCTGTAGAGCAGCGAGTCGAGGCTTCCGTTGGGAATGTAATCGTACACCAACAAGAGGTCCTTTTTGTGTTTGCACCATCCTTGAAGATTCACGAGGTTCTTATGACTTAACCGACCTAAGCTCTCGATCTCTGCGACAAATTCTCGAACACCTTGCAGGCTCTGTGGAGTTATCTTCTTCACTGCGATTGGTCCCGAAGAAGGTAGGTTTCCTCTGTAAACGATTCCGAATCCTCCGGAGCCGATGATCTCGCTCTCTTTGAATCTCTCCGTTGCCAAGTAGAGATCTCTGTAACTGAATCTATGAGGATAATCGATTTCCCAATCCTCAAGAATATCTCCTTCCTCGATTTGCCTTTTGTACATGACAAACATAAAAAGCAACACGAGCAAGAACAACGTGACGATCGATAAAGACACAATCAAAGCGATCACTTGAGAATCGTAACCTTCCTTGCTACTCGAGCTTGGATTCGGCGGCTGACGAGGAAGCTCCGAGAGTTCGAGCAAATCCGCCACTGGATTTTCTTCACCGCTAGCAAAACTCCAACCCATCACATAATGAGCACTCGACTGGCCTTGTCCTGTCGCGGCAGTGAATCCGACATACATTTCCTCCTCCACAATCTCCGAGAAATTCAAGATTTGTCGCGAGATCAGAGGCTTTTTGGGTTTGAACCCTAACCGCGTCGGATAGACGGTCACATTCAAGGTCTCGCTGGGTCCGTCGTAATCGACATGAGCTCGGATCGGTTCGCCGCTCTCGAGCTGGAAATCCTCTTTCCGATCATCGGTGTCGTAATAACTGAGTGGGTCTTGTACAGTGGAGGAGAGACTGTTGAAATTAAGACCGATGTGGTTTCCTCTTCTGTCGGCGCCGTCTTTAAATCCTTGCACCGTGTCGAATTCCACAGCGAACACGTGATTCGACGGATTCCCGTCGTTGGATCTGTTCAAAAGCCCCAGATACTGCGCGGATTCTGCTCCGGGACGATTTGGGGTCGGCGAAAGTGTGAATGTGAATCCAAAACCGCCGTTTCCGGGACTGGCAGAGATTATAACGAAGACGAAAGACGTGCTAAAGGAACGTACTTTGACTTCGGAGGAACTGTTGTGGTCATGAAATCTAATTGGTTTGTGGTAAAACGCTGTTCCGGTGACGTTGTGGTTCCGATTAGTCAGTCTCAGTAGACCATCGCTGTGTTGGACTATCGCAGCTCCTTCTGTTTGAATTTCCGTTTGCTTTCCTTTGAAACCTAGGAAAGTGAACTTTGTTGTTGCCGCTTCAGCAAGAACGTGAGTTTTAAAAGCGTTTGATGATAGAAAGAGCAAGAACATGAGTATGCCTGTGGATCTTGCTATGCCCATTTAGTATCTTGAGCTTTGGACTTTGATGGTATGATTAAGTAAGAGATCATTAAGTTAAAGCAAATTTCAGGTACAATGGACTTATGCCCTTAATGCCGAAATTGTAAGACGAAGAAGAAGAAATGTTCAAAGTCAAAGTCAGAGTCTTTTTAGACCATTTGTGTGGTCCGTTATTTCGAACCATTTGTGTGGAGGAGATAGATGACCTTCAAAACAATTTTCATGAGATTTCACACAGTGACTCGAACGACTTATTAAATACTGGACAAAACGAAATCATTAATACAAATCATTTACGCGGTTATGACTTGTTATTTATTATGAAGAAGTCAACAAGACAGTGCTAAACCTGAGTCGTATTGTATATTGATCACAAGTTTTGTTAGCCCATTATGGAAAGTTGGGCCTGGCCTTTTTTCTCTTTGTTTTACGACGTCGTATTTTTGTAAGCAAAAAGCACAGTTTATCACCTTTTTGGGGTCAAACTAAAAGCACAGTTTATCAAATCAAACTGATTATTTTCAAGTGTAATTCGAAATTCAAATCTATCATTTTTTTCCGTATGAGAGATGGGAAATCTGTCGGAGAATTTCGATATCCAGGATCTGATATCTTATGGAGACGATTTGATCAACTTGTTGAATGTTAAGAATGGGTTTGACGTTGTATCGCAAAGTTTCGAGAACTTTAAAGATCTCCATTTCGCTTGCGACGAGGATTTCAATCAGATACAGGGATCTATCGAAGGTCAGTTTTCCGACTTGGGTCTCCAGAAAATTTCGACAAACAGATATATTATAAGGTTTACCATGTAGCTTTTAGCTGGAGATGGTCCAATCATTGGGATTTGAGTGTTAGTGTTCGACTGAGTGAGAAATTTGGGGTTTTTTTGTTTCTTCTTTAATGCAGATTGTAAGAAGAAACTCGATGCTTGCAAGAAGAGAACGGAGGAAGCTTACTCTGATGTTTCGGCTGGAGATGACATTGAGCGTCTTCAGAAAGAGCTTGACGAAGAGATGGAACTAGAACGCAAGCTAAAGGACGAGCTTAGATAAGTGTAGTTTATTTTCTGTGAAATGATTCTAGTCCGTTGGTTCAGTGACATGAAATTTGATTTTCTGTCAATACAGTCGTCGCTGATGAACTCAAAGACCTGAATGCACAATGGACATCGATTGATGAACAGAGGCAATCTACAAAGAGAAAAGTGCGTGACGACTTGAGAGCTGAGTAAGATCCACAAACCCGTTATCGCAATTGCTTCTTCTGAATGTTGGTACATTTTTTTTTTTCTTTTCTCAAAATCTCTGTTCTGTTCCCTCTTTTTCTCTGCAGGAAAAAGCTCTCAATGTATGCTTCTGTCACGAAAATTATACCAGACATTGATGATCCATCAAAGCTCTCAGGCTGTATCCTCTTTTATCATCATCTCTCTACTAGTACTCTCTTGGCTTTTCTTCTTTGATCACGACACTCATTCGCTTTTGTCCTTTAGTGTTTTGAATCCTTGATTTAGATATTCAATAGATATGGTAGACCGCGAGAAAAGGGTAATTGAGAAGTTCGAATTCGAGACAGATAAGATGACGGCCTATGAGACATGTAACAGTATCTGGAGCATTATAAACAAGCAATAGACAGACTCGGCTACATTTGATTTGTTTGATATGTCTGTCTGATCAGTCTTGGTTTTAGCTTAGAAGCCATAACCTCTTTATTCAGCTACGGTTCCTTAGGTGTAAAACCTTCCTGCTTACTTTACTTTCGCCTTTTGTAATCTTATTAAGAATCTTCTTCTCCTGTAATATCATCATCATCATCTATGGATTTTTTTTTCTTGCAAGTTTTAGTTCTATCCTATCTGTGCAGTGAACATGTAAAATCCAACATCTTCAGCTCTTGTTGCAGCTGCTACTGTCATTTTCTTAATCAATCTTTATGGGCACATTGATGCAAGTTCGGATATAGTTGGTACAAATTCAAAGGAACATATATTTTCGGTTCACAGCGTTTTAGTTTCTATACATTTCGTAGCTTCTTTCTCAGGAATTGTCAAATCTTGTAGAAAAAAAGGTAGGAGTCAGATAGTAACTGCTCAAGTAAATCAATTGGATATTTGACATATATATTCTGACTTAACATGTTATTTAGCTTGGGATTAACTTTCAATAATATGCCTTTGATGGTGATCTCCTCGTAATTGTATCTCTGTTTCAGATTTGTTCTTCACATCTTCGGAATCTCAAAGGAAACTAAGGCACAGATGAATCTTGCAACCTCGTGGTCATAACAAAACAGGTACGTTCTGCAACTTCTGATTTCACTAGTGGCTTAAGATATTCTTACTTCTTCTTTTGGGACCAATTGGAAAAATAAATATTCATTGATTAAGCTTAGGACTTTAGTACAAAAGTAACTTCAGCACAAACAAATCTTTAACCTTAAGAACTAAATGTTATTACTCCATAGCTTTCAGTCTAAACTCTTACACAACCTTCGGTTTTTAGTGTATGGAAGAAGCCTCTGGTCAAAGTGCCAAACTCCTGCAATCAGAAAAAAGCCTCAAAACTTAGTATCGAAGTCCAAAGAGCTCAAAACCCAAATTGTGAATTTGTGATCCACTTCACCTTAGTTGTTAATAAATAGACAAGACAAAAGAGAAGGGTCTGACTCTGATTCATACCATGGCTTTTGCCGGCCATCTTGAGTTGGGTGATGTACTCTGAGATCTTCTTGATGGCTTCGATCTAGAAGAAGATCCGCTGGATCAGTCAGAGGATTTCAAGGCTCACCTGCTCTTCAAGCTACTCGCTCTTCCACGTGTCGATATTAGATTCGGCCACTTGTACGGGTGTGTGGTGGCCTCATGCTCTATCCAATGGCACGTGGACGGACAGTGTGAACACGTAAATATTCCGTCCACGTCACTGGTTCAATCAGCACACTATAAGCAAACTGTCTGCTTCTTCAATTCTCTTGGCCTAAAGGTGGCAATTTAAATTGTTTGGTGAAAAAAAAAAGTTTTGATTGAAAATTGTTTGGTTCCGCGATCCACATCTGTTTTGCGCATTGCTACGTGTCAAAAAACTATTGGATGTTACAATGCTGTAAAAGAAACGAAATGAAATGAATCGGTGATAGAAAAACTCCCCCCGATCACGGCGAGAGAGAGAGATACGATCCGTGAGCGAGAAAATGGATCAGATCTTGAACAAAGTGGGATCGTACTGGTTAGGTAAGAAGGCGAACAAGCAGCTCGATTCCGTCGGTGACGATATTAACGTACGTCTCTCTCTCTACTCCATTCACTACTTGCTTTTATCCCTCACCGCGTTTCATCAGTCTCGATTTCTGATTTCGATCCGATACGAGAATTTTGGTAATTGGTGGTGTAGTACCCCGTTGATTCTTCAGTTACAAGTGCAATTGCGCTTGATCTCTGCCTTTTTTTTTTTCTTTTCGAGCAAATCTGTCGTATGTTCATAGGATCGATAAGAATTTACTGCAATTCTCCAATTTCGAGGCCGTTGTGGTAATATACAAAGTGAAAAGGAAGATGATCTTAAGCGTAGATAATTATCCCACAGTTTCGTGTCAATCTCTTGTGATTCAATAATGGAATGTTGATTTTGCATTATCTGTAACTTCTTTTTTCTTCCAGTCTCTGTCTACTAGCATCGAAGGAGGAACAAAATGGTTAGTGAACAAAATCAAAGGTCAGTTTTTTTTCTTCTACTCGTTCTTGCTGTTTCCATTTGACATTCTAAGGAGGAGCCAACATCATTCCTCAACAAATCCAAATTTCAAGAATTGTTGTGTGTTATCAGGGAAAATGCAGAAGCCATTGCCCGAGCTACTAAAGGAGTTTGGTTTGCCTGTTGGGATCTTTCCACGGGATGCAACCAACTACGAGTTCAATGAGCAGACGAGGAAACTAACCGTCTTTATCCCATCAATCTGCGAAGTTGGCTACAAAGATTCATCAGTCTTGAGATTCACCACAACAGTCACCGGGTTTCTCGAGAAAGGAAAGCTAGCAGATGTTGAAGGGATGAAGACAAAAGTCATGATCTGGGTTAAAGTCACAAGTATCTCAGCAGACTCATCCAAGATCCATTTCACGGCAGGGGTGAAGAAAAGCAGAAGCCGTGATGCTTATGAGGTTTTGAGAGATGGCGTTGAGATTGATAAATTCTAGCTCTGTTTTGCTGGTAATTCCCAATTCTTTTATTCTCTCTCTCTCTCCTAAGTCCTACCTCTGTCTTCTCAAGTTTCAAACTTTCAAAGCTCTATATTTCTTTTTTAAATCGGGTTTTTGTAGATACAGAGTATCAATTAACTTTGGAGTTCTTGGATTTGATGAATTGTATTGGTTTTACCATGAAAGAGAAAAAAATATATACTCAAATATTGAATACTGGTAGAGATTGCTGACCAAATGCAACATTTCACTTTTGCAATGGATAGTCCATTAACATTCATCTACATCTAAGGAAAAAGATGTTAAACCTATTCAATTTTCATCACATAGACATATTTTAAACTAAGTAAAATAGGAATGATAGGTCAATAATTCATAGATAGAAACAAAAATTACATAGAACAAACACATGGCACCATTGTTTTGCTGACAATGGACTGAAAACACAGATACTGATGAAAAGTAATACAAAACAATAGCAAATTGTAACAATAATTAAGAGAAACAGAGAGGATAACACATGCGACTCACAAGCCCTTCACTTCTAGTAACAATACCATCTGCCTCATTTCAGAGTAACCTTCTCTTTTACTAAATTTTGCCAGCTTGTGCCTTGGCCTCTGTCCCGTCTCGAGAGTTAAGCTCCTCCCAAGCTTCGATCCAAGTGACCATTCCATCTGCAAGCTTAATGAAGTAAGGATCCACTTTCCCAAGTTTCTCTCTCACGAGCTTAGCCATCTCGATGTAGCATTGTTGCACCGAAGTGCATTCTTTTGGAAGAGTCACAGACTGAAAGAAAGGTATGGCCTCTTCTTGCCAGAAGATTCCATTGTATTCCTTTCTCAGGTTCACGAATGGGTTGCTGGCTTTGCTGTGCCATATGTAAGGCAAACCCGTCTTCACTCCCCAGCCCATGTGGTCACATATCACCTACATTTTTTTGGTTACACGTGAAAAAGATAGTCTTAGCTTTGTAGACAAATGCAATGTGACGAGGCTAGTGGTTTACCTTGACACACCAACCAGCCCACATGTCGTCGTAGCGTCCGATGGGCTGCCCGTCACCCATAAGTCCAAAGTACATAGCCGGACCAATCAGCTCCCGATCAAAAGCGAGGTTCATACCACACATAGGGAATAGGGTTCCTTTGGGAATGGTCATGACCGCATCAACATACCTGCATATTAGCCAAAAAAACAACCAACCAATAAGCAAAGCTGAAGCATTCAGCCTTCAGAAAAAGGGAGGCATAACAAAATTGGTTTTGTTTGAGTGAAAGATCAAATTTCCTGGAGTTTCTTTCAAGAGGCTTCACAAGCTGAGTGGGAGCATCATAGTCAGGGATGTTTAGCCAGAGGCCATGAGAGACAGCGGTAATGGCACCTTCGCGCATACTAAAAGGGTATCCACGAACAAAGTCTGCCCCATCTCCGTATGGATCATAAAGTGTGTTGAAGAAATGTGGGGTTGATGGAGATAAAAGGTTCTTGATATGCTGCTCAAGCGCATTGATCTCTTTTCCTGATGGATCCTTTGCAACCTACACAGTTATTGTCAACCTTTGAGATCAAACTCAAAGTGTTAAGTCTAGTTAAATTTCCAAAAGAGATAAGAGAGAGAGAGGGAGCATTTACAAAGCAATCATCATCAATGGTGTAGATGTACTTCTTCTTGGAGACCATGTAACCAAAGCAACGGCAAGCAGAGTCCTTGAAGGAAATGCAAGAAGCCTTGGGACCCAAGATTCGATTGATGTCGTTCCTGTTGTAGAGCTCGTAGTCAAACCCTTCCGGAATGTTGATGATGTTCGAAGGATCACCATCTTGAACGATGATCAGATGGTACTGTTCAAAGAATGGTCTCCACATCTCAAGGAAATCTAGGTTTCGGATCGTGGGTATCACGATGTCTAGCTCATCTTTCAGCATTGGCGTGGGTTTCATCGAAGAATACAACTGCGCCATTTGAGTTGAATGGGATGAAAGAGTAAGCCTAAGCAAAAATAAGCAAAGACAAAGAGAGAGAGATGTACGATTATGACGATGATTTTTTTGGTACTTATAAAGACGAGATGGACATAAATTATATCCACTGTTAACGGAAATGTAAAATAGTAACTCTCGTGTTCTTATGCCAAAACATGCTTGATGTTTCTTATTTTCTGTCGTCATCCGTTATTTTTACAAAAGTTGAACGTAATAATAGTTTTTGTTGTTTGTTACACTACAATAATCATGTTTTACTAATTGATATTATATGTTTTGTAGAAGCAAGAAGGATACTCATGTTATAATCACAAGCGAATTCACGACTCTCTCACCCACTCTAACTCTCTAAACCCTGATCACGTGACCGTCTTATGTTTGTATCCATCTCCTAAAGGAACGTTACAAAGAGAACAATGTGGAAGATTGTTACTTGTTACTTTGTTAGGTTGTATTGACATGTTCTTTTTGTTCAGCTTTGTACTGAAGAGAGATTAGATTTTAAAATAAAGCTCCAATAAAATTCTAAAAAAGTAAAAATCTTTATTTAGTTCTCTTTTTTTCCAATCTAATAGTAACAATTTAAAGAAAAAACGATACTAAAACCCCAAAACCAAAAGGCAAAAGCTTTGTAGGACGTTGAGAAACCTAATCCTTAATGATCTCACAACCTCCCAAACAAACACCCCACACGGACACACACCTACGCATTTCACAACGACCGCCCAAAGATCCAACCGGAATAACTGAAATCAAACATAGCAGAAAGAAAGAGAGAGAGAGAGATGGGTTTAAAGAAAAATAATCTAAGAAGACGAAAACATCCGTTTGATTCCAGATTTCTGCTCTGTCGTTAGCCTCGACGGGAACTTGACGTTGAATTTGATTTTTAAGTTCCCTTTTCTGGATGGGTCTTTAGGGATGGGCATGCCTTCGCCTTTCACAACCTCTTCGTAGGAAGGGCTGATCACGTTAGTGACTGGAACCGTCATCGTCCTTCCGTCAAGAGTCGTGACCTGAACGGTGTAACCCGTGAGGGCTTCCACGAGAGGGATCTTCTGTGTGGTCACAAGGTCGTTCCCATCTCGCTTGAACACAGCATGTGGCTTCTCATCAACTATGAATACAAGATCTGACGGTATGATTCCTCGCTGCTCGTTTCCTTTCTCCGGGAAGGTTATCTTCGTCCCTTTCTTCCATCCCGGCTTGATTTCTATCGTCAAGATCTCCTCCACAGTCGTCGGTCTCCTGCATTGGAACAAAGAAGGCGTTTTTACACTTGCATTGAAACTACGAAAAGCAGCTATAATATCTGAAAAGTGCAAATGGACTCAACAACTCCAGTAAAACAGAATTCACATAACTTCATTGTTCATAATTCCAACAGAATCTATCCAATTCCCTAATCTTCAGATTTCGAAGGTGAAACATGGTCACAGAACACAACTCAGGATAACACTTCTAAGTACAACTCCATAAGCAAATCGGAACTTTTCCCTCAATAAGAAGATGACTCTTAAACTAAATTCATGGCAATGTAGCTGAAAATCAACAATAAATCTGAACATTGCAAATGGATTGTTCTCGGATTCAGTCATTCTAGTACACAACAACTCCAGTAAAACAGAGTTCACATAACTTCACTGTTCATAATTCCAACAGAATCTATCCAATGGCTAATGATCTAGTCATATAGATCTATCCAAATCCCCAATCTTCAGATTTCGAAACTGAAACATGGTCACAGAGAACACAACTCATGATATATCACCAGTGTCGACCCTTTCTAAGTACAACAACTCCATAAGCAAATAGGAACTTTTAACTCAATAACAGGACTGCTCTTAAACTCAATTCATGGCAATGTAGCTAAAAAGCCAAGGCTAAGAAGTTGAAGGAAGTATAAAAAGAAAACAGACCCGCTGGAATCGAGGACGTCACGAGAGATCTTCATCTTCTTGGTGATTCCTTTGTACAAATCCTCCAAACTACAAGGAAGTTGTCTCTCTATAGGGGCGGCTTTCTTCGGCGGAGCATTGGAGGCTTCTCCTGTAGAGGACCTATAAGACGAGAAAACGTCCTCGGCGAACCGGAACCCACCAGAGGGACCTGCACCACGTGATTCACCGAAGGGTCTTGAGAACCCAAAGAACTCCGAGAAGATGTCGTCGGCGCTTCTACCGTTGAACCGGAACGAAGCCCCTCCGTCCGAACCACCAGGGAAACCACCGGCTCCGGGAGGCGGAGCCTGGCTATTTAGACCTTCTTCTCCGTACTGATCGTAGATGGCTCGCTTTTGTGGATCGCTCAAAACCTTTGGGTCAATGCAACGAATCGAAAACGTCATAAGGATTGATCATGAACAGTTTTTTCCACAGAAAGTTTCGTGCTTTGGTAACTTCATCCCATTTTTTTCAGAAAAGTCATCAAAGTGAATTGAGATAAGGAATAAATTCGAGTGAATTGAGAGTATAACTACTCAAATTCCAAATTCATAGAAAAACTGGAAATTACTCTATCAAAGGAAAACGGGTATCGTTTACAAAGGGGATAAATTTGAGTTTGTGTAAGAGAAATTACATCGTAAGCTTCAGAGATCTGCTTGAATTTGGCTTCGGCTTCCTTTTTGCTGTTAGGGTTCTTGTCGGGATGCCATTTCATGGCGAGTTTCCGATAAGCTTTCTTCAAATCGTCATCTTTCGCGCTCCGATCCACTTGAAGAACCTTGTAATAATCGACCCCCATTGCTATTCTCTTGATTCTCTCTTCCTTCTCGCTCGATCTTCTTCAATTAAAAAACTCAACTCGATCATGCCATACCGGTTCGATATTATAAGGGACATTGCCAGTTTATCTCCGAGCCGGTTTGTTCCTCTTCGGTTTGATTATGCAAACAAATTTAATACCAGAGTCAACCGTATTCCGAACAACATAAGTACATAACCTTATCAGGAGGCGCTTTCGTTTCAAATGGAACAAATAGAGTGATGGTCAAATTATGAAATATCCGAGGACTTATAACGTAAATAAAAAAATAGAATTTTCGGGGTCTTATTATATTTGCTCAAAATTAGAATCCTCAGCAAGCAAAAAAATCTAAAAAGATAAAATTGGTTAAGATCCCTTCAGAAAATCCAAAAAATTTAGAGATGACACTTCTTCTTCCTCAACCAAACCATATCTACAAGCCACCACTAGTACCATACCGACGCCTCCGAAAACCGTACACATTACCAGTGATCTCCGCAATATCTGGCAAGGAGTTGGTAACTTCCGGCAAGGTCCGGGCGGTGGAGCCGAAAGAAGCGAAGACGGTGGTGGCGTCGGAGGGATACGTGGTATTAGACGTGAGGCCGGCTTGGGAAAGAGAAAAGGCACGTGTGAAAGGGTCTTTACACGTGCCACTGTTCGTGGAGGACACAGATAATGGGCCGATAACGCTGCTGAAGAAATGGATCCATTTGGGCTACATTGGGCTTTGGACGGGCCAGAGATTCACCATGTTTAATGACGAATTCACCCTCCGTGTTGTACAGGCTTTCCCGGACAAGAACATTAAAGTGCTCGTCGTGTGCGGTGAAGGACTCAGGTAAGGACTAAGGATGGTGCATTTTGGTTTATCACTGACTTTGGTTTAGCCTAAATTTGTGATTAACTTCATCAACCAAAAAAAACAAATCTCCATATCAAATCAGTTCAATTTCGGTTAATCTGAATGGTTTCTAGGTCGTTGATGGCAGTATCAAAGCTGTACGGAGAAGGTTACAAAAGCTTAGGATGGTTAGCCGGAGGTTTTAACAGAGCAACCGAAGGAGATTTTCCAGAGATTGAAGGAACAGATGAGCTTCGTTTTGCAACAATAGGAGGCGCATCATACTATTTACTCAAACTACTTGTACTGTTGCAGAGCTTTGGCAAAGAGAGCCGTTGATTTTTTCATTCGATTGCTTCAGCAGAAGAAAACTATTTGGAATTATTACTTTTGGTTCTGTTCAAATGCTCATTTGGTTTAGGAAGCTGGAGCGTGAAAACTAAATGACATATTTATCCTCAAAAACGTGTCCGGTCCCTTTTTACACAGTTAATTCCGTTACGGCGCCGTTTCCTGGTGTTAATCACCTGAAGATTTCTTTTTTTCTTTTGTGCAAATTGAAGATCTCTTTCTTAAGTTGAATTTTGTTTGGCTGAATCATTTTGCTTCGGACAGCTGGGCTCCAAACCTAACAGACAATGACATTTATACCCAAAGCCATCTGGTAATGGCGCCATGTTCCCGCGTAAATACATTACATAATTGAGGGCAAGTATGTAATTTAGTAGAACGGTTCATCCCCTTCCTAGTCTCATTCCTCTTCCTCCGTCTGGTTTTCGAGAGGGAAAACAAAAAATTAAGAAAGCCAGATCTACTAAAATCCCCAAATTCAGTTTCAAATTTTGAACCCCGAGAAAACCCTTGCTTTTCAATTGGCTTGCTGCACCTTCAAATCGTCCTCGAGATCGGAATCTCTTGAATTGGGCACCTTGTACATTGCACACGATGGGCGATTTCAACCTCGCTCTCGTGATTGTCGCGATCGTTGTTTGCGTCATCGTCTTCATCTCCAGCATCTATCTCCTCGTCAACTACCAGCATCCAGATGATGCCAACCAGGCGTATTTCCCCAAGTTCGTCGTTGTTTTCGGCCTGTCTGTCGCCATGATCTCGATCCTCATGTTACCGGCGGATGTGGCCAATCGGCACGCTTGTCGGCATGCTATTTACAACGGCGCCTGCAGTCTCACCTTGCCCATGAAGGATCTCTGGCTTGCCATTTACATCGTCGACGCTATTCTCGTGTTCTTTGTCATCCCCTTCGCAATGTTTTTCTATGAAGGCGACCAAGACAAGTTCGTATCGGATTTTTGTACATTGTAAATTTGTTTGTTAATAGAACTTTTGTTGACCTTTACTTTTTGTTTTCTGCAGGAGTCTGGGAAAGAGGATCAAAAGTGCCTTAATTTGGGTGGTAACCACGGCTGTGGTTTGTGCTCTGGTGCTTGGAATCTTATACGGTCAGTATCTCCTCCGTTATTATTTCTTTTGTTGACTTGAACTTAAGAGTCTTCCTTGATTGACGAAAGCTGGGAGTGGTAATTGAAACCCTTTGTGAGCATGTCGTATGTACGTTGGTCTTATTGGCACTACGAATTGATATCGTTTGACTGCATTTCTTTGTTTGTTTCTGCTGATAAATTATCATCTTTGTGCTAGGAATAGCTTAGAATTGTTGGTAACATCTTTATTGTAACTACAGAAGTTATGAAAACCTCAAGAGTTATTGAATTTACAGTGAACCGTTCATGGTTGTTTAGTTTAATTTCATATTCATTGGATTCCCTCTTCTTATGCAATTTTACATCATGTTAGGTGTCATTGGAAAAGTGGACTTCTCTGTCAGGCACTTGGCTTCTGCCACGACCTCTTTCCCTACTTCCTGGCAATTTTCAAATAATCAACCATGTATTGGTAACACTGCTCGCCAGGTAATATATGCTCTTTATTTGCATCAACGGTATTAGTTTATTTATCATGAGTCGTTTATGCCATGGAAAGTGTCACCACTTAACATTTGTTTATTGTCTCTGGTTAATCGATGCAGTGCTCGGCATTTACAGCTAATGTCACATCTGAGAAGACATGGACTATGCGTACTACATTTCCAGAATACGTTGTTGCACTTGCTACAATTGTTGGGTCAGTTCTTTTCACGGTATGAACATTGTTCTATCATGTTGAAAAGTGTTTTGTATGTTTATCCATCGCTGGCTAACGCAATCTCTCAACAATTGAGATGCATGTCGAGATCTTATTCTGTATCCTTTGTAGTCCATAGGTATTTGATTTATACATTCCATAATAAAATATGATAACTAATTGTCTTCTCAAATGTTTTGTAGATATTTGGTGGTGTAGGTATTGCCTGCCTACCATTAGGACTTATCACCGCATTCATCAGGCGGCCAAAGGCTGTTATCACTCGGTCACAATATATAAAGGTTTAGTTATTGTTCTTCTTCCGGACGCATCTCTTCTTGTTCTGGAGTCATTTCCACCGTCGTTTGGTAAAAGTCATAATTGGTTTACAGGAAGCAACCGAACTAGGTAAAAAGGCAAGAGAACTAAAGAAAGCAGCTGATGGACTTCATCAGGAAGAAAGAAGTGGTGCTAAGGGAAGGAAATGGAGGAAAAATGTGAAAGCAGTTGAAAAGGTACTTCATTTATGTCAAGATTTGGTTTTGTTTCATAATTGGAAACTAGGAAAATCTGCCAATTGATACTGGTCCTGACGTGAAAAAAAAGCTTTGGTCGTATGTGCAGTTACTAAGATGCAATTTGTAGTGAATAGCTACTGAGAGAGTAGAATTGGTTATGATATAGAGTCACCGGCTTTACTGGCAGCTTTACCGTGTTGGGTTCCTATAACTAAATGTGGTTATTCTGTAGGAGCTGCTCCAATTGGAGGAAGATGTGACGCTCTTAGAAGAGATGTATCCTCAAGGAGAGAAGGTAAGAGGAGGAGATTTTAAAACCTTATCCATGCTCTTTGAGTTATTCAAATATTCATTTGCCTTGTGTTATTTTCAGGCAGAAACTGCGTGGGCTTTCACTGTACTCGGATACTTGGCCAAGTTTATTCTTGGAATCTTAGGGTTGGTATATTATAAGCAAATAATTTTCTTTATATTTTTTTGTGTTATGGCCTTAGTTTAGTGGCTAAATGTTATATAATTAATCATACATAGAAGTCTTGCATATTTATGTTTGCATCCTTAAGGTTCCTATCTAAGCCTCTTTTTGTATGGTAAATTTATATGTCTTTGTAGATTGATCGTCTCCATTGCTTGGGTTGCACACATCATCATATATCTGCTTGTCGACCCTCCTCTCTCCCCTTTTCTCAACGAAGTTTTTATCAAGCTTGATGACGTTTGGGGTAAGTTCATACCTCTGTTCTTGTTATGTTATTCGATGTAAGGTTTCTTCTTTGTCTGACTGGCTCTGTTGGTGTGTGCGGAATTGTCCAGGTCTTCTAGGCACTGCTGCCTTTGCTTTCTTCTGTTTCTACCTTCTACTTGCTGTGATCGCTGGGGCAATGATGCTGGGTTTAAAGCTGGTCTTCATTACCATACATCCGATGAAGTAATCCATCTAATAGTTGTAACAGCGTTTGGTTATTTTCCATGGTCATTTCCTTTTCCTTAATTTCCAATTGGCCATATCAACTTGTCTCAGATGGGGAGCTACTCTAATGAACTCTTTCCTCTTCAATGTCGGGCTCATTCTTCTTTGCTCCATCAGGTAGGTCTCTCTGATCTCTTCTTTTTCTGATTCTGTATTATCTCCCAACTAGGATACGATGGGATCTAGTTCACTCCGATTAAAAATTGGATCTTGGTCGTGTATTTACTTACATACATTTACTACCGTCACTAAATCTAATTGCCTTAATGGAAAATGCCTAAGTCGAAGTTTAGAATAAGTTGACTCATGTATTTCGTATATCTCTCATTCTCCAGCTGCTACTTATGCAATTACATGTTAACCCTGACAATCTAAATAACCGTGGCTATTTACAAATGCAGTGTGATTCAATTCTGTGCCACTGCATTTGGATATTACGCTCAAGCCACTGCTGCCCAGGAGATATTTGGCCACACATTGCAGTCCCTTCGGGGAATCAAGTATCTCTACAAGTAAGTAGTAAACGGTTTTAGCATATAGCAGTCTTTATGCTATAATATAACCATTTCTTGTGTTATTGAGAGAGGTCGACGTGGTATATCTCAGGTACAACGTGTTCCAAATCGGGTTTGTTATCCTGGCTGGACTTACCTTTCTATACTACATTGCCTTCGTAAGTCCCTACTTCATCTTTCATGTTACTCCCAGGTTTTGTCCTCTGTATGAATGTGTCTGAGGGATCAATGTTTTCTGGTAGGGATGGAGAAGAAAAAAACCAAGCGGCCGTTTCCAGCTCTCATCTTAAATGTGTAAACAGTTTTCTTTGTTTCATGATATTACCTTCACCGAATCTGATTGAGTGCTGTCGACAAAGTGTCCACTTATTTTCGGATCATCCATACCGGAACTACCTGGAGACTCTGCTTCTGCTTCTGAGGTTTTTTTTTTTTTTTTTGTGGTTTTCCCTGAATGTATTATTAATTTTTCTTGTGTAATCTTACTGTTTGGTTGTGCAACAGTTAGCTGTCCTGTCTTGGTCTATTGTACTGTTTCGGATGCGAGTTTATGTAATCATTTTTTTTTAATGAGAAGCCTTCATTTCACAAGACGTTGCCTTCAGGCTCTGCCATTGACGTCCTTGTGGTTTGAGATTAACATGTATTACTTCATTCTAACTAAAAAAATTTGGGTCTTCTCCGTTTATGAGATCTCTAACACTTGTCCGGTTTGTATTGAGTTTATCGAACCGGATTATCAAAATTTCAAAGATTGTAATGATTTTCTTATTTTAAATTTAAGCTTGGTCCAAATACAAAGTTTTCAAGGCGCGCACACTCACTCACACAGTGGACTTCCGTTAATGACATGTGCTGCTGAAGTGACAAGTGGCATTGTACAAGATTCGCCAAGAGCCTGTTTTGCCCAATCAGCTTACCTCATCTAAACTCCAAAGATTCTAGGATAACGCGAACTTTCCAATAGATAAGGCCGAACGTATTACCCACCGTCAGATGGATTTGATTCTCGATCCAACCGTCAAGAATCGATTCCTGAGATATCCAAGTTTCATCTCTCCCACACACATACGGCGACTTAAAAACGCTATTTGCTCGTGTCTTTACAGAAAAACATAAGCCGCAAAACGTGACAAACACAAACGACGACGGAGATGGCCGCCACATCAACCGCCGCTGCTGCTTCTTCGATCATGGGTACTCGGGTGGTTCCCGACATCCACTCCGGTTCAAGCCGGTTCACAGCTCGGTTCGGATTCGGAAAGAAGAAAGCCGCTCCCAAAAAGGCTAAGACGGTTATCTCAGACCGGCCTCTCTGGTTCCCAGGAGCTAAATCCCCCGAGTATCTCGACGGTTCGCTGGTCGGAGACTACGGTTTCGACCCTTTCGGTTTAGGCAAACCGGCAGAGTACCTCCAATTCGACCTGGACTCTCTGGACCAGAACTTAGCCAAGAACATAGCCGGAGACGTGATCGGGACCCGTACGGAAGCGGTCGACCCCAAATCGACGCCGTTCCAGCCGTACAGTGAGGTCTTCGGGATCCAGAGATTCAGAGAATGTGAGCTGATTCATGGTCGGTGGGCAATGCTCGCCACTCTCGGCGCTCTATCCGTCGAATGGCTCACCGGTGTTACTTGGCAAGACGCCGGCAAGGTATCTCCTCGTTCCGTCGCGTTTTACCAAAACGCGTTTGCATTTGCGTTTTGACAATGTGTGATTGTAATTTTTCGTACCAGGTAGAGCTAGTGGACGGATCGTCATACTTGGGACAGCCATTGCCATTCTCGATCTCGACTTTGATATGGATTGAAGTGTTAGTGATCGGTTACATCGAGTTCCAACGAAACGCTGAGCTGGACTCGGAGAAGCGATTGTATCCAGGAGGCAAGTTTTTCGACCCGCTTGGGCTAGCATCTGACCCGGAGAAGAAGGCTCAGCTTCAGCTAGCTGAGATCAAACACGCTCGTCTAGCCATGGTTGCGTTCTTGGGATTTGCGGTTCAGGCGGCTGCCACAGGTAAAGGACCGCTCAACAACTGGGCGACTCACCTTAGTGACCCACTTCACACCACCATCATTGATACCTTCTCTTCCTCATAATATGGCTTTAGCTTGTACTGTGTAATGCAAATGATGTAATCTCATCTTTTAAGAAAAATGTGGCACTTTTGTATAAACGGAGTTTTTTGAAACTCGCTGTTTGAGTTTTGAGTATCATCTAAGTAATGAGCCTTGACACCATATTCACTGTCTTGAAACTTGTGCGCTTGATCGATCACGTTAAGAACCACACAATGCAGAAATAAGAAAATAGACACAAAAGAACACCAAAAAGTGGATGATGTATTAACCAACCAAAAAAAAAAGGTTTGTTTTTCTTCTACAGAGTCGAAATAAGACGCGGGCTCAAACAGAGATTGCCTCGAGCAATAAAAACAATTTCCGAAAAACCCCTTAACCACTATCCCGCATCATTCGATAGAGGCAAGAGGAAGACCCGCAACTATTCTTTTGTCATTACGAAGAGAGCATGAGTCTCGCGATCATTCCTTGAGTCCAGTGGGCAGTGACCTTGAGCTCTTCATCCTCTGACTCGAGACACTCATTGAGGAACTCACCACAGAAGGTGAAGTTGCTGAATAACGGCTTCGTCTTCTCTCCCACAACATCTGCAAGATCGCCCATTGCTGCAACCGCGGCTTTCGTCACGCTCTCATCCCTGATCCCATTACAAATACACACTGCTGTAATCAGTTTCAAGTGCGCAATGAAACATAAAAAGATTATATATATATAAAGATTGATACGGACCTGAGGGAATCTTTGGATACGAGTTCAACAAACTGCAAGAGATGTTGAGCGTAGGGTATCATGAGCTCGGATTTCGCATCCTTGAACCCTTGAAGTATCCCAGAGTAAGCCTCAAAGATGCTTCTCCGGAGTTGGTTTGCGTAGTCCATAAGCTCCTCGTCGAGGGTGTCCATCTGGGCACACACCTGAGCAGCCCCTTGCATGATCTGAAGAGCTGGGCCAACGTACCTCTCAAAATTCGAACCAACCGCCAGAGCAATGTCTCCAAAGGATGAAAAAATCGGAGGTTTCACCGATCTGTGGAGTGCGTCACTCTGGAGGTTCTGGAGAAGCAGAGCCATGATCTGATCACAAAAAGGTAGGATTTTCTCATCCAGGGCACGGCAAATGTCACCAATCACTCCTACGGTGATTGAGCAGACTTGGTATTCCCCAAAATTCTGCAGCCCCATCTGGATATATTTGAAGAGCTCAGGCATGTATTTCACAAACTCAGCTCCAGTCGCATATGCAAGAGCGCCGATTGCGAGCATGGCTTCTTCGTGGACACTTGAACTGTGGCATCCAAACACTCTTAGGAACAGCAACATGATCTGATCTGCGTTCTGCATTATAATGGGTTTCGTCTCCTCCGTGTCGCTCAGCTTCTGGATTATGACCTGGAGAACACCACACAGAGAAGCCTGGAGTTCCGCTTGCTTCTCGCGGTCCTCAGTTGATACTACCTGCAGGTCCATCGTCTGACCTAATTTTGCCATGATGACTGGAAGGAGCTGCCCTATGATGTTCGAGGCCTCTGAAAGGTTTGAACACCGGACAACCTCGTTCAAGGTTTCATATGCCGCAGTTCTTAGCTTAGACTCTGCCCCATCTGTACGCTCAGCAGCTGCAAGCAGATGTTTGATGATCTCTGTAAGATAGGGAGAGAGAAGTGAGGAACTTGCACCAGAGTCTTCGTATCCCTGGGCAAGGTTGTATATCGCTCCACAGGCCTTCTCGGCCACATTTGGCACATCTTTAACCGATTCCAGTAATACACTCACAATTCTAGGGAGGTTCTCTGGTGATATGACAGAGAAGCCACTGTCTGGGCTGTGCAAAAACTCAAAGATACGGCTCAGAGTCCAAGCAGTTGTGTCCCTGACGTGGTTGTTCTCATCCTTGGTTGCGGTCAGGAGAAATTCCAAGCCGGCAGCAACCATCGGGGCAAGCTTGTCAATTGTTGGTCCCTCCAAAATTGAGCCAAAAGCATAAGTGGCGGCCTCCCGGCTTCGCCAGTGCGGCTTCCTTATGTTGGTTTCAACAAAAGGCATCACAAGAGGGACTATACCGTCTCCAACCGTTCTGGCAACGAGGCCAAGGCATGTCCCGCCAGCCATAGATATGTTCCAGACATCATCGTCATGATCCTGATCCTCTTCCTGCTTCTCCAGAGTTTCTAGCAACATGGGAGCTAAATGGGGAAGAGCCTTCTCTATGAAAGAGGAGTGTGGAGGGGATGAGTCACCAGTATCAGGACTGTCATATTCTTGACGGTCAATCTCTTCATCACAGATGGTGCTCCAGAACTCAACTGCCTGGAGGGCGACGCTCTCTTCATCTCCCTTCACAGCATTTGATGTGAGCTGGAAGAGTGTTTCCATGTATTGCTCCAAGACCTCGTAGTATGTCGACGCAATGGACACAAGGCACTCGAAAGCAGCTTGTCTGATCCCTGCCTCCTTGGAGCATGCCGTCTCGCATACCATCTTCATGATGTAAGTTCTCTCCATTTCATTCTCGAAATTTGTCTGGGAAAAATCAAGGGCATTCAACAGCGCCTTTGTAGCTGCAAGGCGGACTTCTGCAGTGTTTTCGGACTGGTTCATGCCCTGAACAACAGCTGTGAGGACAGAATTCACTTCATCTTGCGCAAGATCATGATGCGATATCTCTTCACAGACATAGCCTAGAGTCTCTAAAGTTGACTGCTTCAAGTGTGCGGGACTGCCTTGCTGGGTCATATTGGTAAGCAGTGATCCAACAAGTTCAGGCCACTGCTTCTGAGGAATTTCAATGGAGGCTACCTTTGCAATAACCTGAGCTGAAGTGTGACTCGCCTCTGGGGCAGATGAACCGAGGGTTCTTAGTAACAGTTCCTTGATCTGGGATTTAAGAGCAACGTCAATCGCAAACCATTGTTTCACCATAACATCTTTTCTGGCAGACTCTTTGGCGTCTAGAGAGTTCTTAAGCAAAATACCAGCTAGCCGACGGGATTCAGAAGGTTTATCGTTGTTGGCAAGCTCAAAAGAAAGAGATAACAAATACTGCGGCAAGTTCTGTTCTTGGAATTGCCTGAGGCTACCCTCTGCTTCAGTACGAACTCTCGCATCGGGTGACTGGGCAGCCAGTAGGAACTGAGTGATCTCCATCGCCATTGTTCACTCTGCACAACAAGAAAAATACACCAGCATCAGCGACGAAACACTAGCAGTAGAACAAAGACAGTACCACTTTCTAAAAAAAGTAAAAGCCACAAAGCAAAGTATTTGGTATATAATAACTACAGAAGGCATATAATACTAAACAAACCGTGCAGAGGTTCAAATCAGATAGCACAAACCAGAGTAAGCTTAAAGAGTTTGCACACAAGTAGATACTAAAAATATCCACATTCCGAAAAAAAATATAGGAGAAATCTGCCCTGTGTAAAAAAAAGGAAATCATTGTTCCCAAAATAAAATCCGAACCAAATTTGACACTAAGATTTTCACTGAACTTGGAAAAAATAGCTAATGGCCCTAGTCGTGAAGCACCAGTTTTACACCTACGGAAGGCGAATACAAAATAAGTGGCAATCACTGCGAGCGACTGAGTAACCAACAAAGCTAAAAACCCTAGTATCAGTGACCCAAGACGTAATCAGAAATCAAAGATTCATTAGCAGATATGCAAACCCAGAGCTTAATACACAGGAGGAGCAAGAGGCTTACAAGGAAATTAAGGTTCTCCGCTTGAGTAACCGCGTAAGAGCTAGGGTTTCTCGCTCCAATCCAAACCTCGCGTCCCTCTCACTATCGAAGAAAAATCTTCCCCAATCCGCCGCTCGAGCAGAGCAGAAGAACAAAAAACCCTAATAGTATCAGAGAAAGAGAGAGAGAGAGAGAGTCGAGTTGGGAAAATCGAAGGAGACAGATACGAGAGACTGAGAAAACAAAAAATTCGAATAGAAAGAAGAAGCGGGTGGGGAAGGGAAAATTGGGTTTTAGTCTCAAATAACTCAAATGTTGTCCCGAAATAGTTAACAATTTCCAAACGACTGATGCATGTACACAGGAGCAATTAGTATGATTGATTGATTGATTATATACAAACTAGGCGCGATTCGATACATGTACCACATGATTAATTAATATTGATTTGTGTAATACTACTATTAATCTCAACTATTAAACAAAATACTAAAAGAGTAAAGAGAGTTAATCACAAACGACTGATGCATGTACAACTGACAGGAGCAATTAGTATTGATTATATACAACTAAGCACGAATCGATACATCATCCTAAAGAATCCTAAAGAATGAAGTTGAAAATCTGTAATTGCCATGTTTGTGCCGGATTATTTATCAAACAAACAAAAAAAGTTTACAACAAATATTTTATCAAATTAATTCGAGATTAATTCGAGACACAAATATGGTTGCATTAAAAATGATTTTGGTTTATAGTGTAAAAATATTGCTATCGTTCGATATGTATGTTTGTCTATTTAATCTTATATGTGCCCGTCTCCGAGAATTAGCATGAATCAAATGGATTGTTACATATATGTAAAACAAAACAAAAAAAATGAATCGATATCTTAATCGTTATTTGTGTATGAGATGTATCAAAGAATGACTATTCTGGTATGTAATTTTTACTCATCAAAGGAGATGTGCGTCTAATATGTTCATACTATTTTTGAAACGCAAAGTACTATTTTTATGAATCAATTCAGAAGGACATATACTTTTTTATTATTATTTAGAAGGACGTATACAGATATACTTATTGGAAATCAAACTATGTATAACACAATATGAAATGATGTCACGAAGTTTTGTTTAGTAGCAAGACTAGAGTTTATCGAAGATATACAGTAAACAAGGACAACATAAAGTTGATAAGAAACGGTTTATTGTGGGTCTAGGTGCGATTTGGAGTTACTATTTAATTGCTATTTGCTACTATTATACTTGTTGTATCTAGTGATAATGCCATCGGTTTATTTTTAAATATGGAAGACAAAAGGTAGACGATGATCGGCCAAATATGATGGTCAAACTTAGGGAACATGATGGATTTGCGAATGTCGTCAAAGAATGACTCGTTTTCCGATTTGACAATTTTTGGCATAGTTCAGTCAAATTCTTGAGATAGTGGTGGTTTTGAACATTTTTTTTTTTTTTTTTTTTTTACCAAAATCATAGTACAGCATTTTTGATAAAAAAAATCATATATTATAGTGAGACATAAAAACTCATTTGAAATGCTGAGGATCTATGAGATGTTTTTAAACATATAGTTTATCTAGAATATATAAACTCAATACTACCGATTTAAAAGAATTAGACAAAAAAAAATAAAAAAAAAATCTTTAAACACATAGTGAACATGGGCAAAGTGTAGTTTTACACTACTAGAAGTTACATGTTGAAGACAAAAAATAGATGATGATCAGCCAAAGGTGATGGTCAAACTTAAGGAACATGATGGATTTTGTGAATGTCGTCAGGATTTAAACAAAAAAATTTTGTTTACCAAAATCATAGTAGAATTTTATTTTATTTTATTCATATGTTATAGTGAGACATACAAAAGTTATTTCGAATGTATGAAATACTTATAGACACATAGTTTTACAGGGTCCAAGTGTAGATTTAAACTAGAAGTTAGTTACTAATTCACAGTTTTTAGAAGGCTTCCATCGTTACATGTTTGTATAAAACGTATTTGAATTATATGTATTTTTAAATTAAGTACATTAATTTGATCAAAATAACATAATATTCTGAAGACTAAATTCTTAATTTCACGTTTTTCTGAGCATATGTTCGTAATCATACTCAATTCATCACAACTTCAGCAATATGAAAGTGACATTGCAAATTTAGAACATCTCTGTAAATAACATCTACTGAGATGCTCTCTGACTCCAAAGGGAGCAGGAGAGACTCCAAAGGGAGTAGGAGTTGTGAAGGGTATTGAAAAGTTTAGGGGTATATGTGAAATGAATTAAAGTGTTTATGGGGGGATTTAGAAATATAGTGTTTTTAGCTTTTTGCGTTGCCCTTCCCCACCCGCTTCTTCTTTATATTCGAAATTACCGTTCTCAGTCTCATATCGGTCTCCTTCCTCATATTCAAGTCGACTCTCTCTCTCACCCTCTCACAGTCTCTCTCTCCTCTGCTACTCTAGGGTTTTTCTGATCCAGAGGTTTATCCCCCTGCTCGAGCGCCGCTTTCGGGGCGATTTTGGTAGCTAGCATTTGTAGCGAGAGGGACGCGGGGTTTGGACTGTAGCGAAAAAACCCTAGCTCTTACGCGTTTACCCAAGCGAAATCCCACAATTTCCATGTAAATCTCTCGCTCTCTGTATTCAGTTTTGGATTTGCATCTGTTAGTAGATCTATGATTTCTGATTAGATTTTGGGTCGCTACTGCTAGGGTTTTTCTAGCTCTGGTTGGTTAGTGCTCGCAGTGATTTTGCTATTTTTTTTTTTTTTTTGTTTTCGCTCTTTGACGCTTTCTGTAGCAATAGAACTGGTGCTTCATCACTAGGGGCATAAGCTATTTTTTTTCATCGGACCAATGATTTGCTGTGGTTGTGGTTGTTAATCCACAGAGAGCGGATGTTCTCCTATAGTATCTCAGAGTAGACCTATCTTTAGTATTGGCTTATGTTGCCTGCTCTTGTTTGTGCTATCTGATTTGAGCCTGTGGACGATTTGTCTAGTAGTATTGCCTTCCATACTTATACCAAATACTTTGTTCAGTAGATATTGCCTTTTTACCACTGTTTCGTCGCTGATTCTGGTGTATTTTTCTTGTTGTGCAGAGTGAACAATGGCGATGGAGATCACTCAGTTCCTACTGGCTGCCCAGTCACCCGATGCGAGAGTCCGTACTGAAGCAGAGGGTAGCCTCAGGCAATTCCAAGAACAGAACTTGCCGCAGTATTTGTTATCCCTTTCTTTTGAGCTTGCCAACAACGATAAGCCTTCTGAATCCCGTCGGCTAGCTGGTATTTTGCTTAAGAACTCTCTAGACGCCAAAGAGTCTGCCAGAAAAGATGTTATGGTGAAACAATGGTTTGCGATTGACGTTGCTCTTAAATCCCAGATCAAGGAACTGTTACTAAGAACCCTCGGTTCATCTGCCCCAGAGGCGAGTCACACTTCAGCTCAGGTTATTGCAAAGGTAGCCTCCATTGAAATTCCTCAGAAGCAGTGGCCTGAACTTGTTGGATCACTGCTTACCAATATGACTCAGCAAGGCAGTCCCGCACACTTGAAGCAGTCAACCTTAGAGACTCTAGGCTATGTCTGTGAAGAGATATCGCATCATGATCTTGCGCAAGATGAAGTGAATTCTGTCCTCACAGCTGTTGTTCAAGGCATGAACCAGACTGAAAACACTGCAGAAGTCCGCCTTGCAGCAACAAAGGCGCTGTTGAACGCCCTTGATTTTTCCCAGACAAATTTCGAGAATGAAATGGAGAGAACTTACATCATGAAGATGGTATGCGAGACGGCATGCTCCAAGGAGGCAGGGATCAGGCAAGCTGCTTTCGAGTGCCTTGTGTCCATTGCGTCGACATACTACGAGGTCTTGGAGCAATACATGGAAACACTCTTCCAGCTCACATCAAATGCTGTGAAGGGAGATGAAGAGAGCGTCGCCCTCCAGGCAGTTGAGTTCTGGAGCACCATCTGTGATGAAGAGATTGACCGTCAAGAATATGACAGTCCTGATACTGGTGACTCATCCCCTCCACACTCCTCTTTCATAGAGAAGGCTCTTCCCCATTTAGCTCCCATGTTGCTAGAAACTCTGGAGAAGCAGGAAGAGGATCAGGATCATGACGATGATGTCTGGAACATATCTATGGCTGGCGGGACATGCCTTGGCCTCGTTGCCAGAACGGTTGGAGACGGTATAGTCCCTCTTGTGATGCCTTTTGTTGAAACCAACATAAGGAAGCCGAACTGGCGAAGCCGGGAGGCCGCCACTTATGCTTTTGGCTCAATTTTGGAGGGACCAACAATTGACAAGCTTGCCCCGATGGTTGCTGCCGGCTTGGAATTTCTCCTGACCGCAACCAAGGATGAGAAACAACCACGTCAGGGACACAACTGCTTGGACTCTGAGCCGTATCTTTGAGTTTTTGCACAGCCCAGACAGTGGCTTCTCTGTCATATCACCAGAGAACCTCCCTAGAATTGTGAGTGTATTACTGGAATCGGTTAAAGATGTGCCAAATGTGGCCGAGAAGGCCTGTGGAGCGATATACAACCTTGCTCAGGGATACGAAGACTCTGGTGCAAGTTCCTCACTTCTCTCTCCCTATCTTACAGAGATCATCAAACATCTGCTTGCAGCTGCTGAGCGTACAGATGGGGCAGAGTCTAAGCTAAGAACTGCGGCATATGAAACCTTGAACGAGGTTGTCCGGTGTTCAAACCTTTCAGAGGCCTCGAACATCATAGGGCAGCTCCTCCCTGTCATCATGTCAAAATTAGGTCAGACGATGGACCTGCAGGTAGTATCAACTGAGGACCGCGAGAAGCAAGCGGAACTCCAGGCTTCTCTGTGTGGTGTTCTCCAGGTCATAATCCAGAAGCTGAGCGACAAGGAGGAGACGAAACCCATCATAATGCAGAACGCAGATCAGATCATGTTGCTGTTCCTAAGAGTGTTTGGATGCCACAGTTCAAGTGTCCACGAAGAAGCCATGCTCGCAATCGGCGCTCTTGCATATGCGACTGGAGCTGAGTTTGTGAAGTACATGCCTGAGCTCTTCAAGTATCTCCAGATGGGGCTGCAGAATTTTGGGGAATACCAAGTCTGCTCAATCACCGTAGGAGTGATTGGTGACATTTGCCGTGCCCTGGATGAGAAAATCCTACCTTTTTGTGATCAGATCATGGCTCTGCTTCTCCAGAACCTCCAGAGTGACGCACTCCACAGATCGGTGAAACCTCCGATTTTTTCATCCTTTGGAGACATTGCTCTGGCGGTTGGTTCGAATTTTGAGAGGTACGTTGGCCCAGCTCTTCAGATCATGCAAGGGGCTGCTCAGGTGTGTGCCCAGATGGACACCCTCGACGAGGAGCTTATGGACTACGCAAACCAACTCCGGAGAAGCATCTTTGAGGCTTACTCTGGGATACTTCAAGGGTTCAAGGATGCGAAATCCGAGCTCATGATGCCCTACGCTCAACATCTCTTGCAGTTTGTTGAACTCGTATCCAAGGATTCTCTCAGGTCCTTATCGATCTTTATATATATATAATCTTCTTTTTATGTTTCATTGCGCACTTGAAACTGATTACAGCAGTGTGTATTTGTAATGGGATCAGGGATGAGAGCGTGACGAAAGCCGCGGTTGCAGCAATGGGCGATCTTGCAGATGTTGTGGGAGAGAAGACGAAGCCGTTGTTCAACAACTTCACTTTCTGTGGTGAGTTCCTCAATGAGTGTCTCGAGTCAGAGGATGAAGATCTCAAGGTCACTGCTCGCTGGACTCAAGGAATGATCGCAAGACTCATGCTCTCTTCGTAATAATAAGCATCCAAGTCTCTCTCTCTTAAAAGTTAAAAAAAGAATCATTACGGGTCTTCTTTCCTCTTTCTCTCTATCGAATGATGTGAATAGAGCGGTTGAGGGGATTTTGGGTGGTGGGAAAAATATATTTTTATTGCTCTCAGGCTGTGACTTATTTTGTTTCTCCTGTACGACTCGAGGCAAACTTTTTTTTTTTTTTTGGTTAATGCATCATCATCCACTTATCGGTGGTCGCTTTTGAATCGACTGGATCTGCATTATTTGTTTAGCTTCAGTTTTGCCGAGCATTGAGCTGGATTTGGAACATGGTAAATAGTAGTGGAACTTGCTGTCAAATGTATTAATCGGGGGTGGAAATCATAAATATCTAAAATTATCGATGCGTAAAGTCTATACTAGCCTAATGGGCAAATTCAATGGAGACTAAATGGGCCTCTTGAACCAAATGGGCTTTTAATCCAACAGTATGGTGTTTTTGTTAAATACGTGCGCAAACCATGCCGTTTTGTTATAAACGGTACCGTTCACTTGTAAAACCTCGTTGTTCCTAAAACCTCTTTGTACCTTTTAGATTTTGAGAAGTCGAGTGAAAATTCAGTCGTCAATGGCGTCTGCTTTGTGTAAAACTGCAAGGCGTCTTCGTCCCTTCCAAATTTGTCGTCGAATTCGCGTCTCAAGCGATCTACTGACTCCATCGTCGCCATCTCCGGCGTGCATCTCGGACGCGTTTCGTCATGGAGATTTCTCTTTTCCGCGATCGGTTCGGCATTTTCTTATCATTTTTCATTTTCTAAATCTGTTTGGCTCCAGCTCCATAATCTCCATGTTTGTTTTGCAGTTTTCTACACTTAACTGTGGAATCGAAAGGTTGAAAATGGATCAGAGATGTTTGCTGAGCACTTCTGCCTCTGATTCCACATCTAAGCCGAGCTCAGGTAATCCGGAAACAAAATCTTCCGGTGAAAATGAGAAATCCGGAGGATCAGAGAGCTCAGATGGCGGTTCCGATCAGAAAAACGACCGTGCTTCCGGAAAAGACGTTCGCGGAGCGGTAAGCACTCTTTTCCTTTTTGATACGTGAACATTTCTCTTGTAACCAAATAACTTCAGAGATTGCGTAATTGATGCGATCCAACAATTTCAAGAGTTAAATTACGTCTCTGGACTTTATGATGTTTAATTTTGGGAAATTTTGATATTTACAGCCCGTTTCATGGATGAGCTTTTTCTTGTTGTTTGCTACTGGAGCTGGATTGGTCTTCTATTATGATAGGGAAAAGAAACGTCATATCGAAGGTACTCATCTATGGTGAGTTTATCTTTTAACATATCGAAAACATAAACGTAATCAGAACTTGAATACATGGTTTCTAGCTTTTTGTGCGTATGCCTTAGCTCAATTAAACTACTGATCTGGCTAGTGAGAAACTTGAGATGGTAAAGGAACCGATCACTTTCAATCACTGAGTAAATGCTTAGTGATATCTCATCGACTAGTGGTGAACTCCAAATTCATAAACAATCTTATTGCTTTTCTCTATTCTTCTTTGTATATTGACTGGGGTTTCTTGTTGGCTTAGATATAAATACCAATTCTAAAGCCGTCAAGGAGGGACCGTCTGCTGGAAAAGCAGCCATTGGAGGACCATTCAGCCTTATAAGAGACGATGGGAAACGTATTACGGAGAAAGACTTGATGGGAAAATGGACCATCTTATACTTTGGGTTCACTCATTGTCCTGATATCTGTCCTGACGAGCTTATTAAGCTAGCTGCAGCCATTGACAAAATAAGTGAGTTGCCGACAGTTTTTTCATTTGTGTGGTTGCACTTCGGATATAGTTTTTCCTAAACTGTTTTCTCACATTTACAGAGGAAAAGTCCGGCGTAGACGTGGTGCCGGTGTTTATCTCTGTGGATCCTGAACGAGACACAGTTCAGCAAGTACATGAATATGTGAAAGGTAAGATATTTTCTTAACTCCGCAAGATTCTTTTGGTTTCTGAATTGGGAATTCATCAGTTTGATATTTCTGGTAGAATTTCATCCGAAATTGGTCGGGTTAACCGGAAGCCCTGAAGAAATCAAATCGGTGGCCCGTTCTTACCGAGTTTACTACATGAAGACAGAAGAGGAAGATTCAGACTATCTTGTTGATCACTCTATTGTCATGTACGTCTACTTATTATCCCTTTACATATTTTTTTCGTTGGGACGCTTATAATTATCAGCACAAAAATCGATATGCAGATCTACTTAGGCAATAGAAAATCGTATCTATTCTCAATTTTAGGATTTACACAGTTACTGTCAGTGTAATGATGTATACGTCTCTGTAGTGTTTGATATTGTTTTAATCTGCTGGGTCGAGTTTTAATATAAAAACATATGGTGGGTGAAGGTACTTGATGAGCCCGGAGATGAATTTTGTGAAATTCTACGGGAAGAATCACGATGTTGACTCGTTGACCGACGGCGTTGTAAAAGAGATTCGACAGTACCGGAAGTGAAGAGCCTTGAAGAACATTTAGAGAAAAAGGTGATTTAATATTACATAATTCACATTTTGTATTTCTTGGTCATCAGTCATCATTAATAAGAATTTCTTAGTACACGGAGCCTGTGTTTCCTTGGAAAAGAAGATCAGTTTTTGTTTCAGTCGATCTTGCCCACGACAATATCCATATTATAAGGGGCTCAACATTGAGACATTTGTATGGTTAAACGATGTCTGATTAATTTGATCCACCCATATGGGCTTTTAACGCCTTAAAGTCTATAATTTGCACTGAAATGTTCTTTAATATATAGCATTTATTTTGAGGCCACCTCTTACAAAGTGTATACAAAGTCTTGATGAAAAAGAATTACACGACCAAGGCGGAAGAAACTAGAATACGTGAGATGTGCAACAGCTTGTTGGAGCAAACTTTATGAACGACGGCATGGATATTCTCCATCGACGGAATAATGAAACCAAAATTTTGGAAATTGTTCTTAATTGATAGTAATACATGAAGAAGAGAGTTGAAAAGTGAAGAATGAAACTAAAACTCCGACCTTTTCCTTCGTATATAGAAAGACACGGATACATCCTAAAGATTTCCCTAATTTTGGACTCGCTCACCTATTTTGGTTTTGCTTTTGAAACATTAGGACGAGAACGTTGTATAGAAAGAATGAATTGTCATAATAAACTCAAGCAGAGGAAAGCAAAAACAAAAAAGAGAGTTGTTATAGCGACGCATCCTTTTGTCCTTGTAGGGCAAAAATCGCACTGGGAGTTAAAACAGACGCACCTCACCAAAGATATATACAAACCGCCAAGGTTGCAGAGGACACAATGCAACACGCGCGCCTATGTGACACACCCATAAAAATCCGTAAGGGCAAAGACCAGAAAACCTCACTCACCTGAACATGTATATGAAGTGGCGAGTCAGATCAAATGGCGGAGAACTGTCTATTAAAAGACAGTGAGAAGGATAAAATACGTGGGATTAGAAACTCACTTGGATACTGCTTGCTCTGTAAGTGATAAGGAAACCGACAGTGAAAAGGTAAAAGACATTTAATCACGGTAGCTTTAAGGCTTGCTTCACTTGTGAAAGTGCTGATGGGTGCATCATACTAATGGCAGAATTAAAGGCATCTCCATGAAGTGTGGAACATGTCTGGAGGTTCTCACGCACTGAGTTCTCCAGTGACATCTGGTAGATCGGATCCGAAACTTTGATCTTAACAAAGATCAGACCCCCATCAAAACAATATAATACAGTGTTAAAATCAGTGGTTTTGTTTAAAAGCTGGTTCGTTAAGACAACCAAAAAAAGGGATTATCGACTTTTTACCTGACTTTTCCGTAACTCTTTGCTAGGTGGGGCTTCTTCTCCTTGAGACCTGCTTGAGCTCATGTCACCGCTGGAATTATACATTGTATGTCTTTAGATAATAAGTACTCCATTGTTAAATAACAAATCACAACACTTGCTTGAAATTGATTTACTTCTGCTAGCAAATACATAAATTCTTAATATAACCTTGATTCTTCTTCTGTTAGATCTTTATCTCCACCAAGGATCACACTCGTACATGTACTGTTTCCAGAAACACGATCCATTATGTAACATCGATACATAAATTAAGTTGTCAATATTTGATTGTGCAAGCGTGTACCTTAGTATTTGATCAAGCTTGTCAAGAACTTGAGGCATTCTAAGTGTAAGTATTATGGAAAGAGCCAAGCCAAATGTCTTTTTTTGCATGGGAGACGCATGATCCACCTGCACACGAGAAGATGTAACAACAAAATGAAATGAGTCGGATCATACGCATTGCAACATGTAGAGCAGTTTGAAACTAGCTATTTCTTAGGACTAAAAAAGGAGGACTATTTAACCGCATGCCCATTGTAAAACAAGTTAAAGTTCCACAACGCAGTTTAAACAGCCAGTTATTGGTAAAGAATAAGATACGTTCTACACTGACCTTGTCAAGCCAAATGTCGATGAGGGAAAGGAGTACGTTGTCTTCGATCGTGGCCCCTGCTTGTTGGAGTAACACTGAGAGAGATGATTCCGATGTTAACTGGGCCAAGTATGTGGTGTTCATCACCAGAATCCTTGCTAGGATAGCAGCTGAAGACACTGTGACTGCAGTCTTAGATGGATCTCGATCATCTCCTCCACTCAAGCAAACAATCACCAGTTTCTGGGAGACACCAACAGACCAACTCCATCAAATAATTTAAGGAAGAATATGAATCTTTCATCAATCAAAAATAAAACCTACAAATTCACCTGCAAACAGCTGCTTATGAGAGGGGGCACTTCCACAGGGAAACACTGTTCAAAACAAGAGCAAATGTTCATATCAAGAAGTTGTTATTTGTCGAAACTTTCATGCATATACTCATATAAGCAGTCATCACTACATTGTAATGATGCCATAAAAGTTCCATCCCTGGTCAAGTTACGTATACAAAGGCTATGTGATTAAATAACTGCAGTGTAAATACAAACTTAACAGAAGAATAAATCTCTTTTGAGCACAACACCATTACAAAATTGCTACGCCCAACTGAATATGGCTACAGAAGTCTTTGGGAGAACATAGATTCATTGCTTAAAATCAAAGACTTTGTGAAGAACAAAGGGGTAGCTGACAGACTTATATACGTGAAAAAGGGCTTCAATATGATAAATGAAATCAATTTTATGCTGTAATTGTCAATCAATGATAATTGATAAATCATGAAATTCATAAAAATTTGTTGCCTGTCAGCACAGATTGGGAAATGAGAAGCTATACGCACCTGAACTAAGATGTCAATCACTGGAAGAATCGAGAGTAACCCCTTATCATTCACATTTCCAACAATAAGATCAAGAATCTTTGCGACACTTGAAGCATGCATATTAAGAAATTCCCCTCCATCCAAAATGATGTATGATTCCATGATACTGACAGCAACCTTTTTTGGTTAAGATGTTAGTGAAAATTTTCGGGAGCATATAGTCAATTTAAATATGTCATAAGGTATCATTAAAACAACATATTTTAGTGGATCTGAGCACACATATATTAATGAATGAATCAAAACGCCCACTCCTTGAGAGCTTTAAACGCTAACCTGTAAATGATCAAAACTTCTTTCAATGATCTCCACCATATAGGGAAAGCATGCTAATAGCTGGGGCACCATCATTGGTGCATAGGAAAGTGTAGTTTCCCATAACTGCATATGTAATGCATTGTCATTTTAATATAGCACATCTGTATTAGCAGAAAAGAAAGGTATACATCTTATAAAGTGGAAACTTACTGCCATGCTATCCTCCAGAAGGTTGAGGGCATCAGGGCTATTTATGTCGATGCCCTTTTGGAGTATTGGGAGCAGTATGCTATAGCAAATTGGAGACTGATAACCAAGCGCAATCACAAAATTACGCAGTGCAACAAGAAGCTGAATCTGTAGAAGGCTTTCACCAGAAGACTCCTCCCAAACCTGTTCTTCAGTCAAGCACATAGATATTAAGATATCATTTGCGCACCAAGACAAGAATAAACAAATACAGAAAGAGTGCTATTATACCTTCTGGAAAAATTGCACCAACTTTTGTGCGTACGGAATGACTTCACTAACATGGCCAATAAGAATAGAAATCAAGTTCAGAACTTGAACCTGAGATAAAAGAAAGTATAGTTAGATGGAAAGATAGAGAGACATATTAATCACTGGAGGAAGTAGAATGTCAAGAATGGAGTGCTAGAATATAACGAACTTGAGACAGCAACATCATGTACCTTCGAATCAAACTCTTGAACTTCCTCAACCATTTTGAAACATGATTCCCAACAGATTGGAAGAAGATCGATAAAATTTTGCTCCGAAAAGTTTGCATCCTCAACGTGCAAGCATAATGACCTACTAGCTGCCAGCTACATAAGTAAACAAACAATCTCAGCGGCAGCCAAAAAAACAAAAAGGGGAAGAAAATGCGACCTTAGTGCAAGACAGAAAGATGAAAGCAACAAAGATGAGATAGGATGAGACTACCTTGACAGCGAGGTCATTGTCTTGCAACAATTTGATCAAAGAACAATAAACTGCTCTTTTTGTGTCATCTTTAATCTGAAAGGTTGTTAGCATCAACCATAAACCAGTCAACATATTTTCAACCAAAAATATAATTAACAGAAAACTGTGGTAGAGGAGAACAATAATCCACCGGGTAAGTAGCCTTCAGAACACCCAAAGACTGGTTTTAGATGATTATTCATCAATAACTCAACTTATTCGGACAAACTATTACGTCATTTTGCATACTATAGTGCAACGATAAGATGCATTTTTACAAAAGATAAAATGCAATTTCCTCTAAAGCCTTGTCATGATTAGCTGCATAAAACAGTAAAGCCGGAGTAAAACAACACTACCTCTGAAACCCAATGTCCCAATATCATAGCAACTTTTCGGTGGATAATACGCCTATTTGGATGGTCATTTGACAGCTCAAGGGATAGTGCACCATTAAACCTGCAGCCAAATCATCCGATCATTAAGAAGGGCACATTATTTACTTGACTAATTAAAAAAAAAAATTGTCATCCTGCTGAATGGCAATAAGAAGGTTGAGTTAGGAATCACAGACCCATGTTAAGAAGAGATGAAGAAAGTCTAGACATTAGAAGATCAAGAGCATACCAATCTCTGAAATTAAGATAATTTGAGAGCTCATAGTAGACATATGCAGTAGCAGCATATGCTGCATCTTTAAGAAGCAGTGCCGGATTTATTTCAGTAACAGAAGGGGGACAATTATTCATTGCCTCTTGAAGGATGGACACAACAACAGGTCCTAAGAGCTGTTCACAATGATGGAAACAGAAAAAGTAAGCATCCGTTTATATCAACTAGCATATTCTTGTCTCTTATGTTTGGGGGTTAAATTAGCAGACTTCTTTTCTCTTATTTTTTGAGGTTAAATTTAGCAAACTTCTTTTCAGAACAGGATGAAGTGCTTAAGCCAATGTGCTACTTACTTGGCTGTAGTTCTCAAACAAAACCATATATAGAGCTTCCGCACAAGGCCTCAATTTCTCGGACCACTGAATCATGTCCTGCTCATGATGAAAGGACTCAGGGTTCTGGTACCACTCTTCTAGGTCACTTGCTGTTAGGACAAAATACCTGTTGGAATGTTGATGACTAAATTTCAGCAAACGATTTATCTCAAGCATCATTCATACGACTATTAGAAAGTGGACTGTATGGAGGTAGGAATACATAATAGCATCACAGTTTACACCAAAACAAATAAATTGATACATGCAATATTTTTCAAACTACATCCACGAGGCCCCTACAGTAACAATCCCATTTCATCTATCCCATGCACGTCACGTAACTTATCTTTAATTTTACATAGCTGAGTATGACCATACAATAATGATATCCTTATAAGTCCACGGTGAAGAGACTGAGAACAAAGATACATAGATGTACAGCAATAAGATCATTATGTGTCTATAAGATTTCCCCACCTCATATTTTGTTTTGGACTTCGCATTGGTAATTAATATTTCTCTACTTTCAAGTTACCTCAATAAAACCAAGGCATGAAATGATAATTTGGATTCACATATTCTATCGTTGGTTAGAGTGTTACCTTCTCACAAGTATGTTGCACAATAGAACTATCCTTTCATTGGGTAAAAGTGAAGACACAATGCCACCAACTGTGTTTGAAGCATTCTTCTTCCGTTGCTCAAATGTAACACCATTTTCATCCATCACGCGACCAGTTAAGCTAGGCTTATATTCTTTACATTCAAGCACAGATTTCACCATGACCATACACTGAATTAAAAATTCATCAAACGGCAACGATGCCTGTTCAGGGTCTGTTATCTTGTTTAAGCAGAAATCCACTACGACTGGAAGAACGCATTTATCACCAAACGAATAAGGATGCCTGCTTTGAATTGCGCCTAACACTTTCATCAGCTTGACACATGCCTTCTTTACAAACTTCCAGAATTTAGGATCTCGATTCTGAAAAGATGAATCTGCATGAAAACTCCAAACAAGTTAGCAAAAGCATATATATGTGGAGTGACAGGTTGAAGCAAGGAAACGGATGGAAAAAAAAAAGTCCTCTTTGCTACAGACCTCTAGGTGCTTTAATCATATGCATGAAAGAAAAAAGAGTGTCCAAAAGCTAAAAACAAACTCACAATATGGAAGAAACGATTGAACCGCATTCAAGAGCACAGGAGAGACTTCTTTGACTTGTTGAATCTCCTGAGAGAAAAGAGTTAGCTGTATATCATATATATGCATGGAAGGCATGTGCCCGAGAACAAGAATTCTATATTCCGAAATAGTTAATCAATCTATTAAGTTTATGATTTCAGCTTAACTATCGGAAGATAGTAGAAGAAATGAGGGGCAACGGAACACATATTCGGTGAAAATATACCACTGGTTCATAGAAGGAAGATAGCTGCAGGTGGATGTCATAATGACCTATAAAGTGTCAAGGGGAAGCATAGCGTATCTACCTGAATAGTTCTGGCATCGCTTTGAAATCCTGAAATTATGAGTTGGCGCACTATTTTCAAGCATAAAAACCACCTTTCACAAGTCAGAAAAAGCTCATCGTGATGCTGTTCGGCACTATTTGAACCATAGCTCTGAGCCATTGTTGAAAAGCCATGTAGAATTGTTTGGACATCAGTTTGCCAAAGGTGCCAACTAAAGTCAAAGAGTTGCGACGAGATCTGCAAACAAATTAAACTGGACCTTATCCTTTACTAAAGCAAAAAACCAAGCTTTGGTCCACAATCATTTCATGCAAGAAGAGAAATGAAATTGACAAGGGGGCAAAAAATAGTAGCAGACACACCTCGGCGAAAGTTCTCTGATCTGCTGTGAGACGTTTAGTGGACAATTCCTTTAAGGTTCGAAAAAGAATCATAAAGATTCTGTGAGAAGCAAGAACGTCAGCTGAGTGAAGCTGTTGCGCCAGCACCGAAAAGAGATCAGGCCTGACATCATGAAGCACGAAGAAACCATTTATGGTTCAAAAAGAATCAATGCAAAAACTCAGCAAATCAAGGATAAATACTGTCATCAGTTAATATGAATTATGAAATGAAAATGCTTACCATTCCCTAGGATAATCAAAGCGGGCTATCTTTGATATGAGAACAGCCAACATTTCCGCTATCTGCCATTTAAATCAAATAAAGTCAGATAGATACATATGCTTACACGATATATGTCTTACTTGATGCAGCCAAAGAAAATAACTCAAAACCAGTCATTAACAAACGAAGCAAATGTTGCAAAACCTGGTAGTTCTCTTCTCTCAAGTGAGACAACAATTTCTGCCTCAGATGAATCTTCTCCTCGTTGCTTATACCTCTGTATAAAATCGCCAGCAAAAGTGTCAACGACTAAGAAAAAGAGCAGTAACTTTACAGAGCTCACGCCATTACAAATATAAGAGTCTAAACCAGCTAGTTAAGTTAAAATGATGAAAACAAGTATCAGATTCTAGTCTAATCTAAGTTGATGAATTCGGAATGTGAAGTATATATACAAACTTACGAAGAATTTCGTCTGCTCTTCCAATGACGGTTAATACTGTTTTTGAAATATACAGATGCCATCAATCTAACGTCCACATGAGACACCAAATCCTTGGATGCAATTACTTCCTGCAACCAAACGAGAGGAGATGAGCGAGTAAAATCGGGCTGACATTAGCAGAAATCACAAGAGCATAGATTAGAAACGCACCATGAGGCAGGAACAAAAACCAGGTCTACTCTCCGACTGGGAAAGAGCCGCCTCCGCCGGCCGCCGAACGGTCTCGTCGCCGCTCATAGAATTTGCTAGCAATGAGTACATAGCCGGTAAATCGGAAGCTGACAACGCCATCTGAGGCAGCTCCGCTCTCCTGTCAACACAGCGGACAAAAACTCTAACCAGATCCGACGAAATCCTTGACCTAATAATCCAAGGAAGCGTCGAGGATGAACCCTAGGGGTTTGGGCAACGAACAGCGACGGCGATGATAAATTCTCACGGCGGAGAAAAAAAAAGCGGAGCTAGTAAGAAAGAGAAAGAGAGAGATGAAAAAAAGATCGTCTCCTTCCACGTCGTCTTCTTTCCCCGTCTTTCAACCTCTCGAAAGCTCTTGAAACATATAACAATGCACTAATGACAATGCCATAAGTGAAATGTTTCTTTCTTTTTCACAGTCGAAGAAAAAAAAAAACTTACCGTCGCTCTGATCGGATTCCGATAACTGAACCGGAGACGTTGATTTGGGCTGATACACAGAATGTTGGGCCTAAATTAAAAGCCCCAATTACTATAGCGCGTGAAGCAGAGGCGCGTGAACACAATCCAACATTAAACTTTCGCTTGCTAGAATCTTATTGGTCGAGATACGTGGGGATTCATCATATTTGCCACGTCAAAATACCCGCCTTAAATTGAAACCGGAAGCCACCGGAATTGTTTTTAAAGAAATACAAAATATCCCTAATACTTTTGTAATGACTAATTTCCCCCATTAAGTTTCTCAACATAATTTACGAATTTGGTATCATTTTGTAAAATTATTAAATATGAGAAGCATTTTAATTTATTCAGTAATATAAAGGTCATTCGAGAAATTTCCTATTTTTCTTTAAACCCTGCGAGCCTATTTAATGAAATGTCTCTTCTCGATTTTTCCCGAAGCGTAGAACTCCGTGAATAATAATAATACACCGCTTGGAAGAAGACGAAGAAGAAGAAGAACAACAAGAAGAAAAAAGAAAAAGAAGAAACGATTCTCAGGTTGTTCTATCGGGATGGTGAGAACGCGATTGGCGATATCTGTTGTCCTTGTCTCGACATTGTTGTTGTTGAATGCCGAAGCGAAAAGCGTTGATCCGTACAAGGTACTTTTTTAATAATCGTTTCGCATTTTTCTTTTCCACAAATTGAGAATCTCGCTTTCGTTTTTGTTTAATTCCCGAGTCTTTGATTGGGGGCGGAAATTATGAACTGGGAAGCTGCTTCTGTTTGATTATCTGCTCGCTAATTGAGGGTTTCCCATTGTTCGCTCTGATGGGTTTCGACTATAAGTTGAAATCGAAATCGAAATCAGTTCTGAATCCGGATTCGTATTGCAGACTAGGGCTAAAATTCAAATTAGGCTGATTTTTTTTTTTTTTTTTGGGAAAGATCTTTGATTTGATTTTGATTTTGCTCAAAAGTCTTGCCATTGAATGGATTGTGATACGTTATGTGGCTTTCCAGGTTCTTGGAGTATCTCGGGATGCGAAGCAGCGTGAAATCCAGAAAGCTTTCCATAAGTGCGTACCATTCTCTTATAGTCACTGATAAAGAATCAACAAATTACTTTCTTTCTACTCATGTCAGCTTGTGATTTTTCTGTAGGATGTCTCTGAAATACCACCCAGATAAAAACAAAAATAAGGGTGCTCAGGAGAAGTTTGCTGAGATTAATAATGGTGGGTATCAAAACTCTCAGCACTAGCATCCCCTTTATAACTCCATGGCTTTTTTTGTGTGTTGTGTAGCACATTTAAAGACTGTTCTTGCTCTGCTGATCTGTATTTGACAAGTTTTGAACCTGGTCTATGTGCAACAGCTTATGAGATCTTATCTGATGAAGAGAAGAGGAAAAACTATGATCTTTATGGGGACGAAAAGGGACAGCCTGGGTTCGAGTCGGGATTTCCCGGAGGTAGTGGTGGGTATTCATACTCCTCAAGTGGTGGACAGAGTGGTGGGTTCGGTTTTGGAGGACCGGGTGGATGGCAGAATATGGGAGGTGGGGGCGGTTCCGGTTCGAAATCGTTTTCCTTCTCATTTGGCGGTCCTGGTGCAAGTTCCTCCGGTTTTGGGATGGATGATATCTTTTCCATGTTTTCGGGAGGTGGCTCTAAAGGAAGGGATCAGTTTGGTGGATTTGGTGGCTTTGGTGGCTTTGGTGGATCAAGGAAGGCTGAATCTGGATCAAAGAGTGGTACGGTAGCAACTATCAGAACTATAAATCCTCAGGTTTATAAGAAGGAAATTGTGGACCAAGGGATGACTTGGCTTATCCTGTCGTATCTTCCATCTCAAAGGGGAACCCAGTACCATGAGTCGACCATTGAGGAAGTTGCTGAGTCGTTGCAAGGAGCTTTAAAGGTGAAAAACTTGTGCTTGTTGACTCAGTTGATTTCTGTTTTTAGAAGAAAAGCTTAGTACTTTATTCATTTGTGAAATGGTTCATGTTTTCTGCTTTGGGTTTTGGTTTTGGTTGTTTACATGATCAAACTTTCTGTTTACAGGTTGGGCGTATAAATTGCGAAACAGAATCCTCTCTTTGCAAACAACTTGGCATAGTTCCTCGTAGGGCTCCAAGGTTGTTTGTTTATTCATACACATCAAGTGGCAAAGCTACCTTAGCAGAATATACTGAAGAGCTTGTTGCAAAGAAGTTGAAAAGCTTCTGCCAGGAACATCTACCGAGATTCTCAAAAAGGGTTGACCTGAATGCCTTCGATGTCTCTGCTGTTGGGTCACAAAGGACTCCTAAAGTTCTGCTTCTGTCAACAAAGAAAGATACTCCTGTCATCTGGCGTGTTCTTAGTGGCTTGTACAATGGACGCTTTGTCTTCTACAACACAGAGGTATGTTATACATTGGACGCTTTGTCTTTTGGCCAGGACCCTGGGAACTCAGCTAAAGCATAGTCTTTTCATGATCTTGTAGGTCCATGATACTTCTGACCCGAAGATTCAGAAATTGGGGGTTGACGCGTTCCCAGCAATAGTAGGCTGGCTCTCGAATGGGGAGAAGCAAGTCTTGAAAACAGGCATCACTGTGAAAAATCTGAAATCAGCCGTCCAGGAAATTGGTAAATTGCTAGAAGGATTTGAGAAAAAGAACAAGAAGGTCGCTTCTAATAGTCAGTCGGGCAAAGCACAAAGCGAGCCCGTAGAGAAGATACATGTTCTCTCGAGAACAAATTTCGAGTCCGTTTGCGGAGAAAACACTCCTGTTTGTATTATCGGTGCCTTCAGATCTTCACAGGGTAATGAGAAGCTGCAGTCAATATTGTCCAAGGTAAGCAAATAATCACCCCCCTTGCTTTATGAATATACCTTCATATGGTTGCTAAACAGATTTTTCGGGTATTTGTCAAAAATGAAAAACGACTGCTTGATTTGTGAGTTTTTGTCTTCAAAGCCATCGCCTTTTTGGTTCTATGAGTTGATTGATCAATAATCTTTTGGCGTCCACTCTTTGTCCAGGTGTCACAGAAATCACTGTCTCGACGACAAGCTTCAGCCACTGGTTCTCAGGACACAGTTTCCTATTCTCTTCTAGACGCGGCAAAACAATCTTCGTTCTTGAGTTCACTTGACAAATCAGAGTTCAAAACATCTGATAAGCTTCTAATAGCTTACAAGCCTCGAAGAGGTAAGTTTGCTACGTTTAAAGGCGACATGACTATGGAGGAAGTTGAGAAATTCGTAGCGGCTGTTCTTAACGGAGACGTGCAGTTCACAAAGACAAGACAGAAACCTCAGATCAAATGATAGTTTTGTTTCGTCAGTGGTTAGTTTCAGAGATGTACATCGTTTTGTGGAGAAGAAATTTCATGTTTCCTGTGGTGCAAGCTACTTCTGGAGGCTCTTGTACTTGCAGAGAAAGTTTGTGTATTGTCTTGTGTCACAGAGACGTGAGTGAAATAGTTTTATAGGAATAGATCTAACGTAAACATGGAATTGGGTCAATTTGTAATTATTATAAGTTCAGAAACTCCCGAGCATAATGCTTTGCAAAAAATAAGCCTGAAGGTTGTTGGTTCACACAAACAGAATCCTACATTTTGTTCTCCACTTTCATAGTTGCAGTAAAATTAATTTTCTTAAGCAAAAAGTATGTTCTATATTTGGAGTTTTAAGGCAACGGAAGCGGAAATGGAGATTACTAGACTACATATAATATGTATCCTTCCGATTTTCAATTTCTTGACCTTAAAGAAATTTCACAATATTAATATTTTGTCGATCTTCTTGATTCCTCAATTTCTCAGTCTTTCATGGGTGAAACGATTCTGATGGACAACACAGATGGATCACAAGACACGTGTAAACCAGATAATGGCGACGTCGTCAGACCGAACAGTCTCGTTCAAACCGTTTCACAATCCGCCGTCACTAGCTCCTCCGGTGCGACTCTCGGTCGGCATTTAGCTCGTCGTCTCGTCGAGATCGGTGTCACTGATGTCTTCTCAGTTCCCGGCGACTTCAATCTCACATTGCTTGACCATCTCATCGCCGAGCCGGATCTCAATCTCATCGGCTGCTGCAACGAGCTTAACGCTGGCTACGCCGCCGATGGCTACGCACGATCACGTGGTGTTGGCGCCTGTGTTGTCACATTCACCGTCGGTGGACTCAGCGTCATAAACGCGATCGCAGGCGCTTACAGCGAAAATCTGCCGTTGATCTGTATAGTCGGAGGTCCGAACACAAACGACTATGGCACAAACAGGATTCTTCATCATACCATCGGCTTATCTGATTTCAGCCAAGAGCTAAAATGTTTCCAGACTGTGACTTGCTATCAGGTAAATTCAAAATCAAATGTCATGCCGAAAATGTGTTCGTCACTTTTCTCCTCTTTGAAATTCTTAACATATTGCAATGTGGTTGAAAAAAGTCACTGAAAGTTGGAGTGTGGATTCGCGTCGAACTCGGACATTGAACATTGAACATTCTTCTCAAGTTTTCTTTTTTGGTGTTCCTCAGGCCGTAGTGAATAACTTGGAAGACGCACATGAACAGATCGATAAGGCCATATCGATGGCTTTGAATGAAAGCAAACCTGTGTATATCAGCATCAGCTGCAACTTGGCTGCAACTCCCCATCCTACATTCCGAAGCGATCCCATCCCATTTTCTCTCTCGCTAAAGTATAATCTATAATAGTTTCTTTCTCATCAACCAATCAGTGTTATTGTGTTTTGTGGATCAATCACGTATTTTGATCGTTGCAGGTCGAGCAACAAGATGGGTCTAGAAGCAGCGGTGGAAGCAACCGTGGAGTTTCTCAACAAGGCCGTGAAACCGGTATTGGTCGGTGGTCCCAAGATGCGTATGGCCAAAGCCGCTAACGCTTTCGTCGAGCTAGCAGACGCTTCCGGCTACCCATTAGCCGTGATGCCCGCTGCAAAGGGTCTCGTTCCTGAGGACCATCCTCGCTTCATCGGGACCTACTGGGGAGCCGTTAGCTCACCCTTCTGCGCAGAGATTGTGGAATCAGCAGACGCGTATCTATTCGTGGGACCAATCATCAACGACTATGGCTCCGTAGGCTACTCGCTTCTCATCAAGAAGGAGAAAGCAATCATCATACAGCCTGACCGGGTCACCGTGGCCAACGGTCCAACCTTCGGATACGTCCTGATGAGCGAGTTCATGAGTGAGCTGGCGAAACAGGTGAAGCGGAACGGGACAGCCTACGAGAACTATCACAGGATCTTTGTCTCTGAAGGGCAGCCGTTGAAATGTCAACCGAAAGAACCGCTAAGAGTCAACACAATGTTCCAACACGTTCAAGAGATGTTGTCTAGTGAAACCGCAGTGATTGCAGAGACTGGTGACTCTTGGTTCAACTGCCAGAAACTAAAGCTGCCGCGAGGATGTGGCTACGAGTTCCAGATGCAGTACGGATCAATCGGGTGGTCTGTAGGAGCTACATTGGGATACGCTCAAGCTGAACCCGAGAAACGAGTGTTTGCATTCATCGGAGATGGGAGCTTCCAAGTGACAGCTCAGGAGATTTCAACAATGCTGCGGAACAAGCAGAAGAGCATCATCTTCCTTATCAACAATGGTGGCTACACCATCGAGGTTGAGATTCACGATGGACCTTACAACGTGATTAAAAACTGGAACTACACTGGTTTTGTCGATGCGATCCATAACGGTGAAGGTAAATGTTGGACGACTAAGGTGAGACAATAATGATCGAGACTTTGTTTGTTCTTACTACTAGTATAATGAGCCAGTTTTGTGTATTTAAATATTCGAGACTTGTTTGAAGGTGAAATGCGAGGAGGAGCTAGTAGATGCAATTAAGGTAGCGAGTGAGTCAAAGAAGGATTGTTTATGTTTCATTGAGGTGATTCTTCACAAGGATGACACAAGCAAAGAGTTGCTCGAATGGGGCTCACGCGTTTCAGCCGCCAATAGTCGTCCTCCGAATCATGACTAGACAAGAGACAAGGCCTAGATAACAATACATTTCAGATGAAGATATCAGAAAAGAGTAACTATTTATTTCCGACGATTTTGGATTTCCTTCTTGAGAAAATTCAATAGGTTGTTCAAATTCATTAATTCAGTAAAACAAATTTTTCATCTAATTTTTTTCATAGTCTCTAGAAATCTGTAACAAAATTTATAAACTCTTTACGCAATGGCCAAAATGTACAATTGAATTAAAACCGGAAAATCCCACTTATAACCCGCGACCCAAACTTCCTGATTGAACCGGTCGACTTATGGTTCCAGTTAAACCCTCTAGCCGAATGAGAAGTGTTGATTTTAAGCAAAAGAGAAAAAACCAAAACCCTGGTTCTTCTTCACATTGCCGCGACTTCTCACATCTTCTTCGCAAAATCGATTTGCAGGTAGTCGTGTTACACGTCTCAGCTCCTTTCTCCTCGACTTCCTTCAATTTCAGGTTCAATTCCATTTTTGTTGTTGCTTATTAGCCTTAAACTTCAAACGCATGCATTATACGATTCAATTAGTCCCAGGATTCAGATTAGTTCAATTCCATGAATCGATTAGGGGTTAGTTCACTTAGTTCAGCATAGTTTGAGTTTAAGATCAGCTCATGAATCGGCAATGCTATGTTTTTTTAGACCGTGGTGTTTGATCGGTAATGGTTTCCAGTTTGATATAATCGTATCGGTTGGTTTGGAAGGTTATTGTAAGATGTAATTTATGGATTATGTCATTTTGTATTAGAGATATATCAAACATTTGGAGCCTTGTGCTTTTGTTGCAGATGGTTCTATGCCTGTTGTTGAGAATCACATATTAGATAGATACCTTGGACATGGGAATCCAGAAACTTTTATGGGAAGTGACAAAGAAAGCATTCACCGGAGGTATTGTAGGAGTTACCATTTCAGATAGATGTTGTAGCGTTGTTCCGGTAAGAGGAGATTCCATGTCTCCGATATTCAATCCCCAGCGAAATTCTTATTTAGGCAAGTGTTTTTTTTATTGTGGGGAAAATGCAAATGCTCGAAAGTAGTCTCTTGCTTCTTTTGATCCATTCTTCTCTTTCTTATCAGATGTTTAATTGTTGGTGCAGATGATTATGTTCTGGTAGACAAATTTTGCCTCAAGAATTACAAGTTTGCGCGTGGTGATGTTGTAGTGTTCAGGTATGTTCCCTCTAATGCCAAGCCACTTTTGAGTCTTCCTTTGACAACAAGAGAAGATAAAACTATACAATGAGTAACACTTGATTGGTTGCATGTTGGTCTCTTGCTTTTGTCTTGTCTTGGATGCTTGATATTCAAAATTATTCACTAGAACCCTTGCAAAATAAGAAATTCTTCTATTCCTAGTGCTGAATCATGAAATGCATGCGTATTCAATCTCTGGATAGCCCCCAAAATAAAACTGAACATCTTATATAATGTAGTCTAACTATTCGGCCATGAAATCAAACTCTTTGGATTCTGTTCTTTTCTTTTGCTTCCAAAAGCTCAGTTTTTTTTTTCTGGCTCTCTCAGGTCTCGAATATGTTTCATATTGTATGTGTTCAAGCTAATATATTTTTGAAATACATCAATGAGCTACTGATAGTGTGAGTTGCATATCTCTGGCAGCTCTCCAATTCATATGAGGGATAGATACATAAAGAGGATAGTCGGGATGCCTGGAGAATGGATAAGTAGTTCGCATGATGTGATCAGAGTTCCAGAAGGTCATTGTTGGGTAGAAGGAGATAACAAAGCTTCCAGCTTAGACTCAAGAACATTTGGCCCTGTAAGTTCTCTGCTTCTGGATCCCCCAACACATATTTTTCATAGATTTTAAAGGATACACGTCAAGACTTGTTCAATGTGACTGATGCTGATAAACTTGTTTGGCAGATACCTTTGGGTTTAATTCGAGGACGAGTCACTCGGGTCGTGTGGCCTCCTCAAAGAATAAGCAAGATTGGTCGATAAAGCTAATGGAGGATAATGACAAGGAGAAGAAGAAGAAGAAGAAGAAGAAGAAGAAAAAGGTATGTTTCTTCCTTAAGATTCTTCATTTAGGAATCTGCTTTATATCAAAGAATGGTTTTCTAGAAATATTGAGAGTTTCGATTTGTTTTTCCCTTCTTTTCACAATGTAGGACTGCGTGTTACGATTTTTCCGGTGTTCACTTCATTATATAAATCAAAATGGATCTATTCGTCTCCATGTTTCTCAAGATTCTCCATGGGAACTCTAAAATTCACATTTTTATCCATGCTTACTTTCTTTAAATTAACACTAGACTCAAATCAGAATTAGAGTCACACATTCTTTGTATTGGACGAGACTCTTGGGACTGAAACAAATGTTTAGCTCAGCCTTCTTGTAAGTTAAAATACTAATAGAATCTCTTAGCTTCATAGCTTTTCAAAATGTCTTGGTTTTTTCCGGTTTAATTCGAATTTCTTTGGTTTTGGAGGAAAAACGAATAAACCACAGATGAAATTAGGTTACTTTGTCGATTCCGGTTCTCTCACTGGTCTCGTTCGAACACCATTTACAGACATGATCTTTATCTGGATAAATACTGTAATAGATTAATGTTCAACGCGTGTTAAGTAGTAAGTGTGATTAATTAATTAATTTCCTTTGAAGAAAAAGGCCATGGCCCGTATCCCTGGAGCCTATATAATCAAATAATAATTTATAAATGCATGGAAAATTCGAAACCTCTCCTCCTTCTCTGGCGTTTCTCCTTCGGGGTAAGATCAATTTTGGTTGTTCCGCTTTTTTTTTTTTAATGTTATTTATCGATTTTCCTCTGTCGTAAGAATTTTCTCATCGTCTCGGAATTTTCTTTTCCGTTTCTCTCTCCTACTTTTTTTGTCTCTCTTCTTTTCACTCGGCGTCTTGCCAAGTACGCAAGTTTATAGTATTTCATTACCTTTTTTGACATTTTGATCGAAAGCTTTTTTCTTGACATCAACGCGCTTCTGGTCGATTTCCATCTCTTACTTTTTGGGTTTCCTACCAAATTTTAATGTTGTATTTCGTGAAACGCCAACTATTTTCGGGTAATTTCTCTTCGCCTTGCAAGCATTGCTTGTTTATTTTATCTCCCACCATCGTTAATTGCTTTTCCTCGCAGTGTTTTAGAAATTATCTCCGTTGTTTGTTTAATTTCTCTGTTCAGTCGACGCCCCCTTTAAATTTATTGGCGTATCGGATCAGAATCTTCAGTTGCTTTTGCTGCATGTTCTCGTATTGTCAAGATCTGTGACGGAAATTTGAGATCTGTTGGTGTGTATTTTTTTTTTTTTTCACTTTCAGGTAGGTTGATTTGTTCGAAATGGGAAGACTATTCGTGATAGACCTCGAAGGACAAATCTATAGCTGTAAGCATTGCCAGACACATTTCGCAGTGACCGATGATCTAATCTCAAAGGTTACTTAATCTCTTTGAATGTTTCCTCTTCCATGCCTCTTCAATGCTTCCTTCATTTGATTTCCATATCACTTTTACCACTTTAATTTGCTCCAGCCTCCTTGTTAATAGTTTTGGTTCTGATCTACTCTTAGCCTTTACACTTGTGTTTGTACAAATCTGATTGAAACGCACACAACTTGCATTTGTTAGACTAATCTAAAACGTCATGGGAAATGGAATTTGACACTCTACTTCTTGTTGATCCGTTCATACTCTCGAATCGACCAAACTGGGATATTGACCCTTGAGACCAGATGAGTAAAACAGCAACCCGCATTTTCTGACTGGTCAAGCTACTTGGGGACTGATCCTTCAATTGTTGATTTGATGAAAAACACGCCATATGATTTTTGTGTTCATACTTGTCTGTTTACAGTCAATCAATGTTCTTGAATTGATCAAATCAGCTATCTGATTTTTTGTTCATGGTTGTGTTGTTTTCCAGTCATTTCACTGCAAGCATGGAAGGGCCTATCTTTTCGAAAATGTGTAAGTAATACTTAAGAAGAATATGATCATACGAGGAATCTCGACAAGGTTCCCTTCTTATTAGCAACCACTTTTATGATTTCGTAGTGTCAATGTGACGGTTGGAGAGAGGGAGCATCGCATCATGATGACTGGTTGGCACACTGTAGCTGACATCTTCTGTGTTAGCTGTGGCTCCCTTGTCGGCTGGAAATACGTACAAGCCTCAAAACTCTCTTCTCTTATACAACCTTCTCTGTGATTCTTTGATGTTGATTCTCATTTTCTCCTCTCAGGAAATCGCATATGAAAAGTCTCAGAAGTACAAGGAAGGAAAATTCATCATAGAAAGGTCAACGACTTCTTGAGTTTCTCCCAATAACCAAAATTGAACCCCAAAAAAAAAAGAAACCATCACAAACCGATTTAAACCTAATGTGAGCAGGTTTAAAGTGCTTGGACCCGATGGAGGCGGATACGACATGAACCAGGACGAGCCGATGATTGGAAGCGACGAAGAATAAAATTGGATTCTCTTTTCTTTTGCGAGCCACAAGATACTTGGCATGTGGTGGTCAATGTCAAATTCGACAATTTTTTTCGGGTAAGCGTACAAAAGAAACCAAATATTCATATACTAAATAAATTATTTTATATATATATATATTTTACATGTTTTTGGTTGTGCGATTAGAACTGTTTTGTGTCAAAGGACACATACATCAGTGAATGAATCAAACACCAATTTTACTCTATGCAATTATGCATATATAAAGAATAACTTGTTTTGAGAGAGAATAGATATTATATGGACACATTTCTCATACTTTCACTGTGGATAAAATTGTAGCGAGCGTGTTGAAAATAAAAATCTTAGTTCATTTTGACCGCACAATTTTAACAACATGAATTTTCACTTAACGGTAACTTTTCGGAGCCATAAGTAGACAAATGGCTTTTTCGTAATTACGTAGCATGTTCATGGGTAAAGAGTGCACAACGTGTCCCGTCAGATCTTAGATCCTCTGCGTTTTGAACCCAATGCTTCGTGTTCTGTTCAAACTTTCAAAACCATATTCGATTAAATGTAATAAACAATAAGAGGAAAAAAACAACAGAGATGGTAGACTAAGAGTTGTCTTGTCTGGTTTTGAAATCGGAATTTTCGAAATTAAAAAAAGAAAAAACTCGTCGAGAAGAACATCTTCCCCACTCTCTCCCTCCTTCTTCTTCTTGAACTCAAAACTTTTATGTATTCTCTCTCTCTAAATCAATTAAAATAAAGTTTTGGGTTCTTATCTTCTGTTCTTTAATGGCTTATATGATTCTCAATGGTGTCTATTCGAGCTCTCTCAAGGGCTTCATAGTGTGATCTCTTCAGATCTGATTGGTCCGATTCTGTTTTCTATTTATTCTTTTTATTTTTGGAGATATTTTCGTTGTTGTGTGCAACTTCGGACACGAGACCCAGAAAGAAAGGTTTCAAAAATGTTGACCCACCACGACAGAGACGAAGAACTCTCTCTGTTCCTTGAGATGCGTCGCCGCGAGAAAGAACACAGAGGAGATTCTCTTTTAACAGGTTCGTGTATCTCTCTCTCTCTCTCTCTCTTTCTATATTTGTAAAACTTAGATAATCATTTGTGTATATCTGTGTCTTGGCGATGGTGTTCTAATTTCGTTCCGTCTCTTTTAGGATCTGAAAGAGCGTTGACGACTGCGGCGGCAGCGGCTCTCTCTGAAACGGTGTCGTCTCAACGTTATACTCTCCGGAGAACTGCTGCAGAGAACTTCTTGTACTCGGAGAATGAGAAGTCCGATTACGATTGGTAATGTTTTCCATTTGATTTCCCTTCTAACATATCTATTTTAGTAGGTGTCAGAAATTTGGAAGTAAAGTTCTAATTTTTTTTTGCAGCTTCTGCATTTCAAAATTAGAATAACAAAAATGGCAATTTAGGAATATACTTCTTCTAGTGATTGAGTTATCCAAATTAGATCAAAATTAACACAAACCTAAGGTTCAACTACATAAAGGGCAATTATTTTCCAGGAACTTTGATTTAACATCATTTGAGCTTAATGCTAGAATGTAATCAAATGTATGGTCTTGCCGTCTTCGATGGATCACTGGTCTGATAATCTATCATCTTTGTTATTGTTCTTGTCTATTGTTCAGGCTGCTTACGCCGCCCGGTACCCCGCAGTTTGAGAAAGAGTCGCATAGAAGCGTAATGAACCAGCTCGATGCTCCCAATTCTCGCCCCACGGTTCTTAAATCCAGGGTAAGAGAAACTTATTAGACAGAACTGATTCATTTCCTTGAAATGTCTCTGGTCCAAGTTTACGTTTGTCTTTGTAATTATAAGCGGTGATGGAACTCTTGTTGGGTTCTGCAGCTAGGGAACTGTCATGAAGAGATGGCCTCTGGGAGCAGTTATAAGCCAGCCAGCTCTTCCTCTGTAGCTGGACTCAGAAGACCATCTTCATCAGGTAGCTCAAGGTCCACGAGCAGACCTTCCACACCGACCAGAAGGTCTACTACAACTCCATCTACCTCCACAGCAAAGCCTGTGACCACCAGAGCTTCAACCTCTAGATCCTCAACACCCACCTCACGCGCCACCTTAGCTGCCGCACGTGCTACTACCTCTACAGCGGCTCCACGCACCACAACATCAACCGGTTCAGCCAGATCGGCAACTCCAACTCGGTCTGTGACTCGGCCGTCTTCTGCACCTTCTAAAAAACCTGCATCAAGGCCGGCCACACCAACCCGCAGGCCTTCAACACCAACCGGTCCATCAATAGTTTCGAGTAAAGGTCCTTCACGAGGGACTTCTCCGACTCCACCTGTGAAGTCGTCGAGGCCGTGGAAAGCGCCGGAGATGCCTGGTTTCTCTCTGGAAGCCCCACCGAACCTGAGGACAACTTTATCAGACAGGCCGGTCTCAGCTTCAAGAGGCAGACCTGGAGTAGCCTCGGCACCAGGCTCAAGATCGGCTTCCATAGAACGCGGCAGTGGCCCCACCACTGGTGGTGGCGTCGGACATGCAAGAAGGCAATCTTGCTCCCCTTCCAGAGGTCGTGCGCCTATCGGAAACACCAACGGGAGCCTCCCAAGTGCGCGTGGGAGAGGAAAGGCGAACAACTGTGGGAGTAGCTGCGATAACTTGAGCCCAGTGGCTATGGGCAATAAAATGGTGGAGAGAGTGGTGAACATGAGAAAACTAGGCCCACCAAGACTAACCGAGAGCGGGGGTCGAGGAATGGGGAAGTCTAGCTCGGCTTTCAACAGCCTTGGGTACGGGAGAAACCTCTCCAAGAGCTCAATCGATATGGCCTTGAGACATATGGTACGATCACGTGTTACAATATTTGCTCAGTTTCTTTCATTTCACCGAGCTTTTGTCCGCTGTAACATCCGACTAATCTCGGGACTCTTTGGTGAGGAGTATTGAGTTAACTGTCGGTCTCTACGTGTGTAGGATATAAGACGAGGCATGACGGGAAATCTCCGGCCGCTCGTGACGAAAGTTCCGGCATCATCAATGTACAGCGTGAGAAGCCGGCCGGCTAGTGTCACAAACTCTCCGGTGGCTACGAGCAGCACGGTCAGCTCATACGAACCGAGTGTCGACAACATCAACATTTTGTGCTTAGATGGGAACGAAGCCGAAAACGATGATCTTCTGAGCGAGAGAAGCTTTTCTTCTCCCCGAAACCAGTTCCCCAAGTTCACATCTTGACTTCTGATTAAATCCTATCGTCTTCTTTTTGTTCCCACACTTGGAAACAACGTTTTTCTAAGCGATCATCCATAAAACGACATGAATTCACTGACAATGTTTATGAACGACATGAATTCACCGATACAAAACTCGACACTGTGATGGTGATTTTGAATCAAAGCCACCATGAATTAACTTCCTTTTGTCAGGCAATAATCATGTTTGCTGCTTGCATATTATTTTGAACTAGAAGGAGTTCAATCACTATTTGCAGAGAAAGCTTGGATTCTTGAACCAGTTATAATGTTTTATCTAAGTTATGTTTTTAGACAGAGAGGCTCTCTTTGAAACCACATCAGAGCTTACTTGACCAGCAAGTAGTTACATGTCACTACACCAAAATCGTGTGAGTATTATAATATTATAACCAACACTTTCATTACAGTACTAGAATGTATGAAGATTATTGGTCAATTTTGTTTGTAGAGTTTTGGCTCAGTCAACAATGTGGACTTTTCAATTGTGTTGTGTATGTTATTGGGAGCGCATTTCGCTAAATGATGATGTCATGTACATTCGCCAAGTCAATTTCAACTGAAATCTATGAAAGTAAACGAATAGTTAACAACATTGTGAAAGACGCAAGGCAAGGTGAAAACTGAATACAAATAGCCCCATTTTGGATTTTAAATTTTCTCATTGGATGATTTCATTTTAGCGTAGCGATGACGTCATGTGTACGGTAGTTTGATGACGTATTTTGTATTTACCGAAAACATGAAAGGTTGACAAAAAAAACATTAATGCCTGGTAGTCTGAACGGCGACAAGAACGTCAAACTAATGTGCCGTGAAGTTTTGTAATTGAAAGCTTAGCTGTAGTTATTAATTCATACTATTAATAAGTCGTGTGTGAATGTAATTGAATGTTAGTATTATTTATTAACACCCCACTAAGAAAAACGTTATTAATTTATTTACGCATTTTCCTTGCTTATAAGTACTTTTATAGAACTTAGTTATTTGACGAGAAAGATTTGCCCAATGGCAAATTCATAATGCACATTTTTTACTTCAAACCCACCATTTATCACGCTAATTGTTCGAAGTAAACAGATATAAATCCTATTATTGCTTTAATTAGAGGCGGAGAAAAATAGTTTAAGGAGGAGCAAAAAAAAAGTGAAATTCAATTAACAAGACTTAATCTAGAGTCTCGTCGTGTAGCTGTCACTTTCGAGTCTTTTTTGTCGCTTTCTGGCATTAGAAGCAGCCGAACAAATTTAATACAACAGCAGAAACCTTTTTTTTCTTTGCAAAAGTACAACAGGAGAAAATTGCAGAAAACTTTTAGCGTATTTCACTGTTCCTATGTACTGGGTTTGGTTTGGTTGCTGAATAAATTTATTGACATCCTCACGAAAAAGTCGAAAAAGCAAACTCATGATTATTTCTCTTTGATTAACTTAACTCTATGGTCTTCGTGTGCGAAATGGATTTTCTCCACTAGCAACTTTTTCCAAACAAAACAAATAATCTTCTTCTTCCAGATTTGGTATCGTGGAGACAGGTCAAATTTGAGGTTCTTTTTAAGAAAACTGTATTTCTTTTCTCAATCAAACCCATTTCTTGTCTTTTTTTGTTTGTTTGGGTCTGGATTTGAGGTTCTGTTGCGGAATCTCCTCTGTTCTATAAGTGATTTTTTGTTGGTGCTCTCTCTGGGTTTGTGATGCCCTATAATTGCTTCGGAATTCTTGATATATGCAAAGGAAATGATCGTATTGGACAGAGAGAAGCTGAAGGTATACAAACAATTCAATGGATACTGAGATGATGTTCATCATGATTTTTTAGGGTTTTAAAATTCCATCTCAATTTTCGTTTTCTGGGTTTTGGCTTCTTTGTAAAAGTTGTTTTTTTTTATCTGTGATCATTGCTGAGTACTGTTAGCAAAAGAATCTGCAGAGAAATCGACAATGGTTGACCAAATCGATTTAGTAACTTGCTATAGATTTCGTCTGCTTAGAAACATGGAGATTGAATTTGATGATCTCTGTTCTTTGAAATAAACAGAGATTTGCACCGACAATGTGAGGGTCTTTTCATACAACTCACTAAGATCAGCCACAGATGGTTTCCATCCAACTAACAGAATCGGAGGTGGAGGCTTTGGAGTTGTCTTCAAGGTGAGGGAAATAATATTCTGATGAATCTTTGCTCATCAGTATTCTGATGAATCTCATGGAAACGGTTTTTGAAATCTTGCAGGGAGTATTGAGAGATGGCACACAAGTAGCAGTGAAATCGCTTTCAGCAGAATCCAAACAAGGCACACGCGAGTTCTTGACCGAGATTAACTTGATATCCAACATTCAACATCCTAACCTCGTTAACCTCATTGGCTGCTGCGTCGAAGGGAACAACCGGATTCTAGTCTATGAGTACCTTGAGAACAACAGCCTTGCTAGTGTTTTGCTTGGTAACTTTTTTTGTTTCGGATTCTCGTCCTACCAAGTGTTCCTGTTGTTTTCTGATGTTGTTTGTGAGTGGTTTTTTAGGTTCAAGGAGTAAATATGTTCCGCTTGATTGGTCCAAGAGAGCTGCCATTTGCGTTGGGACAGCTTCGGGTTTAGCTTTCCTTCACGAGGAAGTCGAACCTCAGGTTGTTCACCGTGACATCAAGGCGAGTAATATCTTACTAGACCGAAACTTTACTCCCAAGATTGGAGATTTCGGGTTGGCAAAGCTTTTCCCAGACAATGTCACTCATGTCAGTACCCGAGTCGCTGGAACTGTGTAAGAATCGTTTTTCCATAAACATGTTGTTTCCGTCTTTCCTCTGTCGGTATTTTCAGCTGATGAAACCGAGACCACAGGGGATACTTGGCCCCAGAGTATGCACTTCTTGGTCAACTGACTAAAAAAGCAGACGTTTACAGCTTCGGGATACTTGTGCTTGAGGTCATAAGTGGTGGTAGTAGCAGCAGAGCCGCCTTTGGAGACGACTACTTGGTTCTGGTTGAATGGGTATAGCTAATAAAAACCTCTTACGTTTTTGTCAGTTGAACAATGCCTGAGGCTTTAAACTGTGGTCGTGTCAGGTATGGAAGCTAAGAGAAGAAGGGAGGCTACTAGATGGCGTGGATCCGGATCTAGCCAAGTTTCCGGAAGACGAAGTGACCCGGTTCATCAAGGTGGCTCTTTTCTGCACTCAAGCCGCGGCACAGAAGAGACCAAACATGAAGCAAGTGGTGGAGATGCTTTGCAGGAAAGAGATTAACCTCAACGAGGCTGCCTTGACGGAGCCTGGTGTCTACAGAGGTGTCAACAGGGGACGCAACCACCGTGGCCTCGGTCTTGGAGGCGGCAGCTCACAGGAGGGCTCCTCAACACAAGGTTACAAAGGGAAAAGCTCAGCCATTCCTCAAGGCTCCTCGTCGGCCTCTGTTATTTCCTTTCAGAGCATCACAGAGATGGCTCCGAGATGACGATCATTTTTTCTGTTAATAGAGCAGAATTATATTCTTGAGTATATTAGTCAGTTTCTCATGTGTTAATCTCTTTATATACATATATAGTAAATCAAATTCTATGAGAGAAAATATTATTGACTCAATAAAAGGATGATGCTATTGTTGCTTGGAACCACGAAATGATTTATGATCAACAAGCTTTGTCGAAACAGAGGGCAAGAGCAAGAACACACACGCTTTCACAAATTTAGGATTTCAGAATGAAATCTCCAATCTCGGTTAAGGTCTACTCCTACCAATTCACAATAATGGGTCTAGACTCTAGAGAGAAAGCGAGAGAGAGTACAAAGATCGATGAATAAATCTCACAGCCAAAAAATATGATCTTATCACAAGTCACAACTTAGCAAGTAGCAATGAACAGAATAGGTTAGAAAGACTAACAAATTATATTTGATCTACCTTAAATGGTTTACCTTAGTCTCCTCCAATAACCGGCCTAACCAGCAATCAGAAATCCTGATTTGAACATTGAACAGCTCAATGCTGGTTATCCGGCTCAGAGCTTGCAATATCTTGATCTTTCCAGAAATCAGCTCTGCCTAAAAGAGCTGATGAGTCTTCCTTCATTAACGACACCAGTGTCTTCAGCTGATGAGCCCTAATTAAGAACTGATGAACCTGTAATATCCTTGATCTTTCCAGGAATCATAATGCTTCAAGTGAACTAAAACAGCTCAGTATATAATTTGTAAAACAGCTCAATGCTTAGTAAGAAAATTGACAAGTGTTTAAGACTTGAAGCTTATACTTACAATAGTTTATGATAAATCACCAAAGATGCCCCGTCTGCCCAGTTTCTTCAGTTTAGTTGTCTTGACATGTTTCCCTATGTTCCAAAGGCCAACTGTTTTAAATAATAAATGGCATGATTTGCAACATTCTTCAATTGAATCATTGAAACTTGTTAATTTATATATCAACCATCGACAATAATGCGATACGTATAATATACGTCAAACAAAAAAACAAGTTAGAGGCAAGTATAATATTGGAAACAGATTTTATGTACCTAACTATGCTTTCAATTGTCAAAGTCTATGTTTTCATATCTTTAATAGTGATAAGTTGTGAGGATGAAATGTAAGTGGACTTGTTCAACCTTTCCTTTTCTCACCTTACTTTCCAATTCAATTACTATAACCGATGGACTATACCATTTTCTTTATAAAAAAAAAATAACAAGAAACCCAACAAAATTGAACTAAAATATTACAAATTAATCTAACAGGAAAGTGCCTCACATCTCGAGTGCCTAGACCTCACTTTTAGGTTTTAGCGTTTTAGGTACCTTCTTCGTTATGGCAACCAAAATGTTAATTCAAGGTAATTATATTAGTGTTTATCTATCATTCAACTATGAAAGTAAGCGTTTATCATTCGTGATTTAAAAAAAAAAAATTAATTCAGTAGTATTAAACTTCCACCAAAGACGGCCTATATAATTAACAACAATTATTAAAGCCATAAGATATAAGATAAAGACCATATCAAAAGAAATATTTAAATTTGCTTTGTACTCCTTACAAGAACAATTGTAAGAAATTATTAAAAATCGTCAACACGTAATAAAGAAAATATAAGCGATTCAAATAAATGGATAATTTAGCTGGCTGTGTTCACTAAAAATTAGCGATTCAAATAAAATGGATAAGGTAGCTTTGTTCACTAACCAATATGAAAATCGAACCGAACCCTACGTTTAATCTTTCTATATTCGGAAAACTAAAACCAAATCCAAATGAAAAAGATAAAAACCAGATTGATACAAAAACATTTTTAACTAAAGATCTTTTTGATAATAAGCTAAAATGAAGCTGAATCCCGATATTTATAAACCGAACTCAAACCGAATTACTCAGTCCTTTGTGGTTGTGGATATAATCAAAGAGATGATGAAAGAAAAGTCGTCAAAAGATTGAGTTCTTTTAAAAATATGGCAAAAATAAGTGTTGGAAAATCATGATCGTTTATTTAAGCTTAATGGTCCCCATTAATCTAGAAGTAATTAATAATAACATATTGAAGGCTACGTAGACTTCATCGTTCTCTGGCGGCGGCTTAAGAACTTTTCAAAACACGACAGCTTCAACACCAAGCGAGAAAGAACTCTCAAACAAATTATAAGAAAACAGAAAACACGGACTTCACAAACTCATTTCTTCGCAAAACTTCTACTCCCAATAACAAAAAAAAAAAGAATGAATAATGAAATTGCGAAGAAAGTCACGGCGATGTTTGATCACCGGCGGTTAAACCGCTCTGGATCATCACTGTTCACAGCGTTTGCTACCTCAGTTATAGCTCTGATCGTTTTCACGATCGTTATCGTCTCTAATTTACCGGTGAGAGATTTCTCGGAGGTGGTGACAATAGAGATCAAGACAGTTGTTCCTTACTTACCGCTGAGATCAGTGAAGGAGCTAAGCGAAGGAAACAACAGCTATTCGATCAAGCAGCGTATCACAGTCAACGAGAATAACAATCTTCAGGTTCTCGAGATTTTTGGAGGCAAAGGCGTGTCGGAGAAGTTTCAGCAGCGAGCAACAGAGTTTTTGAGAGATGATTGTGAAGTCAATTTCATGATGACGTGGATCTCTCCTGCGGAAATGTTCGGCAAGAGAGAGATTTTATCAGTCGAAAGCGTCTTCAAATCTCATCCTCGAGGTTGTTTGATGATTTTATCATCGACGATGGATTCTCCTCAAGGGTTTAGAACCTTGAGACCGTTTCTTGACCGAGGTTACAGAGTTACGGCGGTAACTCCGGATTTGCCTTTTCTTCTCAAGGACACAGCAGGAGAATCGTGGCTTGAGGAGATTAAGACAGGGAAAAGAGATCCTGGAAAGATTTCATTAGCTCAGAATCTTTCAAATCTCATGAGACTCGCGTATCTGTTCAAATACGGAGGTGTTTATTTGGACACGGACATGATTGTCTTAAAGAGCTTTAAAAGTCTGAGGAATGTGATCGGTGCGCAGACTCTCGAACCGGTTTCAAGAAAATGGACCAGACTGAACAATGCGGTTTTGATCTTCGACAAGAATCATCCTCTCTTGCTCAAATGCATTGAAGAATTTGCGTTGACTTTCAACGGAAACGTTTGGGGTCATAACGGACCGTACCTTGTTTCTCGGGTGGCTCGAGCCGTGGAAGGAACTGATGGCTATAACTTCACCATCATGACACCTCCTGCGTTTTATTCGGTGAATTGGGTTGAGATTGAGAAGCTTTTCAAAGTTCCAAGAACAGAGAAGGATTCCAAGAGAGTCCAAGTCAAGGTTCTTGAGATGCAGAGAAAAAGCTACGGGTTGCATTTGTGGAACAAGTTTAGTAACAAATTTGAAATCGAGCAAGGAAGTGCCATGGATAAAATTGTTTCAGATCATTGTGTGTTCTGTGAGAAAGTCTCTGTATCATAATACCTTTTGTTGCTTTGTAAGTTAATTCCATTGTAGAGTAGATTGTGAACTCTTTAACAAAAAATAACAAAAGAGAGCTTGTAAACTGTAATTAACAATGAAAAACATTCTTTTTTGTTTCCTTATTCAAAAAAATCGACGAACTCTCATTAATAATCAATTTGTTCGGCGTTTTGTATTTGGGTTAATAAATATCCAATAAAGATGGCCCAGGCCCATATAGTGACAAGTCATCCTTCACAATTACGTTTCTTCCCTCAGCCCAATTGACAAAACGGCTTAGCTGAATCGAAGCTCAAACCGGCCGGTGATGGCTTCCGAAGGCGGCGAGCGCGTGAAACTCAACGTCGGCGGCGAGATCTTTGAAACCTATGCATCGACCATTCAATCCACCTGCCCAGACTCTCTACTTGCTGATCTCTCGAATCCAACCTCCCATGGATCAGTTCCTGTGTTCATCGATCGTGACCCGGAGATTTTCTCCGTCATCCTCAATCTCCTCCGTACTGGACGGCTCCCAGCTAATTCCTCCGGCGTTTTCTCCAAGCAGGAACTACTCGATGAGGCTCTGTATTACGGCGTGGAGTCACTCCTCCGGTCGGCTATGTTTCCGCCCCCGCTGCTTGGTTTCGATGCTTCTCTAGTCTCCACCATCATACCGGCGACCGACGGAGTTCCGTCCGCGTTCACCGCTACTGCTGGAGATGCCTCTCTGTGGATCGCTCACGGCGGACAGGTATCCGTCTACGATTGGAGCCTTTCTCACGCTGGAACCGTCCGTACGCATCTCAGTGATATCACGTCGATCTGCCGCGTGTGGGACGAGGCGGCGGCTATTGGATCTGGATCCGCGTCGGGACTTCACTTCTACGATCTCTCCGCAGGACGATACGTCGGATCTACGCACTGGACGGATCCGGAGGATCCGAGGATCCATAAGGCACGAGTCGCCGCCGTTGCCGATTCGGCCAGTGGAGTGTTCGCGTCTTTCGAGTGCCTGCACAGAGAGAACAGCGTTCTCCAGATCGACAAGTCCACTCTCCAAGTCGTCGCCGTCATCGGCCAGCAATCTGGAAGCTCAGCCAAAACCACCGTACCGGAGAAACTGCGGTGGGTGCCAACGAACGGTCTTTTAGTGGGATCCTCTGTCCAGCGCGGAGTGTTTGGATGCTCCGGCTACGTCAGGATCCTGGACCCGAGGTCCAGGAACATTGTGTGGGAGACGAGTGAGCCAGGTTCGGGTCGAAGCAGCAGGTTCGGAGACGCCTTAGCTGACGTGGACGTGGACGTTGAAGACTCGATTCTCTTCAAGGTATGTTCCAAGTCGGGAGACCTCGGAATGGCAGACCTTCGTAAATTAGGTGAAGATCCATGGGTATATACGTCAGACGAGAATCCCGGCGCGTGGAAGGCCGACGACGGAGGCGGAAGCGGCAGTTACAGCGTTGTACATTGTTACAGAAAGCAAGTGTTGGCCGGGAGAGGCGGCGCATTAGAGGTATGGTCAAGGGTTAAGGAGAATGCATGTGGTGATCCGATTCGCAGGAAGAACTTTGTAGACAAGGAAGAGGATTCCAAGAGAGGGATGATTTCGAAAATTGAAGCCGGAGGTGATCGGCTCTTTGTTTCCCGGGAGTATATGGAAGGTGTTGAGGTCTGGGAAAGTTCTAATTTCTCAAGTTTGATATCCGTCGAGTAATGTTTTCCGGGAAGAACATTGATCAAGTGGCTCTGTTTTCCCGGGAAAGTTGCAAATTTTCAAACTCTCCATGGCGTGGTACTGATCGCTTACCCTGGAAAATGTTTAGTTACCTGAACAGAACGAAGGAACAATATCAATATTCAAAGTTTAGTGTTGTACAATATCCTCTTCTATTGTAAATGGACTTATAAGATTTGTGTATGGGTCTAATGGATAATTACAGTAACCAACGATTCCATTTTATATACTTATATACAAAACAGATCATTATTTGTTGACGACTGAAAAGAAACTATGTTAGGTTATAGTTGGAAAAATTAACTGAAATGCAAAGCTTCGATGTGGATCTCCCCATGGAAGCCATTGTTGTAGAAGTGATCTCGGACGTAGTAAGGAAAAAAAAAACTTACCTTTCGTTCTTCATTAGTTCATTGTATCTATTGATGATCTATGAAACCTCTCCATGATTTACCCTTCAAGGTCATCAGTTTTTGATCAAGAGTAATCAATATTATGTCATCATTATGGTTATAAATATATTTTAGTGCTCAAAGCAAGTTTCCATTGTATAGATAGCTAAAACTCAACGACTCTTTTGTCTTTCTCAACCTAATCAACCTAATGCTCTCTTTTCTCATGAGATGTTTACCTTTTTGAACAAGACAAAGAATCTTTCTTTATGTCTTTGCTTTCTTGCCAATGTAAGAAGCCTTTTGTTGCAACACCTGTTAGTGCATTCCACTTCCGCACAAGGACTTGTCTTGAGAGGAGAGGAACACACATTTTTTTTTTTTAATGTAAGTTTTTCCTTGGATTCTTTAGATACTATTGATACGTTTTGTTCTTGTTAGGTCAGGTTTTTTGGACCTACAATTTTCGAAACGCTTAAAGTTTGTTTGTGTGTTTCTTTTTTTGTTGAATCATTCTTCTTTTAAGAAATGTATTGGAATTTTCCTCTTGTTTTTTTTAACAAGAATAATTATCAATGGGGTCAAAAAAGAAGAAAGCCAAGTGGGGATTTCCCATGAGCTTTCTTGTCTTTGGTTCTTTGATGTCGACCCCTCTTTTTGAATTTTAAACCTGGTTTCTCTCTTTTCTTTAGTCGTTTACAGAGTTGAATTAATTATAATCCCGGTTCATTAATAGTAGTGGTTTAACACAATGCAAGTTCTAATATTAAATGTAGCTTCTGTTAGTGTTTGTGGAGTATACACAAAGATTATGTAATTTCCATAAACCTTATTCTATGGTTTTGCGTATGGTTTTATGAATTGTAATGAATGTTGAAAGCAAGACCAATAGCATTTTTGTTTGTGAATCGAAAAAGAAAAATTGTAATCACTCCTATACAATGCTCAACTCTTCTAACATCACAACAACAATTAAAGCTCTATTAGACCGACTGAAATCCGAACCGGGTCAAATCAAGAAGACCACGTTAAGACGGAGTTTGATCTGGACAGAGAATAAGAAGAGTTCAAGAACTCAATGCAGTCTTCAATAGCTTCGGCTCGGTGAGATTCTGACTCAGCTAGAGACTTTGACCTTTTCATATAAATAGTCGATGAAGAAGAAGAGGACGAAGACAACAAGAACGATGACGTTTTGTCGGTAGAATTCCTCCGCAATGACATAAAACGCAGCGTTCTGGCGACTCTAGCTCCGATGCGTCGGATCAGCTTCCTCGCGGCCGGCGAGCTCCTTAGACCGAAACTGAGAATTCCTATGAGGGCGACCTTTCTCCGGTCGTGATGTTTTGGGAATACTGGTTCGTCTGTGGCTTCATCTGGGTTCGGACTAAAGCTTACTCTTTTGCATGCTCTTTGTGACATATTTTTTTTTACCTGAAATTATGTTGATGACAGAGAAAGAGAGGAGAGAGAGGGAGAAAGAGAGATAGAGAGAGACCAAAACAGTAAAGAGAAGCAAATGGGTTTGAAGACCATTTATGGGGAGGTGTGTTATGTGACAGAAAAGACATTGGGGGTGAAAATGTAAAGATAGAAAATAAAGGAGTCAGTTTAACAACCACATTTAAAACTGAAACTTGTATAATTATACATAATTATCATAATGTTAACGTTACGAAGATTGTATATGCTTGACTATATTTATAAGAGGTGCTACATGCATGTAGAATTGTAGATTCCATTAGTTTTGTTTTAACTTAAAAGTTACAAAAATCAAATTTAGCACACATTAGTTGTTTTTTGGACCGAAATTATAATTTTTGAGGTCATAGTTGATACTTTTTCACAAAATTCAACCTGTTGAACTATCAACTTTACAACTTACGAAAAATCAAAAGCAATAAGGCGCCAGCCAAAAATGGAACTCGAGTATTTGTTTTTAGTGATCTTTGTTAGACGATAAGGCATGATTTCACTTTATTAGTACATTGATCAATTAATTTAGTGGTCGACAAAAAACCAAGTTCTCGAATGGAACATTAGTATTATTTAAAGACAGTATGTCCTTAGAAATGTTAACACATCAGACTGTATCAAAACGAAACAAATGGTATGAAGCAAAACTCTTCTTCTACAATTCATTTCATAATAATTAAAAAAACAGTGCTGAACGAGAGAGAATGTAAATCACTAAATATAGTATTGGATATAAATGAGAAATGGCATTAAATGGATAAAAAACCTTAGTCAGCAAGCACTACGGACAGAAAGTGAGTGTCTGTAAGAGCGAATCAAGGTCTCTTCTTTCTGCAGAAGATGTTTTTTAATTTTTCCTCTTCGCATCATTAATCAACACCAGAACCAAAACAAAAAAATCAATTAAAAAGAAAAACTTCTTGAAAAGTGGAATTCATTCTCGAATCCTAAAGATTCCCCATCTAGAAGAAGAAGGAGAAGAAGAGCTCGTACCTGCAGCGACGCACAGTTTTTAATTAGTCAAGCTATGGCGATGTTCAAAACCCTATCCTTTTTGTTCGTTCTGTGCTTTGAGATTCATGGAATCATGGCTGCAGGTGAGAATTCCTCGTTTTCGTTTAGTGGGTTTGCGAATTCTCCGAGGTTTGACAAGAATGTTGCTCTGTTTGGAGATTCGAAGCTGGCTAATGACAGTTCTTCGATTCAGCTGACTGACTCAGTGAGTGGAAGCGTGGGGCGAGTCTTTTACAGGAAACCCATCAATCTTTTCCAAGGTAAACAGGGGAATTCGGAATCTTTCTCGACTTACTTCTCGTTTTCGATGTCCAACGAGATTGATGATGTCTTGGCTTTTGTATTGGTTCCAAGTAGTTTGGATCTTAGTTTGTTTGGTAAAAAGAACAATAGTTCCTCTGCTTTAGGGTTTCTGCTACAATATGCAAAGAAGGAGACAGTTGTTGCTTTTGAGTTTGATATATCCAGTAGAGGAAACCGTGCAAGAATTTTAATTGGAAGACCTGAATCTTCCGAAATTAGAAACCTTTCCTTTGAGGGTGACTTGATGATGAACACTGGAGGGGATTTGAGCTGTATAATTGAGTATCAGGCAAGTTCTAAGAGAATGATGGTTCGATTCAGAAAATCTGGTTCCATAAAGCTGTTCGATCCATTCTTCTCTTTCTCGGTTGACTTGGCCAAGCTATGGAATGGTGGTGAATTCATGGTTGGTTTAAGCTCCACGAATGGGAACTCTTCAAAGGCACATTTTCTCCATTCGTGGAGCTTTGAAATTAGGGATCCTCTTCCCATCTGGATGCATTCACAGCCACTTGAACCGAGTGAAGTTTATAAGGCCGACAGTTCCACGGAGGATGAAGAGGGTCGAGAGAGAAATGAGTGTACATGGAGAATGCTTGGTGTTTTGGTCTTGGGTGCACTATGTGGAGTCTTAGGAGCATTGTTGGCTTTCTATCTCTGGACTATATGTGGTGCTAGGCGGTCAATGGTGGTGGTTCCGGAAGAATGCACGGTGACCATTGCGGTGGTTGCTTTTGAAGAAGGCAAGAAATAGCGAGGAGTTTGGTATGGTTGAAGATGTGGTGTGTAATGTACATGTAGGGGTCTTCTACTTCCTCTTCCATTTGTTTCATCTCCCTTTAGTGATTCTTCTGTGTGTTTCCTTGGTTGCACGTTTTGTGATTAGAGAGTTCAAATGTAAAATCACTATGACAAGAAGCAAACGCTTGTTGATTGATCTTGTGATATTAACTAATTCTTAATGTTTTTCTAAATCCGTTTGTGTGTTCTGCGTTTACACTGTCCCAAATGTAACATCTTTTCTATTTCCGGTTCTGAATCAAACACGTTCTTAGCCCTAGTACAAGAACCATGACCCACTTTGTCTTCTTCTCACTTTGATGTTTATTGCAACAAAGGAGTGTGAATAGAGTAAAAAAAAGTCTTTGTTTAGTCATCTCGTGAATACACAGAGATCAAATGTCTAGAAACAACAACACAAGCATTCACATGTGTATCACTTGGCACTTGTTTCTATGTCGCTTAAATATCTTAACCAAGAAGAGAAACAAAGAAAGTGACTGATGAGGAAAGCAGACACTAAAGATCCTTCTGACCTTTTCATTGATCCTCCCTAATCACTGGATTACTAAGATTCATCTGGAGAGCAACCGGCGTGATAAGCTTCACAAACATCCATGTTGACCGCAAGAGGCAATTCTTGGTAAGCGCGGTGTAGAGGAGGTAGGATTAAAGCAGACTTTTTATCCATTGCTAATAGCCTTCCACATTTACTGCATCAGAAGATCGATAAAAAGTTTAGTCCATGTAAAACACGAGTTTTAGAACATTGCAGAAGAATTACAGAGACTGGCTTACTACTACCTGCAAGGTTTGCTAAATAGGGATTCAAAACTGCATATCCATAGCTGCATAAGAGAAAGGTGTTAATCAACTTCCATGGATCCAAAGCAAAAAAATCTTTAATGTTATCCAGAGACCTACGAGTCCTTGTAAAATGCCTTACCAGAAGAGAGTAGAGAGGTGTTCCACTTCCGGTACCAAAGCCGAGGAAATATTGCAAGGCTGTAGCAGCATGTTCCTGCAAGAAAATCTAATCAATGCAAGTTCCAAATCAATCAAATTTGAAAATTTTTACATGTGACGCCAATTGTAGTCTCTGTTACCGTGATGTGTTTGTAAACATGATAAACCGATAAGCCTCTCGCATGTAAGTAGCTACCTCCCTGTAAAGGAAGGGAAGTGATGAAGCAAAAAGATGAGTACTTACCAAAAACTTCATTTGAAACTCAGTGTTATCTAGTGCAGGGAGTTTGGAAGTTACCTCATCTGGAGAGAAGAATGCAACTGCATCAGGATCGAGAGAGCCAGCAGGATTCAACGAGACTACAGCTCTGAATACAGATGGTACTGATAATTCAATGACAGCAACCTTATCAACAACTTCAGCCTGTAACCCTGATCTCAGCTTACTAGAACTCTGGAAAATAGGTTTCGACGCTTCTGTTGAATCCTCACCGCCAGACACATGTAACGAGCTGGCTCTTTTCAGCCAGTTCAACCGTCCATAAGTAGATACCTTCACATTCGGGACCAGCTTCTCTAATCTCGACAGCATATCTGGCAACGTTTCGTAACCGACGGGCTCCTCTCTATCATGTTGTAATAGTGAATGGGAGGCACGAGGTTTTTTAGATCTTGGTTCCATCTTTAGTCCATCGTCAATGTGAGGGAAGAATCGTCTCTTCTGATCCGTGAAGGCCTTGAGAGCTAACCTACATACACATACTATGCGTTAAAGTATGGGCAGATGACGGAAACATAAACACAATCCTCCACTAATGGATCTTGCAACAATCTCATATTTGGTTTATAAGAGAAAGAAAGATGAGTTTTTGTAGAGTTGGAACCTGGTTCTATCAACAGCAGACGCACCAGCTTGGCCAGCAAGCTGCCTTTTCCAAGCATAGGCGACGACTGCACCATCTGGACATACCAGTGGCATGTGAAGACCCCATGAGTTGCTTCTTGACCGGAGAGATTCAGTGAGAACCCCAGATTCCTCCAGCTTCTTACCTGTGATTCATCCAATATAACATGATCCGATCCTTCAAATCCTTAATCCAGGAGAAGCATTATCGACACAAATGAAATCACATTATGTTCGGAATATATATATAAGTACCGATTAAGCTGAGATCCTGAAGGTGCTGACGCATGGAGGTGTCTTCTCTGAGGAAGAGCTGAAGGGGCATGTCGGTGTGGCGAGGATGCGAAGCCACGAACAAGGCTTCGAGGATACGGTCGGCGCCGAGGCGGATATCGGCGATAACCCTAGCCGCTTGATTAAGACGATCCATGGCCTGAGCCACCTGCTTCGGCGGCGCGTCCAACTCCGACTGATTGTTCTCCGCCTCGGCCGAATTCTGGGGAAGTTGGGACTGATGTAATGGCTGCATAAGCTGTGATTGAAGGATCAATCTCTCTGTCTCTCTCTCTCTCTCTCTCTCTCTGTCTCTCTCTCTCTTGATTTCAGTATCCGTCGGAGAGATGATCCAAACTATACACACACTCGCGCGAATGAAAAATACAGAAGGCTTAAGTTGACAGCAAACGTATACTTTGTTTGTCCAGGTTTTTGACTATAGAGAGAAGCTTTCACAGCATTTCTAACGTGAATGTGGAGAATTATGAGTAGATGATTGATGAATCTGGAGGATTCAGGGAGAGAGTCCAACTGTGCTTGCTTACTCTCTTTTTCTAACAAGAAGAAAAAAACTCGGGCTAAGGCCCAACAGTTAATAGGCCCATATAGAAGATCATCGTACTGTATGTTAAGCCGAGAAATCACATAGCAGTAGCAGAGAGACGAACCCTAATTCCCGATCATGCCGCCGGCGAACAAACTAGTACTGTGTGTTATAATCAAACCAAACCAAGAAGTATGGTTTTTTCTTGTTGAAACTATCTATGTTTTTGTTCGTTAAAAACTTTCTATGTTTGTCATGTCGGGTGAGATTTAGTATGTATTATAATTTCAATTTGTATCTCTAAACTCCAGAAGATGCCATGCTGTTCATGTTTGCAACGATCGTTCTTAGAGCTCTCTAAGCACTTGGATTACAAAGAAGTACATTAAAAGGAAAACACGAGTAACATTGCAGATGCTCAAAATCTGTGCTTTGAGATTCATGGAATCATGGCTCCAAATCTTTAATATGATGATTGGAATTGTTTTTCTTAAAATAGAGAGAAGAAGATGAAATCGTAGCAATAATCTGGCAACACAAAAAGGGAAAATTCAGTAAATTTCAATTTGTTTTTAAGAGACCCGAGCCCGGCAGATGAAAGGACACGCGGGCCCATTTACAACTCCCGAAAAATCCACAAACTAAGAGACGAAGAAACCAGAGCCGAACCCTAATTCCCCATGATGCCGTCGAACAATCTGAGGTCGTTGATTGCGCAAGTAAACCAACTTTTTTTTTTTTTTTTTTTGTTATTGTCTGTTTTTAATTGCTTTTTGTTTTTCCCTGCGATTGATTCAACCGGAAAATGTGCAGTGCTCGGGAGGGAGATGTGTCCGTAACTTCTCTGCAACCCCTAACCGCACTGGTAACGTTCTCTGATTTTCGATTTATTCGTATTCTTAGGGAATGCAATTTCGTCTTCTGGCCTTGTGTGATTGTAGAGTCCATGGGAGCAGCAGGAGAGATAGCTATCAAGGTGATAGTTCGAGGTGTATTACTCGCTGTGGGATATGGGATAGGTATTGATTGATAGATAGATTGAGAGGTTTTATTCCGTTGTTTTTTTCTCAAATTGATTTCGTCTTTTACCTCTGATTGTGTTAAGGTGTTTACGTACATGGAGATGAGCTAGCGAGAATATTGGATAAGGAGATGAGCTAGCGAGAATATTGGATAAGGAGACTCGCGAAGCTTAGCTTTCGTTTCTAAAAGAAACTCTGTTTTTATTTTCGTGAATGGCTACTTGTTGATTTCTGATTGTAACAAGGTCTGTTTTTTATCTTCGTGAATCAAGACTTATTTACGGTTAACCAACACTCACTCTATAGACTCTATAGATCCAAGTCCAACATAATGTAAATGATAACAAGTTTACTTCACCATTCTTTGATCCCTCTCACTTTTGGACCAGCACACAAGTCTCTAAGAAACCCCCTGCATCATCATTTACTTGGCTGCTCAAAGACAAAATTAAATAGTTCAAACATAAATGGCCGCCTTTGTATGCTATTTCAGTACCTACCTGCTGATTCTATGAATCTATCTACAGATTTTTACAAAATCGAACATGGTCGAAAAGAAAAGCTGCCCACCGTCATCAGGATCGACCATGGCATCATCTTTCACCAAATCACGGACATCTTCAAGGAGCGTTTCGATTGTTCCTATATCAGGATGAGACTTGTCTCCTGCAGCAAAAATGTGCGTTTTCTCTCCCGCCTCAATCCAACTGCATCCAGGCACCTTCTTCACTCCTCTCTCTCTCATGGCTTTCCTCAAAGCATTCGCCTTTTCCCAACGTCCCTGTGAGGCGTATATGTTCGAAAGAAGAACATAAGCTGCCGAGTTTTGTGGTTCTAGCTCAAGGAGCTTCTCAGCAGCCATTTCTCCTCTGACCTCATCTCCATGGATTCTACATGCACCAAGAAGAGATGACCATACTCTTGCATCTGGTTTCAGGTCCTGTGCTTCTATGAAGTCATCGGCTTCTTGGAGATAACCCCACCTCCCAAGAAGATCAACCATACAGGCCACATGATCTACCCGAGCTTCTATACCGTATTGACTAATCATCATATCAAAGATCTTCCGTCCATCTGAAACTTTTCCAGCATGGCTACAAGCTGTAAGAACACCTAGGAATGTGATTTCATCTGGCGTGATATGGGCTTGTCTCATGGAATCAAAAATCTCAAGTGCATCTTCAGCGTGACCATTTTTCGCATATCCATTGATTATGGAGTTCCATGAGACAACGTTGCTTCTACGCCTTATTTCATGGAAAACTTGTGACGAACTTTTCATGTCCCCACATTTAGCATACATGTCTATTAAGGTGTTAGAGGTTAACTCGTCCGAGTCATGAGCCAAGTGGAAAGCAAGAGAATGGATAGCTCTACCTTCTCTTAAAGAGGAAAGCACAGAACACACTCGAAGAACAGTGACAAATGTTGCCTGGTCAGGTAGAGCACCATCATGACGCATTTCTTTGTACAACTTCAAAGCCTCCTCATAGAAACCATTCTGACTATGCCCTGACATCATCCCCGTCCAAAGAACGATACTCTTAGGGTTTGATAACTCTGAGAAGAGAGCACACGCCTCCACCATTCTACGTGAACTCATGTACAAGCCCAAAAGAGAAATCCCTAGATATTCATCTTCATATGAGGCCCCCCTCTTAATTATCTGACCATGGAACTGTTTTCCTAGGACCAAACTCTCTGGTTTATCACAAGCTTCAACAATGGTGGCAAAAGTGACTTCAGATGGGTGAACTCCTCTGGTCAGCATTTCTCGAAAGAGAACTACAGCTTCTTCCAAGTTGTTCTGAGAGTAACCTGCAATCAGAGCATTCACTGACACAACGCCCCACTCAGGCATAGAAGAGAAAACTCTACGTGAATCTTCAATGACCCCACACTTGGAATACATGTCAATGAGCGAGCTACCAGTATGAAGATCTGTGTCTAAGCCACATTTGACAGAGAGGCAGTGAGCTTGCTTTCCTTGATAAAGACCATGAACATTTGCACATCCCTTAAGTGTGCTAGCCAAACATGTTCCATCAGACACCATACCGCACGAATTCATCCTCCTGAACAATTCAAAAGCCTCACTCTCGTTCTCATCTTGGACATAACTCCCGATTATTGTGTTCCAAGAAACATTATCACGATCACTCATGTGCTCAAAAATCTGCCTCGCATCTTCAAGAGCTCCGCATTTTGCATACATATCTACCAATGCATTCCCCACGAACAAGTTTTTTGTTAACTTCTTCTTGATGATAATGGAGTGAAACTGGCTTCCTGTTTCTAGATCACGCGATGCAGCACAAGTGCTCAAAAGGCTTGTAAACGTAAAGTCGTCAATGTTATAACCAGCAGATTTCATATCCATAAACAGTTCCATAACCTTGTGGGCGTCGCCGTTCTGTGCATAGCCCCTTATCATCGCGTTCCACAAGACGTCGTTTCTCTCCTCCAACGCCTCAAAGACTTTTGCAGCAGCTTCCATTTTCTCGCACTTCGAGTACATGCTGACCAAAGAACTTCCAACATAGATATTGGAGTCAAGGCCTTCCTTAATAGCCTCTCCGTGAACCACCAAACCCAAATCAAGATTCGATACAAGTCCAATGGCACTTAAAACGCTTCCTAGTGTCGAACGACTTGATTTCACACCAGATTTCCGCATATTGAGAAAGTATTCAATAGCCAATGTCTCACATCCTCGCTTCCCATGCCCTGAGATCATTACATTCCACGCTACCAGATCAGGGCTTGGCATCTCCCCAAACAACAAACGTGCATCCTTCAGCTTCCCCAAACTGATGTACGTGTTTATGACAGTCACAAAAGCTAAATGGTCAGGCCGATGTCCTTCGTCCCGCATCTTCTTGAAAACCACGACGGCTTCCTCTGGCAAACCAGCCTTGACATAGCCAGAAAACAAACATGTCCAGCAAACTGTATTAGGATCCACTATCCCATCGAAAACTCGCCGAGCATCACCCACATGGTCACACTTAGCATACATATCAACAAGAGCCCCACCACAATATGAGTTGCGCTCAAGTCCCATCTTGATCATACTGCAATGAATCTGTCTGCCAACCTCTAAATTGGTCTCCCTGGCACAGGTTGATAAAACAATCGAAAAAGTGAATTTATTTGGAGAAATTAGATTCTCGAACAATGATACGAAACTCGTAAGGACCTTTCCTGGTAGCCCAATACTGGAATACATGGAAAGCATCGAGTTCCACGCCGTTACATCTTTTTCAAGCGAGTCGAAGAACTTCTCGGCATAAGACACTTGCGCACACTTGGCGTACAAATCCACAATGGCGTTGCCTAACCTGCCTGTTGAATCGATTCCAAGTATCAAGCTCTGGGAATGGACAGCTTTTCCGGTTCTCAAGGCCTGGAAAAGTCTTTGAGGCATTCCGTCGAACACCTTGCGACTCTTGCACAGTTTGCATTGCTCCAAACAAATTCCCAGGAGAGTGTTGTATATCTGATCATGGCTGGGCAAAACGAGTCCATAGATTCGACGGCCCAAGTCCGTGGAAAAACTCAAACGGCGTACCAATGATAACGAATCGAGAATGGGCGATGACTGATGCATCAAGAGAACTCGATAAAACATGATTCAGATTTCAGACCAATCAGACAAAATACGAACCTCGCTTCAGCTTGAAATGATGTATCGACTCCTCTTAGGCTCTTACCCATGAGAAACCAGAATAATCATCCATAAGAAAAAGAGTCTCGTGAGTAGACAAAAATCGAAGAACTGTGTAGATTCAAAAATAAAAACTTTTAGGCGGCAAAAAGAATCTACTTTGTCGGGTCAACCCGGAAACCCGCAGGTTGTTCAACTCTGGTTAGGAAGCGCGGATATAGGATTCTTAATTTCTTATCCTCTTTTTTGCTAATCTTTGATCCAAACACATAATTAGATGTTCGATTACGAAAATTGGTGTCTGAGTCAGACAGTGTGGCTAACCAAAACATATAAACATTATGTCTTTCATTACTCATATTACTAATCAAAACATCTAATTATGTGTTAAAGAAACTTGGTGTAATAGATGATTAGATGTTTTACATATTATATATATAGTGATTGCTATATAGATGAGTTTAGCTGCTTAAAACCAAAACGTATCGCAAAACATTTTACCTAAATAAGATAACATTTTTTATGTTCAAGCCTCAACAACATATATAAGCAGAAGGACAAACTGAATTACACAATAGATGCAAATAGGTAATTGGTAGTTTTCAAATAACGATTTAAATAAGCAGAAGGACAAACTGAATTACACAATAGATGCAAATAGGTAATTCGTAGATTTCAAATAACGATATAAAACAAGCTAAATCAAATACTATATCAAAGATAGGAGTACAATCACACTTATTCTTCTTTTCATTATTACAAGTCAAGGTTGATTTACTTGATATAGAAAAATAATTTAGATCGAAAAATACAAAATCCTTTCAACAATCACCATAATCTTATTATATTTTCTCATCAGAGAGATGATAATTTAATAAACAAAGAAATAAACTTACTTTGTCTTATGAATACATCTGGATTTTTTTTGTTAACAAAAACTTTCATCATGAGAGTCATTTTATACTATGTGAATATCTCTCACATACAATACTATATCGTTAATAATGTTTCTATATAGATATATATACATTAGAATTTATATAGTAACTCTAAATATACGTAACACATCAATAAGAAAATGTTACGATCATTCAAAGTAGAAGTACGATGGTGCAATTTTTTTGATATATAGATGATTCTAAAATGCAGTTTATATAACTTAGTAAATATGTTGACTAATTCATAAATGATATAACTATTGGTGTCTACACAAATACTGAAGTAATAAGTGGGTGGCGTGGTGACATAGCCTATATCACCAAAATTCACACCACGACTGTCTTGATAGAGGTGAAAATTCTATTTCTAGTATCCGATTGGCTGTGGTGCCTAGCCCTATACTAAAGAATTTTAGTAACATTAGACATGTAGATATCCTGACAATTGGTTATAAAGAAGACAAAGTACAATTGCAATCATGCAAATTTATTTTATATATAGATGATTTTAAAATGTAGTTTGTATAACATAGTAGATATATCAACTAATTCGTAAATGTAATAGTAAATATTAAATGTTATTTCTAATCAGGATCATACTTTGTGCAATAAATTCTCTTAAATTATTGAAGTTTTTGTCCAAATTAATCTACAAATCAAAATTACCATATAATTTTAAATTCTTTTTTTCATTTTCAAAATCTGTATTAAATAAAAATCACATACTACTTACTACTTGCTATTCGCACCTTGTTAGCTAAATAGGCTAAAGATATCTATATTGAGTTCAACAGAAAGTCTGTTAAGTTCAACGTTTTTATCATTTCCGCTAATGTTGCTTATGTTGTCACCAGATTTTCAGCTTTGAAAATTTCCACAGCTTATGGGGAACTTGAACTTCTTAAGAACTTGGAGAAGTCTGATGTTTCATCTCTAACTCCAACACCTCCATTTCTGGTCAGAGATGTCGAGATGTGGTCCATTTGCTCCTAAATCAAAGTTAGAGGATCATGAAGCTTTCTTGTGGGGTCCTACTAAGATCTATGTGGATAGCAAGAGGAGGAAGTGAGTAGTATTTTGGAATCTATAGGAGGGCAAAGAGGAGCAAGTGAGTATTTTGGAAGTGTTTCTTTTTTGATTTCCATTTTCTTGAAGTAAATCTTTTTTTTTGGAATCTATGGAAGAAGCAATTGAATATTTTGGAAGTGTTTTTTTTTTTATGTTTATGGATGTTTGAGGTTTCTACTTTTGTTTATACATCTGGATTACCAAATTTGATCTCTTTTGTACTTGAGCTTGGATCCGATCACTCTTGATATAAGTCAACAAAAGGTTTATCTCTTTGAGCAAGTAAGAAGACACTGAAATTGTAACTTTGAAAGTTTATGTTAGAAAGTCACACATGGTGATTCTCTATGCCGAATCCAGAGAAGAATTTGTTTGTAGATATGTTGACTAATTTGATAATAAAAATTAAAATAGAGTAGTAAATATGTTTTCTAATCAGTTATTTTTGATGTGGACACCATTATGGAGTCTGATTTTTTTTTTCTTTTCAAAGAATCATTATGAAATCTGATATATTTAATTTTTTTGAAGTTAACGATTGAAAATAAACTGAAACGGGACAATTAGTTGAGGTTTGTACTTTTATTTAAACGTTTTCATAATACGTTTCTTGGGAATATGCAAGTTGTTGTTGGTTCGAGTAGGCTGACCTTGCGATTATCATTGAAAGTAGGGTCTTTTGTGCAAATAGTCTAAAACTCAAAACTGGTTTTGGATAATGCGAAACTAAAATTAAAGAACGAGAGGTTACTTTGAAACGAGCCCTCTTCTTCTTCTTCATGATCAAATAAGATGATGAACACACTTCAAGCATTTCAAACAACTTTAACGCCAAACTTTCATATTCTTTTCAATGCATCAAGACATTCCATTCGCAGAACCCAATTTATCTGTCTCTCGAAATCCGGAGATGGAACTTCGGAATCAGATCCCGAGTCTTCAAAACCCGAAGGCGATACTCGGAGACAAGAACTCTTAGCCAGGATCGCCATGCTTCAGACATCCAAGGTCCGTCTAACGGATTTCTTGGACGAACGATCAGATTATCTCACCAAGTTTGCTGAAGAAGCTAACGCGGAGTTTGACAAGGTTGGAGAAGACGCCATGAAAGACCTTGACGAAGCGAGCTCAAGGGTTTGTATCAGATTAAAACATTGTAACTTTTGTCGTTCCTGCACGCAGTTTTAAGAGAGTAGAACGTCTTGTTTCAATGGCTTCCCTTGATTCTCCGATTCAACTTTATCCATAAGAATTGTCTAAATCAAGTGAAGGCATAAGCTTTCAGAGACTGTGATGTGATCGATAATCTTGCAGGAACAGAGAGACAGATAAGCTGATATTGTGTTTTTTTTTTTTGATGGAGCAGATACTGGAGAATATAGAGAGCAAGATGCAAGCTTTTGAGGAATCTGCGGGATTGAACAGATTGGAGATAGAGGAGAATGATAACAAGTTGGCTGAGTTTGAGGAGAAGATTGTGGTGGACAGGAATGAAGGATTGTTCTTCAAGAGCTTACGTGACAAAAAGCCTGTGGATGCAGAGAAAGCTAAAGAGGAGACTGAGAAAATACAAGAGGTCACCAAAGATAGTGCAGGATCAAAGGCAAGAAGGAACATCTACCTCGGGCTAATTGGGATCGTGGTTCTCGCAATTGCTGATTCCTTCGTTTCTTCACCGGATTGGAGAAAAGTCGCTATTCTGGGAGCCATTCTTATCCCGTTGCTCACTCAGTTCGTCTATGAGCAGACATTGTTATCAGAAGAAGCAGATAAGGGTAAAGGAAACAGGAAGAAGGAATGAATGAGACACGCAGAGAATTGGAATACTATGACTTGATGACATAGAGCCCAAGTGGGAAACTCATCACTTTTGGTTTGATTACATTACATCAAGCTACAGTTTTTCTTTTGCATCATCTAGTATCAGGATCTAATGATGTCTACTCAAATGATTAAAACCAATGTGTCACCCAAATGCTTGTGATGTATGTATAATCCACTATATATGCTAGTTTCATCACCTGAGCTAACTTGATTCTTGTCGACTCACTGCGATTTATCTCCTGTCACTTCCAAGCACCGATACATCACACTTCGACCTCCAAAACCGAAAGCATTCCACAGTGAATTACGGAGGAGTAATATACCTTTTTGTCACAGAAAGCTAGCTGAGCCGGCCCAGTGATCAAATCCAGGGTTACACAGCAACAGAGTTAAGCTTTTCCTTTAAAACATTCATCACGTTACCGATTCACGACAGCTCGAACAAGTATGTTCCAGGTGACAACAGTTGGAAAAATGCCATGGTTTCTAGCATCATCAAAGAATTCGATAGCATAAGACACTCTTCTGCACATACACAACCCTTTCAGTATGATATTGTAGGATATTATATCAGGCTGCAACCCCATCTTGTACATGTAACCCAAAATCACTGTCGCTCTGTTGCTGTCTCCAACTTTGAAGAATCCTTCCATCAAGGTGTTGTAGGTGACGAGGCTTGCAACGCAATTCCGATGCTTCATGTTCGCCACTACATTCATTGCATCATCGAGTTTCCCAACGGAGCACAGGCCATGAATTAGAATGTTATGCATCCTCACATCGGGTTCTAGACCTGATTGAAGAGATTGGTGCCACAGTGCAAGGGCTAATTCCATCTTCCTGTCTTTACAAAGACCGTCCAAAAGTGAACTATAAGTTCTCAGATCTGGTTTCAACCCGTTTTCAAGCATTTCCTTCACAACAGCTGATGCTTCCCCAAACTTTCCTGCTTTACACAAACCGTCAATAAGAATGTTGTAAGAAACAACACTCGGCCAACAACCGTTCTTCCCCATCTCTCTAAGGAAAAATGAGGCGTCACCAAGTCTCGAGTCTCGGATTAAACCACCCATTAATGCGTTACAGACATGAGAATTCACCTCCACGCCATGCTTACTAATCTCTGTTACCAAATTCGATGCTTCTTCTAGTCTTCCCTCTTTGCACAAACAGTCTATAATTGACGAATACGCATAAACATCAAGATGCTCACCTCCGCTCTCAACCTCTTTCATTACTGCCAAGGCTTTATTTACGTAACCATTCACGCATAACCCATGAATAAAAACACCATATGTTGTGCTGTCAGCTGCGTAGCCTTTCGCAGGCATAAGCTTCCAAATCATTGTTGCTTCGTCGATCTTCCCATACTCCAACAACCCTTTTATCAAAATGTTATAACTCACTATGTTAACTGAATTCTTCTTCTCCATGGTTCTCCATAGCTCCAAACTCTTCTTAATTTCCCCACAACGGCAAAAACCATCAAGCATAGTATTGTATGTAACCACATCGATAGAGGCCTTACTTTCGACCAACTCTTTAAACACAGTTTCCGCCTTATCAACACTTCCCACACCACACAGCCCATGTATCATACTGCTATATGTAAATAAATCTTTTTCTCGCTCATTCTGTTTCATTCTGTCCCATATCTTCAAGCAATCATCTATTCTTCCGCACTTGCTCAAACCACTAATCATGATGTTGTGAGTCTTGACATTCGGATAAACAGACGAGTCCTCCAACAGTGATTCCCACAGTTCCATAGCCATCTTGTGATCCCTTTTCTTAAGAGACCCATCAATCAATATATTATAGCAGGTAACATCAGCCGCCACTCCTCTCTCAGACATTTCATCGAACAGTTTCAATGCATCACCCAAGTTCCCAGCTTTAGCAAGATCGTTGATCACAGTGCTGTAGCTATACACATCCGGCTTCAAACCTTCTCTCCACATCCAATCCAGAAGGTCTTTTGCTTTCTCGAACTGCTTCTTCTTGCATGGCATCTTGATCAAAACATTATACGTCTGCAGATTTGGCGCCAAACCCTCTGTTTTGATGTAGGCAAACAAGGACTCGACTTTAGGCCATTGCTCCGCCTCCACGAACGCACTGAGCAGAGAGTTATACGACCGAATCCCAGGCTCGCACCCGAAAATCTCCCGCATTCGCTGGAAAACATCCAGAGCTCGATCGGGCATTGAGTTCTTTCCGTATGTTTTGATAACCGATAAAGCGACATCTTCGTCGCACTTGCATTCCTGTGACCGAATGAGCTCGACGACCCGACCCACGTGGGTAACCATCCGCGCCTCCGCGAGACGTCGGAGGATATGGTGGAAGACGACGGCGGAGTGTGCATAGCCTGGATGGCGAGTCGCCGAGTCGAATAGAGCAAACGCCTCACGCGGGTTCTTCTCCGATTTCAAAAGCTTGAGGACGTGTTTCGGAGACAGCGATTTTGGGAAAACGACCATGGGAGAGTTTTCGGTGACCGTTAAGTCTTTATTTCTCCGGCATGGTTTGGTTTCTAGCAGCTGATCTCGTTGGCCAGATCAGAGTAATCAAACTTCTTACTAGTATTCCAATTCGCCGGCGAAGCTGAGAGGACGAAAGAAATGGAGGAGTCAGAAGATTATGCAAGACATTTTTATCAGCCTGCCTGTGCTTGGAGTCAGACCTGAGAATTTAATTAGCAGTGACAAAAAATCTAATTAACAGTGTAAGCTCGTTTATTGATTATTAATAATATAAACTAAATATGGTACAAAAATAAAATATAAACTAAATAGATTTTTTAAATTTATCCGTGTTCGTTTGGGAACCAGCCAGCCACTATCGGTTCCAGTTAATCGTCAAAGGGGAAATTCAGATTTATCAATTTAAGTTTTCAAATGAAACTTAAACTTGAATAAAATATTATTGTGAGTTATTTCTTAAAAATGATTAACTGGAACCGATAGTGCCTGGTTAAAAGTGGTTTATTCCGGTTAAAGTAGACAACGTCGTCAACAAGTCCATCGTTTGAAAATGCCCCTCCCCCTTGACATTAAAGAAAGTAAACCAATTGCACCGAAATTAAACCCAAACCAACAAAACGACAAAAAAAGGTTCAGAGAACAATTTTGATCAATACAGCCTCATAACACTCCTCGCTATAGAATGGCCGTGACTATTCGCCCACCCGCCACCACCACCACCACCACCACCGGTTCCTCCTCCTCCGCCTGCAGCTCCAACACTCATTCTCCGGCTACCTTTCATCGGTGCCAAGTAAAATTTCAACATTCCGTTTTCCCCATTCTTAGGCGAATACCTTGAACTCTTATTCCTTTCCAATCCGTTGACTTTCCTCGCGGATCCACCGCCGGAGCTCCGCCAGCTAACATTGCTGTTACTCCTCACCATCCTCGGTCCTCCTCCGTTCCTCAGCTCCGGCCATGATTCCGACAACGATCTCTCCACCATTCCGCCGTTTAATCTCCTATACCTCTCCTCTTCCTCCTCTTCCTCGTACTTGTTAACACTCTTCCTGTAAATAAGCCCTAAGATGCTCCATTTCCCCCACCGTCTAGACTTCTTGTTGCTATCGTTACTATTCCCTTTCCTCTCGCCGATGATCGCCGGTTCCCGGAAAAATCCGTTATCCGTCGGTTCCATAACGTAACTGTTATCCCTTAGTGATCCTGAGTAAGTATCTACTGATACAGCCGACGAGTTTGATACTGGCGGCTTCGGCTCGTCCATATCGGCCATAACCGCTGCAGCGGTTTTCCTTATGGAGCTGGAACGGTCGAGACTCTTCCGCCTCCGTGACGATGAGTCAGTGTAGTAGTCTCGGGTTTGGGTAGACCCGCCCGGGATAATAACCGGGTCGGACGTTTTGTTAGCTGGATTAACCACCTGTTGTGGCGGGGATTCTTCCACCGGAATCTGCATATCCGATCGGGTTACGTGACGGTGCACCGGCGCATCCTCCACTACCGAAAGCATCGACGGCGGCGGAGGAGGTCTCGCCACGGGAGGAAAGGCTGTCCGTCCGATCAGAGACCCATCCCACGAAGCTCTCGGCTCGTCAAACGAGTAACGAGGGTCGTCAAGCGAGATCCTGCCGATGTCGACGGAGAATCTGCCGGCGTCCAGAGAGAATCTCCCGGCGTCGAGCGAGAATCGAGGGTCGGTGTCACACGATCTCCTGCCGAATCCGTAGTCAGCGATCTCCGATTGTGTATCCCGGAGCTGTCTCCCAATCGGTTTCTCCACCGGTAACCTGGCGGATCCTGGCCGATGATCGCCGCCGTTTCGCCGCTTCTTCATCTTCTGATTCTGCCTCCATTTTTGAAGCTTCTTGCTGAAAACAGAGGCCGCCGACCAAAAACTCCTTCGCACCGATGGCTTCTTCGTCTGAGAATCGAGATCTATGTAATCCTTCATTGGCTTCAAATCCTCTTCGCTTATAGCCTTTTCCGGGATTTCAACTTCCTCAATCTCCTCTCTCTCTTCAACAATTTCGTCGCTTTTTTCCCCAATCACCTCGCCGGAATCAGTATTAAGAATCTCAAAATCGCCAGCTTCAACGAAGTCCTCTTCAAATTCGCCGTCACTCTCAGCTTCTCCTTCATCGTTAACCTCTAAAACAGGCTCCCTGACGCTAGATTTCCTGGGCTCGACCTCGATATCGCCGCCGGAGACAGTGGTGGGAAGGTTTCGCTGCTCATCTTGGCTAAACAAGTTCCAGAGTGAGCTCCGAAGTCTGACGTCACACGACCTACGCTGTGGCTCAAACAGCCCGGAGAATCCTTCGTTGTTCTTCGACGCCGAGAACGATTTCGTACGACGGAGCTCCGGGAAGAATCCGGGTTTAACCCGGCCGTTTGTGTTGGCGTTTCCACCGCCTCCGATGTTCCCGGAAGGCTTAAAGAGAGCCTTGAGAGCCGCAGCCGAGATTGCTGGAGGTTTCCGGGACGAAGAAGAAGACGACGCAGCGGCATTGTTGCTTTGATCTAATACTGAGAGGCGTTCACAGAGACAAGACGGGCAGAAACCGGTGAATCGCTCTTCTGGGTGACGGTCGCAGGAGGTCGAGAGACGGTGTGGCTGCGGAGGTTGTGGAGGCGGAGCTAGAGCTGTGGCCGCGGCGGCGGAGACTGGGTCGGTTGCCGGATTCATGACGGAAAATGGTGGTTAATTCCTTCCTCTGCTCAGAGTATTGTCATCACTGTCTCCCTGCTTATAGAGAGAGAGACAACACGGAGGTTAGAGAGAGAGAGAGGGAGAGTTTCTGAAACTTCGTCTGGTTCCAACGGGTAATTGAAAAAGAAAGGAGATGAGGTGAAACGAAACAAAACAAAACAAAACAAGTTAAAATTATTAAAAATAAATAATAGTTTTATGAAATAATTTGTTAAAAATAGAAAATAGTTTTATTAAATAAAATTGTTCCGAGGAAAATTTAGAGAATTTTTGTATTAAAATCCAAAGATGAAAAATGGATTTTGTTAGTTTAGTATTATATTGCCTAGCTTTTTTTACACTTAAAATAATTTTGCTTTTCTTTTTCCCTCGCCAATTACTCTTTTGTTCTTTTTGTTTCACATGCCTAGGACGAAATTTTCTACACAAAAAAGAAGTTTTAAAGTGATTACGGTTTAGTGAGTTAGCTAATAAGATAGATATCAAATGTCCAAATTGACCTTATGTGTCTTCCGATTTTGTCTCGTGTAATAATATAAAACCCGTTACTTGTTGGGTCGGTGGCAAAGTGGATTATTTTCCTGCTTTGTCAAAAGCGATTTTAACTAAAAAATCAAAAATTTTCACACTGCTTTTGACAAAATAACAAAAGCCACACACATGTTTCTGATTAAACTAAATAAATAAATTTTGCTGTCTACGAAAATCATCCTTCAATTTTACTAGATATATATAAATATATTGAAGACAAAATCAATGTGGTCCTGAATCATCCAAGAAAAAATGTGTTTGATGCGTTCTTAGAACATGAAATGCATCCAAACATAATTAAGTGTATAATAGAATATTGTTGATCAAAATATTTAATATATAATTCGTTTAAATTATATTATAGTGATTTTACGAATTAATTGATAATTTAATAAACTGACAGTGCTGCTTCGCCACAGTTCTACCATAATAATCATGTCAATTATCGCATCAATCATAGCAACTGCGTCAACGATGAAAATAAATTACCAGTTAACTTTAACCACAGTAACAAAATTAGAACCTCGAGCACTAACAATTAGTAGTAATTTTTTTTAATAAAAAGAAAAATCAATAAAAGGGATACTTTGGAATTTCAAAGATTCGGACCTTACGAGCCCAAAAAAGCAAATCACGCCATCACACTCCTTATTTCTTGTCTCTATGACACTCTCTCCTTTCGCTTTCTCTCTTCTTCCTTTTTCTTTTTTTCTCTTTTTCTATTTCTTTTTTTTTTCCAATAAATCTTCTCGATATTCGAAAACTATCAGATTTGGAATTAAAACGAAGAATCATAACAAAATACAGTAAAACTTCTATAAATTAGTAGTGTTAGGATTTACAAATTTTATTAATTTATAAAATTATTAATTAATCCATAAATTATAAATTATTTTATTAATTTATAAAGATATTTTAGTTTAAATTTTTAATATTCATCAAAAAAATAAAATTAAAATTTTCAACAATGTAAAATTAACTCAAAAATATTATAATTATGAATTTAAAAGATAAATCAATCAAATTTTATAAACTTGAGACAACAATATTATCATAGTTTACTACTCCCTCTGTTTCATAATAAGTGTCATTTTGGAAAAATGTATTTGCATTATAACTAGATGTATCTCGATGTGTTTTGAAGTTAATACATCCAGTTATAATGCAGATACATTTTCCCAAAATAATACTTATTATGAAACAGATGAAGTATATTATATTATTAATATATGCATAAATGTATAAATTATTAATTTATATTATTATTGGGACTATATTTTTACATACAATTTTTTTTTAAAAAGTATTATCTTATTATCTTATCGAATTTTGTTAATTTTTACATTGGTCTGACTTGAGACTGACAAAAATTATTAATTTATAATAATTATTAATTTATCGAGTGTTACTTTATAGAGGTTCTACTGTAAAGATGCTGAAGATAAAATTTAAGTATACTATTGCGAAAATATATAATTAATTAGTTTTATCATCTTTTGCATTTAATATTCAAGAATTAAAATGTATTATATTTGGTAAGTAAGATTTATACGTTTGAACGGGGTTGAATCATTTCTTTGAATTTAAATTGTGAGAGTGGAGAAAATACGAGAAATATGGATGAAAGTTATTGTTATCAAGACTGTATTATTTGTATGCTTTTTGAGACGCACTCTATTAACTTTAACTTTATTTTCTTTATCTGATCAAATTTGTCTTGGCTTTTCTTTTTGTTTCTTTTCTTTTTTTTGTTTTTATTCCGCAAATAATTCTATTTATTTGGGATTTTTGTGGATACATATAATATTTTTGCTGTTAATATGATTTTGGAACTACATTTTGTCCTCGTAGTACGGTCTCGGAATGTCTCTAGCATGGGAAGCAACTCTTGTCCTTCCTCTAAAATGATGTCGTTTTCATCGTTTTTGGAATAATAAGTTTGTTCTTAGCGTAGAAATAAATGATATAATACCGTCGTATTTATACGAATAATATGATTACGATTTTCATTTTTAAGTAATCTTTTAAACTTGAAATAGACGAGCAGCATAGAAGGATATGTATTGTATGAATATTATCTCAGACGCGTGTGTACGACTTATTTTCAAACTAGTTACTTCCCACGTGTATAAGTCAGTCCATTATCCATCATTTGGTCGTTATAGTATTTTTGTGTGTGTATGTCTTTCTATTTATAGTATTAAAGATATACTTTCGTAGACGTAAGCATATACTGTATTTTTTTTTTTGTTCACTCGTAAGTATTTCCTTTTCCGGTTTAAATAATTTTAGCATCGTGTTCGTGTGCGTGTGTGACGCACTGACTGGCTCTCTTCGGTGCCTCGTATCCCATTAAACCTCACGCAATCAATGCCAATTAATGTGGTTGTTTATTAAAAAATTAAATGCCTAAATAACTAAAATTATTACTCCACCTTTCACTTTAACGCTCTATCTCTTTTTCCTTTCATTTTTTACTTTCTTTGTTTTCTCATATTTATCAAACCCAACTTAACTAATTAACAATCTAAAACTACACAAAACTAATTTATGAATTTTGTTATTTGTTCTAAAATTATAGGCGTCACTCGCTCCATATTATATGTATATATGACTTATAGAAAGTATGCAAATATATAATTGTGTATATTTGTTACAGGAGAATATGGAACACAAAATATTGGATCAAAGTTAAAGGGGAAAAAGAGATATGTTATCATTACAAGGGAAATTATGAGTTGGAAAAGGACAATCAAAATATGAACCTTTTTGGCCCACAACATTCGACAACTCACAGAAATCAAAGGCTTTTTGGGTTTCCCAATTTAATCAAGAAGAAAAAACGACCCGAGCTTGATTTTCACTTTTTTCTATTTCTTTAATCGCAAAAGATTTATTATTTTACATAAAAGCCTCTATTTTGGACCCAACATGCTTCTGTATGTCATTCTATTCACATTTACGAAAGTCTCTTTAGTTTGTTTCTTACTCAGATACTCCAACTAATACGTGTCCATGTGTATTGTAATTTGTAATGTACAAACACATCTCTATACATATAAACGGCTGTATTCAAGACGTCATATTGTAAGAGTAACGTTTCATATGTTTTTTTTTGGGTTTTTAACATTGTTCTCCATTTGTATACCTGTTAATATATAAACTGCGTCAGGGCAGATTTTTTTGAATTGTTTCTGTTTGTTTGTTTTTTTATTATTAAATTATAGTGAGGAATCCCAATAAAGGAGGGAAATCTTTTTTTTAGCATGTTACTAAAGCAAGACAAGAAAAGCATACAAAACAGGACAAATTTCTAGGCTTTGCTTTATTACAAAGTTTTTTTATGAACTAAAAACCTATTTTCTTAGATGAATTTGAAACTGGGCATGTATTCTCTTTTTTTTTAAAAAAATGGCATTGTAGATCCAATATATCGTGTTAACTATCATTAAACGGGACTACTATTGCCATGAAAATCAGCAGCTAGTAGAAGAAGTAGACTGTAGTCCTCAAACGAAGAGAGATAGAAAAGGCAAAGTCAAAAAACTAAAAGAGAGTTAAAATCTCAACATCATTTTGGTGGATCCGGTTTTTTGTACGTGACATATTCAATATGAACTATAAAGATATGAGATAAATGAATAAATGTATACAATGTATATTCAAATAACAAATGTTTCTAAAGCCTTGGAATGTGAGATAACTTTGAAAATCAAAGCCGTCAATGTTAACAAAATAGCAAGTGCGACAAACGATCTATATATTATTCAATTTGTAAGATGAAATATCTGTACAGTGTTTTAAGTATACACAATGTCTTGTCTACTACTGATTTGAACTAATCGGAGACAGATTATCCATCACTTGTGTTCTATTTTTGTGGTCAAGCATCATTTTGGCAACAACTTCATTAACTCTATGAGACATTTCTGGGATCTTCGAAGCTGCTTCATCGAACAACTGGCCTCTGAGTTCACCTGAGATTCGATCTCGAGGAGAAGCTCTAGATAGTTCCGACATCGACTGGATAAAAACCGCCGCAGCATCTTGCAACCCGTGCAATGCTTGACGGCAAGAAGATATTCTTTCTTGAAGTGAGTCGTCTGCAAGTGTATCATGGAATACTTCTGAAGAGGTCTTGTCCTGTGGCAGAACAGAAACAGCGAATACATAAGAACGTAAAATCACATTCAGTTTTTACATATACACAAAGATTACGTTGGCACTTGGCCTATAGAACACATATGATAGCGTGTGTGTAATGTGGATATATCAATATATGACTTGGTGAAACCTGTTCAGGATGTTCTTCTGAACTCTGTGAAGATTGATCATTCACTGTATCAAGAGGGAGATGTTCTTGGATCGACCTCAAAGTCTTGTACCCTGATTTCTGGGAAGGTGTACGTAGAAATTGTTTGGTTCCACCAATGTAGTCCCTTCTAAGAACAAATTGGGTAGAGTATCTTCTTTGCTGCGATGATTTTTCGGCCTCCACCTATGGACAAAGTACGACGTTTTTGGCCATAAAGATTTCTCTTGGTTACTAAAACATGCCGAAAGAATAGTGAAGAGAGCGCTCACCTCGTCTATCATTGACAAACTGTTATCAAACTCCTTGAGCATGTCCCCCTGCTCGGCAGAACGTTTGGTGCAGAAACTTTCTGGTTTCTGCTGTTTAACAAAAGATGTTTGGATGTTTGGAGAATTTAGAAGATCCAAACACACGTTGTAGATAGTGTTCCAGCGTGTTTCCTTCCTATGGCTGATGCTGAGAACCAAAAATTAAAAGAATCACTGTGGTTCTCCTAAAAGCAGGGAGCGACATAGAAAGAAGAATGATCGTCTTACCAAGTATCATCTCCTTGAAGCACTGAAGTTTCAGTGTCACTGGAACTTTTGGACAGGCTTCCAAGGCATGACTTTTCAGTTCTTGAACCTTGTTTTGGAGTTTGGCATTCAAGATTCAAAGAAGAGCATTCTTCAGTGTTGTCAACAGCATTCACCATAATTTTATCTTCATGTTTCTGTTGTGGAGGCAATAACGACACCCAATATCAGAAGAACTGAGAGCTTTTAGCTGAACTTTTGGATCTAAAAAGGTTACTTTTTTTGGATTTTATATTTACCTGGTTTGAAATGGAATCCTCACAAGTGGTAGAAATACCATATGTTTCCACTTTATCTTGAGCCCACTTTGGAAGCCGAGAAACGCTGAACTTAAATGAAGATGTCCATGGAGAGCGTTGCTGAATCTGATCTGCGTTCTCTTCTACTAGCTTATATTTTGCATAACATGATTCATCATTTGGATTGTCTTCCTCCAAATAACCCACAATTTGCAAAAAGTTTGCGGGTTGGGCCACAGTTACAGGAGCTAATCTACCATTTTCGTTTACTGCCCGTGTCATACGAGTAACCATTCGCAAAGGCAGTTTCCAAACAAAAATACAGCCGTCACCTGAAACCTGTCAATAAACACCAAAGGAAATTTACAGTTTGATCTCAGTTGTTCATTTCCATTTGAGGCATATTCACGCTTTTGAGCACAGAAAGCTCTCTTACGATGATTGAATTCAATAGGAATGAGACACTGATCGTGATTTAATCCAAAAGCCAAGGTTCTTACACTTGTGAATACCAGAAAGCTACAGTGAAGAAACTTACGGAAATAATATGTTTGCAATCAGGAAGGAAAATAACACCAGTCACAGCTTCACCGTGTCCTGTGGCCTGAGCAACCAACTCTCCTGTGACAAAATCCAAAAGGCAGATTGTCCTGTCAGAGTAGGAGCATGCCAAGTAGCTGCAGCTTGGGTCCAAAATAACCTGTGGAGGAGATTTTATTGTCAGCAGTGGCACATCAAACTATGGTGAAGCCTTATCAAACTATTAGTTCAACGCACCTTTATGGGATCTCCATGGTCTCTGTCTTGCTTGAATGATCTGATAAGCTTTCCACTTTCTATGTCGAATATGTTTACCTTCTTATCCTGCAATCATGCAATAAGACATCAGGCGCTCATTTAATCAGATGCTAGGTGTATGATTAATTGACTGAATGTGCTCGACACATCGAAAGGTAGCAATACCTGTCCCACTGTGACAACAAGTCCTGATGTTGGATCTACAGCCATATCATAGATGGTTCCATGTGAGAGAGTTTGAGGCTGAGAAGGTGAGATACGTACACTACTTGCTTTTCTGACGACATCATACAACTGCAACCTGCAACAGTATCAACAGTTATATCATACATTCTTCTAAAATAAACATGCAACTTTCCCATATTGCAGCATATAGAACATTACCTATCTACACCAGAAGTTAAAATTTTCCGGCCATTACATGCGAATTTAACAGATTTTACAGCAGCTGGACCACAAAAACCACCAACGGGATCAAAGTTCCTGAAAATAAGAACGTATAAGTTCGTATGGCCTTTCAAGGGAAACCAAAAGACCTTAACAAAAAGCTATGGTTATTACACCTTTTGACATCATAAACGTGGATCTCTCGGCTCTTTCCTCCAGATGCTAGCAAGAAATAGCTGCTTAAGGCATTTTCAGGATCAACATCTTTCAGTCCGGGAAAGCTGAAGCTCAATGACTGAATTTCTGCATCATGAGCATCCTGCAAGATTGTTATTACTATGAATTGGATTGTCTGGACCACAGAATACACATCGCACATAGTCAATAACAAATCTAACATCTGTGAGTAATATTACCGTAAGGCATGTATATACTGATTCTTGGAGATCATATATATGAAGGTTCCCTCCACAGTCACCAGCCGCTAAGTACTTTCCATCTTCACTTACTGCCAGTGCTCGGAAACCGAATGTGGTACCACATGTCTCAACGTGTTCACGTTCAAAAATTCCAGCACTAGCTGCGTTATAAGGACTTGATTAGTGAGAATGACGAAATGAACCAGATAAACATTCTATGGTAAATATACAGAATATTAAAGTAATACAGCATCTTCACTAGTATAATATGTTTCAAATTCCAAGCATATGTGATTATTACCTAAATGCATAGTCCCTTGTGTTTCAGATTCTGAGGAATTGCTGCTTGCATTGGCTTCTAACGAGTCCTGTTGGAGAGCAAGATCCCACAACCTTATGGTTCCATCTTCAGAACATGTAGAGAAGGAAACCCCTTCACAGCATCCCCTAGCAACACATGCAGCTGTTGGACTGTGCATATTTCCACAAGAGAGATTTTTTATATCCCAAATTCCGGCAGAATGTGATATCATCATAGAGCACCTGGTAGGCTGGAATGAGGAAGAAAAGTTTCAGCATATGCAGTTGGTGCTCTAAGCTTTTACAAGAAACTTCAGAAGTAGCATTGGCACAAGAAAAAGCTTCAAAATCAATTTTCTTTCTGTGGTAAATAGTGATGTAATTACCTTGTTCACATCATTCACATCCCAAACATAGAGACTACGATCCCCATAGATGACAACTGTGAAGCCAAAATTCCAACTTTAGTCAAAAGGAAGATTGGTAAAAGCATCATTTATGAGGTTCTTCTACACTAACCGAGCTTATCTGTGGTCGAGAACTGGCAAGCAACTGCGTCCGGAAAGATAACAGGCTGAGACTCTATATTTTTGAGTTCTTCTGAATGTGAATGATTTTCATTGTCGCTCTTTCTAGCATCTGAAAATTGTATTGCACCAGCATATTCTAAAGTTTCAGGAGTAAATAGTTGGATTGCTCCCTTGCTGCAAGCGCAGGCTATCAATCGACTGGATGCAGATAGAGCAAAACACTTTTCAACCTGAAAATTCATTGCACGCAATTATTGTTATGAAAAAAAAAAGTTCCACAAGATAACATGAACAGTACTGCTGTCTGCACGCCTAGAGTCACTCAACGCATCGCATACAAGTTAACTGAATTTATTGATAGGCTCATAAGAAAAATACAGTCAATGCCTAGTGTGATCCAATGATGGTGATAGATTATCAATGGAGAAGATTGGAATGAAATGATTGTACCTTCAGATCCACCGACTTCTTGATTAACATCCCAAAACTCATGAGCAGCAGAACACCTACGCAACAGAATTATTATTATTTTTTTTTAAAGTTGTCATTTTGTTCTCTTTAGTGTTCAATAACTCATAATCACAGTTTTAACTATGTGGAGAGTATACCTGCGTCTGTAAGAGCGTATATCGACATAACCTCTTCTGGACGTTCGTCACTTCCACTAGAATTCACTCTTTTGGCAGATATCACTGACACAAAGGAGTTTCCTTTCTGAAAACCATTATCAGTTGGCTTTCCATGAAATGCCAGAGATCCTACTTTGCTTGAACGTGTCCTCTGGAAAGAACCAACGGTCCAGAACTTCAAATGCTTGTTCCCGGAAGTAACAATGAGCTTTCCATTGGATGAGAATGCCACAGACGTAATCTCAGAGCAACTAGAACTCGCTTTGACTTTCGCCAGTAAGATGCTTTTGCGCCAGTCCCAAAGATAGATATATCCTCCAACACTCACCAGATATTCCCCTAAAGTCCAAATCCACGAAATACCATATTAAAAAACAACAACTGATCAACTAAACAAAAAACGAGAACAACCAAAGAAGAAAAACAAACCATTTGGTGAAAAGGAAAGGCACTGAGCTCCATAAAGGTGGCTTTTCAGCTCCGAGACAAGTCCCAAGGTCTCACAGTCCCATATCAAGACCGCAGAGAGATTCAGAGACTGAGAAAAATCCAATCATGACATGAAACACATCATACGATAACTTAATTTGAAAACTGAGTATCTCAACAACACAGGTAAATAGCGAAAGCAAATGCAAACAACAGCTACCTCTCCAGCAGCTACGAACCGCCCATTCTGCGAAACCGCCACACAGCTCAAAGGCTTAGGCATCCGGTGAGATACGACAAGGTGAGATTGACTGCAAGAGTCGACATCGTAGACCACCACGACACATCCGGCCAAGTAGACACATTTCGAGCTGCAGGACACCGACGCCAAACCATTGGCGTTCTTTGTGGTCAACCCGATGATCTCTTGCAGAATCAGCTGGATAGAAACAAGAAATCAAAATCCATTTGAAGAAATTTCTACTATATACATTTGCCTCGAGATCGGTGAGCGAGTGATTGATAAGGCATACCTTTGCTGATGAACAAGGCTTCTTTAATTTCTGGCCCAGCTTCATTCTGATTAGGGAACAATAACAACAGCAAAAAAAAAACCTAAATTTCAGAGGAAACGACGACGATAAACCCTAGGGAGAGTGATGGCGATCCTGGGGATCTTCCCATTGACGGGATTGTCGTTACTGTGTAGGAGGGAAACAATTGATTTTTCAAAATAAAAAATTGTCTGTTCTTAAAATTAATTTAACTAAACCCAAATTCTTATGTCCCATTTCAAAATTTAAAAGGTTTGTATTATCGCGGTTATTAAAAGTAATTGCTAATTACAAAGCCCAAACCAGTTTTAGATGGTTGCTAAATGAAGCCCGTTATATCTTGAGCCTATAAAGGCCCAAAGGCTTGGTTTTGATATATTTTATTATATGATTTTCTTGAAAATTTTACAAAAATGTTAGATATTTGTTATCTAATTATTGTTCGCCTGGTCCGTTTCGTCTTCTAAATTTCTTGTTTACCAAACGAAACTCTGGAGAAAGCTCGAGATCAATCGAAAAAGATCTTCACGTAATCTCGGGGAAAGCCAGGGGAAAATCAGGGTTTTTCTTTGAGAAAGATGAATTTCAGAAGCTTTGAGGAGTTCTGGCCTTTCTACGTGATGCAACATTCGAATCCATCAACGAGACGATGGCACTTCATGGGTATAATCGCGAGCATCGTGGCTTTGATGTGTTCGATTCTGATCAGTCGGTGGTTCGTGGCACTGGTGCCTCTGTTTGGGTACGGGTTCGCGTGGTACAGCCACTTCTTCGTGGAGGGCAATATTCCGGCGAGCTTTGGGCATCCGGTTTGGTCGTTTCTATGCGATCTCAAGATGTTTAGTCTGATGCTCACAGGAAGCATGGAGAGAGAAATGAAGAGACTTGGTAAGAGGCCATTGATGCAGCTCTCCTGACAGGAAATTTGTTTTTGTCTATAGAATTGTTATCCAGTTAGTTCGTGTTTGGCGACTCCCTTATTTTATTCTCATTGCGTTCTGCGTTTGGATTTAGACTCAGACTTATTTGTCATTAGTCATTTGGGTATATGTAACAACAAATAATGGAAACGGTCTTAAAATCCTTTTAAACCAATTGTGTGTCTTGCGTACCATAAATCTTGTATTTTCTTAATTCAAAAATGGACTCTGAACAATTTGAAGTAACGCATAAACGGACTTTATAAACTCGAAAGAAAGATGATATAAAGATTTTAACAAGAGAAAAAAAGGACGATCTAATACTAAAGTCGAATTACAGATTTTAAAAGGATACAGAAACCCCAAAATTCTAATACGAACTTGTCCCTGGATACTTTAGACGAGGTATTTAAGGCGATACTTAACAGCTCCCGGTGTACGGACAGTACCTAACATCACAAGTCTGTGTTGCGGGAAAAGGACGGGAGAGGTACGGCTTCTTGAGGCCGTAGTATCACGAGCAGGCCGAACATGCCGAGCATCGGGAGGACAAGCAGCCATTTCAGGAGCTTGTAATAATACATATGGAAAGTCAGAGAGAATTCGTCTGAGAAATGGAGCCCATTCTTGTCCACCATCTCCACCATTACGGTGCCTGTTGTTCTCACTCCAACGGTTGGTAGTTTTATTCGGTATTTTCCCGGTCGGTCATAGATCTGGCTCTGCTTTATCCTCCTATCTCCTTGGTAATTGCCTGGTACCAACAGTGTCGTCTGTACATTTGAAAACCGCTTAACTTTAGTTTCAAGGGATCAACAGCAAGAAGCCATTGCTAATCGTCTCTATTGAGGTTTGAGGAACTTACTGTAACGTTGTAGGGTGCTTGTGAACCAGATGGGTATCTGTATTTATCAACGATCTCGATCTCCGCCCAGAAGTTTTTGCCTTCCTCATCTCGGAAACCTCTTGTTGAATGCGTGACAAAAACACCTTCACGATCGTAGCGATTTGCCTTATTGTTCCTACCCTGATCAGTCGATCTCCAAGACTGGTGAATTCGAAGAACAAATTGTGAAATCAGTAATCTCCCACATAAAATAAATAAAGAAGAAACATGAAGATGTCGAGGAAAACTCGCACAAAACAGTGTTCGGGGTTAATCTTGCCTTGAGGGGATGGTGAGGAGAAGGCGTAGAGAAGCAAAATACGTTTCCATTCATAGTTGAGACAATGAGATCAAGATCATCTCCACCGTCAACATTATCAGCCAAGACCATGCTGTATCTGTAACACGAAACATCTTGCCAAATCAAAATCCACTTGAAAAGCGAAGCTACCAAAAAATTTATGTGCCGCAAGGAAGCAAGCGACTTACGAAGTTTCACCAATATCAACAACGTCAGCGCATGAGGTTGGTCCATCTATGAGATACATGTAACCGTCAAAGGATGTGGTAACAATGGTGAGTCCCTTCTTTTTCTCACCTCGCTTGTTCAGATCAACAAGAAGAACTTGGTTCATCACTCTTCCATGAGTTCTGTACGGGTAAGGACGGACAATCGAACCATCCTTGCCATTAAGAACGTAAATGTTTCCTGATGTTGTAGGAACCACAACATCAGTATGTCCATCACCATCAACATCGCCTATCGAAGGTCCCTGAAAGACAAGATTGGTATCAGTCACTGATTGTGAAGTGGTGATCAGAGACAGGTTTCAAGCTAAAAAATGTTTGGTCCCACGCGGGAATTTAAATCTTAAAAGTAAGTAACAACACGTGTAACCCATGAAAGCTCGCATGCACTGCCATCGACTGATAGAATCACGTTCCTTCATAGGACTGTTCCAAACTGTAAGAGAATAAACAGGTTTAGTTTACCTGGGGAATAAGACTCTTTAGATGTGCTTCCCAAATTTCCACTCCTTGGGTAGTCCATGCTGCTACATTTCCGTGGGTATCAGTTGTTACAAGTTCAATCTTTCCATCGTCATTTATATCAGCTGCAACCACTGCCCCTTGAATTTCAGCCATTTCGAGTGGGAATTTTTCTCTGATGTTTCCTGCAAAAAGACAACAATCTTAGAATCGAAATCAACACCAAGACTTGCCAGGAAACTCGATGATTACGCACTGCAACAAAATATGTAATGAGACTAGTGTAATGTCCTGAAATACTATTACTTGTGAGAAAATGTTTGAAGCAAATAAAGGTATATCAATATAGACAGAAATCGATTTAGAGTGAAATTTATGTCTACAGAGAAATGGACTGGTGGAATATTCAATGTAAATAAGACAAACAGTAGGAAGTAACAAGAAGTCTTACCCCGATGGTCCATGGCGTAGAATAAACCAAAGGAAGTTCCGACAAGAATATCCAAGTAACCATCTCCATCCAAATCAACAACCGTTGGGGAAGAATAAATATATGCACGGAAGTTTGCTTTATCCGTACTTAAATCTAGCTCTTTGACCCATTTAACTTGTTTAGTCTCAAGATTGAAAACCACAATTGAACTAGCAATATAGTTTTTGATGTCAATACCACCAAGCTCTTTCAGATGTTCTGGATTGTCATAATACCTGAAAATTTTGCTTATCAGGATCAGTCATATTCAGCAAAGCAAATAAACTGGAAACGCTAATATTTTAAGACCTCTTGCGTGTTTTGCAGAAAATCATTACTAATGATGCTTTTGCATTGACAGATAATGGAAACATCTTCACTGGTAATGAGATGAAACGCAAACTTACTCAGGGTCGAAGAAATAGGAAACAGCAACAACCATCTCTTGTACTCCATCTTTGTCTATGTCAGCAATTACCTGATAAAAAAGTGACACTGTAAGATCCCTCATGGAAGCAAGTAATCCTCCGAGTTCACAGTATATGGGCGTCAGTATATGAAACTCACAGGAGTGCACAGTATATGGGCGTCAATATTCACATAATCCTCTGAATTCTCGTGCTGCCCCTCGACCCATTCCTCATCACCCCACATGGACTCGTTAACATAATCGTCATAATCATAACTGTATTCATCACCTAACTCATCGTTATCACGCAACAAGTCAAACGATGAATCTGCGTCAGCTTCTAATAGTCCATCGTTTTCAACTGTGGCCATGCGAACACCCTCCTTGTTGTCTTTATTGTCAGAATGGCCGTCCGCAGATTGTTTTGAGCCATCATCTTCCAGAAGTCGCCTCCCACTTTTGGTTCCTGTCTCTGACGTACTACTGTTTCCAGATGTCCCTTCTGAGGAATTATCCGTACTAGTATTTAATTTAATAACAGTTTCATTCTTAACTTCGCTAATCTTGCTTTGATCCACCTCATTGGTGGTTACATTTCCCTTGACATTTTCAGTTGAGCTAGCTGTAGTATCATTTGCTGCCGAATTATTTGCTCTAACATCCATGGAGGAATTATGCAGCTCTGGAGTAGGCTTTACGACACCTTCTGTTTGGTTATTCTTGGGCTTATTTTCATCCCCTTGAGATGACACATTTGAAGCCTCGCCATGAAATTCTTTGGACATCGAGACTGTAACATTTGGTGTTGTTGTGGTAGTTGCATTCGTTTCTACAAAGAGGAAAAAGAGAGAGTCACAAAATAAACTTTCATCAAAAATTAAAACGACTCTGCTAATCCATGTACTTCATACACCAGGAGAAACTAATAAGCGATGATGGAATTCCCATCAGATGATGCAAAATCCATAAGATAAGTGCAAGACACAGTATACAAATATTTTTCAGATTAGCTGAGGCAGCTGCTCCAAGCATAAGCTTTACACATTCAACTAACTAAACTAAACAACCAATCTTACCAGTTCAATGTCCTCTAATATAAGGAAGAACATAAACTCAACCAAGCAAACTAGAAAACTGATTTCGAAAATTAATATGATAAAGAAACTTACGAGTGGCCGATGACTTCATTTCCATAGCTTGTTTCACAAGCTCTTCATCATGGACATCAGGGTGTGAACGGTCAACGGGGTCAGGATTCAGTCCTACATGCCAGTTCTTGTGCACTTTTCTACGTGGCACTTCTAGCTTATCTGACATCAAAAAGCCTGATACCCTGGAAACAAGAACGTATCGTATACAAACCCATGAAACTCGAAGGATCATGATAAGAGGTAAAAGTACAGATTTATCAGTGAAAGACAAAAGTACCTGAAAAAGAGCACTTCGCCATTGTAGGTCGCCAGGGCAATTTCTCTAACACCATCTTTGTCGATATCAAATAGAAGAGGACTTGCATGCACGTTTGACTGATGGAAAGCAGGCCAACCTATCATTTCATGAGTGCATCAGTAACCTCACCAAAGTCCTCGACATTCTACATCATTAGATGAAGAACCCCAAGACACAAATTTAAAAATGCGAAAGCTAAGAAGATAAGAAATGCTGTACCTGGCATCTTGTCTCCATCAGCCCCTTCAAGAACATCGAGGTAGTGAACAAAAGATGGAACAACAATGTCAAGCTTTCCATCACTGTAGCAAAAACCAAATCAGGCTTTCAGCAAAAAAAAAAAAAAAAAAATGAGCCAGCACGCATGATCCTCAACCAAAAAACCCAAATTCACAACATTAAAGTGGTGGGAAAATATCCTACCTGTTGATATCAGCAATCAAGGGTGTAGCATAAACGCTAGAAGTGACTTCAGTCTGCCATCGCAGCTCCAACTTTCTCGGGCACTGAGTATTCAACAAAGCATCTTCATCACTGCGCATCGAAATGACCCAGACAAATTTTAACAGCAAGAATACATATCTCCAATAACCGACGCTTACGAGTTAGGGAAAAAAAAAATCCCTAGCATGAATACGAACAAGTCTATCAAATTGTAGTGTTGCATCGTCTACCCACAACTCAGTACAGATTGAATCTTACATTTCGGGGTAGCCCAGCTCGTCATCGGTGGCTTTACGCTCTCTGAACTTGTTTTCCCCACAGGAGAGATTGGATAAGGTGAGATAGAGCAAAAAAATCAGCCGACAACGTCTCGCACGGGATTTCATATGATCGCACTCTGCTAATACCATACGATTCCCTTGGCACGGCAAATCGATCCAGGTACGAAGAATTGAATGCAATTATGTGGGTGAGAATTTGCAAAACCCCCAAAATTTGGGGTTTTGGGAATTGAGGAGGGGAGTAAAAGGTGAGAGGTCGAGAAGGAGAATGAGACGAAGAAGCTGATACTGTGAACGGGAAAAGTGGGAGGCTCGAGTAGATCGCAGCCGGCGAAATCGAATGACGCAGGAAAGAGTAACTGCTTGCCGTTTTGATCTAAATTTTTTGTATTGTTCCGGCCTACGAGACAGCGCGCTGTTTATTTACAACTATGAGAAATGTCACTCATTCTATTCACTTCAAAATTCGAATGTGATTGTTTTGTGTGGAGTGACGACAGGAGCTTTTCATACGTTCCGTATGTAGTATATACTCATGCGATCGAAAGATTTTTGAAGGATTGGAATAAAATAGTTGATAAACATATGAGTGAAAAAAGAAAAAGTTGCCAACATTCTTTTGCTTCTGGAGTAAAATAGAACCAATAATAATATGATACTAATACTAAAGATTACAAACATAATCATCCCTCCTAAGTACTATTACTTGAACTAGTACAAACACATTCTCCATCTAAACATACGAATCACTTAAGAAGAGTAAACACACCTTTTGCATCAAGCTAAATCCATCATCACATATGCTAAACGGAATTTTGATTCATAATAAAACCCTAAAGCTCCTCGAAACCGGGATTCTTACACATTCGAGAAAAGCAGAGTTCCTTCTTTCTTCTTACGTACAATGTTAGTATAGAAGCACACCGGCGATCCACAAATGTGTTTTTCTTGATCCAGCTTGTTGTATGTATTACGAGAAACAAACAGATGTTATGTTGTTTCATCTGCGGCGAGCAGCTTTGCTATCCATTTGAATACGGTCCGCATACATAGGCAAACGGATGATTTCCCTTATCTCCTGCAGCAACACTTCCTCTGTGATGTTGTCCTTTATGCTTCTCATCACCTATTTTTAAAATTCATAATGATTTAGACTAAACCCCATCCCATCAGGTAACATTGACATGACATGCAGCCAAGAAAGCTCTGGGTTTCTTATATAAATAACATGGTACATTGATAAGTTTATTGGTAAACAAAACAGCTCAACGATGATGATTTTAGTGGAAGAGGCTCGTTAGATGGAAAGGAAATATGACAGAAACACAAAGTACAGAAAGAAATGTTCTGAATACAAGAGGAAAGTTTGTTAGCAGAGTGTGATCGTCAAACAATAATGCAACAACTAGGGGTTACGGATCCAAAGAATATCAAGCATATAAAGGAGGTGAGGAAAGAAGTACTGACCTTTCTATAAGTGTTGATATCATTTGGCGTTGATTTATCGACCCTGACCCGCATGCTAACCCAGACTTTCTCGTCCTGATCCCAGGAACACTCTACAATCTTCCCGGAGTACTCGGCAGGGTCTGAATCATCTGTTGCAGTTTCAGTATTAGCAGCTAGAACTTCTTAGAAATAATGTAAGAGGAGAGATATCACCATACACACCTCTAAAAACAACAGTATTTCCATCCATATGCTTCTTCTTCCCTCTTTCAAACAAGGAGAGCATTCCACGGCCACTCTCGTCCTGCTCATATAGAAAGTCAACCGAGTTCATTTCTGGATACTTCCACTTCAACAGACCTTCATGGGTACGAGCGACATATGGGTCATCCCATCCCTGTTTACAGCAAAAGCAGACTTCAGATGTTCATTAAGATGCTGTACTAACCTATAACTTTACTATCTCCGTATTTTGTATAAAATATGGCTTTGGACTTAGAAGTCTAACATCAGGGATCCTCTTCCGCCTTACCTGAAAGATTAGGCCGTCGGCTTCATGTGAAAGTGATGGTATGAAACCCTTCAAAACCTTCTCAACCGCAGAAAGCAACCAGAAATCCTTTCTCCGTACCTAGTCCAGAAAACAATTGTACCAGCTCCATGAACATATACATGGAAAAAGGATTGTAAGAATGGAATATGGCATGAGAAAAAAAAATGTTAACTCTTAGTACGCACCCGAAAAGGCTCAAGATCATATCTGTAGATATGACTTCTGACCTTCTCATGATTGCGGGGTTCTATCACCTCCTTCTCGAGCATCTTCCATCTTTCGTAAAAAGGCCGCTGTTCCATTTTTGCAATTTTTCATTAGAATCTTAAGCAAATGACACATGATACAGTCATACAGCAAGCCAAACAACTCGTTGCTAGTCAATACTACTGACAGTGACAGTGTATATTGTTAAACAGATTGTGTCAAGGCTAGTTGTTCATATATTTTAAAGGCTAAACAGATAGGGACCATATATGTTCATAAATCTCAATGGCTATATTGCATCACGAGATATATCAGACATGAGAAACAACAAACACCCTAACACAACAGTAAGTCCGGCATAAATACAGCTTGATTTCTCAAATCTTCTACTATGAGGGTAATGGCAGCTATTTTTTACGATGTGCCTCAATACATACTTAGAGATATTGCGCTAAAGAGCTTGAGATCCCTTTCAGGCAATTTAAAACAAGGGAACCAATCCAACCATTATCGATCCCAGAAAGAAAAGAAATAATGACAGTTCCAACCTCTACAACTGATTGGCCGTTAATTGCTACCATATCATATATTAGGTATCTCCTCTCCTGCCTTTGTTTATCTGGCAAGGTATCGATAATCATTTCTCCATCAAGCAATGTATAATGGTGTACTTTATCAGACATGCCCTGGCAAACCAAAAAACAAAAAGTAAGAAAATTCACAAGTTTTGTGTAGATATCGATACACATCCCGCTCAACAAAGATAGAATTACTCACTTCAGTTGGGTGCTTGAAGGGGAATCGCATCTGTACCCTCCGAAATCTAAAGCTCCTATCTACTATATAACATCCATCTATGGTTAGCAGCATCATATATCGCGTTCCATCAGCCTTCCACGTTGCATAATAGTACCTCTGCCTCAACAGTTGCAAATTATCCCTGTTTTAGCACAAGTAAACTAAAATTTGAGACTTAAGAACCCCAAACGAGATGGGCTAATTGAGCCCGAAACTAAAGGGATGCATTAGTTCAATCCTCTTTGCACGCACTACAAATAATAACGTAGATAGTCATACCTGTTTAGGGAGACAGGGTGTGAGCCTGGAAATTGCGAACATCCTCTTCCCTAGATTAGAGAAAAATAAATTCAGCAAGCAAATGTTAGATTCCGCCAATGAAGAAAAAAATGAAGATATAAAAATAAACGAAAACAAAAATTTATCCTTGTTGACCTCGCCACTTGAGGGAAAAGCATACTAAACAAACCAACAGAATAGAAGTACCAGGAATCAAGTCATAAGCTATGTTTTAGGATTCATAACAAAAGTAAAGTTAATGGGAAAAAGTACCTAAAAGCCAAATTCAGCAAAAAACGAGTACTACGATGATTTTTTGCTATCGATACGTAATAATTCAAATGACCACATCCTACTTATGCAAATTTCTTAAGTAGCGTCACAATAGATGGACGTACAGCAACAGACTGAGAGAGTAAGAGGCATTAGCCACGAGATAAAAGTCAGTTACATCCAAGCGAACTGAAACTGGACCTCAAGTGTGAGATATTCATAAATTCAATATTATGTCTGAACATCGTATAAAAAGAGTTCAAAATTCATACCCCAATATTCAGCGATAGCATCTTATAAAAGAATTGCCGGTAACCTTCCTCCTGGTCAGGGGGTATTTCATCACCCAAAACGTCATCATTTGACATCTTGACTTCCACCTGATGCGTTTCTTCCTGAAATAACAAGGCATTAATAAAAAATTAAAAACTATAAACAACTAACCACCAGAAAAGCATGGAAACCAGATGGCCACTTTATCAGCTAGACAGCTATGGTTAGATTTCACTGCACCCATCAATATGCACCAGTAACTAAATCCCTGATAAATATTACTTCATGAGTGATGAAAGCTTCTGAAAAGCGAAAACGTACCTAAACCCATGTCAGAGGTTTCTTTCTTTAGGCAATACCAATGTTTTCAATGATCACTAATAAATGGTAAAATAGTATAGAAACAATATTTCTGACGCTGGAATTCAGTAGTAAGCCGTTCATCAGATGGGTTCTCTAACTAACAATGAAAAAGGCATGTCTGCAGCTTAAGAAAACGTGCAAGAAAATCACTGGAATGACACTTTCTGCATACATGTGATCAGTAACAATTATTTGTTAGCACCGAGCTTACTTGCACAGGATCAGCCGGACCGCCATCGTCATCATCATCATCTGGTACAGCTTCACCATTTAGATCAAGCTCAGTAGACCTCTTCCATTCCGGAGTTGGTGGGCAAATAACACTCTCAGGTTTTATTTCGTGATAAAACGTGTATAAAGCATCAATATAGTCAGGTTTGTAGATCCCAGGGGGGCGGGCATCGGAAAAGATTTTTAGCGCCTGACAAAAACCATCCTATGATAAGATTATAAACTCTTATGAGGTACATAAAGTGAAAATATAACGAGAGAAATGAAACTCACCTGCGTAACATTCATCGGCCGAGATCGCATAAGATAATGAACTATCATAAACCCTGTCCGGTTATGCCCATGTGTACAGTGGACGAGGATATACTTCTTTGAGTGTTTTAGATTTTGGACGAACTGATTAACCTGAAGACAGATTTCGCAAGTGAGCTACTAACACATCAAGACAATTTAAAATACAACTTCAGGTAAACATTTATGATTCATGGAAATTGACTACGAAAAAACATATACCTCATTGACAAACGTGTTGACAGACACATTATCGGGCACTGCATCACGACCCCTGCATGCAATCTACGAGCAAAGAAAACTAAAGATAAAGCAATCTGCTACAGCTGTCACGGAGGATATGGGTATAGAAATTGTGTATTCCATTTACCTTAACATGCTTAATGCCTTCTTTCTTTAAGTCTGTTGTATAATAGTAGCGAGTTGTATTTGTCAAATCAATAACCAGACCAAGCTGCAAAAGATAGTAACATTATCCAAAATAACTTAGATCATGAACATACTAATGATGAATAGGCAATGATATAATCAACAAAGTAAGGAAAAATAGATTACAAATATTACCTTTCTCCCAGCTATCCTCTGGCTATGGACCACCTGTTTAAAAGAGTATCTACTTCCAGGAGGCACATGATTATTGTAAGATTCATTCAGGGGGACTTTTGAAGGAACGAGGAACCCTATCTCATTCCCAGAAGGAGGGCAATCTAGCCAACCTGTGATATTGGACAGGCTGTCAAAGAGTCACCCTATTTAAAGCATTGGCCCAAACGAGAAGAAAAGACAAATACTAGCCAAAAGGTTTCAGAAGAAAAAAAATAGTCAAGAAATGATGACAAATAATTAGGCGAAGGAATATCACCTTGAGGGATCTTGTATCTATCATAAGCTTTAGTATTTCGATTCTGATAATACTGGTCACGGGAAGGTGGCTGAGAGTTATGCGAGGGCTTGTCATATCTCATCCGTTTCTTTCTCTCTTCACGTTCCTGAAAGAACAAAACATAATCCATCCTCAGGCTCAGGGGTGAATAACAGATTATGTGTTTGAGATGCTCGCAGTAACTAATGACTTTAGTAAATTGTATAGTGGAGTGTAGAAACTCATTAGTGTACCCGTCTTGCTATTTCAACCGCAGACTCTATCCGTTCATCACGAGATGAATAGTCCTCTAGATGTCTCACATAGGGTTCATCATCTTCTTCGGGTTGGGGTGAAGCATTTAGGTCCATCGTAGCAACCATTCAAGGGTAAATGAGCAGCATTAACCTAACACGTCCTTCCTCTGCAAGAAGCTGCCTAAGTCATTTCTGAAGGCATGAAACAAGCAAAATATTAGCAGCCGCGGAGTAAAGGCAACACAAACCGGAAGGTACGTAATGCAAACTCAAAATCCCTTCCCGATTCTTTCTAAAACGAGATTCTTTCCCAATTAAGGTCCAAAGCAGAACAAGGGATCCAACAATATCTCGGTTTCCTTCTCCAACATTTCTCAGCTACCAAACAGAAGAAAAAAAAACCCTAGAAGCGACGAATCAACGAAATCTCAGCCAAACAATTCAAATTCGTCCCCTCCTCGAAAGCATCCAGGCAACAAATGAGGCGTATCACTAACAAGTGTGAAAACTCACCGAGAGCATCCAACATCCGAGGAATCACCTAAGACAATTTAGAGCTTCCGAAGCAACATCCAGGGTTCTTCGTAACAAGAAAGCTTCGTTGATGCCGAGGAAATCAAACGGAGATGGCGAGAGAGGTTGAAGGTTCAGTTCAATCGCGGGTTCAGTGGACAAAAATTGAAATCGAAACCCTAGAGAGAGAAAATTACACGAAAGAGAGAGAGAGAAATAGTAGTTGAGGAAGGAGAGAGAAAGAATCCGACGAAGTCTTGAAATATATACTGATCAGTCGAGGCAACAAACTTATTTGTAACCAAAAAATGAGAAATACAAATAATCCCTTGATAATAAGTATGCGGATTTTAATTTACCAAATGGCAGGGAAAAAAAAGGGTTACAAGATAATACAAAGGGTGTAATGTTGTGGAGAAAAATAAAATAAAATTAGTATTGTTTTTTATGTGTGTGTGTACCTTTTGTCTAAATAAAACTGAAAATTGAGTAAATTATTTATGAGTAATAAATCTAACTACATATGGGGGGAAAAGCTAGGAAATGTTAAAATTGTCAAACATATCGCGAAATTAACACAAGGCATAAAAAGAAAATGACAAATATTCTTTTAGAAGGATAAAATGAAACTCCGTTGCCGGGACTCGAACCCGGGTCTCTCGGGTGAGAGCCGAGTATCCTGACCAGCTAGACTACAACGGAAGTTGTGAGTAACAACGTTACAACGTATTGACAATGTTTAACGCATGAGAAAAACAAAAGAAACCAAAGGCTGCTTTGTGCTCTGCCTCTGAACATCTGACTCAACAGAAAAATCCGTTTCATCCTACTTTGACACAATTTGTCTGTAAGAATACGAACTCAACACACGAGAATATCTTCAAAAATCAATTTCTGCAGTTCTGCCGCTCAGATATTATAAAACTAATGGAACGTTAAGAAAATAAGATGAGCATTCTACTCGAGCCAATTTGGTTCCTGGGTTTTAATCGCATCAGTACAAGCACATTTGAGACAAAAGGCATTCTCACAAAGATTCTGCAGCAACACAAGAGAAAGAAGACACACAATATTAGTCACATAGAAGAAAGAAGTAGCAACTTGATGAATACTGCAAAATCAAAAATTTAAATGATATTATGTGATGGAAAGGGAAATAAAGGGAAATATATGAGATCACAATCTTGCAACAACAAAAACAACACTTGCAGAGAAACAAAGGTTTTGGCTTTAAAGGAGTTTTTCAGATTTTGGTATCTTAAATGTTGATGGAGTTGCTTCTTTTGGCTTCATGTTTGAGAGGAAGTTGGAGAGACCATTGGTTAATGCAGAGGTGGTAATCAAAGAAGCTCTCAGTAAGCTGATGGCCTGCAACACAAGTGTAGATTTCAAAAGTAACCAAATTAAGTAAGATTTTCTAAAAAAATAATAAAAAAAAAAAGTAGAAAGAAGTAGAGAGGTGTCATCATACTTCAGTTTTGCCAATGCTAATCACTTGCTCCTCGATATCACCGATATTCATCTGCAACTTACTTAGCAATGAAATTGTTAAGGATGAGTTCATAGGAGTGACAACTAGATCATCTGACACTATGAAATTCGTTTCCCCTTCATAAGTCCAACACTAGTTGAATCTGAAGTGACCAATGGAGTTAACTTGGCAATTCTTTCACCGTCTGCAAGAACACTACTCTTCTTGATGGTTTTGGAGAGCCTGCTACTGTTATAACTTCGACGTGAAACCAAACATTCGTATTCTGGCATCTCTTGGATGACAACATCAAGAAGCTGTGTTCGGCAACTGTAGTAGTAAGGAAGCTTGCACTTAAAACCAGTGGCTTCTTTTCTCTGCTCAAAGCTCAAGTCTTTCACGCTTCTCCGCAGATTCCCAACACACCCCATAATCACATTGTCAACAAAGATTTCCCAAGCAGACTCAAGCGGTATAACAAGAAATGTGAAATGAAAATCAACAAACTCTTCTCTGCATTCCGCATAGAGGATCGCTCTATCTGACTTTCTAATGTAAACTTTCAAAGTTACAACTTCACTGGCTTCTCCTGAACCTCTGCTTTCTTGCACCAGTGGTCTCAACATTTTAGGCTTTCTTGCCACACAATATTTCCTCAGGAATGTGTCTGTCAAGGGAGCATCCGAAGTGAATAAACACCCTAGAAGAGTCATCACCTGCATTTAAACAATCAGTAAAGAACAAGTCTTGCCAGAAATAAGATCCAAGAACATAACATAAAAGGTTAAAATGGCAATGAAACACTCAAGTACCTCTTCAAAACCAACATCAATAAGCATTTCTTTCAGCTTATCGAAACCTGCATAGCCAAGATCATTGAGGACATTCAGTACAAGACCAATAGAGTTTAGTGCCATTTTCAGATCATCGGTGATGATAAATGACGTTCTGCAGCTGAGAAATACTCCATCGACTTTATTTCCTAAACAACCATCAGCTTGCTCTGCTTCATCAAGATGAAACTCGCGGGTCATTAAGCTTCCACAGCTACACCTTAAAGTACTAATAGTGCTGTATACCTTACAACATGACTCGATAGATATAAAACTTGGGCATAGGAAGAACTTGGTTTCCTCAGTGTCATCTACGTTCAGCTTCAGCTTCCTGCAATGGCTCTCCTACAAACTCTTACAAGCTTGAGTCTCGAAATTATCAACGTCCATCTCTGAAACGCTTCTGTAAAGATTGTGAAAGCAACCAACGATTGAAGACTGAGGATTTCGATGCTTCTCCAACAACCTGACAATGGTTCCCATAGGAAGAGTCAAAAGGCTGCAGAGTACATCAGCAAAATCCTTACCAGTCTCAGCCAAAACAACTCTGTTTTTCTCCTCATCGATGAGAAGTTTTAGGGTAAACTTGGATTTCGCCATCAAAAGATGAAGAAAGGTACAAGATTAAAGAAGAGATAAAACAAGGAAAAAACATAGGATATATAGTTAACTTTACATCTTTCTAGTAGTGAGGCAAAATCATATATAGGAATTAACAGTTGATTTTATGATAGTGTTTAAAAACACCCCTATATCTTCTTTTTTACTTTACATCACATCCTACTGGCTACTACTATTGAAGAAAATTATTAGGATCTAACTTTTAAGCTATTTAACCATGATTTTTCTAACACTTTGGGTTTAAGGATGAAATGTATAAAAATAAAAGGTTGATAAAGTTGAACAGAAAAATGAATTATAAAGTTATAACACAACTTTCTGTTTTCAAATTCACTTTTTAGTCCATGATATTAAGAAAAGAACATGGACAAAGAGTCATGGATTGGTTAACAAGATAAAAAGAACACTTGTAGATTCTAAGAGCCCTAAGTAAGAAAGACCTTGAAAGATGAAAATCCAAATTTTCCAAGTGGTTGATGAATTATGCAATGACAACGTTTAACTAACGAATGAAAAAAAAAAAAAAAACAGAAAATAGCTTTGTGCTCTGAAAATCGGACTCAATAGTCAAATCCGTTTCTCTCTATGCCTAAGAGCTTGCAAGTTTCCATGAGTTTACAAGTCTGAACGTCAATATAAATGACTTAAGACAGTGAGAAGTTGCAGGCATGAGTCTTCCCTCCATCGAGTCTATGTTGTCTGTAAATACGCTAATTTATTCGGTTTTCCGGTTTTGGGTCCTTAATGAATACCGAATTTGTTGTATCTCTTTCGTTCGGTTTACTTAATGGTGGGTTACCAGATTATTTCGGTTCATGAGAATTTCGGGTAAATTTAATTTACTTTAATTTATTAGAGTCATTTACATAAACAGTAGAAAGAGATGTGCTTCCCCTTCCCATCTTCAACTAAAAGTAAGTATGTGGCGCCATAGCAGACATTAGCTCCGTCAGTCAGGTCTGTGCTGTAATTGAAGAGAGATCTCAGGGAAGGAGACATTATTTTTAACTTCTGTGAGTATTGTAATAACTTCTACCAATGGAGTTTGGATCTTCAATTGGGTCGTGCTTCGACGCAGCAAACTCTCGTGTTCTGATCTCAGCAAACCCTGTGAAGACCAGAGATATCAAGTTGAGAAGGACAAGTAAAAGATTCTTATTCAGAGTCTCATCTGTGTCGTATAAGGAATTCGCCGAGTCTGCTCTGGAAGAAACCAGGAAGAAGCTCCTTCTTGAACCTTCACCTCTCCAGGTATTCGCTATTACATTTTCTGCTGATTCTTGAGTGTGTGGAGGGTTTTATCCATCTCTCCTGCTTTCTGGAAATACTTTGAATTTTATGGTACATTCAGTTGAATTGTCTTGTCATTTGGTCAAAGAAGGCGAGTTTCATAAATGTTATCCCTTTGTTTTGAGTGATATTTCCTCACAGTTCCTTTGCTGTTTCGGTTAGATCAAAGACTCTGTTAAAAACATTTGAATCTCCATATTTTTCCTGGGATGTGATGTCTTTCTCTTATGCCCAAGGTCTAAAGATACGAGGAACTAATTTGTGTTTCAACAGTAACTTTCAGATTTTTATTTTTCTAATAATCATTCAACTGTTTCAGGAAAAGTATAGTAGCATGACAGGACTGGATGGGAAAACGCAAATTCAGATGCTTGCTTTCAAATCTTCAAAGATTAGACTCTTGCGGAGCATGGCCATCGAGAACGAGACAATGCAGGTATTACTTATTCTGAAGATTCAAAGGCACTACTAGTATATATTGATTACATGTTGCTTTAGGTTCCTTTCACTTTTCTGTCTGTTTGTTTTCTTTTTTAATCGGGTACTATAATGAGCAGGTTTTTGACTTTGCTGGTTTCATGGAGCCTGAATTTGATACGCCCATATTCTGCGCTAACTTCTTCACATCTGCCAACATCAACATAGTGGTGCTGTAAGTTATCTTCTTCTTGCTTTTTTTCTGCTAGTTATGTCATGCTTAAGTGATCAGGTCTGTGTTGACCAAAAAGATGGAGACTTGATGTCCGAAAGCTTTCTGTCTGCTCTTCTTTAGGGACCTAAACCCTCTGCATCAGTTGACTGACCAGACGGATTACCAAGACAAGTATTACAACAACATAATGTCCATATATCAGAACTATGCTGAGGTGAGAGCACCAAGAAAACACTAAACTACTTAGTTGCATAGTGTATGAAATAATAATAATAATGATGTGAGGTTTCTTGCAGATTTTTCCATGGGGAGGAAAACTGACAGGTGAATCCATAAAGTTTTTTTCGCCTTTGGTGATGTGGACCAGGTTTTCGTCTAGCCAAGAGAAACATAAGGCTTTGTTCTCTGCGTTCCTCGAGTATTATCAGGTACAGTGTACTCTCTCGTGCTGTGTCCTGCCAAAAGCTAAGGTTTTTAAAGTGAATCGATCATTTTTCTTACCCTACAGGCATGGCTGGAGATGACAATCCAAGCGAAGGAGGAGATGGAGCCATCTCAAGTGAGAACCAATCGTGAAGCACAGCACAAATACCTTACATGGCGAGCACAGAAGGTGTGATTCATTTTCCTCTGTAATTCTTGCATGTTTGATACCAGAAACTTTATCTTTACTATTGTTACCGTGGATCTTGTTTGTTTGCTGGCAGGATCCTGGACATGGTCTTCTTAAAAAACTAGTTGGTGAAGCAAACGCAAAGGTATAATATAAAGATTGATCTCATTAGTGTTTCACTTTTATGACATAATTTGTTGTTAATAGATGATGATTTGAACAAAATCAGGAGTTGCTGAGAGATTTCCTTTTCAACGGAGTGAATGAGTTGGGAACAAAGACATTCACTGATTACTTTCCAGAGTACAAAACAGAAGATGGAACTGTGAGTGACAAACGAAGCATCGTTGGCAAGTCTTTTGAAACCCGGCCGTGGGATTCAACAGGGCAATTTATCGGCTAACTTCTTTCAATTCAAACTATGAAAATTATAGATTATTTTTGTTTTCTTCAATAATCCGACGAAGTCTTGAATATATACTGATCAGTCAAGGAAAAAAAGTTATTTGTAACCAGAAAAATGAGAAACACAAAAAATCCCTTGATAATAATAAGTATGAGGATTTACCAAATGGCAGGGAATACTACAACGGATGTAATGTTGTGGAGAAAATTAAAATTAGATTATTGTTTGTGTGTGTGTGTGTGAGAGAGAGAGAGAGTTTTGTCTATATATCACTAAGATTCATCTGCAACTTGCTTAGCAATGAAATTGTTGAGGATGAGTTCATAGGAGTGACAACGAGATCATCTGACACTATGACAAAGACATGAACCCAAAAAGACATGAACCCAAAAAGACATGAACCCAAAAACTCTGAGAGCTTTCTTTATATACTCACTTGCTCCTCTCATAGATACCACCATAGATTCCACTAGGACCTGTTTGAAAAAACAAAACAAATGTTAAATATAGAAAATTAAAACGAGATATATAGAATGCAAATTACAGAAAATTAAAACGAGATATATAGAATGAAAAATAACATTGATTTAGCTCTTAGCTTGCTCTTACCCCACATCAAAGCTTCAGCATCCTTCAACTGTGTTTCGGCAGCAAAGGGGCCCGATTTTGACAGAGCTTGTAGGATCAACACATCTCTGGCGAGCATTGGAGGTGAGAGATTTGAAGAGACATTTTGAACAGGCTTCTCCCAGAGTTCGACTGAGGCCAGAAGATCCTTAGCAGCTCTGACTTGATCGGAATCTTTGAAGACTTGGTACAGGACAATACCAGTGGGGAAGGCCACGGAGAACTGGACAAGCTTGCCATAGAGATCTGCAGAGACATTTTTGGCATATCTCCTCAAGAAGATGCCAGTTTCTGAAGAGAAACGATCGGTGGATGGTTATCATTTGGAATACCATACAAATTCAACACAGATTTCATAATGAGAAGAGAAAAAGGGAAGGAAAGCTCCTAACAGTTACGTACCATTGCAAGAGGAGAAGAGTACAGCTAACACCGATCTCATGTTTAGCCGTGGAAAATTAGGGTTCGTCGTTCCTCTCTGAGTGAAGTTGTGATTTTTATCGTTGTAAGGGAGCGTTCAAATAGGCCTACCCTTATACAAATGGGCCCATAGCTCTGCCAAAGTTGAATCGCAAAAGGGGACCAGTTACTTGACCCGGAAGTAACAGTTGGAATTGTTTTATCTTGTCTTTGTGTTTATGATACAGACATAAATAAATTATTCCAGGATCCCATACCCAATCCAAATGCACAAGCTGAGTTCCAGAAAGAAGTCTCTCACTCCTAATTCCAAGAGACTGGTAGATACATGGAATCGATTCAAGAGCATTGTTGATTTGTATATGCCAAGTGGGCACAAGTGTCTTTTGCCGACAAGTTCTTCGACTCTCTTGATAAAGACGTAACAGCTTCGAAGTCGATGCTAAGTGTGACCATGTTGATATGTATGCTAAGTGTGACCGAGTGGGTGATGCTCGGCGAGTTTTCGAAAAGCTACAGAAGTATTCGAGGCATTCGAGGAGAGAAACGACGTCTTATGAAACGCGATGATATGGGGCTATGCACAGAACGGGGACGCCCACAAGGTTATGGAACTGTTTATGGATATGAAATCTGCTGCTTATAACACTGACGATTTTACGTTTACAAGCCTTTTGAGCACTTGTGCTGCATCGCGTGATCTAGAAGCAGGGAACCACTTTCACTTCATTATCGTCAAGAAGAAGTTAACAGAAAACTTGTTCGTGGGGAATGCATTGGTATATATGTATGCAAAATGCGGAGCTCTTGAAGATGCGAGGCAGATTTTTGAGCACATGAGTGATCGTGATAATGTTTCCTGGAACACAATAATGCAAGCAGCAATTCCTCACACAAGGGACTATGCATGTAAGTAATTATCACATATGCTTGGAATTTGAAACATATTATATACTGGTGAAGATGCTGTATTATTTTAATATTATGTATACTTACCCTAGAATGCTTATCATGGTGCATAAATTCAGTCATTGAGATTGAGCTATATAGCTTTTCCCGGACTGAAAGATGTGATTCTGAAAATTTTAACTTGCAAGTTTATTTGAGAGAAAATTATGACAAAGTTGTTGCAGGTTGCAGTAAATGAGCGTCTCGTGACTTATTTCATGATTGCAGGATAAGAAGGTAAACATATTCGATATCATTCAAGCAAGACAGAGACCATGAAGATCCCATAAATGTGCATTGAACAAACAGTTTGATAAGGCGTCAGCATTCTTTGATGTGCTAGTGCTGACGGTAAATTATACTTGAACAAAGGTCGATAAAATGCCTAGCTCTAAAATTAGAATTCCCATTCTCGAGAAAGTGACGATAAAAAAAAAATTGTTTTCGCCAGGAATTTTTGCATAATTAACAATAAAAATATATCGAAAGTGAAAACTAAAGAAATTATCAAAACAAAACATTTCAAAAGATAATAGCATAAATCTGAAATTGACAAAATCAAGAAAAGAAATCATCATACTACAACGGATGTAAACGGTGTCACAAAAAAGTAAACTTAATGGACAAAATCTACTCATCGTCGAACAAGCCGAAACCACCATAGTCTTCTTCCTCAGATTCTTCAACCTCTTGCTTCTTCTCCTCTACCTTGGCAGCTCCAGCTGAAGCACCACCACCAGCATCCGCAGAGACCGCTGCTACAGCAACCGCAAACTTACTAGGATCCTACATTCCAAAATCAAGCCAAGAGAGTTAGCACCAACAAATTTGAACGACTAAAGCTTCAAAAACATAAACACAATTGAATAATGACTAACCTTCAAGAACTCCTTGACCTTCTCTGCCTGAGGGAAGGTGTACTCGGTGGCAACAGAGATAGCTAAGGCATTCTTGTAAGCATTGATGAACATATGCGGAGCAGCAGCAAGGGTCGGGTAAGATATAGCTAGAGCCAAGGAAGTGACCATGGAGATACCAGCAGCAAACTTCTCGACGAGGGCATCTTCCGTCATATCAAGAACCTCTGGGCTGAAGACTGAGCCATTGTCATAAACAGACTGGACAACAAGACCGTATGAGAACGGCCTGATGGCGAGCTTGGCGAGAAGGGCAGCCTCAGAAGAACCGACCTTGTCACCTTTCTTGATAAGCTCAACAGGGGTGATGATTTCAACAGTACCCTTGTTAATCTTAGTTGGGATATTAAGAACCTACAAATTCCCAAAACACAATGTGTCAATAACGTTCAAATTTTTGTATTCAAACGAAACAAGTCGAGTGTTACAGTGCGTGATTAAGCAAACCTGGAAGAAAGATGTCTGAGATGGATCGAGACCGGTGTTGCCAGGTTGGACAACCACATCAATTGGGGCAACCAAACCCACACGAGCAGGAGCTCCAACCTACAAGACAGACATATAAAGAGAGATACTTCCATTTTCAATCCAATATCACATTGAGAAATCAACAAATATTAACACAATCGACTACACAAGTTGATGCAAAAGACACTAATCATTTTCGATACACAAGCTATAAAGAACAGTGTTGCAGATTCCTCATTACCGAACATCTATATGTGAAACTAAGCTATAAACAAAATCATTTCGCCATTATTAAAAGTTATAATCAACCATTTGCTAAGCAGATTTAGGATTAAAGGACTGGATCAATTGACCAACCTTGTATTTGGCAACTTCTTCACTCACTTCCTTGAGGTCTCCCTTGGTGAAGATCAAACCAACGTTGCCCTAAAAAAGACAATACACAGAAGCATCGCAATTACAATCTACACTCAACATACGCAAAAGCGTAGAGAAAAATCTTAAATCATTTTCGAGAAATGGAAATCTGACCTGAAGGAGGGGAAGCAAGTTGAGGATTCCTGTGTTTCCGGTGTTCTCTGAGTGGATCCTGACGGAACGCTTCATCATAGTGTTCTTTCCCATGAGCACCACTGAGTCACCACGAAGACCCTTCCTGATGCTCTGTAGCTGAGTCGATCCAACGTTGTCGGCGGCAACGACCAGGATCTGGGTGTACTCGTCGACAAGCTGACATAGCTTCGTGTCATACGCGACCTTCTTCTCTGCCTTAGTTGCCTTCACCATTGTTGCTCACACAGGATATGACTCGGTTTCCTCTGTCCAGAAAGAGTTTGGCGGAGATGAAAGAAATTAGGGTTTTCGTTTCAATCCTTTTATACCTTGAGAAAACAGCCACAGGACAAATGTATCTAGGGTTTTTAGCGATCTGAATCTAACGGTTCGTATCTGCTGATCTGACGGCTCTTGTTTAGTTCAATGATATTGGGCTTTTCCCGAAACTGGGCCCAAATCCAGCATTTTACCAATGCCTGAAAATGTGGAAACCAACAACCATTTCACCGATTGAAACCACCACGCGTTCTGATTTTAAAATACTAAACGGCACACAGTTCAGTAGAGACTAAATCAGTTTTGGGTCTATTTCATCGGTTTCCTTGCATCTTCCCCCACACTTTTGTCCAACTTATTTTTGTAAGGAAGATACAAAATGACGTCATTGGGTCCGCATGGCAAAATTTAACAGAACACACAGACACATCCAAACATGTGGAGCAGTAATGCATTTTTTTATCAAACAAAGAAATCACAAATTTAAGACTGAATCTCAGGAACAAGTTCATTGATGTCAATTTCCACTAGAGTCTCCTTCCCAAACAAAGTAAATCCCACCGTTGCCTGCAACCATACAAAAATAGACATCTAAACAAACAGATTTACACAAATTAATCAGCTTTTCTTCTATTCACATTAATGAGCTAAAATCAGTCACTACCTTTGCGGTTTTGCGGTTCAGTTTCTTTAGATTACCAACAAATTCAGCAAATGTCCCTGATAGAACTCGAACCGTAGAACCAGCCGCGAGTTTCTTCTTCTTCTTCGCCTTCGAATCCTTTGTTTCAGTAGCAAGACTAATTTTTCTCGAGGCTCTTTTCGGTTTAGATTCCGTGAGAGATTCTACAGTCTCAGTAACATCCGAATTAGATGCGACAAGTTTCTGTGATGCTATACTCGCTTCCTCTTCAGCTCGCTGTGCCTCCTCGAACTCACTGTCTGCTTTCTCTTGTTCTTCTTTTGCTTGCTTGAAAATGGCTTCCAAGTCACTGTCGTCTACTGGTCTCGGTTTATTAATCTGTCTCTTGCTGCATAAAAACGCAGATACACATCAATGCACAGAGACCTTTTAACACAGCCATAGATAGTGAGAGTGAGAATACGCACGTGTTTCCAACTTTTGAACCTATGAAACCTCCAACCCCATCACACTCTCTTATGGAGTCGTGGATCTCTTTGTTCAATATACATCTGATGAAAATGCAACCCGGGAACACGGGTTTCGGTTTAACCGATAAAGAACCGTTCTTTAGCTTTCTCTTTACCTGAACAGCTGGAGCATACACCTGGAAAACGAAAATTCGAAAGCCACTTGTTCCTTTAAACTCTATGTATATGAACTATTATCACCGTCCTGCTCAACGATTCTCTCAAAGATCATAGAATAACCGAAAATCCAGTAAATGAAACAACTTTTTCACATAACACATGATGCCTCGTTGTCAAAATCCAAACTCAAAAAGATCACACAATAACCCAAAATCTAGGAAATGAAATTCGTAAAGTCCATCTCAGGAAAGTTGAGATTTTTAAAAACAATTCTCACATACCAATCAACAATTGTTTTAGATTATCTCAACACTTCTCACAGATACAGATACCACTTTGTGTTCATCACACTATCAAATTCAAGTATCACAAAATATAACGGAGAATCCAGTAAATATAATTACCGTGAATTCCATTTCAGGGAATTGACGAGCCAGAGCTCGAGCTAAGACCTGAGCAGTCTCATGACCCCGAAGTCTCGAAACCCTCACGACCCACCATTGCGGACCCGACTCAGCCAAAGTGTCCAGATTCAGCTCCTCCGTCCACGACGCATACCGTTTCTTCGGTTTCTTAATCAGACGCTCCTCCACTTCTTCTCGCCAGCTATACCCCGATTTGCTCTCCCGCCGCTCGTTCCGGAGCTGCCGCCTCTCCCTCGCCGTCAATTGGTGGTTCTGTTCGGCAACGCAGGCGGATATAGAGAGATGGGTCGTTTTGATAGCTGTGTTAATCGACGGAATTAAGCTGGTAGGACTCCATTGGAGAAGTCCTCCTTGCAGTTTCATCATCGTCTGTTTCCCACAAAGTTCAGTTGATAAACTCTTCTCTGTTTTGTTTATTCTGATTAGGATAACGTTTTGGAAACATTTTACCGGGAACCGGTAAATCCCAATACCGGTATGAAACTAAACCGGAGTAAAATTCCCGAGCCAAGTTACAAATTCGAATTATTAAGCACGAGTGCGGAGAAAAGATCATGACACTAGCATATAGTATGTGTCTATTTATTGTTTTTGATCTCAAATACATCTTAAATGTTTTTAGGTTATGAGAGTTCGTCTAAAAACTGAGAATTTGTTACCTAACCGTGTGTATGTTTACGTAGTTCGTTTCAAATGTCTTTTGTGTTTTTTTGTGTGTTTTCTACTCTAGATTAAACATACATATAATCTATATGTTAGTGTTATACAAGCGGAAATGCAACCCGATAAGCATAGTAAGACAATACATCATACGAAAAAAAAATTTCATCTTGACGAAACATATACAAATTAAAAAAGAAAACAGTTGGTAAGTACCAATATGATATTGAGTTGAAAATATATATATGAAGTATAAGAACAAAAGTGACAAACGAAAAACACATATATATATATCTTCATCTTTTTCATATTGTCCAGACGGGAGATCTTTAGACCTATAGAACTTAACACTATAAAATAAGTGAAGTCTCTCCTTTGGATTTTCTTTATTATCAGAAGATTCAGAACAAGAGATCTCTGACGTCAACTAAAGCATGCATATGAGTTTTACTATAACGAGAGCCAAACGATTTAGGCAAGATATCCCATTCTAAAACTGAAATCAGATCGTTTATTTATCTCCTTTGAAAATATTTTTTGTTGGTACAACTCTTAGTTTCGTTGCTTTGATTGAAGAAGAAACGTTGTTTCCAGTATTATTTAACCAAAAAGTTGGATAACTGACAGAAAAATAATATATTAAATCACATTTTACACACATACACACAATAGTTGGTAACAACTAACAACATTGGAATGGACTACAAATTCAATATAAATATTTGAATTATGGACTACATCAAAATAAATGGGAGAGAGAACCAATTAAACAAATCTCAGTTAGTTTGAGATTGTCTTTTTGAACTCTAAATAATATTCTTATTGTTTTCAAGAAAAGCTTTGTTTATCTTTGCTAACATTTCGGAAGATCCGATGGTGGCGGTGGCAATGTAGTCGCCTTCGTGGGTCCGTTCTTAACCACAAAGATCATCCCTAATCCGAATGGCAAATGAACATCGATATGACAATGCATAATCCACGCACCTGAATAATGTTTTCATAAAATGTAAGCTTCACGCATAAATAGTTAACTATACTTTAGTCGTAAAACGTAAATGAAGAAAACCGAACCGGAATCCGGTTGAGTTATACCTGGGTTATCAGCTGTGAAACGTATCACGGCCCAACCACCAACAGGCACGGCCAATGTGTTACGGAATTGCGGGTTGTAGAAATTGTACTTGCTCCGGTCACGGGTCGGGTCATAATTACCGAATCCTTGAGCCAACACGTGGAAATTGAATCCATGGAGGTGCATCGGATGACTCTCCGCCGCGATAAGCGCGTGGTTCTGCAGCACCAAATCCACCGTCGAATTGAATTTCAAGATCTTAGCGCTCGTTGATTTTTGAGCGAACAATAGTCCCGGGTTCTTCTGGGTTATGTTCGGGTCCGTGTAGTCGAATTTAACCGGAGGCTGGTCTGGAAAATCCGCCGTGAAAACCCCGTCGACGCCGTTGAAAACCGCTTCCAAAATGGACAGCTTTTTGGGTAAGACGAAGGAGTGATTGTTCATCGACGCAGAGAATTTCGGACACGTGGTGTTATCTGCGCATGCCTCTAGCCCGAGCCCGATGGTAACGAGCATCTCTTCGTCCACGTGGCGAGGCACTGGGACATAGTGGGGTCCATTGACCAAGCTGGTCAGATTCGAGTAGAACCTGTGAGCCGTTGGCGTGTCGAAGAAGGAAGGCAGCTTCGGCATCAACACGCGCTTCGATCGCCGTGTTTTCGACGCGCCTCCGACGTAGTGGATGACGCCTCTGGTGGTGGTGTTGGGAAACGGCACGGCGGGTGCGCTGGCGTAAGGATGAGCAGCCATGTAGTAGGAAGAGCCGATGGACTGATCGGCGTGAAGGAGCGCGTCGACGGTTTGGCCCGGTGCGATGACGATCACGTCGGTGACGTAAGGTTTGGTGTAGACTGCGTCAGCGGCGACAACTGTCAGCCTGTGATTGGCTATCTTGAAAAACATTTGCATGTTCATTGCCGCGTTTATGAGGCGGAGCAAGTATGTATTCCCTTTTACCACATCTAGGCTAAACATTCCTGTTACAGTTAATTAAAAAGAGGGATTAATATTACTGTATCCCACTTTTATTTTAGTATATAACAATATCGGATTAGATAAGAATATGTAAATAGCTTTGGTAGTGACAAAGGTACGTATAACCACGATTTTGTTATTATGAGCTGATCATGCAATATGATTAGAATAAAACGACATGTTGTTTTGTTTGTTATAAACGTGTTTGATGGATGGTAAAAGATACCTACCATGTGATCTGGTCATTACGTACGCAAATAATTTAATAAAATGACATGATTATGATTTATGCAAAATACGATAAATATGAATTCTAACACAATGCCATTTCTCAATCAGTTGAAGTTGTGATTGTTTACTATACTGTCCAAAACCGTTATTCCTTAATTAGTAGTGATTAATTAAAAAAAAAACTCAATCGACTCACTGTCTTTGGAGCATGGATATAGGTTTCCGGGTAGGCCATTGATCGTATAAGCGTCGGAGTTGTTTGGAGGAACTCCGGTGGCGATTGCCGTCTCCTCTAATGCGACTACATCGGTGTTCCACCATTCACCTGTTTAATAATACAAAATTAAAATATTTATTACTATTTTCATTTAGTTAAAAATTTGGAAGACTTTTGGGCCATAGAAGTTTCAATTTTAAAAGTCAAGGACCAACATCATTCGCATCATTCACCAACTGAACTCCTAACGTGTGAGTTCGATTAACTATTTAAATAGTTTGATATTAATTAAATACAAAAAAAATAAAATTATTGAGTTGAAGACGAACCGAATAAGATGGGAACTTCTTTGTGGGGTTTGGGAAACGGGTAAGAGTGACCGGATTTAGGGCGTATGACGATAGCACCGTATACGGTGGCGCGTAGGAAAGATGCGTGTGCGTGCCACCACAGGGTACCTTCTTGGCCGGTGATGTTGAACCTGTAAGCGTAGCTATGGCCGGGCTGGATTGGGCACTGCGTTATCATACTCGGTCCATCCGCCCAAACCGTTAGTCTATGGAATATCCCATGCCTGCGTGTACGCAAAATCTTAAGATATTCATATTTAAACACTATGATTCACTAATTACTAAGAGTTGTATATAAAAAAAAAAAACTAATGTACAGTAGTATCAAAGATTCAAAGGTCTTATTGGTGAACTAGTTAATTAATCATTTAGATTTTAGACGACCAAAAAATGGTCAATTTTGTTCTGCTATTAAATATGATAACCAAACCAATACAACCCCAAGGGAAATTTCAAATTTCATTCGGATTAATGTGTTTTATGTTCTTTGTTTATATATATATACAGAAATTGCCAAGGGAGAAAAAACCAACAGTTCATTTAATTTGATTTTTTCCCAAATTGAAATAAATATGTTTTGAATTATATTAGATTAAATTTCTATATCGTTCAAAAGAGCTTATAACTTGCTAATAGATGACTGATTATGTTTAAATTGTTTAATCAATAATTTGAAAACTAGCTCACCGAATAAGACACTAGATAGTATTAAAGGCTAACATCTAGCAAAGTAAAACAAAACACAATACGAAATCATCCATTACTTAAGTAATAACTAAGATAAGACGTAGTTAATTATATAGTCTAAAAAGAGAGTTAATTATATAGTCCACAATGCTGTCAACACATGAAAATTTTTTAGTACATTAATTAAGTGAGTACCAATGAATTGTGATGTTGTGAGGGGAATTGTTGAGGACATGTATCACGAGCGAGTCACCTTCCCGGACGCGTACCGTTGGTCCAGGCAGGCTTCCGTTAACGACCGTTATCACTTGTCGTTTGCACAGCCGAGACACCGTTAAGTTTTGTACCTGGCAAAATACAAGTTTCTCTCACGTCGTTAGCGGTCGCTTGGTCACTAGCTATGGTAAAATAAACGCATATTTCACATTTTAAGATTATCATTTCACTTTAAACTAATCAAGTAATATCGCAAGATATGGCAAAATAACATTAGTTTGATTTTCAAATAAGAATCCTTTCATAAGTTATCAACCCCTACCAAATCACCAAAAGGACCGTCTATATATAATTAACGACATATATAGTTCTAATAAGATACTTTCAAAAAGGAATATATTGACGGAAGAAGAGGAGGAAGAATGTATGGTTTACGTTGAAGGTGTGTTCCACAATGGCTGCAGAAGCTATTGAAGAGATTGCAAAAAGAAGAAGAGCGCAAGCAAGAGAAACCCTAACACTCTCCATCTCTAGAGATAGAAAAATGAGATGATGACGCGAAGGAGAAATGTGTTATGAAGATTCTGAAGCAAAGAGAGATTATGGTTCTACTTAATTTATAGAATGCAAAGTGGTAACAAACGAATAGGCAAAACAGTCTACGTTAATATATTAGGGTTGTCTTAGATAATATAGTTTCAATATATACAACTACATATACTTCACGATTCTTATATAATATATGTGTTTCTGTATTTATATTTTGGTCATTGAGTTTTATTTTTATAAAATTAAAACATATTTTTATAAACTAAAACATAGAATAATTACTGCATGCCACATAGTTTTTTTCGTTTTTAATATAGTTCGTATTTTAAACTAGTAATAGCTAGAATATGTAAGATTAGATAGTAAAAGTTATTATCAATTCTTTATTTTAATGTAACTTTCTCAATTATATGTGTTTATAATATTCTAATGCAAGTTTCTTAATAAATTAGATGTGAGTTGATCGGCTTGATGTAAATCGACCACTGTTCACTAACAAAATTAGTTAGGTTTTTATGTATATATATAAAATATATGTATACGTGTGTGCATGTGTTTTCAGTTTTTGAACATATAGGAGAATTTTTGCTAGCGAAGCTATGCCTATAGGCATTTTTCAATCTGTTAGTAGAGACGTCGTTGTCTGGTTCTCTACAGTTGATTATTAATTTAGTTAATATGTTTTTCAAAGAATAACTAAAGTCATCCAAATTTTTGCTTCTCAAGACAAACAATCTCACATTCTATTGAATTCAATATAATCCAAAAGAGATAGCTTACCTATATATATAGTTTGAAATCTAAGTAACAACTGTAATATTAGCGACAGATCTCTGATAAATTTGAAAATTTTGCATTCGCAAATTCTATCCCAAAAAGTAACAATGAATTGATTAAAAAAAATGGGGAAACTTGTAAATCTTTAATAATTGATAAAGTATAGACTTATTAGAAACTAAAAGAGAAGAAGCCAATATTCGTCCTATTTCCCATCGTTGCTGTTCTCCGGTTATAACAATTAACCAAAAGATATCCAAGAATCATATACGGGATCTGAAAGTTGATAGAATTCGACAAAATTAAGGAATCAACGAATCCAAAATTTGCTTAAGCTTTTATTTAAATGCGAAAACAATACATGCGACGCACTCCAGGCACAGGCCAATTGATTTTGTCTCAAAATATATGACAGTTGTAAGTATGGTGGAATTGCTCTTTCAACAATTGATCAAGCTCATTTTAATAACCCTTTTCGCAGTATGATGTTAATTTGTCCATTTGTACATATATATTATAAAAATGAAGAATTTCGTTACGTGCATAGAAACGGTCCTGTTTTCATCTAAGTCAACTTTGCAATACCTTCGTAAAACGTGATATCGATGTATGTTTTGATCATATCTGTTTCCTGACTCCTGTATGAACTTTTTCTTGTCAACATGAAAAAATATAAGTATATGACTGTTTACTTTTACTATTATCAGTTTTTGGGTCTATCTAATAACTATAATAGAAAGATGATGCGACGACAATTGTTTCCAGTTGATCTAGTTGTTTCAATTAATTAATATCATTCTTTTACGAGGTCAGTATGTGTTGTTTATTGTAGAGATAGTTTATATTTTTATCAATTGGATTCTAGGTTGTACATTGTAAAAGGCAGTTCTCACCATATTTTTAAATTTACATTCTGACCAGATCTAAGATTTGTTTGTCAGTCTATAAAGGTCGCTCTCTGTCATAATAATCTGACTGTTTCTTGTATGCCAAAAACATTTTTTTCCGAGCTCTTTCTTCATTAGCTTCGTTATCTCATCACACGCGGATGTATATAGATTAGCATTGACTTTTCAAATTATAATCACAAAGCAAATCCTTTACTAAACAATCAACTGCAAGATCTTGAACACTGTATATGTTCTAATGAGTTTACTTTATTTGTTAGTTGGGTCATGTAATAATCTCTCACCGAACACCAAAATCCTCTAAAAACATTGAAAAAGACGAAAGGATTACAAATAACAATAATGCTTTCCGACCATCTCAAATTTTTGTATTGGTCAAAGAAATTAGAGATATGAAAAAAACGACGACTTTATTCCATCATTAACATAACATAATATGATTTTGTTTTTGCCTTTGCCGTCGTAAAAGTTATTGGCGTTGAATCCGAAATTAAGAATGGATCAACTTTTTTCGGCCAACCCATATTCTGACGTGGAGATCATCAAAGTATATTTGCTCCATCCTATATTACAATAGTCTCCCATGCATTATCATGATTATATCGTTTCGGGATTTAGGAGGCCGAATTTAATTAATAAAATGGCCTAAATAGGCCCAATAAAGGTACGTAGCCCCGCTAGTGAAATTTCCCGCCACAGCAGAAAGTGATCAACCTCCAAAGCTCTTCCGTTTTAAGTAGTTTACATAAATCGCCCGCAAAAAAGGCTCGTTGAAAAAAGATAAGCCAGGGAATTAAAGAGGAAGGGTGATAATGTAAATGTACATGGAAAGGGTGAAAGAGTAATAATAGTCAAAAATAAAAAAGATCCCGAAACACTTGCCCTACGAATCTTACAAGAGAGCGTGCCTTCACGCGACCCCAACGAGACCAGCGCTTTACAGTTAAGTCCGGTAGGTGAGAGTGGGGAAGCGTATGGAGGGAGAGAGTCGGAGACGATCGCGGACGACGGAATCAGGTGAGGTAGAAGAATCTGCGGCGGCGGTGGCAGGTGGCAGAGGAGATGGCGATGGTTGGGGAGAAGAAGATGCGGCGAGGTTCGTTGGGGTTGGGAGGAGCGGAAGGGGAGGGAAAGAGAGAGTTAAAGGTCCGTGGTCGCCGGAGGAGGATGTTGTGTTGAGTGAGCTCGTTGAGAAGTTTGGACCGAGGAATTGGAGCTTGATCGCTCGGAGTATTCCCGGTCGGTCAGGAAAGTCTTGCCGTCTTCGGTGGTGTAATCAGCTCGATCCATCCGTTAAACGCAATTCCTTCACTGGTATTTCTCCTTTTGTACCAGTTTAGATTTCAATTGGGGATTCGATAATCGAATTGTTCCTGCGATCATTTCCCTTTTGAGCTTTGAATCTCCCGTGGTGAATTGAGGAATCTAGGGTTTTCGTTTTAGTTCCTGCATATTATGCTGTTATGAGGAATCATGGTTGCTTGTATGCTTGGTGAATTGGAATTGAATTGTGACCTTGGCTGCGAAATCACTAGTCCATTTGTTTCAATGTTAACTGAAAAAAACTAGAAAAAAAAGATCACCTTTAGATTTTGTGATTCTTCTGTGTTTGAACATTTGGTGTCTTGTGAATTGTGATCTTCTCATTTGATCTAAAAAAAAACAACAAAGTTAGGGTTGGACACTATTTCACTACTTCTAGTCAAATGGTAGCTCATCAAAACACTGTTTATTTGAGGATAATTTACTTTGTATAGCCGTAGATATTTGTTTATATTGGGCGTTGCGTGGTACGAGCTTCCAAGGGTGTGTTCATTAGCTGAGTATTTCTCAAGTTTTGTGTTCTTTTCATATCAACTTAAAATCTAGCATTTCATCAGAAACATTAAATCAGACACTTTTTTTTTTTGGTTTATGAAGAGGTAGAGGATCAGGCTATCATCACAGCACATTCCATCCACGGAAACAAATGGGCTGTAATCGCCAAGATACTCCCAGGAAGAACAGATAATGCTATCAAGAACCACTGGAACTCCGCTCTAAGACGTCGTTGCATGAACACAGGAACACGAAACTTAGCCGTCGAAGATTCTGGATTTGACAGAACAACGAGTTGTACGATAGCGTCATCGGAAGAAACTTTATCTTCAGGCGGAGGTGGCCATGTAACCACCCCACTTGCATCATCAGAAGGAAAAGAAGAAGCTACCTCCATGGAAATGTCGGAGGAAGAACAATGCGTCGACAGAACAAACGGAGAGTGCATTTCTAAGCAAGAAGGCAATGATCCTCCGACGCTTTTCCGCCCTGTAGCTCGGCTCAGTTCTTTTAATGCTCGCAATCACGTAGAAGGGTTCTCCTCTCCACATAGCCATGACCAAAACCAGTCACAACCACCTAAACAAGACACAGCATTGCTAAGATTGCTTGAAGGAGCTTACAGTGAAAAGTTTGTGCCTCAGAAATGTGGACGTGGTTGTTGCAGCAACAACCCCGTTGGTATTTATCAGCAAGACTCATTGCTGGGTCCAGAGTTTGTGGATTACTTAGACCCACCAACGTTTCCGAGTTACGAACTAGCTGCTATAGCGACGGATATAAGTAGCCTCGCTTGGCTGAGAAGTGGTTTAGAGAGCAGCAGCGTGAGGGCCATGGAAGAAGCAGCTGGTCGGTTAAGGCCCCAAGGCTCAAGGGGACATCGAGATCATTATCTTGTATCTGAACAAGGAAAGAACATAACCAATGTACTGTCTACATAAAAATAGCAGAAAAAACAAAACAGAGGCCATGAGATTTTTCCTTAATTTTTATCTTTTGAGGTTTCTTTACTTTTTTTGCCCCTCCTGATCTGAGGGAGAGTGAGTCTTACTTGTAATCGAAGTTGTGATGTAATTGAGTAGAAATAGTTTCTTTAGTTCTGAAATTGAGCGTCTTCAACTTCCTTGCGACTTGTAACAGTAACATGATGGTTTTTTCACTTTGTAACATGATTTCACAACAAGCCAACAATGATGATCAATATCATAATACTACGAATTAGTGTGAACGTGTAGTAAAAACAAATCCACAATCCAGTTAAGATCAAGGGAAAATGGCAAGAAAATCCGGTTTTAGCACACAAAAATCTGATGGTACACCAAGATTCTCTCAAGCGAACTAAAAAAAGCAAACATGTATAGTAGTATCTGCTATGTTTGTATTCACATTTCTAAATACGTATGCAGAGAAAGAAACTGTACAGATGTGGCTTTTTGTTGTTGTTGTTCGTGTAACTCTAGAAAGCTTCGAGAGAAGAGCCATGTCTAAGTGCTTCTTTAGCTTCAGCCTCCATCCCAAGCTTTAAGAGACAAGCCGCCTGTAAGTAGAGAGCGACTGAACACTCTGGTGATGCAACCTGAGCTTGCATCGCATCGCTTAGAGCCTCGCTGAACATGTCGCTCATTAAGTAACAAAGACACCGTCTGGTTAATACGGTTGGTGATACCACTGGTGCTCCGCTCATGAACTGTGTTGTTCATAACAAAAGTTCATATCTTTATAATGTATCTTTTTGTGGGGATAAAGAAGGTTTGTTGATGATTCAAAATGATGATTACCTCTGAGTAGAATTCAACTGCGGTTTCAAAGTCCTTAGCACGAAATGCGGCATCTCCATGCTTTTTGTAATCCATATTCTCTTGCATTCGACCCGTCCACATTTGGAATGAGAACTGCAATATTTGTTTAACAGCTTCAGAATGAGATATTGAGATGTGTCATCAAGAGATTATGTTTCTCAAAAAAAATATATATACCTCATTTGTGACGACCACATCATCCTCTCCATACCCGAGTTTCTCGAGTAGTTCGTGTATGCCACTTAGGTCCACTCTCCAGCATGCTTCTCCAAGAGGGGTTAAGCGCAATGGTTGCTTTCTTGGCGGTTCAGTGTGTGATGGAGTCTGTCATTATTTAGTCCCATTAATACATTAGAACTTCTGCAAAATCCGAAACCGTGGAAGAATTAATGGTGGTGATGACTTACAGGGATGTCTTCTCCTTTGACGTTGGGCCATAACTCAGCTCGTTTCTCAAGTCTCGAAAGAGCCGACATAAGAAACTTTATGCTTGGCCTCTCGTCTGGTTCAGGACGCAAACAGCGAGAAGCTAGGTGGATTAGTTCCGTTCTATCCTCATCAGAGAATTGACCATCCAGAGCTGAATCCATTAGCACCAAATAGTTTTTACCACGGAACAGATCAAGTGCCTGTCAATAACAAAGAGCCAGTTCACTTCTAAAGATTGACACCTGGAGGACCAACGGACATTTTTTTTTGATTTGTGAGAAGAAAGTTACATGGTTTGGTGGAATATGTCTGCCACTCATAAGATCCAGCAACAAGGTCCCAAAGCTAAATATGACACTCTCCGGTATCACAGTGCCTACCAAAGTCACGCATAAAGGTTTATGAGTTTTTTTGCAGCAGAAAGAAGCTTAGAAAAAATCAATAGAAAACACATACCTATACGCAAATATTCAGGAGGAGCAAATGCCAAATTCGTGCTGTAACTCTTCCCTTCTCTGCTACACTTCATGAGACCGAAGCAAGACAGCCTGGGATTCCCAACCTGTTCGAACACTTCACGTAAATAAGATAACTTATGATAATAACAACCGAGAATGAAGGCTAAATTTCCAATTTTCTTAACCTTGTCGAACAATATTCTGTAAGTGTTAAGATCATGGTACAAGTCGATTCCTCTATCATTACAGTACTCCAAGGCTGTCGCAGTATGTAACGCAACCCTCAACCTCATTTCCCATTTCATTGGTCGTTTCTCCCCTGTATAACCATTTTTACAGTCAAAACTAATCTATTCAACACAGATGAAACTTTACGGTAAAGTTAATGCCAAGAAGATCAGAGGCATGAGATATAGTATCAAGAACTGAAAAAAAAAAAAGTTGACTCTCACAGTGGAAGAGATGCTTTGCAAGTGTTCCATTGGGCATGTACTCAGCAACGAGAAGCCTCTCGTGACCTTCTGAGCAACAACCGATCAAATTGGCCATATGCTCACTCCTACACCTCCCCACTGCTTGTGCTTCTTCCTGAAATAACAAAGCCATTTTCAAGAAAATTTTCCCTGTGCAACAGACAGATCAAGCTAGCACCTAATTCATTTGAATCTTTTACCATGTAAAAAAGAAATGAAATTTGTCTGTGCAACAGATCAGAATCTAGAACTTTGCCACATTCAAGAGAAAATATCTCGGAAATATCAACCAATCAAAGTCAAATACAATCAGCAACTGGGAAAAACCAAGCCAAAACTTGGACTCTAGGCTTAAGAGTAGGAGTCAAATCTTATGCAAAATAAAACAGAGAAGAATCATCCGAGTCAAAATTTATTTTTGAACCGCAGATTAAAACAAATCAGTGAGTATCGAAAGGTAAAGGACGAACGATGAATTCGGAAGAATCAGGCCATGAAAGTCTCTGAAACCGCTTGACGGCGATCTGTCTGCCGTCGTTGAGCTTCCCTTTGTAGACGATGTTTGGAACCCTCTCGTTGTGCTCCGACACGATGTTGCCGGCTGAGAATCCGTCAGTCGCGACTCTCAGCTGTTCCAAGCTGAATACCCGGAAATTCGGACAAGAGCTTCCGTCGTCGTCTTCCTTATTCTCTGCAGCGAGAACGCCTAGGGTTAGATTCTCGATCATCGTTTTATTCAGGATTTAACGCAAAAGAGGAATGGGTATAGAATTCGTCGGATGTTACCTAGATCGTCGATGACGGTAGATTTAATCGACGGAGATGGCGATCGGCGCCAAGGCTTGAAGCAAGTGCATCCCATCGCCGGCAGTGGAGAATGATGACGAGATTAATTTCTCCGGTGGACTAAAACTTTGAAGTTCTTGGTGAAACTCCCGCCTCCGGGGAAAAGTTTATTAGTTGATGACATATATGAATACTCTTTGAAAAAATCAACGTAGATGTATATTATTATACAAAAAATGTCAACAAGATCTTATTATACTTATAAAGAATTTTGTTTGCTTGTTCCATTTGATTTCCTCAATTGAGCTTGAAACATTACAGAAAACAAATTATAAGATTTGTTGAGTTTCGTCTTCATTATAGCCTAAGTTTAAAGTTTATCTTCGATGGACCATCTTTGATACACTTAATTTTAGAGTTTTTAGTCTAATTTCTCAACATGTTTTTTTCATACAAACACTAGTACTAATTCTTAGTTTCTCATTTCTATCACAGCTTTTCGAGATTAGTTTGTAATTCATCCATACTGTAATTTTATAAAAATATCGTTATCAAATCGTTTTGGTATATTTTGCTTATTAAACCCTCAAGAAACTCTACTGTTGTTTATAATGGGACGCTCGTTTAGGTGATTATATAAATATAAATAAATACATAAAAAATCATACACTTAATTAAATTAAAAAGCTACATGGATCTAGCCTCTACTTTATTAAAGAAAAGTCTCACAAACTCTATGAATTGACTTACAAATTCCATATGAAAGTACATATTATTGTGTATATTTCTTTCATACACAGCTATCCAAGAGTTCTATATATTAAAAAAAACAAACTTGAAATTTCGACACATGATTCATTCATTTGTTGTTCTTAACGTCTTAAACTCTAAAGACGATGCAAAGACAATGGTTTTGGACCTTTTGGTTAGACAATGTATTAAGCCTAGATATGCTATTTACACATTCGTGGATATTGGGCCTAAGGTCATAAATATATACGAGCCTAACTATAAATCTTACTGTGGGCTCTGATGCAAAAGCCCATCAATTATATCCTGAATTCTGTAGTCCCTTGAGCTTTCATCCTGGTTGATTGATGATTGATCTCTCGAAACCCTTGATTGTGAAATTATTTTGGTTCCAAGTCCCGAAATCTCTTTGAATCATTCTTTCCATGGCGCTTCATGGGTCTGGATTTTTATGCAAAGTAAGCTCAATTTTCTGTCGTTGTCTGATTCTCTTCCTCGACTCTGAAGCTCCCTTCTGTATACATTTCTGCAAAGTAATCTTGGGATATTGTCGATTTTTGAGAAGAACCCGTTAAGATTAGATGATTGATGTTCATGTGCAGAGAGTTATGATCTTGTTTGGTGTGAGAATTCGTACGGGTTAGGTCTGGTACTTGTCGATGGAATCAAATATTTGAGCTTGTTGTCGATCAGAAAGTGTTTGGATTTAACCCGGAGGAATGTAGTGTTTATAAGCGTCATCTTCAAGATCCGAACTTGTTGTTACTCATAAGTTGCCCACTTGAGAAACTTTGATGAATTTTCGTATTATTGGTTCTCAGAATCTCTTGCTGTGTGCTGATCTCGCTTCAAATCTTTGGCTCCTTGATAGGTTCCAAACACAGTAGAGACCACTTCTCTGTTTGGTTGTTCGACGAGGCTGCTTCACTTGCCTAAGACGACTTATCCGATTCACTTCAACATGGTCTCAGCCAGCAATACATTCGAGTCGGGTCATCTTAAGCTGCAAAACAAAAAACCGTGTGAGTTTTGCTCTTACGAGTTCGAGCATCATATATAAGACAAGATCTAGTTTAGAGGTAAGAACACACTTCTTTTTAATGGCACCTTACTGTTTGAAGCAGGCTCTCGTCTAAGGCCATGTCGAGTGAAACGCGAAGACAATAACCAAACCGCAGATGTAGAAAGCATATCAGTGGATGAGAACACGTTGAAGCAAGATCTCGAGACAGCGGTCCAGGAGGAAAACTACGTGGAGGCAGCTAAAATCAGGGATAGACTAAAAGAGCTTCAAGAAGACAACAGAGCCTCTGTTTTATCAGCCAATGCTCGGTTCTACCAGTCTTTCAGAAACGGGGACTTGGCGGCGATGCAGTCTCTGTGGTCGAAATCGGGAAAACCGTGCTGTGTCCATCCAGGAGCCAAAGGCATAACCGGGTATGAGGATGTGATGGAAAGCTGGGAAGTTGTGTGGATGAACTATGAGTTTCCGTTACAGATCGAGCTGAAAGATGTCGAGGCTCATGTCCGAGGGGAAGTAGGCTATGTGACGTGTATGGAGTTTGTGAAGACCAAAGGGAGTAGTAGCTGGGGAGCTCAGTTTGTGTCGAATGTCTTTGAACGGATCGATGGGGAATGGTTTATATGCATTCACCATGCTTCTCCTGTTGATATTTGATCCCAAGAACCAAAAGAAGTAGTAAACACTATTTCAAAACGTTTCTTTTGTTTCTTTTTGCGTTTGGAGGTTGCGGTGGGATATATTTGCGGTTAAGGGTGATGAAGGACTCAAAACATCTAGAGCAAGTAGAGGCGTTTGATTCTGTTGTGTTTGTACTCTCTGTTTATTCCCTTTATTTGTAGGCGCAACATTTTAAAAAAAAAAAGAAAATGAAGATTTAAAAACAGTTTAGAAAAATGAATTGCTTCGTTTGCAATAAAATCGGCCAACATTTTGTTTTATGTTTACAGGTAAACTTGTATTTCCATTCTAATCAGTACCAACTAAAAGTACCATATACAAACATTTTGAAGTACTTGTGTGTGTGTTATATATACAATGCAATTTTTCTTCACGTTTTGAAGGTAAAAAATGTAAAAATGGATCATTTTAGAAAAATCAAAGCCTTTGAGAAATGTAAAACAGAACACACACACACATAAACAGTATTATTCTAACCAAAACCTCATATGAATCTTGGTCAATCACAAACTCAAACAGTACACAACATAAACAGAAAAAACCAAATCCTCCAAACATAACTTTTTCAGTTGCATAACTTTCCATAATCCTCAAAAAAACTTTCCATAGACCCAATTCAATTTAGTTCGAAAAATTTGGTTCGAAAAATGTGAATGACTTCTAAAAGGGATCATTTAATATTATAACCAAAGCCTTCTTGATCGTAACAAATCAGGTAGACATTGAGAATTTAAAAAGAAAACACCTTTATTCTAACCAAGACATCATAAATCTTGGTCAATCACAAACTAAAACAGAATAGAGAAACATTGAAACAGAAAATCAAATCCTCAAGATATATATAGCTCAAAGCTCATCCTTCTTGATCGCAGATGGACGAACACCTTGACTTAGGAAGTCTTTGTAAAACTTGCCAGACTCTTTCTCGTAACGTGTGAGGTTATTTTTGAAATCAACGTAGTAGAGCCCGAATCTGTTCTTATAACCATCTTGCCACTCGAAGTTATCCAACAACGACCATACAAAGTATCCTGTAACATTTACCTTGTCGATGCTGCACATTTGACACAAATGTCAATATTAGATTCTTCAATATAGTTGTTACTTCTCTCATATAAAAAAGAAATAGGGCTTACCAAATAGCTTCTTGCATAGCCAAAAGATGCCTCTGAAGATAATACTTTCTGTTGTGATCAGCAGTACCAACTGCAATCGAATCTGTAGCCCCAAGTTCTTCTCCGTATCCTAAAAAAGGAGCATCGCGATCAATTTATTTCATATTTGTTTTTATATCAAAATGAACAAAAAAAAAGAGAGTTAATCTCTAATTACCATTTTCCATGATCATAATTTCCGGGTTTCCGTACTTATCTTTGATGTACTTCAATAGACTCCTGAAGCCTCTCGAATAAACGGGTAGTGCAGCGGTGAAAGGCTGAAACACAACAAACGTGAAAATGTTACGTCATTGACAAGGTATTATAATATTTCTTCATTTTCTTAGGTTTTGATTTTAAAACCCCGATGATGACACAATGACGGCACTTATACACAAACCCCTAAGCCGCATGTAATGCTCAACATATATTTAATATTACACATCTCAAATTGGCTATTACACTATATTTAAATGCATACCTTGCTACCAATGGTGTAATCTTGCGCATTCTTATCTGAAAATTAAGAAGATAAGATTTTGATCAGTACCAAATACAAAACATCTCCCTTTGATTGTTGGCATCGGTTTTCTTGCTTCGGTTTCAAGTAAGGAGAACAAAATAAAACTTACTTTCCCAGTCAATAAGAGAATCTTGCTTCCATCTTGGTTTAGAAGGATCTGGCTTCTCGATATGGTTTGAAAACGTCGACGTGTAGTAGTTGATTCCTACGAAATCGGCCGAGTTTCTCAATTTCGCTTTCTGCGCGGTAGTAAATGTAGGCAATCTCTGTCCAACAATGTCTTTCATTGTCTGTGGATAATCTCCATACATAGTAGGTTCAAGATGCCTACAAAAATAATTAATCATTCTCCATTCAATATCCCATTTCCTTTCAAGATGAAAAATATTGCAATTTGCAAATAATATAAACTACTTAATTACCATCCCAAAATAAAGTCCATTGCACGTTTAATGGAGGCGCCGTCTTGTGAATCAGCAAGGTCATGTGGTTCGAACCAAGCCGGACTATGTGCGAGTCCAACCTTGCCACCTTTACACTGCGGCCATAAGCATAACCACCAAAACAAAGTACGATTTAAAGATCCGAAGAAAGACTATATCATTTATTATGATTTTATATATGATGCATGTACCTTCTCGCATTGTCGGAATGCTTCATAGGCCTCTGCGTGAGCGTTGAGAAGATTATGAGTGACGAGGTAAGCCTCGTATCCTGATCGTCCGTCTTGGCACTGAGGATTGACGTAAGAAGAGCAACGTCCTGGTGCCTTCCTGCCCACGTCATAACCGGCGTGAGCGAAAACCCATGGCTCGTTGAAAGTGATCCAATTCTTCACTTTCCCACCATATTCTTGGAACACAAAATCTGCGTATTCCCGGAAATCTTTCCTATATTTTTGCAAAAAAAAAATAAAAGATATTGAAATTCGTCATGTTGTAGTTAGCGGTTGCTACATGATATATTTATATATAAAAAAAAAATTATTTTCAAAGGAGACTTACACAATCCTTTCGCTTAAAAAGCCGCCATATTCGTCTTCTAAATCTTGTGGAGTGTCCCAGTGAAATACAGTCACAAACGGAATTATACCTATTTACAATATTAAAATAATAATTAATTTTTGTTTATTAAATTAATTTCTGTGTATATATATGCTTTAATTTATATATAACCATTTCTTAGGAGCTCGTCGATGACGTCATGGTAGAATTGCACACCCGCCCGGCTCACTCCTTTCTCCTTTGTCCCATCTGATAAACATCGTTTTGTTTCATTGATATTTTTTTTTTTAACAATTATATACAAACCAAATTCAATTAACACTAAACTAACTTAGTGAGCGGAAGCACATATATATATACTCACGTGGAAATATTCTTGTCCACGCGATTGAGAGTCTAAAGGCGTCTGTGTTTAGACTCTTCATGAGCTGAATATCTTCCTACAATCATTTTTCACAGGAGACAAATTTTCAACGCTCAGTTTTCAGTATTCATGGACTAATCAGTAGAATAATAGTATATGTTCTAGACATATACTCGATAAATAATCATTTCAGTTTGTATTAAAAGTATACCTTATAACGATGGAAGAAATCGACGGCCACGTCGCCATTATCGTTATTGCATCTCGCTGTTATTTAAAATTAAAGATTATCCAGATTAATTGATTAAATCAAAATTGAAATATAGTTAAGAGATTTGAAAAGTAGATCTATAAGCATTCACCTGGATATCTCTTACAGTAGATATCCCACAAAGCCGGTCCACGGCAAGTTTCATTTACTGCACCTTCAACCTAATTAAGAACACAACGGAAAGGACATAAAAAAGTATGAGTTAGTTTGTTGTGTAACATTTTCACAGGTTATATTATGCAAACAGTATAAAAAAATATTTACATATAGTATTATATGTTTTATATATATATATATATATTATAGTGTTCTATTCTACGAGTTTTGCGCAACAAGATTTTGAAAATGATAAACATGAATTCAACGGTGACCTATATATATTTACTATCTAATAATGATATAACATATTATTTAGGTGTAAAATTTGACCCAAAAAAAGTTATTTACGTGTAAAATAACTTATCGAAAACTTTTTTTATATGACAAGAAATGTTCATGCAGACTTATATTAATTATACCTGATATGCGGCAGTAGCCGTGCCAAATAAGAAACCTTCAGGGAAACTTGCCCGGCTAAGCTTGGTGGTCGGAGGGCAAACAGGCCCATCAGCTCTTGCCGGAGAGACGACGGTGGTTAGGAGCAAAAGCAGCCCCACGAGAGGTAACTTTTGCAAAGCCATTTTGCTTTTAGTTGTTTTTGTTTCCGTCAGGAGAAGAAGTTTAGGATGGTTCTTTTACATCTAAGTGGGGTTCTTTATATAGCGATTTTGTCGTGGTTGATATCTCATTTTATTTTATTTTATTTTAGCATGCCAACAAGGCCTCGTTAATCATTTTTATTTTATTTGGTACTATATAGATCTAGATCGTGTTTTCCGATCAAATTCTAATAGATAATGAGGTATATGGACGACGTGATTCTATCGTGTGTGTGTTTTTTGGTAACGAGTGATTTAACTACTATTGTTTAGTAAAAATAATTATCTATCGCCAACTAATCAACCTGTACTCAATCGTATCTTCAAACTTTAGTTTATGCGATTTGGAGAGAAAGAAATACAAGAGTGCATCGATCGGAAGCCAAACCAACCACAGTCTAGACACTATGCAGCTTCTCCTAGGACATCTACTCACGATTCTCCTCATCATTGATCACACTTCTTATACTCATGATTCAATTTCGATACTCTCTATTTGGTTATTCCTCATCAAGTTCTCACTAATTTTTCCTTTGGGAATTTGATTAAAAGACCAAAAATTAGTTATATAATAAAGGATGATTCGTTGCATGATTTATTTGGCTGTGTTATTATTTATTTAGATAATTATTTTTATATATAGGATGATTCGTCGCATGATCTATATCGCTGTATTATAATATCCCTCGTGTCTAACGTGCAACATCTATTAACATGTGACTTTTAAGTAAGTCGATGTGTAACCTCCGAAAAAAAAAAAAGCTTGCATGTATTGATTTTGATCGATTGAGGACAAAACGCTCTAGTAGCTGTTGACGCTCGAAGAAAGTCTAGCTTGTTCTTGTATCATGCAAATTAAATCCATTTTGGTTCTGACTAATTTGTCTTCTCCATATATGGTTTGAAAACTTCGATGTAATCCCAAAAGCGTTATTTGTAAACATTTGGGTTGTATTAGAGAAAGATATGTAAATATATACATATATATATATATATTTACATATCTTTCTCTAATATATTTACATATCTTTCTCTAATAGGTTGCTACCAAGAATGTTGACCATAACTTGAAAATCAAAGATTAATTCTACTACTAATCAAGAATTATTTGATTTTACGAAAGTGTAGTCTAAAATGGACGTTTCAAAGGACAATCAAACTCGTTACCAAGAGCTAAACAATTCAAATAAAATTACATCAAACTTTGAAATTGCTATTTATAGAAAATATGAGTCTTTGTCATGGCCTCATGGGTTTTGACTTCCTTTATGACGCTTATGAAGCTTAGTTTAAGCATGATCAAATACATGTTCACGTGAAATATGCTTTGCATTTGCAACAAGTTCAGTGGGCTTCAAAGGTAGTAATTAAATCACTCTAAAAACACACACACACAAAACATCATCCAGTACGAGAAACATCCAAACTATATTTAGAAAATTGATATACTCCAAACACTTACGGTGATATCTAACTCATAAGAGTTGGAATTATTCAAAGAAAGACAACGTTCACGGTCGCTCAATATAAAGGTCACACTTTTTTGACGAATGATATTAAACGTCACACAAAAGGACTATGTTTGATCTAAAGTAAAGAAAACTGGATGATTTTGTGTTGGCGAGCACTAAAACAATTTTATCACAAAGTTGGTATAAAGCCATTTAATTTTGTACATCTCATGTGTCCAATTTATATTTACCAATGTGTGCATGTCCAAGATGTGTCAATGAAAGGTTATTTTGTTTATTATTATTATTAATGAAATAAAAGAAAGGTTAAGAACTTTTTCAGTTACATAACTTTCAGTAGACCCAATTCAATTTGATTCATATTTGGTTCGAAGAATGTAAATGACTTCTAAAAGGGATCTTGATCATGGCAATCAGGTAGACATTGAGAAATGAAAAAGAAAACACTTTATTCTAACCAAGACCTCATGACTCTTGGTCATTCAAAAATCTAAAACAGAAGAGAAAAACATTGAAACGAAACCAATTCCTCAAGATATATATAGCTCAAAGCTCATCCTTCTTGATCGCAGATGGACGAACACCTTGACTTAGGAAGTCTTTGTAAAACTTGCCAGACTCTTTCTCGTAACGTGTGAGGTTATTTTTGAAATCAACGTAGTAGAGCCCGAATCTGTTCTTATAACCATCTTGCCACTCGAAGTTATCCAACAATGACCATACAAAATATCCTGTAACATTTACCTTGTCGATGCTACAGATTTGATACAAATAACATTATTAGATTCTTCAATATAATTGGTACTCAGTACTCTATCATATATAATAAAAGAAATAGGACTTACCAAATAGCTTCTTGCATAGCTAAAAGATGCCTCTGAAGATAATATTTTCTGTTGTGATCAGCAGTACCAACTGCAATCGAATCTGTGGCCCCAAGTTCTTCTCCGTATCCTAAAAGAAGGAGCATCACGATCAATATATTTCATATTTGTTTTTATATCAAAATGAACAAAAAAAAAGAGAGCTAATCTCTAATTACCATTTTCCATGATCATAATTTCCGGGTTTGCATATTTATCTTTGATGTACTTCAAAAGACTTCTAAAGCCTCTCGAATAAACGGGCAGTGCAGCGGTAAAAGGCTGAAAATACAAACAAAGGTGAAAGTGATACGTTATTGAAAGTCTAAAAAAAAAAGAAAAAGTGTTATAATAATTATAGAATTTCTTTATTTTCTTAGGTTTTGATTTTTAAACCACGATGATGACACAATGGCGGCACTTATACACAATCCTCTAAGCCGCATGTCATGCTTACCATTTATTCAAATTGGCTATTACTCTACATTTAAATGCATACCTTGCTACCAATGGTGTAATTTTGCGCATTCTTATCTGAAAAAAAAAAAAGATTTTGATCAGTACCAAATACAAAGCTTCTCCTTAGATATGTTGGCATCGGTTTTCTTGGTTCATTAATAAGGACAACAAAGAAAACTTACTTTCCCAGTCAATAAGAGAATCTTGCTTCCATCTTGGTTTAGAAGGATCTGGCTTCTCTATGTGGTTTGAAAACGTCGACGTGTAGTAGTTGATTCCTACGAAATCGGCCGAGTTTCTCAATTTCGCTTTCTGCGCGGTAGTAAATGTAGGCAATCTCTGTCCAACAATGTCTTTCATTGTCTGTGGATAATCTCCATACATAGTAGGTTCAAGATGCCTACAAAAATAATTAATCATACTCCATTAAATATCCCATTTCCTTTCAAGATGAAAAATATTGCAATTTGCAAATAATATAAACTACTTAATTACCATCCCAAAATAAAGTCCATTGCACGTTTAATGGAGGCGCCGTCTTGCGAATCAGCAAGGTCATGTGGTTCGAACCAAGCCGGACTATGTGCGAGTCCAACCTTGCCACCTTTACACTGCGGCCATAAACATAACCACCAAAACAAAGTACGATTTAAAGATCCGAAGAAAGACTATATCATTTATTATGATTTTATATATGATGCATGTACCTTCTCGCATTGTCGGAATGCTTCATAGGCCTCTGCGTGAGCGTTGAGAAGATTATGAGTGACGAGGTAAGCCTCGTATCCTGATCGTCCGTCTTGGCACTGAGGATTGACGTAAGAAGAGCAACGTCCTGGTGCCTTCCTGCCCACGTCATAACCGGCGTGAGCGAAAACCCATGGCTCGTTGAAAGTGATCCAATTCTTCACTTTCCCACCATATTCTTGGAACACAAAATCTGCGTATTCCCGGAAATCTTTCCTATATTTTTGCAAAAAAAAAATAAAAGATATTGAAATTCGTCATGTTGTAGTTAGCGGTTGCTACATGATATATTTATATATAAAAAAAAAATTATTTTCAAAGGAGACTTACACAATCCTTTCGCTTAAAAAGCCGCCATATTCGTCTTCTAAATCTTGTGGAGTGTCCCAGTGAAATACAGTCACAAACGGAATTATACCTATTTACAATATTAAAATAATAATTAATTTTTGTTTATTAAATTAATTTCTGTGTATATATATGCTTTAATTTATATATAACCATTTCTTAGGAGCTCGTCGATGACGTCATGGTAGAATTGCACACCCGCCCGGCTCACTCCTTTCTCCTTTGTCCCATCTGATAAACATCGTTTTGTTTCATTGATATTTTTTTTTTTTAACAATTATATACAAACCAAATTCAATTAACACTAAACTAACTTAGTGAGCGGAAGCACATATATATATACTCACGTGGAAATATTCTTGTCCACGCGATTGAGAGTCTAAAGGCGTCTGTGTTTAGACTCTTCATGAGCTGAATATCTTCCTACAATCATTTTTCACAGGAGACAAATTTTCAACGCTCAGTTTTCAGTATTCATGGACTAATCAGTAGAATAATAGTATATGTTCTAGACATATACTCGATAAATAATCATTTCAGTTTGTATTAAAAGTATACCTTATAACGATGGAAGAAATCGACGGCCACGTCGCCATTATCGTTATTGCATCTCGCTGTTATTTAAAATTAAAGATTATCCAGATTAATTGATTAAATCAAAATTGAAATATAGTTAAGAGATTTGAAAAGTAGATCTATAAGCATTCACCTGGATATCTCTTACAGTAGATATCCCACAAAGCCGGTCCACGGCAAGTTTCATTTACTGCACCTTCAACCTAATTAAGAACACAACGGAAAGGACATAAAAAAGTATGAGTTAGTTTGTTGTGTAACATTTTCACAGGTTATATTATGCAAACAGTATAAAAAAATATTTACATATAGTATTATATGTTTTATATATATATATATATTATAGTGTTCTATTCTACGAGTTTTGCGCAACAAGATTTTGAAAATGATAAACATGAATTCAACGGTGACCTATATATATTTACTATCTAATAATGATATAACATATTATTTAGGTGTAAAATTTGACCCAAAAAAAGTTATTTACGTGTAAAATAACTTATCGAAAACTTTTTTTATATGACAAGAAATGTTCATGCAGACTTATATTAATTATACCTGATATGCGGCAGTAGCCGTGCCAAATAAGAAACCTTCAGGGAAACTTGCCCGGCTAAGCTTGGTGGTCGGAGGGCAAACAGGCCCATCAGCTCTTGCCGGAGAGACGACGGTGGTTAGGAGCAAAAGCAGCCCCACGAGAGGTAACTTTTGCAAAGCCATTTTGCTTTTAGTTGTTTTTGTTTCCGTCAGGAGAAGAAGTTTAGGATGGTTCTTTTACATCTAAGTGGGGTTCTTTATATAGCGATTTTGTCGTGGTTGATATCTCATTTTATTTTATTTTATTTTAGCATGCCAACAAGGCCTCGTTAATCATTTTTATTTTATTTGGTACTATATAGATCTAGATCGTGTTTTCCGATCAAATTCTAATAGATAATGAGGTATATGGACGACGTGATTCTATCGTGTGTGTGTTTTTTGGTAACGAGTGATTTAACTACTATTGTTTAGTAAAAATAATTATCTATCGCCAACTAATCAACCTGTACTCAATCGTATCTTCAAACTTTAGTTTATGCGATTTGGAGAGAAAGAAATACAAGAGTGCATCGATCGGAAGCCAAACCAACCACAGTCTAGACACTATGCAGCTTCTCCTAGGACATCTACTCACGATTCTCCTCATCATTGATCACACTTCTTATACTCATGATTCAATTTCGATACTCTCTATTTGGTTATTCCTCATCAAGTTCTCACTAATTTTTCCTTTGGGAATTTGATTAAAAGACCAAAAATTAGTTATATAATAAAGGATGATTCGTTGCATGATTTATTTGGCTGTGTTATTATTTATTTAGATAATTATTTTTATATATAGGATGATTCGTCGCATGATCTATATCGCTGTATTATAATATCCCTCGTGTCTAACGTGCAACATCTATTAACATGTGACTTTTAAGTAAGTCGATGTGTAACCTCCGAAAAAAAAAAAGCTTGCATGTATTGATTTTGATCGATTGAGGACAAAACGCTCTAGTAGCTGTTGACGCTCGAAGAAAGTCTAGCTTGTTCTTGTATCATGCAAATTAAATCCATTTTGGTTCTGACTAATTTGTCTTCTCCATATATGGTTTGAAAACTTCGATGTAATCCCAAAAGCGTTATTTGTAAACATTTGGGTTGTATTAGAGAAAGATATGTAAATATATACATATATATATATATATTTACATATCTTTCTCTAATATATTTACATATCTTTCTCTAATAGGTTGCTACCAAGAATGTTGACCATAACTTGAAAATCAAAGATTAATTCTACTACTAATCAAGAATTATTTGATTTTACGAAAGTGTAGTCTAAAATGGACGTTTCAAAGGACAATCAAACTCGTTACCAAGAGCTAAACAATTCAAATAAAATTACATCAAACTTTGAAATTGCTATTTATAGAAAATATGAGTCTTTGTCATGGCCTCATGGGTTTTGACTTCCTTTATGACGCTTATGAAGCTTAGTTTAAGCATGATCAAATACATGTTCACGTGAAATATGCTTTGCATTTGCAACAAGTTCAGTGGGCTTCAAAGGTAGTAATTAAATCACTCTCAAACACACACACACAAAACATCATCCAGTACGAGAAACATCCAAACTATATTTAGAAAATTGATATACTCCAAACACTTACGGTGATATCTAACTCATAAGAGTTGGAATTATTCAAAGAAAGACAACGTTCACGGTCGCTCAATATAAAGGTCACACTTTTTTGACGAATGATATTAAACGTCACACAAAAGGACTATGTTTGATCTAAAGTAAAGAAAACTGGATGATTTTGTGTTGGCGAGCACTAAAACAATTTTATCACAAAGTTGGTATAAAGCCATTTAATTTTGTACATCTCATGTGTCCAATTTATATTTACCAATGTGTGCATGTCCAAGATGTGTCAATGAAAGGTTATTTTGTTTATTATTATTATTAATGAAATAAAAGAAAGGTTAAGAACTTTTTCAGTTACATAACTTTCAGTAGACCCAATTCAATTTGATTCATATTTGGTTCGAAGAATGTAAATGACTTCTAAAAGGGATCTTGATCATGGCAATCAGGTAGACATTGAGAAATGAAAAAGAAAACACTTTATTCTAACCAAGACCTCATGACTCTTGGTCATTCAAAAATCTAAAACAGAAGAGAAAAACATTGAAACGAAACCAATTCCTCAAGATATATATAGCTCAAAGCTCATCCTTCTTGATCGCAGATGGACGAACACCTTGACTTAGGAAGTCTTTGTAAAACTTGCCAGACTCTTTCTCGTAACGTGTGAGGTTATTTTTGAAATCAACGTAGTAGAGCCCGAATCTGTTCTTATAACCATCTTGCCACTCGAAGTTATCCAACAATGACCATACAAAATATCCTGTAACATTTACCTTGTCGATGCTACAGATTTGATACAAATAACATTATTAGATTCTTCAATATAATTGGTACTCAGTACTCTATCATATATAATAAAAGAAATAGGACTTACCAAATAGCTTCTTGCATAGCTAAAAGATGCCTCTGAAGATAATATTTTCTGTTGTGATCAGCAGTACCAACTGCAATCGAATCTGTGGCCCCAAGTTCTTCTCCGTATCCTAAAAGAAGGAGCATCACGATCAATATATTTCATATTTGTTTTTATATCAAAATGAACAAAAAAAAAGAGAGCTAATCTCTAATTACCATTTTCCATGATCATAATTTCCGGGTTTGCATATTTATCTTTGATGTACTTCAAAAGACTTCTAAAGCCTCTCGAATAAACGGGCAGTGCAGCGGTAAAAGGCTGAAAATACAAACAAAGGTGAAAGTGATACGTTATTGAAAGTCTAAAAAAAAAAGAAAAAAAAGTGTTATAATAATTATAGAATTTCTTTATTTTCTTAGGTTTTGATTTTTAAACCACGATGATGACACAATGGCGGCACTTATACACAATCCTCTAAGCCGCATGTCATGCTTACCATTTATTCAAATTGGCTATTACTCTACATTTAAATGCATACCTTGCTACCAATGGTGTAATTTTGCGCATTCTTATCTGAAAAAAAAAAAAGATTTTGATCAGTACCAAATACAAAGCTTCTCCTTAGATATGTTGGCATCGGTTTTCTTGGTTCATTAATAAGGACAACAAAGAAAACTTACTTTCCCAGTCAATAAGAGAATCTTGCTTCCATCTTGGTTTAGAAGGATCTGGCTTCTCTATGTGGTTTGAAAACGTCGACGTGTAGTAGTTGATTCCTACGAAATCGGCCGAGTTTCTCAATTTCGCTTTCTGCGCGGTAGTAAATGTAGGCAATCTCTGTCCAACAATGTCTTTCATTGTCTGTGGATAATCTCCATACATAGTAGGTTCAAGATGCCTACAAAAATAATTAATCATACTCCATTAAATATCCCATTTCCTTTCAAGATGAAAAATATTGCAATTTGCAAATAATATAAACTACTTAATTACCATCCCAAAATAAAGTCCATTGCACGTTTAATGGAGGCGCCGTCTTGCGAATCAGCAAGGTCATGTGGTTCGAACCAAGCCGGACTATGTGCGAGTCCAACCTTGCCACCTTTACACTGCGGCCATAAACATAACCACCAAAACAAAGTACGATTTAAAGATCCGAAGAGTTAAAAGACTGTATAATTTATATATGATATGTACCTTCTCGCATAGTCGGAATGCTTCGTAGGCTTCTGCGTGAGCGTTGAGAAGATTATGAGTGACGAGGTAAGCCTCGTATCCTGATCGTCCGTCTTGGCACTGAGGATTGACGTAAGAAGAGCAACGTCCTGGTGCCTTCCTGCCCACGTCATAACCGGCGTGAGCGAAAACCCATGGCTCGTTGAAAGTGATCCAATTCTTCACTTTCCCACCATATTCTTGGAACACAAAATCTGCGTATTCCCGGAAATCTTTCCTATATTTTTGCAAAAAAATATATTCAAATTCGTCGTGTTGTAGTTTTGCAGTTGTTACATGATATATTTAAAATAGAATTATTTTGAAAGGAAACTTACACAATTCTTTCGCTTAAAAAGCCACCGTATTCGTCTTCTAAATCTTGTGGAGTGTCCCAGTGAAATACAGTCACAAACGGAATTATACCTATTTACAATATTAAAATAATAATTAATTTTTGTTTATTAAATTAATTTCTGTGTATATGTATGGTTTAATTTATATATAACCATTTCTTAGGAGCTCGTCGATGACGTCATGGTAGAATTGCACACCCGCCCGGCTCACTCCTTTCTCCTTTCTCCCATCTGATAAACATCGTTTTGTTTCATTGATATTTTTTTTTTTAACAATTATATACAAACCAAATTTGATTAACACTAAACTAACTTAGTGAGCGGAAGCACATATATATATACTCACGTGGAAATATTCTTGTCCACGCGATTGAGAGTCTGAAGGCGTCTGTGTTTAGACTCTTCATGAGCTGAATATCTTCCTACAGTCATTTTTCAGAGGAGACAAATTTTTAACGCTCAGTTTTCAGTTTTTATGGACTCATCAGTAGAATAATAGTATATTTACTAGATATACAATCTCTTTAATTAGTAATAATTAATAATATACCTTATAACGATGGAAGAAATCAACGGCCACATCGCCATTATCGTTATTGCATCTCGCTGTTATTTAAAATTAAAGATGATCCAGATTAATTCATTTAATCAAAATTGAAATATAGTTAAGAGATTAGAAAAGTAAATGTATAAGCACTTCACCTGGATATCTCTTACAGTAGATATCCCACAAGGCCGGTCCACGGCAAGTTTCATTCACTGCACCTTCAACCTAATTAAGGACATAACGAAAAGAGCTGACGGACTTAGCAAATGATATATATGCAAGTATGAGTTAATTTGTCGTGTAAAATTTTTACACGTAATACCATGCAAGCATGGGTTAATTTGTTGTGTAACATTTTCACTGGTATATATTATGCAAACAGTATGATACATGCACATTTTATTCAGTAAAAATATTTACATGTAGTATCATATGTTGTATATATTTTATAGTGTTCTATTCTACGAGTTTTGCGCAACAAGATTTTGAAAATGACAAACATGAATTTAACGGTGGCCTACATATATTTACTATCTAATAATGATACCATATTATTTAGGTGTGAAATTTTGGCAAAAAAAGAGTTATTTACGTGTAAAATAACTAATGGAAAACTTTTTTTATGACAGGAAATGTTCATGCAGACTTATATTAATTATACCTGATATGCGGCAGTAGCCGTGCCAAATAAGAAACCTTCAGGGAAACTTGCCCGGCTAAGTTTGGTGGTCGAAGGGCAAACAGGCCCATCAGCTGTTGCCGGAGAGACGACGATGGTTAGGAGCAAAAGCAGCCCCATGAGAGGTAACTTTTGCAAAGCCATTTTGCTTTTAGTTGTTTTTGTTTTCTTTAGGAGAAGAAATTTAGGATGGTTCTTTTACATCTAAGTGGGGGTTCTTTATATAGCGATTTTCAACATTGATTATAGATCCAGATCGAGTTTTCGACTCGATTAAATCTTAATTAATAAGTAAATAACGATCGAAATGATCCTATCGTGCGCATTTTTTTTTTATTGGTAACGACTAACGAGTGATAAAACTACTATTGTTTAGCGAAAATAACTCTATATCGCCATTTGCCACAAATAAATCTGTATTTAACCACATCTTCAAACCAGCCAACATTAATTATCCTTCGAGACATTATGCAGCTTCTCATAGGCCGTCTACTCAAAATTCTTCTCACCATTGATCATATTTTTAATATTCTTGATTCACTTTTGCTACTCTATTTTGTTACTCCTCATCGATCGAGTTCTTTATTTTTTATTTTATTTTTTTGTAAATTGACCAAAAAGTAATTAAATATATAGGATGGTTCATTGCACGATCTATCTCGCTTTGTTATTTTTATATGGATAATAATTTATATATATATCATGATTCGTCGCATGATCTATATCGCTGCATTGTTAATTTACTTCTTCAGGATTTCGGACATATAATAATACCGCTCGTTTCTAACGTGCAAATATTAGCAAGCGACTTTGAATAAGTCGTTATGTAAGTCCAAAACAAATATGATCACTAATAGCCCTTAAAGCCCATATGTAATATTTAGATCATGGTCTTCTTTGTTTTTAAATCGAACACCAATAATAAATAGACGGTGAAGTCTCTAATTGTTTTTAAAAATTGAAGGCATTTTCTGTGTTTACTGTTTAGTACTATTGTGTAATCTAAAATCAGTCGTTTTGTTACTAAAGAAATAATTAAAAAGGGCTTATTTGTTAGGTGACAAAAAAATCCGGTCTTCCGTCATCGTCTTGGTACGTAATTATCTACAGCGAAACCGCCGAAAAGGCTAGGTTAGTTTCCCGATCATATCGTCTTCTGTCAGATTTAACGGAGAAGAGGAGTGGATATATATAACTCCGGTGGAGAAAAAGTTTGAAGTGCTTGGTGCAATCAACACGCTCTAGCCAGAAAGGATATGGTCGTATCCATCGCAGTAGATTTCGAACGGCGGCTTCAATAATCATCAGAGGGTCGAGTCTTTCGAGATTCTCTTGCGCCGGCTCTGGTGTGGACCTTCGAGATTCACACATTGACAAACGCTAAAAATCTTAATATGGTATCTTAAAATAAGAAATATTAATTTTTAAATCATGAAAAAATTCAAACCAATTATAAAATACCACACATTAAATGAATTTTCTAAAAATTTAAGAAACTGTTAAGATCTAATCCTTCTTTCTCTTTCTTACTTTTTATCAGTTTATTAATTTTTTTTGTTAAAATACTATATCAAGATTTTTGCATTGCACATACTCTAAGTTTTGAAAGCAGGTTCATTTTCCTTCATCAACTGTCAACGTGAAGCTCTTCTCCTTTTTGGAATCGTGAGTACCCGGTTTAATGATGTCGAGGATTGTCTGGTTCAGTTAATTTTCTATTCAAATTGAGGACTTATGAATCTTACTAGTGGGCTTTCTCTTGGGCTTGGGCTAGGCTATTTTTGTTGAAACGAGTCGAGTCCAATGGATCTAATGGTGACTCTCGCGGACTTGATATCTAGGTCCAAAAAGTGGAACCTCATTACAAGCATAAGCATCATGTGGCGGTATGTTTAACATCTTTCTCCAAATCCGTTTAACTTTTTTTTTTTTTTTTTTGCTTTCGATAGAAAACCAATGACCAAAATAAGATGTGTTGACTTTAAATATAATCATATTGATTATGACTAAATTTGTCTTCTCCATAAGAGTTGAGACCTTCGATGTATATAGTAGTTGTGTCCATTTGATCCAAAAAAAAGTAGTTGTGTCCAGTTGCCTATAAATATATGTAAATATGTTGATTGTTGATAATAAATTTGAAATTTTAAATAAAAAGACCACTGTCGGGTCATATTTTAATATATCAACTGTACACAACTATATTTGAAGTTTTAGTCCACTGATCATGAAAGGCATTGTTGGACATAGTTTCCTCAATACCAGCCTGTAGCCTATTGTTGTATTTTATTTTCAGTAGTCAGTGACTAAACTAATTATTGTTTGTTAAAATTATTTTTATATATAGGATGATGTCATTGCATATGATCTCTATCGTAGCGTTCTTATTTGTATTCCAAACTTTGGAACATATAATATTGCGCGTGGAGCATATATTATTACAAAGTATTGGAAAATTCATCTTTTGCTGCACCTGCTTCTAATTGCTAAAGCCCAACTGTTTAATATAAGTAATAATATTAAAAAATATCACTCTGATAAACTAGAGAAAAATAAAAACACTTTTTCATAATATCTAAACGAAGAGCGTAAAAATCGTCCAAAATATTGGAAAATCATCTTTTGAACAAGGAAATACTTTAACATATTTTAGGTTTTCTCAAATATTGCGTTTTTTTTTTTTTTTGTTATACGGAGCAAAATACTCTTTATAGATCTTGTCAAACCATCACGTGGGCATTGAGAAATGAAAAATAAAACATTTTTATTCAAACCAAGAAGACCTCATCATTAATCTTGGTCAATCACAAACAAAAGCATAAGAAATAAACATCGAAAACAGAAAATCAAATCCTCAAGATATATATAGCTCAAAGCTCATCCTTCTTGATCGCAGATGGACGAACACCTTGACTTAGGAAGTCTTTGTAATACTTGCCCGACTCTTTCTCATAACGTGTAAGGTTATTTTTGAAATCAACGTAGTAGAGCCCGAATCTGTTCTTGTAACCATCTTGCCACTCGAAGTTATCCAACAATGACCATATAAAGTATCCTGTAACATTCACCTTGTCGATGCTGCATATATCACACAAATGTTTTCACTCATTAGATTCGCCAGTACAGTGTTACTTAGTCTATCATAAAAATAAAAGAAACATTGACTTACCAAATAGCTTCGTGCATTGCTAAAATATGCCTCTGAAGATAATATTTCCTATTATGATCAGCAGTACCAACTTCAACTGAGTCTGATGCTCCAAGTTCTTCTCCGTATCCTAAAAATAACATCAAAATCAATATATATGTTATAGTTATTCAAAGCGAAAAAACTAGCTAACAATATTCATAATAAAATCTCTAGTTACCGTTTTCCATGATCATAATTTCCGGGTTTCCGTACTTATCCTTAATGTACTTCAATAGACTTCTAAAGCCTCTCGAGTAGACGCTCAATGCAGCGGTCAAAGGCTGAAAGACGACAGAGAGTGGAAATGTTACGTCTTAAACAGAAGTATAATCATTCTTTATCTAAAAAATTATATACTTTCAGATTGCTATAAGTTTTTATTATATGGTACGTACCTTGCTACCAATGGCGAAATTTGCCGAATTCTTAGCTGAAAAGATCAACATATATTTTGACTATTAGTAACATTAAACCCTTCGATTTGTTGGCATCGGTTTTCTTGGTGCGGGTTCAAGCGAAATAAATAATAACTTTTAAAAAACTTACATTCCCAAGAAATAAGAGAATCTTGCATCCATCTTGGTTTAGCATAATCTGGCTTCTCCAAATGGTTTGAAAACACAGAAGTATAGTAGTTGAGCCCAACGAAATCAGCCGAGTTTTTCAATTTTGCTTTCTGCTCGTTAGTAAATTTGGGCAATCTATGTCCAACAATGTCTTTCATGATCTGTGGATAATCTCCATACGTAGTTGTGTCTAGATGCCTAAAAAAAAAAAAAAAAAAAAAATCAAATATATATACTCATTAAATCAAATGAATAAAATTACAAGATATTAACTACTTACCATCCCAAAATAAAGTCAAGTGCGCGGTTAATGGATGCACCGTCTTGTGAATCAGCAAGGTCATGTGGTTCGAACCAAGCCGGACTATGTGCGATTCCAATCTTTCCACCTTTACACTGTGGCCATAAACATAACACAAAACAAACCATCTTCAAATCCGACCGAAATACGTTAACTAAATATGATTTTATATGTGTGTTGTACCTTTTGGCATTGTCGGAAAGCTTCAACGGCTTCGGCATGAGAGATGAGGAGATTGTGAGTAACGAGGTAAGCCTCGTATCCTGATCGTCCTTCTTGACATTCTTCTTTAACGTACTTAGAGCAACGTCCTGGTGCTTTCTTGCCTACATCATAACCGGCGTGAGAGAAAACCCATGGCTCGTTGAAAGTAATCCAATGTTTCACTTTTCCACCATATTCTTGGAAAACAAAATCTGCGTATTCCCGGAAGTCTTTCCTACATTTTTGTAAAATGATATTCAATTAATACCATGTACAACTTAAATATTGGTATGCATTTTATAAAAAAAACTTACACAATCCTTTCGCTTAAAAAGCCGCCATATTCGTCTTCTAAATCTTGTGGAGTGTCCCAATGATAAACAGTCACGAATGGAGTTATACCTAATCATCACAACATTAAATAATTAGAGAATACAATTAAGAATAACAACCGTAATGTATATATAGTTTTGTTAATTAATTCATATATAAATATGCACTAAACCATTTCTGATGAGCTCGTCGATGACGTCGTGGTAAAATTGCACACCAGCTTGACTCACTCCTTTCTCCTTTCTCCCATCTGAGAAAACATTATTTTTGCTTCATAAATATTTTTCTAACAATCGTACATGTTATATCTTATATGCACACCAAATTTGATCGACACTAAATAAAATTCAGGAACCGGAAGAACATATATACTCACGAGGAAATATTCTTGGCCATGCGATAGACATTCTGAAGGCGTCTGTGTTTAGATTCTTCATTAGTTGGATATCTTCCTATAAGCATTTTTTTTCACACGAGAAAAATTATCAACATCTAGTATGAACCAATGGACTATTCAACAGATAAATATTACTTAACTACTAGATATAGGTTGATAATTAATTTCTTCAATCTAAACTAATATATTTACCTTATAACGATGGAAGAAATCAACGGCCACATCACCGTTATCGTTGTTGCATCTAGCTGTAATTCATCAAATTTTTGTAAGAAAATCAATGATTTTTGACATTATTAGTGAAAAGACTAATCATAAGCACAAGTTAGCTAGATATAAGAAAAGCAAACGTAGAGACACTCACCTGGATATCGCTTACAGTAGATATCCCATAAGGCAGGTCCACGACAAGTTTCATTCACTGCACCTTCAACCTAAATGACAGAAAAAAAAAATTAATTAATTGATGGGTTTAGAAATGATATATAAAAGATAGGTTAATTCGATATATTCAATAAATTTAATGGTATAGGTAAGTATCATGATAAATATTTTACTATATAATTAGCAAAGGAAGGAAGAAAGAAGACCACAAATATACTCTTAAAACTGTGACAATGTTATGTATATAGTTTTCTATTCGATGTTTTTTTACGTATAGAACATCCTCTTAAAAATATAGTACATAATAAAGCGCCACTATTTAACTTACAAATATGGATTCAAATATTCCATCTATATGAACCTTACTCTCTTAATGTTAACATGAGTGAAATTAACTTTAGCTAGGAAGATTATAAATAAGTTATGTAGAAATGTTTATTAAAACTTATATTATACCTGATACGCTGCAGTAGCCGTGCCAAATATAAAACCTTCAGGGAAACTTGCCCGGCTTAGTTTCGTCGACGGCGGGCAAACAGGCCCATCGGCTGTTGCCGGAGAGACGACGATGGTTAGGAGCAAAAGCAGCCCCACGAGAGGAAACTTACGCAAAGCCATTTTGCTTTTGAGTTGTTTTTGTTTTCTTCAAGAGTATGTTTGAGGAATTATACACCCAAGTGTAGTTGTTTATATAGCTCTTTGGTTCACTGATTGATGTTTAATTTGATTTATTTTTTTACTATGCCAACTACCACCATGCCTCATGGATCAGTTTTTTAATTCTCTAACTTTATCGACCCAGATCGTGTTTTCAACCAAATCTTAATATATAATTGGCTGTTGACGTTATCCTGCTGCTATCTTCTTCTTTTTTTCCACTAAACTATTAGTGCATGATTGGATAGAGGAAGCTACATTGCATGGTCTAATTATCAATTCGTTAATATTTTTTTCTTCTCAAAATTTGGAACATATAATATTCCGCGTGTCCCACGAGCAACGTATAGCAAAATGTCACTAATACAAGTTATAAATTTAAATCATAGAAAAAACAAAAAATTCATAGTAAACAATTACAAAATGAATAATATGTATATTATTTTTTATTAAAAAGGTTAGGCTTTTTTTATAAGAAAAGTACGCTCTTCATATTAAAATTATCAAATATACTGTCGATAAATATTTTTATTCCAAACATATTATTCAAACAAATCGCTCTTCAATTTCAATTACATAATACTTTTGTCCGAAGCTTTCCTTTCTACTTTTGGACATGCTCAACTCCCGTAGGAATCTGGATGGTGTCTTTCAATCCATGGAAATCTGCTGCATCGAATACTAGTGTTTGTGAAAGAACTAGCTAGTATCGATCAGTCGCTAGAACAATCATAATGTTACGTCTCAAATAAAACATGTATTTATGAATTCAAAAAATTGAATTTGAGCACTGGAAAGTTTCATAAAATTTAGGGCCTCGCAAAACTAAAAAAAAAAAATAATTAAAGAAATACTACTATTATACTATAGAGCTGTGGTTTGTATTATACCCTATATCCCTCTTTGTAGTCCACTTTGATCATTTAATATATTTCGGTTGACAACAAAAAAAGAGCCATGTTCTTAAGCATTGCATTATTGAAACATCCTATAAAGTATTAATGAGTCTCCTCGTGAAAGAAAAAAAAAACAAAAGTTTACCGTCCTCATTCAATTTCTACGTCAACTTGATCATTCAGATCGACCAGTGCTTGGGATAATTAATATTTACAGTAGATTCGATATATTAAAGTTTACAGTTCATAAACTCGATTGTCCATATACATAATTAGTGACTGAATATGAACATTATTAATGACTTTTTATAAAGACCATTTAATATAGTATAGCTCACATGAAATATAGTCAAACTCACTTGTAATAGGACCGATTTTCTTATACTCCAGTAGTAGACGGTGATCTGTTTTCATATGAAAAATGAAAGCAAAAAATACTAATTCTCGTGTTTAACGTGCAACAATATTAATATACTAGTTTTGGTTGAATGGTTTATAGTCCAAAAGTGAAGCTTTCGATCTAATTCTAATGTAATATGATTACTAGGTGGTTGGCCTGCACATATGTGTGGATATAATTTTTTTGATATATATAGTTAATTGTAATATTTAAATGTTGATTAGTTTTTTTTAAATATTGGTATGTTTATATATATTGTTTTAATATTTCACAAGCTTCTTTCTGAAACCAATGTATTTTAAAACTTTTTATATTTATAATATTTGTAATAATATATAATCACAAATATAAAAGTTATGTTAAATAATAATTAAAAAATTTTATAATATTTTTTTTAAATATTTCTATAATATGCTTTATTTCTCCTTACACAATTTACGATATGCTTTTTTGCGTCTTACATAATATGAATTTGCAAATACATATAATATATTTAAGTATATATTTTTCTTGATTTATTACAAATTAAACTGAAATAGTTTTTACCATTTTTACTTATTTCTATGAGCGGATAGATAATTGGCACGCATGTGCGAGTATACCAACCACTTCACTACACTTAGAATAGATTAAAAAAAAATTTAAAAATATAAATTGTATAATAATTAAAATAAAAATTAGACTGTAATCAATCTTAACAAAATACATGCACAGAAAAGTTCGCATGTGACTTCAACTAATGTACAACTAATATATATGTATGTACGCGTATTTGTAAAAAATTAAATTATGGCTCTTACGTCTTAAAAAGTTTTTAAGTGACTTTGTAAAATAAAGCGAGAGATTTATTTTTATATACTTTTATTTTTTATTTATGATTCATATTGTTTCATCTTATTATAATTTATTTTTTCGTTCGGTTATTTTTTATTTCATTTACTATCTCAATTTTTTTATATACAATGAAAATAAATTTATATATATATATGCATATGCCATTATTTTTATTTAAAATATGATAAAAGATAAGATGAGATGGTAACATAAGTTATGTACATTTTAGAAAACAACAATAAAAAGATGATAAAACTTTTAGAAAAATATATGGTCCTATTAATATTATAAAATAATAATTAGTATATACTTTATTCAATTAATAAATATTGGTTTGACAATAAAATTATTTAAAATTATGTTGTTTTAAAACCATTTCAATAAAAGTTAATTATTTTATTATTTTAACATTTTATTCTTTAAGTTATTTTTATAATGATTGTGTTTTATTTGAAATTGTATTATTTAATAATTTTTTTATTTAGAACTTGTTTAGATGTTATTAATATATTTTGTAAATTAATAACTTTTCGATATAAAAATATATCATACTTCAAGTATTATTAATAAATATAATTTTTACTATTCTATTAGATCATTTAGTATTATTTTTTTTTGTTTTTATGTGAAATTATAATATATATATATATATATTGTTAAAAAAATTCATAATTATATTTTATGAAATTATGAATATATGTAAAAAATTATAATTATAATAACTTTTATTTTCTGTTAATTTAAATTTGTTAATTTTAGTGTTACAAATATAATCTATTTTATATATGTTTATTTCCATAACTATTATTTTAATTCAACCAATCAAAACATTTTGTTTAGGAAGTTTGATATGTCACATTTACATGTCATCAATTAAAAGCACTAACTTTGGTTGTAGTATTGACAAGTAAGCTATTTTCAATAATGTTACTTCCCAAATAATATGTAGGGGATTTTTCTTGATTTATTGCAAATTAAACTGAAATAGTTTTTACTATTTTTATTTATTTCTAAGAGCGGATAGATAATTGGCACGCATGTGCGAGTATACCAACCACTTCACTACACTTAGAATAGATAAAGATTTTTTAAAATTATAAATTGTATAATAATTAAAATAAAAATTAGAATGTAATCAATCTTAACAAAATACATGCACGGAAAAGTTCGCATGTGACTTCAACTAATGTACAATTAATATATATGTATGTACGCGTATTTGTAAAAAATTAAAATATGGCTCTTACGTGTTAAAAAGTTTTTAAGTGACTTTGTAAAACAAAGTGCGAGAGATTTATTTTTATATACTTTTATTTTTTATTTCTGATTTATATTGTTTCATCTTATTATAATTTATTTTTTTGTTCGGTTATTTTTTATTTCATTTACTATCTCAAATTTTTTATATGCAATGAAAATAAATTTATATATATATATATGCATATGCTATTATTTTTATTTAAAATATGATAAGAGATAAGATGAGATGGTAACATAAGTTATGTACATTTTAGAAAATAATAATAAAAAAATGATAAAAGTTATAGAAAAATATATGGTCCTATTAATATTATAAAATAATAATTAGTATATGCTTTATTCAATTAGTAAATATCGGTTTGAAAATAAAATTATTTAAAATTATGTTTTTTAAAAACCATTTCAATAAAAGTTAATTATTTTATTATTTTAACATTTTATTCTTTAAATTATTTTTATCATGATTGTATTTTATTTAAAATTGTATTATTTAATAAATTTTTTTTTAGAACTTGTTTAGATGTTATTAATATATTTTGTAAATTAATAAATTTCTGATATAAAAATATATCATACTTCAAGTATTATTAATAAATATAATTTTTACTATTCTATTAGATCATTTAGTATTTTTTTTTTGTTTTTATGTGAAATTATAATATATATATATTTTTTTACAAAATTCATAATTATATTTTATGAAATTATGAATATATGTAAAAACTATAATTATAATAATTTTTATTTTCTGTTAATTTAAATTTGTTAATTTTAGTGTTATAAATATAATCTAGTTTATTTATGTTTTAATTCCATAACTATAATTTTAATTCAACCAATCAAAACATTTCGTTTATTTTAGGATGTTTGACATGTCATATTTACATGTCATCAATTCAAAACACTAACTTTGGGTGTAGTGTTGACAAGTAAACTATTTTCAATAATGTTACTTCTCAAATAATATAGTGGATTACAACTAAAAGCCCCAGGTGTTAATTATATGACATATATAAATTTCTCTTAAACGACATGGATGATTAAAAACCGTAAGTTTTGGTTGAATGGTTCATAGCAAATACTCTAGTCGCTTTAGAGGCTTTAACGTCAGAGGATTCAAACGAGCATAAATGCTCTGTATAGTCGACTCCTTTTTCGTGTGAAGCGCATATACCAAAAATCAATATTTATATATCATCTCTAGCTAAAATAAATTGAACTTTCATGTAAAATTTTCGTTTATTAATTATTAATTAGAATTTTAATTTCTAAATCGTTTTATAATATTAATGACATGTTTAGCAAATGAAACTTTTAAGGAATTCATAAATTTTCAGTAATATAACAAATGAAAGAATGTTAGTTTTTATTGAAATTCTCTTTTAATTCAATATATCTTATTTATACAGACGTTTGTTCTGCACGGATGGGCGGGATTTGGATCATATAATAATATTCCGCGTGTCGAACGAGCAACATATTAAAATGTGACTTTGATGTGTATAACTAAAAAGTCAGAATTTATATTATTTTTATGTATTTTAATAGAAAGCCTTTTTTTCAAAATAGACATTTGTGACTTTTGAATCAACACTGCGTCTTTGTGCAACTCCAACAAATTTGAACGCATATAATATTAATACTCGTGTTTAACGAGCAACAATATCAAAATGTACTTTTTCAAAAAACAAAAAAACAATATCAAAATGTAAATATTTGAATGAAATCAGGAATTTTTTTGGAACTCTAAAACAATGAATTCCATCTACTCCATTTGCTAGCATATTGTATACTGTATATATTAAGCATCAAAGCATGTAAAGTATTTTTTAATAAATTAATAATGTCAAGATTTTAATATTTTATTTACTTATAAAATGATTAATTATTGATTTATGTTATATTTTGAACCAGTACAACTTGAAATGAGAAAAAATTGTGAATTATCAAGTATTAACTTATAAAATTTCTACTATATATGTACACATTTTCAGTATATTAGCAAAACAATATTAGACTTTTTTTTGTTTGCTAAATATAATTTTCTGAAGCTGTAACTTAGAGCTTCCTCTTCTTCTTTTTTTAATGAAAATTTCTGTTAACATGTATCAAAGAAGCCAGTTTGATGGCAGATTTATTGGCGAAAAAATCTCTTCGTTTGTCTGATCGATATTTCTATATTCCATGGTAGCTTTACGTGCTAGTTGCCTCGAACTATAGTCGTAATGCAAGGAACTGACTCGATGGTCACATGCTTGAGTCTCGAAACTTCGGTAATTGGTCTACACTTCAGTGTCGTTTTGAAAGCATCTTGATGAAGCATGTGGATCAAACTCTGCCAGGCCAGCAACTTAATTTACAGTTATAGGCTTTTTCAAATAAATTCATGTCAAAATAATTGATCCTGTACTTAGTCCACTGATTTAATTATCGAATGGTATGCTTTCAAAAACATATTTATAAAAGGTATATTCCTAATTTACTAACATCAGGATTAGTGAACTTTTCGACGAACCAAATACTTACGACTTGGAATGTCCTTTGATCTACCAGATCGTTTTAAGTGGAAGATGCAAATCGTAGGGATCTGACTTTAAGCGCTACAAAAACAAAGAAAACCTCCATCAACGTTCTAAAAAGTAAACACAATGCAATAAATATCATCCAATACTATAAACATGCAAACTCTTAGATAAAGTATGAATGTATGATGTTCAAAATCTTTAAGGTGATGACTCGTAAATAAAACCTATTATTTTCTGACTATTGTTATTCACATAAATCACAAAGAAAGAAATGATGGTCGAAAAAAAGAATGGATTTTCGAGATGAAAAACATACATTTTAAATAATTAAGGGAAAAATCCAGAAAATAAACTTACTTGAAAAAATGAGTAAAGATGTTAAATTTTAATATCATATTACAAATGATGATATAAATGAATGTAAGAAAATCTAATTTTTCTATAGAATTTTCTTCACAAACGATTCGAAAATGAACATTTCTACCTGCACCGTACTTAAGATAGAAAATTATATCTTTAATATAGAGATGATGACGAACGAGTTTACATCACGTTAAACATATCCGGTAAGCTTGCATACAATAATCTAACATAACATTGCATTTCTAAATAATCGGACACTAGATAAATATTAATAAACTATATATTGACAACCAGTTTAAGTTGACTAGTAATACAACTTTCACAGAAAAAGTTGGCTAGTAATGTAATTTGTTTGTCTTCTATTAGAAAGAAAAAAGTTAAGTCATCCAATTTCAATAATACGACTTATATATGTCAATTATCATTAACAAACCATATGCTGTGAAATCACGAGTGAAAACCTTTTGTTTAATATTTTTTTTAATGTGAATGGATGTTTATAAATTCTAAAAAACACCTACGTATATATGTCCACTACATGTATACATGGAAGTATGGAACCTTGCTATTAGTTTAGAAAATTTCAAATAAAAATATACAACAAAAAAAACTTCCAAGTGTATGCATTATCGAGTGGCATCAAAAGAGAGGACATTTTGATTTTACAACTGAAGCTTAAAAAACAGAAAAAGAGAAGCATTAAGCTAAAATAATTTCACAACAGCACACGCGTGAGGGAAGGAACTAGTGGAGTCTGAATCCTGGAAGCACCCTTCTTCTCTTTTGTTTCTAAACGACTTATTAAACTAGGAGGGTCTGATTACATTTAAGAAGATGTAACATTACCAAACTGGGCTTTGAAAAGTGCCACGAGCTTCTGCTTAGGAGGCAAGACTTCCTTGATAACATTATTCCCAACGAAATTCTCCGACCAACGTTGAAGTTTTGGAAACTTCTCTGCGGTCATGATCGTCACACCCGAAGCTTCTTGGGCGATCCCTAACCAATATGCTATGAAATCAGCCGCTATATCGACAAATCCAATTGTCTCTCCACCGAAAAATTGTTTATCTCCAAGCTCGTTTTCAAGGCATGTCAAACGCTCATAAGCTTCTTCCACCAATTTTTCCCTTTCGTCTTCCGGTCCCCAACAAGCCTTCCACGATGCTAACATCACCTAAAACCCACAGAACAATACAAGCTGTTATACGTAATGAAGATATGTATCTAAACATTTTTGTATTAAGTAGACCAGCATATATATATGTACCTTCTGATCCACATACTTAGCCCAAAAACGGGCAATGGAACGTTCATAAGGATCTTGTGGCAAAATCGGGTAACTTGTCTTCCACGTATCTTCTATGTATTCGACAATCAGCAGAGACTCAGCTATGGATCTGCCACCGTGGATGAGGACAGGGATTTTCTTGTGAATAGGGTTGTATTTGAGAAGCATAGGGCTCTTGTTACCATAAACATCTTCTTCAATGTATTCATAAGGTATTCCCTTAAGTTTCAGGACCATCTCTACTCTTTTGCTAAAAGGACTTCCCCATAACCCCAGAAGCTTAATTTGCTCTTCTTGGTTCATCTTTCCGGTTTAGAAAAAAATAAACTCAGCTTTCGTTTGGTTTTCTTCTTTCTGGTGGGTGTTCTCTTCAGAAATGGTGGTGATCAGGTATTTATAGTCAATTTGGGTTTTGGCTAAATGCATGTATTAAGTATAATCAGTCATCGTAATACATAGTAACGATAATGCCAAATGAAACGAAAATGAATAATAAATAATATTAGTTGGTCAAAAATGTTGACTTTCATGGAGGGTAGTGGTTGACGGAGAAAAATATCATCTACAGACAATGTATGTTGTGCAACATTTATCGGTGATACCGTCAGCTTTTGACGGATTCAATACTTTCTTGTTAAGTTTTGGTTTGAAATCTTTAGTCATAGATAGTTCACATATATTGATAGTTCTTGAGTGATGCTTACGTATGCAATTACGTTTCAAAACTGTACAAGAAATAAATATTTTCTAAGTAGAGTTTTATTATGACGCCCATCATTTCTAGGCCCAATATCGATAAATACCAAACTAAGATACCCAACTCGATTAAACAAAAAGTACGTACAAAATTGATAGATAGATTCACATGATTTATTTTATTCAGTTAGCACTAGCGATAATAAACTTAAACTAAATTGACATTGACAGTTACGAAGAAGACACAAAGAAATCAACTTTATATCACAAAACTTTTTGTAGAATTGCAAAAAATTACAGACATATACAGAAAAATCTATTGACAAAAAGAAAAAAACAAAAATTAAACTAAAACCTTAGGAGTCTCAGTCTCCTTCTCATCATAATTGGGTTTGCGTTTCCTCGTGGCCCTTATATAACAAAACACCACCACAAGAAACGCTGTTGCTAAACCTCCGAGAATAACTCCACCGCCGGCGACCGATCTGTCCACCGTTGAATGGTGGTGGCCTCGCCGTACAGTCTGTTCTAAATGTAAAGACTCCGGTGCTTCTGCCTCAGCTCTTGGCCAGCCGCGCCCACCGATATTCCTTGCTGCCGGAGGCTCAGCTTCTGATGATACTGCGGCCATAGCCAAGGCGTACGATAGTAAACAGCATAGGACTATAGGTTTAGCAGTTGCAGCCATTTTTAGGGTTTCTTTGATTGATATCTTTATTTTGTTTTCTTCTTTGGCTTACTTACTTGAAGATCATTGTGCTCATGGAGTTATTTATAGGTAAAATATTTTCTATTTAGTATTTTCTTAGTCCTTTTAAGCAAATTTGTTGTTATATTAATCGTTAGAGAGATCGTGGTGTCATATGGAAATTTCCGAGTGTTTGGTTACCGGGAAAATCGGTTAGATTACACATAGAATTTTGCCAAGAAAATGATTTTAGTGTATGTTTTTAATAGATAAATTAACTGTTTTGTGTTCTTCAATGGAGTTGTCGGGTTGGCCGGAGGAATCATACGGGTGTACACGTGAAGTAGGATTTAAAATATTACAATAATAAAAAATTCATCCAAAAAAGTCTACATTATATTGGTACGTATGTATTCGGTATATACATATAATCATCAAAGAAATTCAGAAATTTGCTAAAACAATTGTAGAATCTCATCTTATTAGAATTGATCAAATTGTTATTTATGAATATTTTAAATTAATTCGTAGATACAATTTTAAATTTTTCAAAATTTAAACATAGATTAAATCTAGAATATACCGAAAGTTTTCGGCTAAAATGAACATGAGAACATCTATATTTGAGACTGACAAACTTGGGGACTTGATAGTAGATACGTTAAAATTGATTTCAATTAGTAGGCACCTATATGAGATCCTAAGTTACTTGTTAAATTTAAACCTCGAAAATTTTCTTACATAAGTAAATTAAAGACAGCGAGATCTATGATGTGTTTATATGTAAAGTTGTCTGAGATGTGTTTTAATTAAAGGAGCAAGTGAAGCTTCTTTGTCGCTAGGCAAAGACGACGAAGGTGGTCGCCGGTCGGGAACTAACGTCCTCTTTTGTTTTCTATTCTAGCCTTGTAGGTTTCATGATTTTGAACTTTTTTTTTTCGTTTTCCTATCAAGAATTCGGTTAAATTAAAAGGGGGCAACAATAGCCCAACTGTTTCGTTACAAAGCCCACTATATCTTTTCCGACGAGTCTTGTAAGGTAGAATCGAAGAAGGTGTTGTTTCAGAGAAGAAGCACGATTATTGATTGTCAGTTCGATGCGGTCAAGGAAAAAAATTGTGGACCGATAGGTCGGTGGAGCCAAGCAAGAAGTAAGAGAGCTCGATGCAGTTTTGACTTGGCAAAGGAAAGTAGATTTTTCCTGAGGGACAATCTCTCCCATGTGGTTTTAGTGAAGTTTGCAAGCAAGAAATTGGTTCATTAATATATTTCAAAGATATGCTAGTAATGATAACATGTGGATACATCGTATGCTAATATATATGGGAAAAATATGTGAGTTAATAGTTAGAAAAGGGAATTTTTATAATATCCATATTTCAAACTGGTTTTACAATTACGCACTTGACTTATATAATTCAATCATTATTTCACATTTATTTCAGCTACATTTTCTCAATATTGAAGAGTCGATGAGAGCAAAAACATGCCAAATTGCCAATGCTACGTTGCTTTGTACGTATTCTTCATTACTTTGCCTTTTCCGTTATTTCGACAAGAAAAACCTTTCTCCTCTTGTCGTTAGAGAAATTAAAGGAAAATATCACTAATCATAGAATTTATTCCCATAGCTCTTTCTCATGATTAGCCTACTATTTTTCTTTGGATACCGACAGGTAAATTTTTTTTTTATTCTCGAAAAAAGACGAGTAGACAGAGAGTTCTATACGATGAGATAAAATCCATTTTTTTGTAACAGAAATAATCATTCCGAAAAATATTTAACTGTTCTTTAATAGTTACAGAAAACAACTTAATAAATCAATTATTGTAACGAGAAATGGTTCAAATAAATATCCAAGGGAATATCTATTGGTATAGAAAACACAATAAGAATGAGCAAGAAAAGACAGTCAAAGGAAGTCGAATATAATTTGTATATAGAAAAGCATAATCCTAAGTTCCCATCATTGGCTCATACGGAACAAAGAATCTCCCTCTAATGATTTGATGTCTCTTAGACTCACACTCCCTCCTTTTACTTTTCACGCTTTATCTGCCTACTGCTTGCTTACGCATAAACGCTCTATGGTACATGTAGTGGTCGTAATTTGTGGTTTCGTTAGATTGGTCGACATCAAAACAGATTTGTTAATTACAATACATAGTAGTTGCCAGTCTAGAAACTAGTTCGAGTTCACAAACTGTTAACATGAAATACATGATGGCATGTTTCCGCATTCAATTGCTTAAATTTCTTGAGGACTTATGTTAGGAATCACGCGTTTAAAATAAGAAGAGCAAATAAAACATGCACATAGAGTAATTTATTCATTATTAATTGGTTTTGAGTTTCAGACTCATGATCATTAAAATAATAATTTTTATGTATTTTTGTTTTTTAAAATAAAAATGAGATTATATAGTGTTTTTTAATCGCCCTACAAAAATATGACATATACTGTAGTTTTGATTAATTCTTTTGAATAGTACTGGCCAAAACAAAAACAAAAATTATTTAATAAATTAAATTCTCTCCACGTATGCAATTTAACGTCTGTATGTTCTGTTTCCTAATTTACGTTGAAATAGAGATTATGTTCTGTTTCCTAATTTACGTTGTAAACGCATGCCTTTAATTAAATAAATGTAAAAAGGCTATAAAATTTAGAATACAAATTCTATATCGACCGTACGCACAGTTTACAGCTCTAACATTTATCATGAAACAAAGCTCAGATATATGAATGTACAATATAACATAAAAAAACAAAAAATTGTTTTCCATTAGAGCATATGTTCTTATAGCATTAAACCTTTCGAATAAGCATCTTCTCATTACTATTTAGCCTCACGAGGCTTATAAATTCTCACATTATCCTAGTAAACTTATTACCAACAAAAACAAAAACAACAAGAACAAACCATAAAACACTCAAAAAATGAGATCTTACAAGATAGAAGAGAACGAAAGAAGCTGAAGATATGAATCTACATATGCCAAAGTATTGGTGAGGACCGGGTAATCTGCATCCTGAGGTTTAAAGCTTAATTTACGCAAAATATGCATACGTATATAGTTTTTAATCCTCGGGATGCGGATTACCTCTTCCTTACTTACAATACATACACGGAGACGCGATTACTGAAGAGGTTAGGTTATTTTTTAGGCTTCATTTCAACATATCATATTACTAGATATCTAACACGAATATTCCCCACAGAGACAAGATGTATACCCATATTCGTAAGTATATATGTACATGCAATGTATACATACGTGCATATGCATGTATTATTATATACTACGTACATATACTATCAAGGCACCAATTGTTTTGTTTAAGAGAAATTACGCACAAAACTAAAAAAAAAAAAAAATTGACGAATAAGGAGTTTTGGAATACGAACCATACTAGTTGTTTAAACTCTGATTATTCATTTTCGTTGCTTGCCGCAGCGACAGAAAAAAAAAAAAAAAAAACAAATTGACGTGCCGTGGTGATAGGTGTATTTTTCGATTGCTGTCCTACTAGCTAAAAGAACAGGGCCTAACTAATTGTTGAAATGATAGAGTGAGTTGAGTTAAGAACTAGTTTAAGTTTTGTAATTAAGAAAAGTTCAATTAATGACTCATTGCACGAATGCTTGATGGCAGTGGTCAATTGTTTACATTTAGCTATAAGGTCGTCTGATTAATTAGTGTATAACACGACTCTTATGTCTCTACGAATTAGTGAGGTATAGCCCAGTATGTTTTTATATTTATACTTATTACTTAAACAGGTAAGTCTTGAGTCTTAATTATTCATTTTTGGCTAAACTATAACTATACGCAAATACAAATAGTGAATATATAGATTATACATATAGACTATATAGTTTTATCTATTGCTCAAGGCCAAGGGTCGTTCATTGCCTTTGACAAATACGTTTGGACATGTGATTTGGTATTTGGCATTTTGGTTCGACTATATAGTCAACTAAATTAACTCTGATTATTCATTTTCAGTAAGGTGACTCATTACAATAAAGCACATGAGTTTACGATCAATACCCACCGTAAAACTATACTGATGTTGAAATGAATAACCATAATACTCTATTGTATAATTGATTCAACGAAATATATAAATGAACGTCATTAATCTCTTTTTTTATTTTATTTTTGCGATTCTGCCGTAATTAAATTATTGCAGTTTTTGTTTTGTAGCTTGTGTTAACAAACAAAATTTGCTAAATCAACTATGTAATAATTATTAATGATTTTTATTATTTATTCACTCTTCATATAGATGTCCAATACTGGAATTGTTGATAATGTCAAGAAAAGTACATGTTAAGATAATGCTAAATTGCAAATAACAAGAATTAACAATGCTAATGCTGTGTATTAATCTACTCATTGTGCAAAGGACAAAAAGAAAACGCCAAAAGGCTTGGTTGGACCATTTGTTTTGTCAACTGCGTATCTGTTATTTTGTTTATATAAAAACTAATGGAGAGTAAAAAATAAAAACAATAATAATCAGGTAATTTGTTTAAATTAAATCAGCTGAAATAATCAAATAAATTTAAGCATTAAAATTTTGCGTCGTTTTGCTAAAGTTGAAGGCTGCTGATCTTTGTAATTGTGATATAAGTGGGTATCATAACCAATGGGTAGAGAACCGGTTCATAGTATATTTCGACTATATATGCATTGTACACTTTACTTTAGCAACCGTATACGTCAGATCCTGAGTCCATCATATACATGAAATCATATATAGAGAGTGATGCTGTACTGCCGTTTTGACTGCTTTACCGGACATGGACGATGTATTCCTATGCAGAATATATACATGTACATGTACTGTATATAGTAAAACTAGAGAGACGAATTCTAGAAATTTGGTTGAGTGTATGACATTATTATATTCCATTCTAAATTATTCAGCTTTATTCAACTCAATGAACGAAAACAAATATTCAAAATATACTCTCTTATTCTATAATATTTTTTCACAGTTTTTATAGGCAAAAATATTAATGTGAAAATATATAGTTTGATGTATATACTTTGTGTATTTTATCTTCCTTTTTTCATTTTTACATGATTACATCAAACATGAAAATGTATGATATAATATTTTGATTGTGTGTTTCTTTATATTTAAACATTAATTATGGAATTTGTTTTTCAAAATTAAACAGAATTTATTTACTTAAAAAGTTTTTTTTATATTATTATCAATGAAAAAAATGTAGAAACGGACATATTTTAGTCATAAGATACAAAAATTTGTTTGATTTGGACAATTTATTTTCAAGTGTTAGTTGCGATAATGTTTTCCTAGAAGTGTTTTTTTATTTTATTTGAACCCATTATCTGATGTGTGCAGATAATTTTTTAACTATCAAAAAGAATAAACTATTCATGTAATGCTATAGAAGCTCGAGTTGACCATTTCATTGGCAGATTAATCACTCTCTCCTTCTTTTGATGCTCAATTTTAACAATCTTTGATCATCTTTCTCTTTATTCTACGGAAGTTTTCCAAATATTCTATGGAAAACATCAAAAACTCTAAAACCCCCGATGATTATTCCGATCGCATATCGAAAAACAGTCATCAAAGCGTTGATACTTCCGTGTCAAGAACTTACATATGCAGTTTCTGCATAAGGGGCTTCTCGAATGCTCAAGCACTGGGAGGGCATATGAACATCCACAGAAGAGACAGAGCTAAACTCAGACAAAAGCTTATGGAAGATAATCAGGATGATATTGTCGCCGAGAGTGATTCATCAGAAGTTGTCTCTCTACACCTTAATGAACAACAAGAAGAAGCTTTGGCATGTGATGATGATAAGGATCAAGATATGGACAACGATATAAGTCCTGGTCAGAAATTAGGGTTTTGTGTTCGAGAAAGCAAGCTCGATACTAATGATCATGGAAAAAAGGTTAGCATAGATCATGGTTCGAGTTCGAGTCATCATCGTGAGATTGAAGGATTGGATCTTGAGCTCCGGTTAGGCCAAAGCGCCGTGGAGAAGAAGACAACATAATCTCTCAACGACATCATGCATTGTATGTATCAAAAGGAACAAAAATCTTGAAACATCAAACTCTCGAATCCGTCTATTACAAATGGATTCGTGGCTCAAATTGTATTGAAGGTATGCATGTATATCTATTATTGCTAACATCGTCATTGTTGTGTGTATATTTGTTTTCTTGCATCGTTTAATTTTCACCTACTTTTTTTTTTTATGAATGACATACACGTACGTCCACACAAACATATATATAGATAAATATGGATTTGGTGTTTGCTTTGAGACTGTTAATGGAAAATGAATGAAATTTAGCTTAATTCACCTAACTATTAGACTCCTCCTAATTAACTAATTAACCAGTGGATACTATACTAATCATCATATTTTCGAGTAATATTACGGATAACTCGTTTATTTGTTACATTCGAGGTCATTGGTTTGGATCCTCACAATATAAACATATGCTATCAAATAGTTAAGTCGTATTCGTATACTGTTTGCTAGAAAACATATATATAAACGCTATTATAAACAAAGATCGCGTTATAAATGTTCCTTGTTCAAGATGCTCTTTTCCCATATTCCGAAAGAGTATTTGAATCATATTCTCACAAATATTATTGTATCTAAACTAAAGTTATGCTCGGTTTATGGGTTATAAGTTATAACCCGAAAGAACATAAATTTCAATACAAGTCAAACCATATGTACTATAAGTTGGTAAAGTCGTTTGAACCGCTAAGATTCCATAATCTCCATGATAATAAGTTAATTTAATTAAGTGGTCCCTTCCGCTCATGATGATGATAAATATAGCTACAATATATGCTTAAACCTGTTTAGTTAAGACTTAAAGAGCAGCTTAATTTTTAAAAGAATTTGGCGCAACCAGCCATTTGCGACAGTGATGACGGTGAAGAAGCCATTGGAATACAGAGAACGTCGAGGGAGTTCAGTTTGACGGAGCATGCATTTGGATTCGGTGACGCAATTAATGACGAACATACACGTCTTCCGGTTTGGTTCGAGAAAATTTGACCATTTCCACAAGATTTGCTTCGATTATGCTATACCGATAATGATAATGCAATAACCAACAAAACGACTCTAACCGAATCGGTTCGGTTTCTTTTGTTTGAATATCATCCGGTTCGGATTACATTTAAAATCGAAGAATTGCCAACGAAGACCAGCACACGATCCTAAAATCCTCTGCATCGTCTCCATCGCTGGACTTTTCCATTATTATTGACGAATCTCTCTGCCTTTTTCTTCTTCCTTCATAAACAAACCCCGTTGGATTTCCACGAACGTCTCTCTGCCCCCTCTCTATCTTTCTCGATTTGTTCTCCGCCGGAGCTCGTAGTGTGCGGATCCGCAGCGGCGAGATGGCTCCTAACGATCCTAAAAATGGCGGCGGCGGAAGTGGTTTCTTCGCTTCTCTTGCTTCCTCGATCTCCAATTTGGGATCGGCCATGACCAAATCAGTTAACGGGTGAGGTTTTTGAGATCCCCTTTGTTAAACCCGGATCTGCTGCCACTCAGCTAGATTTGTATGCTATTTTCAATTTGATTTGAATCCTGGAAACTGTTGGTTTTGCTTCTTGAGGTCCCCTCCCTATGTTCAGATCTTCTTCTAGCGTAGATGATTTCATTTCTGCAAACCCTGCTCCTTTGGAATTGATATTTAGATGAGAGTTTATTAATTCACAGATGGAAAGTTTCGATCCACTTGTAAAATGGGGTTTCGTAAAGTTTAGCTCTTGTGCAATAAGCTTAATGCTTCGTTGTGTGTGTTGATTTGCTCATCAGTTTGGTTGGCTATGAGGGACTGGAAGTTATTAACCCTGAAGGAAGTACAGAAGATGCAGCCGAGGAAGCAAACAGAGGAAGATGGAAGCAAGAGGTATATATATATATATATACACTTCTGCTGTACCGTTGTTATCAATAACTGTTGATCTAATCGACTGAGAAACCTATGTTTTACACAAAATCTCAGGATCGAGATGGTTACTGGAAGATGATGCAGAAGTACATTGGATCTGATGTTACATCAATGGTGACACTTCCTGTGATTATTTTTGAACCGATGACAATGCTCCAGAAAATGGCAGAGGTTTGTGCTAATAAGGCAACATCTGATGTTTCGTTCCTGTCTGATAGTTTTGTAATCCGATGATGCTGATGATATGTGCTCTGTTTCTGACAGTTGATGGAATACTCGCATCTACTAGACATGGCAGACAAAACCGAGGACCCCTATATGCGCATGGTGTATGCATGTAAGCACATCTCTTCCTTCCTTCCTTGATATTCTGCTATGATCTGTATCTGTTCATGTTGTTTCTGTGGCTGAGTTGCAAGAATTGATCTTTGACAGCATCATGGGCTATATCTGTGTATTATGCTTTCCAACGTACCTGGAAACCGTTCAATCCAATCCTCGGTGAGACTTACGAGATGGCTAATTACAATGGTGTTAACTTCATATCTGAACAGGTCAGAGTCATTTCAATTGTAGAACTCATATAATTGTCAACGATTCAATGTTAAGTTCTTTAGCTGCCAACTTTCTCCGATTGTTGACACCAATCGTCTTGTTCTCAGGTCAGCCATCACCCTCCAATGAGTGCTGGTCACGCTGAAAATGAGCACTTCACTTATGATTGTACCTCAAAACTGAAAACAAAATTCCTGGGAAATTCCATTGACGTTTACCCAGTGGGAAGGTAATTCTGCAAAACCACTGCACGCTGAAATAACATTCTTCACTTGTTGATTATCCTGAATCTTAGATGCCATAAATATGTGGTGCAGGACACGAGTGACACTTAAAAGAGATGGAGTGGTTCTTGACTTGGTACCTCCTCTGACCAAAGTTCACAACCTAATCTTTGGACGAACTTGGGTCGATTCTCCTGGGGAAATGATCATGACCAACCTGACCACTGGTGACAAAGTCGTGCTTTACTTTCAACCATGTGGTTGGTTCGGGTAAGTTCCCTTCACTGCAACCTCATCTTCCTGTTTTTGTTTGCCATTCTAAGCTGAAGAAATGTGCCATTCATTCGTCTCAACAGATCTGGTCGATACGAAGTGGACGGATATGTCTATAACGCCTCTGAGGAGCCCAAGATACTCATGACTGGTAAATGGAACGAGTCCATGAGTTATCAGCAGTGTGACAATGAAGGTGAACCTCTCCCAGGCACCGAACTAAAGGAGGTTGACCAAATCTCTCTCCCTCATCAACTCAATTCTCTTTCCAAAAATCTCACTTTTGATGACATTCTGATTCCGTCTCTTGTTCATAGGTCTGGAAACTCGCTGATGTTCCAAAGGATGACAAGTACCAATACACACACTTTGCTCACAAGATCAATAGCTTCGACACTGCCCCGAAGAAGCTGCTGCCGTCTGATTCACGGCTACGCCCTGATAGATACGCACTGGAGATGGGCGACATGTCCAAATCCGGCTACGAGAAGAGCAGGTATGGTTACAGAAACTTGTCCTTCAAGATCTAAAATTGAAGTAAGCTAGTTCTCACCATTCCACATCTTGTTACAGCATGGAAGAGAGACAGAGAGCCGAGAAGAGAACTCGCGAAGAGAAAGGCCAAAGCTTTACTCCAAAGTGGTTCGATATAACCGAAGAAGTCACTCCTACGCCATGGGGCGATCTCGAAGTTTACCAATTCAACGGAAAGTACTTAGAACACCGGGAAGCTGCAGATAATTCCGAAGATAACACCGACCCTAAGTCAATCCCATTCAACCCATGGCAATTCCAAGATCTTTCTGCATAAATGAATTGCTCCAAAAGACAAAAAGGGAAAAAAAGTTCAAATCTTTTGGTAACAAGTGTTGTAACTCTTGTTCTCTCCTAGTTTCATCAAATTCTTCTTCTAGCGTTCCTTGCTTTCCCTAGTAATAGTTTACAAATTCTATTGTTTTCCTTTTATATGTTATTCAAATCTCTCTTTAATCCTCAACGCCATAGTTATCTTCTTTTTCTTCTACGTCTTCTTGGGGCTTAATCCTACTCTCACCAAACCATATCGGAGGATCGAATCCAGAACTACCTGTTCAAAGTAATCACAGAATTCACTTTTGATCAAAATAAGAAAAGAACGAAAAGAAAAATAAGGAAACGTAAACGCACCAAGAGGGTTGCAGCGACAGAGACGCCAAGTGGTAAGAACAGTGCCTTTAAGAACTCCATATTTCTTGTAAGCTTCCATTGAGTATTCGCTGCAAGTCGGAACGTAACGGCAGCTTCTAGGTAACACCGGCGATATCTCCCCTGTTTCACCGGAAAACGCCATTAACAAACCCGAGAAAATAACAACTCTAATTACAGAACCAGAGGAAAACTTGAAAAATGTGGTTCTGTACTCTTGTAGAATCTCAGCATCGCTAGAGCTGCTTTGACTCCCACACTCTCCAGCTCTTCCCCATCTGAACCCCAACCAAATAGTTGCATCGCGCAAGTTAAGATAAACCCAAATTGAAGACAGAGAAAGAAACCCAAATTGAAGATAGAGAAAGAGCGACCTTGAGGAGATTCAGGGTCTGGATTCGAAGGCGTCGATTTCGCAGATAAGCAACGGAGCTGCTGCTTGGTTTTCCGAGGGAGACGATGACAACTCAGGCGACAATTGCTGAGATTCTGGTAAAGTTTAGGAGGATTCGGGTTTTCAGAGATCAAGAGGGTTGCATAAGGACGGTGAATGGAGACGAAGACCGCCATCAAATGCAAAATGAAAAACTCAAAACAAACAAAAGCTTCAACTATCTCTTTCGCCACCTATGTGTGGAACAAAACACGACGACGTTTAAGAGTGACCATATAAGCACATTGGGGCCTAAATGGGCCTTAATGGCTTAAGAACCAAAAGCATGCATACTTTGAAAAGAAAAAGTCATGTTTCATATAGAAAATGCTCCAAAGTCCCATTCATCCAATCCTTTTAGCTGTAGTGTGTTGTACATGATAAAGGGAAACAACTTGCACCTCTTTTTTCAATATCTCAAAAGATAATCAAACTGTAAATGAGCTAAGCTTTCATACAATCGTTATCATCATGACAAGAATTTTATTGAACATTATCAAACATTAAAAGCCTGACGAACTTGGATCACTCAAACTTCAACCCTGAACCTTCAAGTTTCTTCTCGACGATCTCGTCGAGCTCTCTTGCCATATCACGAGTGAGATGATTTTTCCAGCCACCGACTCCTCCTTTACGAAAAAACGCGTTGTGATCTATTCCACAAGTAGATGTCCCGGTCTTGTTCACCTCCAAATTACTCAAGTTACAGAGGCTACACAGTTGCAAGATCTTCTCCACCATTCCACTTTGCTTTTCTTCTTCAGTGAATGAACAGCCTAAGAAATCGGCGAGCCTCATAACTTGAGCATCAGGCTTCTCTATCATTTCTTCATATCTCAGGAAGAGCACCGATTAGGACTCACCAAGCTCGCTTTCCAATAGCTCAAGACTTGATCAGGAAACGGTCCGAACAAGTAAGCCCCTGTGATAAACTCGTCAAACATATATTCAAGCGAGTTGTTACTATACAGCTCTTTGCTAACAAGCTTGCTCCTGAAATGCCAACGAGAGACCAACACATCTTTTATGTTCCTACACACGTAAACCACCTTGCAAGGAGAGTCTCTTAGAGAGTCATGAAGCGTTTGAAACGGCCTGTGGGTTGCAAAGAGCCGAGGTGAAGGAAGGTCTTTGAGGTCAGGACGTTGATTGTTATCATATAAGTCCATCTCAAGAAACCGAACGAGGTTGTGGGGATTGTCCGAGAGGAGAGGATGTGATCCGAGATTAGCTGCGTACTTGTCCCTATGAAGGACGGAGAAAGCGAGAGCCTTGAGCCAGGTGGTGCCTGATTTGGTGAAAGAAGCTAGGATGACATCGGTATCTCGTGGTCGGAAATGCTTTTGGAAGTTTAGGATTGCTTGGACTGTGTTGGGATAGTACCAAGATCCTTGGTAATTGCAGATGTTTTTCCCCATGAAATCTTTCTCTGAAGGTAGACAAGAGATCACATTCTTACATTCTTGGCTCACATTATCGTCCTTCATGAAGTTTGGGGGTGTCTGAAGATTTTTTGAAGCTTCCATTATGGGAGAAATGTTAAGAAATGAAAAAAAGAAACCGAGTTGTGATTGATTGATTGATCATGGGCAGATAGACAAAGGAACATATATAAATACCAAAAAAAAACATGATACAAAAACTTGAATACTCACACCTACTAGTAGTTGGTAAGATCTTATAAACATTATTGAGATATTAAGATGAATTAAAAAGTGTAATATATATATGATCCAACGTGGTCAATTACTCGTTAGGTGGTGTATAGAACAGGCATTTTCTTTCTTCTCTTTGAAAAGAGAATATCGGAAACTATGAAATTTATTTATTTGTAATAATAATAAACAAAAAATACATTCCCGGGTTCGGGTTGTATAAAACATGACACGTGGGCCAATCCTAAAGGAACTTGCGGGAACGAACGAAATGCATCCACAAAAAGAATCCAAACTCATCTTCTTCATCTTTCTCTTCGCCAAAGAAAAAAAGAAAAAAAAAAAAAGTAAATGGCGAGCTCGCTTCTCAGCTCGACGCCATTGTCGTCCTCTTTCTTATCCGTTCATCGGAAACTGTCGATTCACGGTCATTGTCCGAGCCGGAGAACTCTCTGGTCCACTAGGAAACAATCGTCTCTCCGTGTTCGCGCCGCAAAACTCCCTCAAGGGGTAAATAAATAGTCTCTCTTAGACACTTATCCACAGATCAAAATCTAAACTTTCAATTGTTTTCTCTTTTTGTGTGGGGAAGATGATAGTGCCAAAAGCGGAACCCAAGTTCGAACCAGCGTTTCTGGGATTCACATATACAGCTGAGATATGGAACTCCAGAGCTTGTATGATTGGTCTCATCGGAACCTTCATTGTTGAGCTGGTGAGTTTAAATGGTTATGGAAGTTACGAATATTATAGACAAAGAGATAAACTATAACGGAGAGAGATATCTTTTTCTTTTCTTTCAGATTCTGAACAGAGGAATACTTCAGATGATTGGTGTGGAGGTTGGAAACGGGCTTGATCTTCCTCTCTGATTTTCACCTTCTTCGTCTTTGTCCGATCTTGTCACAGTTATAAACTTCTTTTTTCTTATTTCTTGTGGAATCCAAGAATCAAAGAGCTTGCTTAATAACTATGCATATAAACCACATACTGAGAACTGTCTGATTCTGATAAGAAATTATGAAAGCCTTTCAATTATCTTACAAAGATGTCTTTTCCCCTGTTAAGTGCTATGTATAAGCATAATCAGCTTTCGGAGTTCTTCTGTATCCACAACCTAACTTCTTTCTCCTTTTTGAGAAATCCAAAGAAAAACGAGAGAAATACAAAAAAAAAAAAAAAACTTACCTAACTAACACCATAATTTTCACAAAACGGATGTTCTTGATCCTGTTAACAATGATGAGAGACTGAGACCCTTGTTCAAGCAGAGTCTACTATTGACTACAGGGCTAGTCTCGGTTTTGAGCTGAGGCGGCTAAAACGCCTGAAAAGGACTAGCCAGAGTGCTGTGAAGTTGAAAAATCTGCTGCCCTTTTCGATGGAACTCACCACAAAATTGGGAAGATATGATTTGGGTCAGGGCTAAGGTTTTGCTTCAGATGAACCGTGGATTGAATCAAAAGCTGTACGGAAACGCAGACCAGAACCGATATGCCTTGATGTAGGGCAGAGCCAAGAAAGTACGTTCGGACCCAAAATCTGAAGAAACAAACATTTAAAACTTAACAAAGGATCAACCTTTTGACTGATACTGACCATCTGAAGAAGACGAGAAGTACTTACCAAGGTTAGGTTTTCATATGCGCCTATGTCATATGGGTGCTTATAGACTTGCCCACCTTTCTCTGCTAACCACATAGCTCTAACCCCTTCGTGATACTGCTCAATATCCGCAACATTGATTAGCAGATGGGGACCAAAAAAACTAACTAGAGCTAAAGGAAAATCCAAAATCTAGGCAATTGAAGAAATGAAAAACAAAAGAAGAGAAAGAAAAAGAACAACCTCGATGGTCGTTTTGTTTTGTAAAATGAGGTAAATGTGCCACCCGAGAAGAACACCTAACGCGATGCTCAATGGGATAAGAACAAAAGCTGAAAGTACCTGAGAAGAACAAAAAAGCCTTAAACATTAGAAGGGGAAATGATATATGTTGGTAGTTTTTAAACACATCATCAATCGAAATCATTACGTATATAGTTCTTAGATAGCTTCCCATCTCGTCGTCTTCATCCTGAGGTTCAACAGTAAGGCTTCCCACAAGCAAAACCTAACAATACAAAGAATGAATATACAAGGCTCATTCAACCAAACGGGCACAGAGAGATATATACAGTGAGCAAATAGAAGTTAGGAAATGTACCAGGGAATATACACAAGCAGTCACCGCATAGACAACAAATACGAAGAAGACCTTGTAGTTAGTGTGCCCTACGCAGTTGTTGATCCAAATACAATGGTGGTCCTTCAAATCAAAATACGACTGATTTAACATACTCTCGCATGGGTTTGGGCAAATTTGATGTTCAGTTTGACATGAGACTAAAGTGTTGGAACATACCATTCTAAGCACACATCTTTTGCAAACTCGACAATGGTGAGCTCGCGGAGGTTTGAAATGTGAACACTTTTGGCAATACCTCAAATCTCCTCCCTGCAAATGACGTAACCAAAGTAAAGTAGTGAAACAAAAAAATCATAAGTGGACTTCCCCAAGAAAGATCTAAGAACACAATTGCAAGAGAATGCGAAGAAAAGCCTCAACACACTCACTCACATATGAAATCGCAAACAAATCTGATAACTTGAAAGCTATACTGCCTCACACAAGCCATCAATATAACGTTAGGGGAACAAGTTATATTACAGGAAACACCACAATCTAGCGAATCCAGAAAAGTTACTAGAACTTAGGAACATATCTGGTAGCTTGGAAGTTCTCTTGCAGTATAACACAATATCTAATCATCTTCTATTGAATCCCTATAGCGAAACATTGAATTGACATGTACAGAAAATGACTACAAAATCATGGACTATTCAGATGCTGAGAGATAGCAAAAGAAAAACATCCTCAAGAGAATTTTGTTAATTTTCCATATTCGGAAAAAAAGCCTATTTGACCAAAAATGTCAAGGGGGAAACAACAAACAGAGCTGAGAATTCTGGGAATTGACTCATCAGCACAGAGAATTCAAGAACCCAGAAAGAGTTAACGGAGAGAAAGAAAAAAAGGCATAAAGAGGTGACCTTGCGCTTAATCTCGTGGACAGGACTCTCCGGATCTTCGACATCTGGCATGTAATTGAGTGGAACCCGACCCGGATCCCTGAAAATCGCGATGGAGTAGTTGTAGATACACACTAGAGCCAAGGCGGTGAACACGGCGGCGTTCGCGATTCCGGGAGAGGAAGTGAGGCTGAACCACCGATCAATGAAAACGAAAACCGTGGAGAAATAGATGAAACCGATCACCAACATCACCACCGTGACGGGGAGAGAAAAGCTGACTCCTTTCCGTTTCATTTTGTTTTCCTCCGACGAAGAAAAACTTTGAACGATTAAGACGGAGCACCGGCGTGAAACTCCGGCGTCTCCGGCGAGAGGATTTTTTTGTTTAAATCCGTTTATTTTACTTTGATTTCTCGATTGTTGTTGTTGTTGTTGTTGGAGTACGTCTGAAGTTGTCGACGAATTTGGAGATATCTAAACTCGAAGCCCTCCCACCTAATTTTATTACAATGCCCCCTTTGTTCTTATATTATTCGTTATTTACCCCTCTGGTTAATTATTCTACACTGAAGGTCCCACTATGAGTGTTGGACTCTTGGCAATACCACCATGTTGCTAAAGAGTATGTCATTATGTCGAATATATCATCAATAAGTTATATATATATTTTTTTGGACGACACATCAATAAGTTATATTTGAAACAAATATGATTTATTTTCCTTTTTTAATTAAAGTATATTTTTTAAATTTTATTTTCTTTCTTTGTTTTTCTAAAATAGTGATTTTTCGTTATAGGATTAGTAAAATAAAAGAATATATAAGATTAGGAAATAAATATTATACGTACCTTATATATCCTTTATTCAAACTTGCCAATTCTATTTAGGAATGGGCTAATCCTGATTAAGATCTTATATATATACGCAAAAAAGAGTTGATATGTGCTCCTCAGCAAAACTTTCAAGTTTCACAAAATTACATTCTTTTAAAGTTTTAAACTGTTCCACAATTCTATATTGTTTCGTTTTGTGTTTGATTAGTGTACCACATCAACTCCATTCTCCTACTAATCTTCCAATTGCGGAGTACGTCCCGCAGCAACCACTTACAATGCCAGAGATTATGATGAAAACGCATATCCCAATCTGCCGAAATAATTATCATGCGAGGAATCAAAAGTATGACCACTTTAGGGCATGGAATATAAACAACTCAATATTTCTCTTACCTGCGTCTTACTCACTCTACCCTTCAAGATACTGAGATAACAAAGACATGGAAATATAAAAGCCTGCACAGTAATTAAAAGATATATAAATCCTTTCACAAAAAAAAATATGTTTGATAACTGAAACTCTCTGGTAAAATGTTAATGGCGACTTACGACAAGCATTGAGAGGAAAGATCCCATCAAAGCCCCCATGGTCGCTACAAAATTATTAGACCAAACGAAGATTTATCAACATTAATTATTGAACATAGCATATTGCAAATTAAGGGAGTTAAGAGTATTACCGAAGAATGGGAATGTAAGTGCAACAACCAAAGTAGAGAGAACTAAGATCGTTCTAAGAAACATTGATACCCCGTGGGATCTCATCTTTTCTGACGACGGCAGAAGTTCTTCTAAGCTTAGCACGATCGGTGTGAGAGACAACGCGTATTTAGTCATCGGTGTAATGACCTGAAGTGTGAGAAAATCATTAGTAATCAAATTCTAATATATATATATATATATGTAAAAAAAAAACCATTAATAATTCTTACCGCTGTCCAAACTGCGATTTTAGAAGACGTGAACTGTTGCGGCATATTTAGAGTAAACTGCGATTGAATCGTCTCACCAAACATACTGTAGCCGCAGATCGCTACGGCTATGTAAAAGATTACGCAGAACCCAAAACTGCAAAATGAATAAAGAGAAATGAATACTTTGACCTAATACCCTTTTTACTTCCTTCACAAGTAAGATGGATTGACCTAGTGAGGAGCACCAAAGGAAACTTGGATGGATCTTTCATGGAAGAGTAAATGTTCGGGAAAACCGCGTGACCACTGAACCCGAACCCAAAAATCCCAATCGCGACAGGTAGGTTACTGAGATCCAGATATTGTCCACCCGAGTGAAACCCGACTCCATCAACCGACCCGACCCAAAAGAGACAAAGAGCCAGCAAGATTGAAGAGAAGACTCCTCCGGCTAAAGAAATGAAAATGCTTGAATTAGAGAATGGTCGAGTCTAAAAGTATTTTGAGAGGATCTTATAATCCATATATACATATATAGAAATGGAACCTGAGAGATAGGAGAGTAAGCTAAGGTCTCTAAGCCAAACTGTAGGAAGAACAACAAGAGCGGTTGCTATGGCAAAGATCTGAGAAGAATCAAGAGATACTCCAGAGATGTCTAGCCTAATGCTGGGGAAGAGTCTCGACAAGTTATCACTCATCATGATTATATACTCCACACAACATGCGTATAACTCCATGTACAGAAGTATCTGCAATTCTCAAAAGATAAAGAAAAAACCCTAAGTTTTAGTTTGGAGATGTTCGGAAGAAAATCTTTACATATGTCAATGGTTTCCATATAACAACTTACGGAGATAATGAGGCGACCAGTGAATCCAAAGGCAGCTTCTCCGATGTCGGGATAGGTATGGAGGCCAGGAGAGCTCTCAAGACATCGCTTGAGGAGAACACCGGTGTAGCAAGTGATGATACCGAAGAAAAAGAGTATAAGAAGCCCGAGCCATCCTCCTTCTTTAACCGCGTACGGCATTGTGAGTAGACCTACTCCACATAGGATGTTGATTCCTGCACCAGAGTACACAGGTTTAAAGTTGTGTATGGAAGGCTTTGGAGACATAACAAAGACCGATATTAGGCCTTACTTACCGTTGAGAACGGATTGAGGAAATGAGCAGAGATTCTGCTCTTCGAATGGGAGATCGGTGATTGATAACTTGAGCTGAGATGGAACGAATGATTTGACTGATATATCGTCTTTCTCCGTGAGCAGCGGTTGTTTGCTTGTGGAAGAGGCAAACGAGTTGAAAATGGAGTTTTGGCGTCTCTTGTACAAGGATGAGATCGAGCTGGTGAATGATGTCTGAGAACTTCTCCGGTGAATGAAACTGGTCGTCGGAGGTGTAACTCCGGTCAAAATATCCACAGATTGTCTGAATTACCCGTGAAAAGGGAAAATATTTTATTAAATTATTTTTTTAGACTTTAGAATATGCAAAAAGAGTAATTGATTTTACCGATAACTTCGAGGCCATGGAGCTGAATCGTTCCGGGATAATGGAGAAGATGGAGTAGAAATATCGTCTTCATCATCGCATGAGAGATCGACTTGGCATTCCTCATCTGTCTGAAACAAAATGTCACTTTCTTGCTCTTCAAGCTTCATCGTCTACGTTTCAGAACAGAGTCGAAACAGAGAGCAAGCAACGGGTTTTAGGATACGAACAGGACGAAAGAGAGAACAGAGGAGCGAGATGAAGACTGGAATAAAGAGATATGGATTCTGTTGTGATCTTGATTTGTCATCACGTCGACTTTATAAAATTCATTTGTATAATATAATCTTGTCGTTGTTATGTTTGATTGAATTGGAGTGGAAGTAACGTTCACATGTGAAAGCCTCAAAGTCAAAGGTGTAGAAGAAAGTGATCTGAAGTTCTTCTATTTAGGTGACGGGCCTATTTAAGCCCAATAGAGATGGATTATTTGGGCTTCAGCCTTAAAGTCCAATAACGTCGTCATCGTCTTCCCTTTTCCTTTTCTCTTGGGCGGTCGACGAGGTTTAAAGATTTTTTAGAATGTTGTAGCAGCTTCGCGAATAATCTCTGGTCTTTTATAAAACCAATCCAGCGATTTGCCGACTCTTCCTCTTTATTATTACGAACACACAAATAACAAGGTCTCGATTTTAGTATCTTCTCTCTCTCTATCTTCTGTTCCAAGTTTTATTCCGGTGAAAGTATTATTCAATGGCGAAAGACGGACCTAATTGGGATGGATTGCTTAAATGGAGTCTCTCTCACGCCGACGGCACTCGACCAACTCGCCAGTTGAGGTACGGGCATCACTTTCTAGTTTCTTAGGTTCTGTCTCGTCGTTTGTCCGAGATTGGATTGGGTTGCTTGGTAGGTAGGTATAGAAAATCTCCGTGGCTGTGATTTGGGTACTTCAGACAATATAATGTTGTGAATGAATTCAAATCTGGGTTTATGTAAAATAGGGTTACTTTTTCAATATCCGTTCAATTAATTTATCTGCAGCTTCGATAGGTGAAAGGTTACGTCTTTTCCCGTTTGTCTAATATGTAACCCATAGTTTCATCTCTCATTCTGTCCATGAGACTGTTGAGCTTAAGCGAATCCACCTTTTGGTCATGTCAGAAGTTTATAGATTATATAGTGTTTTGTGTTTAAAGTGGATTGTTTTGTTGATTGTGTTTTTTTTATTTGATGCGACAGCGAGGAGGATAGAAAATGGTTTATGGAGGCAATGCAATCGCAGACTGTAGATGTAGTCAAACGCATGAAGGAGATTACACTTGTTATGCAAACACCTGAACAGGTTTTGGTGGATCATGGAGTAACACCTGAAGATATCGAAGGTGCTTTATTAGTCCAAAACACATATCTTTTGCTTCTTGGCTTATCTTGTGGGGTAACTAATTTGGTTTATTATTCTGGTAGATTTGCTGGATGAGTTGCAGGAGCACGTTGAGTCGATCGATATGGCTAATGGTAAACCATCTCTTGCTTTGGAACTTGGTTTTCTCCTCTGTTTTTATCCGTTATGCTTAGCTTCAAATTGAATATTGGTTACTCACTATTGTGTAGATCTTCATTCGATTGGAGGATTGGTTCCTCTTCTGGGATTTCTGAAAAACTCTCATGCTAATATTCGGGCAAAAGCTGCTGATGTCGTAAGCACAATAGTTCAGAACAATCCTCGAAGTCAGGAGTTAGTTATGGAAGCCAATGGTTTGGAGTCATTGCTGTCAAATTTCGCCTCCGACACAGATATTCATGCTCGAACCCAAGCTCTCGGCGCAATATCATGTAAGCCTGCTCTCATATTTTATAGTGAAGATTGAAATGTTCAAAGCCTTTGTATTCTTTTATATATTCAGTTTGTGATAATCCACTAAAGACTCTACCTTTTGTATATGTTCTATGTAGCTTTGATTCGCCATAACAAACCCGGAGTCACGGCTTTCAAGCTTGCCAATGGTTATGCTGGCCTAAGAGAAGCTTTGGCATCTGATAGTGTGAGATTTCAAAGGTAAACCACATTAAATGCTCCTTAATCCCTATGTGGGTTTCAAACTTGTTAATAAGGTTCTGTGTGGATTTCAAACTTGTTAAGAAGGTTCTTGAATTGTTGCTTTTTTGTTTCTGAATTCTCCAGGAAAGCCTTAAACTTGTTGCAATATCTTTTGCAAGAGGATGATTCGGACCGAAGTATTGCCACGGGACTCGGATTCCCTCGTGTGATGATGCATCTCGCGTCTAGTGACGATGCTGAGACCAGAGAAGCAGCTCTTCGCGGATTGCTTGAGCTTGCCAGAGAGAGAAACGACGGAAGTGGATGCAGCAGCATAGAGAAAAGCGATGAGAAACTGAGGGAGGTTCTGGAAGAACGGATTAAAGGAATCAGCTTGATGTCACAGGAGGATCTTGAAACGATTAAAGAAGAGAGACGCCTCGTGGATTCACTGTGGAGCATTTGCTACAACGAGCCTTCTTCTCTGAGAGAGAAAGGGCTTCTTGTTCTTCCTGGTGAAGACGCCTTGCCTCCGGATGTCGCAAGCAAGCTCTTTGAGCCTCCTCTCAGAGCTTCTGCAGCAAATCGTAATGCCACTGAGAAGAAAGATGAACCTATGAAACTACTTGGACCCGCACCATAAGCGAGTACTTGAAGTTCAATTTTATACACTTTGTTTTTGTTTGTAACTTTTCAAAATTTTCAGAAATGATTCATAGATTTCGATGTCAAGAATCTAGTGTTATGATATATGTCAATTTCGATCTTTGTTTCTTTCAGAACCTTATTATTGTTTGTTCAGTTCTTCTTCGATTCAAAAGATGTCACAAAAGAATCATTATTCCGAGAACGATCATGCTCATTTGTATTCTGTCTGTTTCTTGACAAAAGCCAAGCAGAAAAATGTCAAAACTTATTTTCTGTATTCGGGTTTAGCAAAACCGCAAATATGGACCAGATCTAAATTTATCGGTTTACGTGAAATTGAGCTAACGAAGCTCTAGAAATTTACTTTGCCGTTTTCTAATTACGAAAGTTTGCTTTAAACGTAGGACCCAAGTTCGATCCGAAGTAGTCACATATCGTAGGAACTCTCTCAAATTTTGCCCATTTCCGACGCCGTCGCCGTCAAAGCTAGAACCGGTATGCTATACAGTTAGTGAGCTTTTTTCTTATGATTAACGAATATACCATTAAACCATCTCTTGCTTGGAACTTGGTTTTCTTCTCTTTCTTATCCGTTGTGCTTAGCCTCAAATTGAACACTGGTTACTTACTTTGTGTAGATCTTCATTCGATTGGAGGATTGGTTCCTCTTCTGGGATATCTTGAAAACTCTCATGCAAATATTCGGGCAAAAGCTGCTGATGTCGTAAGCACAATAGTTCAGAACAATCCTCGAAGGCAGGAATTAGTTATGGAAGCCAATGGTTTGGAGTCATTGCTATCAAATTTCGCCTCCGACACAGAGGCGAGAACGTGAAGCTAAATTTTATACGCTTGTTTTTGTTGTATCTTTTCAAAATTTCATAAAGTATTCATAGATTTCAGTCTCAAGAATCTATTGTTAGGGAGCCATGGGGTAAACTTTATCTGGTTTTCTTCAAAGATACCTCATAGAGAAAATTACATTTTAAAGCAAATAACAAATTAAAGCACTTAAGAGGGAATAAACACTTTCATCATGTGAAATGACAATTTTATCTTTTTCATATAAGATCAAATGTCCAGAATCGTTAGACCACGTAGATGGATGAACTTTTATGGATAACCATAACATATCATCATCAATCTTCGTGGATGATTTTTCGTGCATGACTTCAAACGTTCATTGGACTGGTTTGAGATCGATGAAGCTCATGCACACGTGGATGACCCTTCATGGACAACTAAATATGTATTGTTTAAATTTCTCTATTTATTTTGCATGTCTTTCATTGATGAACTTTCACGGATAGCTAAATATGATTTTGTATACAGTGGCAGTCCCAGAAAATATTTTTACATAAGTCATAAATTATTAATGAAATAATTTATAAAAAAAAAATTCTTAAATATTAACATTAGAGTATATTCGAACTCAGAACTTGGTGGTTCAAATGTAGTAAATAAACCAATTAAGCTGCTTTTCTTTTATTTTATTAGTCTAAAATTTTAACTTTTATTATTTAACCTCGGTCAGATGACTCACCCATTTTCTACATAGGTCCACCCCTGTTTGTATATCTATTTTGCACATCTTTTGTAGAATATTATCAATCAGTATCAAAGATTATATATATTTTGGTTATTTTTTGAATGTGAGAGTATAATAAACTACGAACTGAGAATGGAAAATAATATGATGTAGAATAATGGAAAGGAGAAACAGAAAGTTTTTAAATAAATTAAGGTTTTAAAAGAGAAACTAGAAGAGTTATAGAGAACAAAGATCGGGGTAAATTCTCAGGTATAGAAATAAAATCAAGCAACTCAAGCTTGCTTATCTCCAAATAGTTGCACGTCGAGGATTCAGGCAGAAACAACGGTTGAAGCAAAGCTTGCTGCTCCCATTAAAGCAATGGTCAGGTAGGGGATACGACGAGGACACCTATGCACACGGCAATAGACTTCTGCACAAAAAACAAGTTGTAGTAACACAACACCAGAGATGCAACTATTCTCCCTGGATAATCATCAACCAAGCATCATATGATCAGTGGTAATACACAACTGAGTATATAACATATCTCATCTTTGAAGAGCCCCACACTATCCTTCTCCGCTCCCTAATCTGTACCTATAATATCGTGAACCGATAATCAAATCAACACTTGATTTGGCCTTTAAATGAACGCTTTGAAAGGGAAAGCCCTAAGAAAATAAGGAAACAAGAACCAACACAACTTACCAAAAGAGCTTTAAGTAATATAGCGACTGTTAAAGTGGAGAGCACGTGCGTTATGATATTACTCAGCACAGTTGCCATCATAACTTTGTTCTTCTCCACTAGAGAGGTTCCCTTGCTTATAATCATGGCAGAGGATGCGATCGTTGATCCAACAATAGCTTTAACTCAGTCTCCGATGAAATATGGACGTGGTTCATGAATCGGAGGTAATGCGACGGCAGGAGTGCAGATCCCTTTTAGGTCAAACACTCTTCTAAGATAACTGAAGATGTCGTCCCCACGGATCTCGAATTCTTGACTTGCGGTATTACCTGAATCAACAGAAATAATGGACTCTATAGATGTCACCATCTGCTTTAAAATCACATCTTCGTAGTCCTTGTATCGCTCATCTCCTCGGCTCAGTTTATGAGCACATTCAAAGGAGATCCCCTCGATCGATGTGGCAACCTTGAGGATTGAAGACTCGGAGAAATTCGAATAAGCAGCTTGCATAACTTCATCTGTTTTCATCAGATTCGAAATTGCATAAATTAAGGCGTCTCTGGTTTGTGGCAGAGGTGGCCATGGAAGAGCACAGTTCTCAGCCATAACCTATAACATTTTGAAGAGAGAACGGTTCAGAGAACTGAGGCAAATTCTGGAGAATGGATTAAAGGAACTACGTCGTGGATCTTGGAAAAATTAAAGAAAGAGATACCTCGTGGAATTGCTGTGTAGCGTTTGCTTCAACGAAACTTCTTCTCCGAGAGAGAAAGGTTTTATTCTTCTTCACGGTAAGACGCCTTGCCTCCTGATGTCTCGCGCAAGCAAGCTCTTCGAGCCTCCTCTCAGAGTTTCTGCAAATCATAATTGATGATGTTACAAGAGGATCTTGAAACGATTAAGGAAGAGAGACGCCTAGTGGATTCGCTATGTAGTGTTTGCTACAACAAACCTTCTTCTCTGAGAGAGAAAGGGCTTCTTGTTCTTCACGGTAAGACGCCTTGCCTCCTGATGTCGCGCGCAAGCAAGCTCGAAATGATGTGAGAGGAGGACCTTGAAACGAATAAAGAAGAGAGACGACTCGTGGATTCGCTCTAAAATGTCACAAGAAATAATCATTCCGAGAAGGATTACACTCATTTTTATACTTGAGAAATTGGGTCATATGACCATATAAAACTGAAAAATAGACAAAATAACCATAAAAATCAATGACTATAGTATTTTATATATATTCTACAATATATACAAAACTATCTCTCTTCTATTTTTTTCTTTCCCTCCTCTTTTTTTGTTTTTCCCTCTTTTCTTTTATTTTCTCTTCCCTCATTTTTATCTCTTCTCATTCCCCTTCGTCTTCTCCCCTACCATCCCTCGTCTCTTTCTATTTTCTCCTTTCTTCTATATAATTCATAAAAAACAAATATTTTATATATAGTATAATATGATAATATAAATCGATATAGTATACTATAATTATGTATTTATAAATTTTGTTTTGAAGGACAAAATAGACAAATTTTAGAGTTTTTGGTTATTGAATCAATTATTAAATTAGTATGGTTATATACTTTATTTTATAGTGTAATATGGTTATTTCACAAATTAACCCTTTATACTTCTCATATTTATGTAATCATGTGCCTGTTTCTAAACAAAAGGCTAGCAGAAGAAATTCAAAAATTCCAAGAACGATACATTCCGTTTTCGGTTCAGCAAAATAGCCAATATGGACCACATCTGATTTATCGGTTAAGGAAAATAGCCAACATGGACCACATTTAATTTCTCGGTTTAAGTTGTCATCTTGTGAAATTGAGCTAACGAAGCTTTAGAAATTTATTTTGCAGTTATCCCTTAAAGAGCCCACGAAAGTTTGCTTTACCGATAGGGACCCGAGTTCGATCTAAAGTAGTCCTATATCGGAGGAAAATAATCTCTCAGTTTTGCCTTTTTCCGCCGCCGTCGCCGTCGGAGCTGGAACCGGTATGCCATACAGTCAGTGAGTTGTTTCTTATGATTAACGAATATACCATTAAACCCTAATCATTTCCACTTCGGAGCCATGGTGTGGTGTACCCATTGTGGGAAGAATGTTCCCGGAATACGCCCCTACGATGGTGCATTGTAAGTGATTCGATTTCAGATTGTGGGTTTCTAGCTCCGAATTATGGAATCTCACACTCTTATCTGTTTCTGCAGGGCATGCAATTTATGTGGGAGGATATTGGAAAATTTCAATTATTCTGATGAAGTTACATTCGTTAAGAATGCGGCTGGACAGGTACGCACAGCTGCGATATTAGGGTTCATTAGTCTCTGCTTCGATGTCCTCTTGGGGGTTGTATGAGAAGTTTGGAACTTTATTTGTGGTTTACATAGTCTAATGATGATCTTTTTCATCAAGGCTGAAACTTTTGTTGTTATGACTAAGATTACATAAAAAGGTCAAAACTAGCTTGATTCGCTACAAGGAATAGAAATATCGTCGATACTCGATAGAATAGACCTGGTTTTGAGTTCAAGACTGCTGTTTCAACCATTTGGTGCCTTTTGTTTAAACATACACATCGTTCCTATACCTGCAGAGCCAAGCGTCAGGTAACATAGTGAGGAGTGTTCAGAGTGGGATTTCAAGCTCACGTGAAAGGAGAATTAGAATAGGTATGCCTTTTCTCTTTTTGTATTTGAATTTTCTATTCACTGTTTGCTTAAACACTGCAACTGATACATATAATCTACAGCTTTCGCTAATTTTTTGATCTCACTGCTTAATTAGATTCCGCAGTTCCCTTTCTATTGCATTTAGAACTTTTCAGTTCAATAATTGCGTTTGGTTATATTGTGATTTCCTGCCTAATCTGAGACCTCGTGACTCATTGTAAAACCATTGGCATTGTTAGACTCTTTACGTTCATGCAACTTTGATCCTTATAGTTTGCTCTGACAGACCTTGGCTTTTTTTTTTGTTGCAGCTAGAGATGATTTTATGAATTTGAGAGATGCCTTGGGAATTGGTGATGATAGAAATGATGTGATTGACATGGCTGCGCGATTCTTTACAGTATGATTCGTTTACATGTTATCTGAATATTGGTTTTCTGTTTTTTTTTTCTCCCTTTTTTAACTCAATTTATCTTCTGAAGATGGCAGTGGAGCAAAATTTTACTAAAGGCCGCAGAACTGAACTAGTTCAGGCTTCGTGTCTGTACTTGACTTGCCGGTTAGATTTTTAGTTGCCGTTTTGTTTCTCTTCTAATATTTGTTTCCTCTTTAAAATACAGTGTGTTTTTCACTGTATGTTGACCAAAAACTTTCTTGATCTGTAGGGAAATGAACATTCCGTTTCTTCTAATTGATTTTTCAAGCTACCTTCGAGTTAGCGTGTAAGATGAGATCCTTTTTAGTTCCATACTGTTCTCTTTCTTTCTTTACCGACTCCTCTTGTCCTAGCAATGTAATGCCGGTTTCGCTGTTTTTGTTTCATAAAATTTTGTGCAGGTATGAGTTAGGTTCTGTGTACTTGCAACTCTGTGAAATGTTGTACATTGCCGAAAACCAGAATTATGAAAAGCTTGTTGATCCTTCAATTTTCATTCCTCGATTTTCAAACAGTAAGTATGTCTGTCGTCTTCTGGCTCCCATTCTTTTCTTTATTTGGTTGAACGCTGAAATTCACTACTATTCTATTTTCTTTAGTTGCTCTGAACATCAGCCAAGAAACAAACATTTATACAAAAAGCACTTAACTCGGCCTACTCGTTATATCATACACTTGCAGGCTTATTGAAAGGAACACATGATAAAGCTGTCATGAAAACAGCTAGAGACATTATAGCTAGTATGAAGAGAGATTGGATTCAGGTTTGACCCTTTTTTGTTAGTCAATCGTTTCCTATGTACCCTTTGTGTTTGAGTGCGTTATTTACTATGCCTTGTGTTATTATTGGCCATGTGTTGGCATGCAGACCGGCCGGAAACCTAGTGGAATATGTGGAGCAGCACTTTACACAGCTGCGCATTCACATGGTATCAAGTGCTCTAAGACAGATATCGTAAGAAGATCTGATTAGCTTATGAAACAAATATTGTTAAAGCTGAGGAAAGACGTTTAGCCTGAAATTTCACTATTGGTGTGTTTTCTAAATATTTCAGGTAGAAATTGTGCATGTATGTGAAGCAACTCTAACCAAGCGATTAATTGAGTTTGGAAATACCGAGTCTGGAAGTTTAAATGTGAGTTAAGGCTAAGAGTTTCTTGTTGTGGAATTATTTGCTAACTGTTCATGTCATCACATATGATTGATGCTGTATCACTTGCCAGTATCTGGTTTTGAAGTCGTAGTAGTTATAAGAATGCATACTCCTACGCTATTGGTTGCTGTCATATGCAATAGTGAAATATGGGCTGACCTTCTTTTTTTTGCCTCATATCATTGGTAGAATATTTCGTTTTTTTAAACGGTTTTTCATGTGTGGCTAGGTTGATGAGCTCACAGAAAGAGAAAGGGAAATGGAAAAAAGATCTTTTACGACGAAACCAACGTCTAACAAAGAGAATGTGTTCTGTAAGCATCAGGATTGTAAACCTTTTGGTTATGGACTATGTGAGAGCTGTTACAATGAGGTAGGTCTCCAGCTTTATACATGATTAACGCAATTGCGAAACCTTAACAAATGTCTGGGAGAGTTAACAATTAGATGATTTGCAGTTCATAAGTGTTTCCGGAGGACTTGTTGGTGGGTCGGATCCTCCTGCTTTCCAGCGAGCAGAGAAAGAGAGAATGAAAAAAGCAGCTAGAGAAAAAAACGAGGGAGGAAATGGTAGCCTAAACCACGATGAACAACTAAATGTGAGTTTAGGTGGTCTTCTATTCGAGGATTGCAGTTTAGTTTTTTCTTTGTACTCAAAGTGCCTATATATGAATCTTGTCCAATCTTGTTTTGGTGGAATCGTATGCTTCAAATCTTTCTCCTGTCGAACTTTTGGCAGTCCGAGAGAGAGCCAGACTATTGCAGTGTGAGCAAAAGTGAAAAACGATGTTCGGGTGTGTGCAACTGCTGTCTAATCAGATTATAGTTTTTGGCTCTCCTTTGAGCACTTGAGAATTGTTTTGTGCTGTGTCCCAGAGAAAGGTGAAGGAAAAAAAGATGGGGAAAATGGCCATGCTGAAGACTCGGATGAATCAGACAACTTTTCTGATATTAACGATCATGAGGTTGGCAATTGTTTTGCTTTCTTGCTGTTAATTATATTACATGTTAACCTCGAATATGAAACATAAAATGAGAAAAAAGATCTCAACACTCTGTCTCCGTCTCTTTTTCTTGCTACAGTTTCGCTTGTGAGACTGATCTTAGTCGTAATACTTCACTGCAGGTGGATAGCTATATTCTCAACGAGGAGGAAAAGCGGTATACGAGGATCATATGGGAAGAAATGAACAAAGAATATCTTGAGGTGATTTCTGAGGCTATATCATTTATCTTCTCGTGGATTCCTTATGAGTTGTGTGTCACACATATACTTAAGAATCTTACAAAACTAATATTGTTTTGTAGGAGCAAGCAGCTAAGGAAGCAGCTGTGAAGGCGGCCACCGAAGCTTTAAACGCGAACAACTCTAATTGCCCAGACTATGCAAGAAAGCTTGTTGAAGCTTCTAAAGCTGCTGTGGCAAAATCTAGAAAGGTGATTCAATTTCAACTTTGCAATTATGTTCCTGAACTTGATATCTGTCTGACTTATGGAGAATAATATAATATCGACTAATGCCACATATGGTTTTTAATCAAATGCTTGTTCTCTTTTCTAACTTAATATAGGAACAACAACAAAAACGAGCTGAGGAAGCAAAGAACGCGCCTCCCCCAGCCACGGCCATGGAAGCTGTTCGTAGAACGCTCGATAAAAAGGTTAAAGTTTTATTCATCTGTGTAAACCGTCGACCTGAAAGTACATTGTCTCGAGAACTTGGATATAAAATTGTTGCTTTTCTCAAAGTTAACTTTGAAGAATCTTTTGGAGTTTGTGTTTGCTGACTTGAGTCTGGACTCTTATGCAGAGACTTAGTGGGTTAATCAACTATGATATTTTGGAGGAGCTGTTTGCTGCATCCGTAAGTTTTTTTCAAATTCTCCCTTCTTAAATCCTTAGCTCTCGATTTCAGGTCTATGATTGTAGCTTTATACAATGTTCTTCTCGTTTCATCTTTCAGCCAGCCGAAAAATCACCCAAGAGATCGAAAGCAGAGACAGACATGGAGAAGAAGAAGAAGGAAGAGACGAAGGAAGAGAAGAAGGAAGTGAGGAGCACTGAACATGAGAATGGTGAAAACGAAGATGAAGCTGAAGAGGATGAAGAAGGTTATGTAGAATCATACCACATGAACACAGGTTTACAAAACGACGAGAAATTGTATGAAGGGGATGAGGAAGAAGAGGATGGTTATGATTTAGGATTGTGTTGATATGTTATTGCCAAACAAAGCTAAACCAGACTAGTTAATTTTACGTGTACCCAAACAAGTTTTGATCCTATTTTATTTGTACCCAAACAAGTTTTAATAGGATCTTCAGTTCATATATATCAGTAAGTTTAACAAATAAAGATTTTTTAAAAATGCTCTATCTGCTTCATATTATTCTTCTCTTGTAGCTGTTAGTCGTTACAAGTTTTTCTAAATTTTGGAATTCTTGTTGAACACACTTAAATTTACTGAAGTTTTTTAATTTTATCTTTTTAAAAATCGACTATTTAAGAGTTTTAACTTTAGTTATCATTACTTTTTTTTGTTCAACAACTTAGTTTACTATTTAACTAAATATCTTTTAATTGTTTGTCGTTATTTTATGTGATAACAATTACCAACCACTAACAGCTAAGAAGACTTGTTAAAAAAAATCCCGACAATTCCACATCGATCATGATCTCACAGGTTTGTATATGGGAAGCAAATGGTTTGCTCTCTACTTTTGGGCCTTTAGGTTTTCTGCAGCCCAATAGATAAATGAAGCATCATACACCGAATCTACGGTCCAGATTCACCTTTAAAGCTTGGCATCGCATACGTGTTCGGTGGTCAACGAACGGATCAGCTAATAGTGCCGTTTGAGGTTCAAACTTCTGTTCATGAGGGTTAACTCACCGTTAACGTCCGTTATTACGTTTTTTACCATTCCGACTTTCCACTTTCCAGAATAAAACCGTTGACGGCGTTAATTGGTTTTAGACCACTGGTCTCTTTACTGAACCATCCAGAATTAGCTATCATTTTCATCAAATCAAATTACATCGAACCATAAAAAATAACAGCAGCAGGCATAGAGCTTTAAACTTTAACATCTTCTGGCAAAAAGGCATTTGGGTCGCCGTCCGGCAACTTATCATGAAAAACCGGTTCGGTTTGGTTGATATGTTCTTCGGTACGTAATGAATGATAATAATTACTAGGTTAAACCGGCCGGTTCATAGGATAGGTTACTACTAGTTTATGGTAAAAAAGAACGGCAAGTAACGGTGACGTCAGCTGAAGAAGTATTCGTTATAATAGTAGAGAGCTAAATTAACCCTTCCTTTTTTTTTAATGTTTTTATTTTCTTGTTTCGATCCAAGTCTCCTCTTTCTCTCTCTATCTCTCTCTGGTTCAACGGGCAAAGTATTTTTTCGAATAAAGTTTCGGTTTTTATTTTTAACGTTCCCCTTCGTCTTCTTGTTCTTCTGCTGGCGAATTCGTGCATCTACCTATCTGGATGAGCTGCAGTGTGAATCCACCGACCTCTTCTCCAGATGAGGTTAGTTTTTGTATCGAATCTGATTAAGGGTTTTTGTTTTTGTGATCACAGATTATAGTTTTCCTGTAGTGAAAATTGAGTTCACGGCTGCTTAGGTCTGAATCGATACAAATTCCACCGTCTCGAAATAGGGCTTCTTAATGATGAAATTCATGTGATTAGGATTGTTATAAACCCTAGGTTTTCACTGAATTTCCCGATTTTGTGAGATCTGGGTTCTGTCTGCTTTTGCGATGGTGGTTTTTTTTTTTTTTTTTTCTGTTTCTGATGGAGTTGAGATTGATCTCTGTTCAGGAAGGAAAAGGTAAAGTGAAAATGGAGGATGAGTGTATAGAGAATAAGCAATCAACAGCTGCTTCTTGCTCTTCTCTATCTGATGGCAGTGCCAATAGTTTCCTCAAGTCGCCTGTTGTTGCAAGTCCCGCCACAGCGTCACCAACTCATAGGTACTTGGGGTTAGTTCTTCTTCTTCGTCTCTGTATCTGACTTTCTCAACATTAGACATGATATGATGCTCAGAGCACTCGTTTACTGGTTATATTTATTTGTAATTGTTTTAGACTTTTAGTCTCTATAGGAGATCGATGTTGATATTGTTTTGTTAATGCCAGGAGGACGAGTGGCCCTATAAGGCGAGCGAAAGGCGGGTGGACTCCGGAAGAGGTTAGTTGTGATTGCTTTGACTGAATAAAACTTTGGTGTGGATCAAAACTGAGATGAGAGACTTGTCTTACTTTATTTGCAGGATGAGACATTGAGACAAGCAGTTGATATGTACAATGGCAAGTGCTGGAAGAAAATAGGTACATGAAAACTCTTCTCTTTACTTTTTATTCTAGTTCTAGGAGCTATGTTGATGTCAGTTTTACAACATATTCAAGAGGTTTGTGGTTGGAATATCGGAGTTGGAGTATTGTATGAAAGTGTATATATTCTGAAAATGCCTACTTGGTTACAGTGTGTGTTAGCTCCATGCACTTGTCTATGTGGTATTATGAACTGTTCTTGTCGTTTGAATTGGTGTATTTATATTTGCAGCTGAGTTTTTCCCTGATAGAACTGAAGTTCAATGCCTGCACCGGTGGCAGAAAGTCTTGAATCCGGACCTTATTAAGGGACCTTGGACGCAAGAGGTTCATCCTGTTTCTGATTTTTTTTTGAATTCCTTTGGCTTTCATTTTTATGAATATGAGAGCTTAAGAGTCGTTGTTTTGCAGGAGGATGAGACAATCGTTGAACTTGTCGAAAAATATGGGCCTGCGAAATGGTCTGTCATCGCAAAGTCTTTACCGGGTCGAATTGGGAAACAATGTCGAGAAAGGTAATTTAATTCAGATGACCAAATCAGCTTTTCTCTTATAGTTATTTAGGAAGCTTCAGTGTGTTTTTCTTGATATATATGAAGGTGGCACAACCATTTGAATCCTGGTATCAACAAGGATGCTTGGACCACAGAGGAAGAATTAGCTCTCATGAACGCTCATGTAATCCACGGAAACAAATGGGCTGAAATCGCCAAGGTCTTACCCGGCAGGTGAATACTTTTCCTGGCATGCTTCTCTATAGAAATGCTTAGCTTCTTCTGGGTTTGATGAAAAGTGTTTTGATGCAGAACCGACAATTCGATAAAGAACCACTGGAACAGTTCATTGAAGAGGAAGTCAGAGTTCTACTTAGCTACTGGTGGCTTACCACCAGCAGCAGCAAAGAACGGTGCTCCTGATAGTGCAACTAAACGTTCACCGTCTTGTCAGAAAAGAAGTTCTGATACAGTCGCTCAAAACACTCCGGGAACTACACAGATAAAGAAATCCGATGAAGAAGACAGAAAAGGCCAGCTAAACTCTTCTGTTCCGCTCGAAGAAGAAGAAGCTGCTCCGCATATGGCCGGTTTTAGTGAGTATGCTCGTTCACCTCACCTGCCTAACCCGGAGCCATTGCCAGAGAATGGTGGAGTTACGAATAATGGTCATCATCTTTACTACAAGCCTCAAATAGAGTATTACGTGGCGCCAGAAGCTGATAAGCAGCGTATGTATGGGTACGAATGTGGTTGCAGTCCAATGGCATCATCACCTGTTAGCTTCTTCACTCCACCGCCTTGTAGAAGAGAGTACAGCAACGGTCTAGCTCCAAGAAGTCCAGAGTCTTTCCTGAGAGAAGCGGCTAGAACTTTCCCAAACACACCTTCGATTTTCAGGAAAAGACGACGCAAGGTTGCTGTTGTTTCGGATAACAACGACGATGCCGTGAGAACAGGTGAAGCTAAAGAGGTTGATCAAAAGGTGAACGATGACGGTGGCTCAGAGAGCCCTGATTGTGGTGAAGAGAAGCAAAGCAATGGATCAAATGCTTACAACTTGTCTCCTCCATACCGGATAAGATCCAAAAGAACAGCAGTTTTCAAATCAAGACAGCTTGAGTTTATATCTGCAGAGGAAGAGAAGGCTGATGATGAAACCAAAGCATTTGAGAAAGATAAGTTGCTTGATGGAGATTCTCAACTCCCAAACTGAAAACAAACAGATCTTTCTCCGTTACACGCTAATTTTTTATTGGTTTTCTTTTTTCTTTCTAATATTTTATCTTACTTTTGGGTTGATGTTAAAGCTGTATTTAATCCAAAGAATAATTTACACCTCACATACATGGAGTTAGGTTCGGGTTAATATACCCAAAATAAAATGTCATATTGTGCATCAAAATGTCATATATTTGTTCACGAGCATCAAACAAAAATCTCTCTAACTTTTCCTTTTTTTTTGGGTTTAAGATAATCCTTAATGTTTTAATTTTAATTATAAAGCGATTTGGCTGAAAAATAAGGAAAGAAGATAAATGCGAAAACAATTTAAAAAAGGAAATAGAGGAGAGGGGTGTGTGTATAAAGCTATAGATAGAACTCCGACTCTGTCACAGAGAAACCCTAAAGAATTTTCCTGTGAAAAAACTTTTTCTCTCTTTTTGATTCGAAAGACGAAGATGGAAGGAGTGTATGTTCCTGCTTTCAAGAGGAAGGAGGAGAAGACGAGAGCGTGAATCGTGGGATGAGCTCCGGAGAAGAATCAATGGATTGGTGAATAAGGTAAACGCCACTAACCTGAATCATGTAGTTTTGGAATTGTTGGAAGAGAATCTCATCAGAGGAAGAGGGCTTTTGTGCAGATCCTGTTTGAAATCTCAGATTGCTTCTCCTAATTTCTCCGATGTGATCGCCGCTTTGATCGCCGTTGTCAACTCCAGATTCCCTTCGATCGGCGGTCTCTTGCTGAGAAGACTGGTCCTGCAGATCCGAAGAGCTTATCATCGCAACGACAAGCCTCTATTGCTAGCCGTCGTTAGATTCCTCGCTCATCTCGTGAACCAGCGAGTCGCTGGCGAGACTATTGCGCTGGAGCTTTTCCAGATGCTTCTTGGTGAGCCCACCGCGGACACCGTGGAGGTTGCTGTCGCCTTTGTTACAGAGTGTGGAGCCACGCTTCATGAGGTCTCTCCGAGAGCCTTCAACGTGATTTTCGACATCTTTCGCGGGATTCTTCACCAAGGGAGTTTGGAGTACAGGTCTCAGTGTTTGATCGAGTCTCTGGTCACTCTTAGGAGATCTAATTTTAGTGGTCATCCAGCGATTCGTCCTCAGTTGGATCTTCTGGATTCAGACGAGCAAGAGACGCATGAGATCTCTTTACACGACGAAATCGACCCAGAGACTTCCCTCGACGTCTTCAAACGTGACCCTGAGTTCCACCAGAACGAGATGAAGTACGAGAAGCTGAAAAGGGAGATACTTGGGGAGGAATATGCAGAGCAACAAAAGGAGGAGGAAGAAGAAGAAGAAGAAGATGATGATGACGACGACGATGATGATGTAGAAGAGACAGATATACAGGACTATACAGAAACTGATCTTGTCGATCTCAGGAGGACGATTTATCTAACCATAATGTCAAGTCTTAGCTTTGAGGAAGCAGCGCATAAACTGCTCCAAATCAGGCTAGAACCAGGTCAGGAGATGGAGCTCTGCGTTATGATCCTGGGATGTTGCACTGAGGAGAGAACTTATCGCTCTTTCTATGGTCACTTAGCACACAGACTCTGCCTCAGAAGCAAAAGTTACAGAGAATGTTTCGAGAATCTGTTTGTGCAGCAATACGGGACAGGTCACCGTCTGGATACCAACAAGCTAAGGAGTGTAGCCATGTTCTTTGCTCATCTGTTAGCCACAGATGCTCTTCCTTGGCATGCTCTTGCCTACGTTAGGTTAACAGAGGAAGACACGACTTCGTCCTCCCGTATCTTTGTCAAGATACTTTTCCAAGAACTCACTGAGCAATTGGGAATACGGGCTTTAAATGAAAAGCTTCAGGATCCAACCATGGAGGAGACCTTCGAGTCGATCTTCCCGAAGGACCATCCTAAGAACACAAGGTTCTCCATTAACTTCTTCACCTCCATTGGCTTAGGGGGCATCACAGAGAAACTCAGGCAGCTCCTCGTCAAGCGCCAGAATCCAGAAGTAATAGATGAGACGGAGAAGAAGCTTAAAAGAAGAAGAGGTTGATTAGTATAGTAGCATTTGTTCTAAGCTCTTTACTGAGTTGTATAATCTTTATTTGGCTTGATGATGATGATCTTAAAAGGATAAGCATAGCTATTGCCTTCTTGTTTTTTTTTTTTATGAACTTAACAACAAAGATTCGAAGATATTTCTATGTTTTGTAAGCTCTCTAATAATCTGATCGATCTATTAATACCATAAACCATACTAATATTTAGATGTTCTATTACAAGTTGTGATTAAGTATTTGAGCATTAGTTCAACAGACGACCCACCAAATTGGGATTCTCAAGTGCTGCGAGCACACGTTCTTCATCTCTTAGTTGTTTATTGACTGCAATTTTAAGACCAAATTAAGAATCAGGCTGAAACATGTACATTCCGATTGCAAACCAAACCGTTTTAACAAGAAGTAATGATATTGTCGATGATACTGTCGATAGAATACAGAGAGAGTAGTAAATCGCACAACTTAGTGTTGTCACCATATTATTTAAACTTTTTTCAAACCATACTAATCATTTAGGCATAGAAATGACAAGTTCGTGATATATGTATTTGAGAGTAAAGTTGAAAAACACAGTAAGGATTAGAAGGATCTTATTCTGAATGATTGTCGTATAAGAAGAAACTGAAACAAGAAACAAGAGATATGTGCAACAATAGATGGGATCCAAAATTGCATATTCGTAAGCATTAGTTCAACAGAGCCACCAAGTTGGGATTTTCAAGTGCTGCAGCCAGACGCTCTTTATCTCCTAGTTGTTTGTTTACTGCAATTTTCAGACCAATTTGAGAATCAGACTGAAACTTTTATTACAACTGCAACAACCAAAAACTGTGCTAACAAATAAGTCTGAAATTTAGTACCTGCAGCCTCTGAGTCATGACTCCCTGGTGCTACTCTCACATCAACCTGAACAAACAAAAATATGCAGGAAATTAAGAGACTTGGTTGTATTAGCCTAATGATTGTGATCACTCTTTAAAGAAACAAATCTTTGTACCTTGAATCGAGGAGGAAGGCTTTGTAGAAGTTTTGCGTAGATGCAAAGACCAATTATGCTTGGCACGTGACAATGTGGAAGAGTTGGAGTGAATGTAACTCTGTAAGGAAACTAGACGAGCCCCCTTACTAGGTTAAACGTCGTCGAAGTACTATATTATTGTTATTCCCGCGGGAAATCTAAAACGACGTCGAAGTACTCTTTTATTGTTATTCCCATAATTAAGTCCAGTTGACTATTTCTCTTTCGGTTACTGTTGAAACTTCAGAGTTGTTTTCTTTTTCTTTGAATCAAAGAAGTTAGGCACAAAAACCAAATAAACGAATCGTTTGTATGTTTTATTTGGAATCAGAAGAATGATAAAAAAAAAAAAAAAAAAAAAAAAAAAAGGCAAAGACCAGAGAGAATTTTAGAAAAATAAATTATCATTCAACTTCACTGAAGTACAAACTGACTCATCAACGAGTCACATATGGCAGAGACATCTAAATTCGACCAAAACACAAACGAATACCAAAGACAAAGGCTGCAGCCATTATTACACATAGACCAGACCTAAAAACATCATTAGGGTTACATTATTACTTAATTAAAAACTCCGATTAAGATCATCTCTGCTTTTTTTAAAAAAAGTTTATTCATTTACAGGTGCAAGGGTCACACTTGCAGTCGGATCCACACTTGCAAGCATCGTTCTCAGCGCTGCTCTCGCCAGAAGCCTCATACTGGTTCTTCATCGCCGGTGCAACGCCGAAGACCAAAGTCTCAGTTGTTGTCGCCTCGCCTGAAAAGCCCAAGTCTGGGTACATTTTGCAACTGCAAAAGCCGAACAATACCCGTCAGGATCCGATTATAACACACATCGTATTCGTATATTATTAAAAACTACAAATTTTAAATGATCTATGATCCCAAAAAAAAACCGTAATCTTCTTTACTTGAAATCTCTCAATTTTTTTGAGACACCAATCGCCGAAAAACAGAATCAATTATAAACGAATCAACCGTAAAAGAAATATATCTCCAATAAATTCACAAAGAAGCGATAAATCAAAAGGGGATCCAAGGATTTTAAAATACTTTCCCAATGATTTTTTCAAAACTACTCATCAATTTAACAAAATTTCCCGCTAAGCCAATTGTAAACAACAAGACAACATCAATTAACAGATGCTGCATGTAAAAACATAAAATGTTCTCCCGAGAAAATACACACAAAGAAAGCGAAAACTCAACGAGAGGCTTAAGGCTTACCCTCCGCATCCGTTGCCGCACTTGCAGCCAGATCCACAACCACAGTTTCCTCCGCAGCAAGACATCCTCTCGAGAAAATTCAAACGAATCAAAGCAGATGATTCTAAACAAATTTGATGGCTTTAAGAAATTTGATTATCACAGAATGAAATTTGAAGAGAGATGGAGCTCCCGTATTTATAAACTGAACTGCGATAATATGGACCATACAAGTGTCGCCATCTTTCTCCGCTCTTATCTCCTAAATATCAAGTCCAAGTCTAATTACATATTTACCCTTCACGTATTGATTCTCGTACGCTGTTGTTGCTTCAATAACTGTCGGTTCAATAATTGCGGAGTGTGGTTCGGTTCTGGTGCGTTCTAGAGGGTACCGTAGTTCCGTGTGTTACGGTCTTATCACCGTTCATATTTACACCGCCTTACATGCAGATCTCTATATCTACGGCTGTGATCTAAATCTTATCTCGAGATATATTCGCGTTTAATATTATTATCAAGGAAAAATATCTCCCCTTCTTTTTGGCATTTATGGAAAATATCTAAACAAAAGCGTTCTTGATATTATTCATTACTTCCCCTAGAGTTCTTTTTTTATTTGTCGTCTCTAAATAAAAAAGCTTGCATACCCAATAAGAAGAGAAGATCTGTTGAAATAGAGAAGGCAGAAGAAATCTTTAACGGAGATTTCGGATTCAAAGCTAATGTTAAAGATGAACTAACTTATTATTATGACCTTTTCGCTCATTTTTTACATTCCAATTGCCAAAAAAAAGTGCACGTACACACACGTCCTGGTCGTGTTTTGTTAAAAATTAGATATAGCAAAAACTCAATGAACCTCTCAAAAAAAACAAAAGAACTACGTTACTTTAATTAGTCTCTTCTTCAAAAGATTAATCCCCTAATAAAAATAATAATAATATTCACATGGAAGATCTCCAAATTCTTCCTTCAAGTGAAATAACAATCACAGAAACATCGTCGTGATACTTTCGACGATCTCCTTGCGGTATCTCCAGTAGTTCATGAAAGTCCATACCTAAAAGAATAAAAGTTACATGCAACGTGAGTTTGATTAAAGATGCGTTTTGCGTCTTCATGAACAGCGTTTTAATTTGTTTAGTACCATATTTCTTGGCGGCTCGAAGGAGGACTTCTTGGACGAGATGTTGAGCAGGATCACCTTCAGGGAAAGCTGAGATGAATGAGTCGACTTCGAAGATGGCTTCCTCGTTGGAAAAGTATTCGTATAACCCGTCGGAGGAGAGGATGAGGAATTTGTCACGTGACGTGAGTCTGTGGTGGTGGAGCGACGGAGAGCACGTGATGTACGGTGATGTTCCGACGTAGTTAATTCTAAACATCTCTAGAAGCGCCTCGTTCCATTTTGGCTGAGGAAAGAGATTGATAACACAAACTGAGACATTAGATATGATGAAAAGTGAAACTGTGTAGACCGAATAATTCAAACCCATATACATATCTAGTATTTTGTATAAATTATATATCTAAATAAAATCGTACGTGTATATACCTGTTTGAGAAATCCAGCACCAAATGCACGAGTGACCTTGAGGTAACCTTTCACTCTATCTTTCTCTATCGCCAACGCATCGTCAGGATGTTCCTTCTTGATTCTTCTCACTTCCTGTGTCACGTAGAAAAAGATCATCACTTTCACATTATTTTTTTTTAATCGATCAAACAAATATAAATTGAATCAGGACTCCCAAAAGATTCACCTCTTCGACATTTGTGCTATGTTCTTGATTGAGCTGAACAGGAACCAAAAGGCTTAATTCTCTTTCCGTGATCAAGAAGTTTTCTAATGGACTCTCCTCCTTGATTCTCTCAAGCTCCTTTTGCATCTTCTTCCTCCTGTGATCAGGTCTTCTAGCCAAAACCGCTCGGCTATCTCCGACGCTCATCACGTAAACATCTTCTCCTTTCATCAATGTCACAAGAAGGCACGATCCCATCAATGCTAGTTCTGGATTCTCATCCACCGTCAGATCAAACGCTTCCTCTGTTTTCTTCAACGCTTGTTGAAGAGCTCTTAGAACGTCTTCGTGGTTGATCATCCCAGAATCGTAGTCCTTGCGACTCTCATTAGAGCTGTTGTTACTTCTTGCGTTATGCTCCCACTCGCACCTCCATTGCAACTTGTTTGCATTATTCGACATGTTTCTTGATTCGCAAGCAACATTGTTCCCATTCATCACAGTGCAGTTTTCTTGACCCAAATCGAAACCGTGCTCGAGTGGACTCTGTTTCCCAATCCCGGACTCGTCGTTTTCGCTATACGGTTCGATATTCTCGGATACTGATTCGAATTTGTCGTTCCATAGCAACCCCTCGAGCTCTTTGAGAACTGCTGTGTAGAGATTGTTGAGAAGATAATCCGGAGGATCTGGACCACTGAATCCGTCGTAAATCCCGACGAAAAGCCAGCCGTTTTCCTCAGAGAGGATGACGTGTACTCTATCTTCCCCTGCTTTCCCCTGCGCCCATTGAATCTTTGGCTCCTCCAGAGCAGACTCAGTCTTATCTTCGTCTTCTTCTTTGGTTTCAGGGCTTTCGTGGCTGCTATGATTCGTGGTTGAGTTGTTCATCTCAGGTCTGTAATGATCCGAATCTGATGATACGTCAGATGAATCGGAACCGTCGATTGGCTCGATCACGCTCTTCTTTGACCGGGATAGATTGTTAGATATCAGAGTGTTGAAAATGCTTTTGAACGTGACGAATTTCTTATTCGATTTGGATTTGGTAGATGATTTTTTTCTACTGATCTTTTTTGGTTTCTCTTTCTCCTTTTTCTTCCCAATTGACCCGGAACCCAATCCGCTTTCGATCGGACCAGACAAGAACCGGCGCTCGAATACACCCGACCCGTGACCCGGCTTCTTGATCGGAGCACGCGGCACGGGCTGGAGCGGCAGGGAGGCGAATTTATTGGAGCTCTCGAATCCGGAGGCCAATACCGACGCGTCTGTCGACGGATAGGCAGTGAGCGCCGTTGAAGTATTGGCGCTAACCGATGCGCCGGAGATTGAACGGAAAGTGGTGGTAGTTCCGGGAATCGGGTCGGGTCGGAGGGACGGTTCGGGCGGGAAGGAAGAATTTGATCCAGTGCGAACTGGCCGCACATAGCAGAAGGAGTGGCCGAGATTGTCGGGAACCGGTCCGACGCCGACATCGTACTGACAGTGAATTTCTCCGGCGGCGGTTCCCGCGCAACAGCCACTGACTCCATTTCCCATGTGTGAATTGGTAATTTAGCTAGCAACTTACGCAGCTACTGAAACTGCACCGTTTAGAGGAGGCGAAACGGTGTCGTGTGACATTTAGAGGCGAAACGGCGCCGTGAATAACAGTAGGAGATCTGTGAGACGTTATGAACAGCTTTTTGGCTATTTATGTTGGGAGCCAAATGGTGAAGAGGATGTAATAAGAGTTGACTTTTAAGAGGTTTATTCTGTTGGTATTATTATGTTTATTCCGATTTATTTATTGGAATTAGTAAAACCTATAAATGAAACTTTTGACAAGAGCTTTCTCATCAAGAAACCCGAAAGTCTAAATTTTTTTTTTTGTTCTATACTTTTACTAATTGTAAATTAGATCAATTCTTTTGAACCCGGAATCTAATCTTACGGATATGAAGATGTGATTATCTAATATGTACAGCAATACACGATTGTAAATGAGATTTTGATTTTGCGACGATGGAGTTAACTCATTTTCACTATAAACTAGCTGAGTGTATGGTTTTGGATTTTACAATACCTGTTTTTATTGGTAAATATGTTCATTAACAATTTAAATAAGTTCGTTTTTTGGTACGAGGGAGTTGACTTTGTAAAGAAGGGTAGTACGTGTGGTTTTAAAAATTAACAGAAAAGTATGAAATTATTAAACTAGTGGAATGCAAAAAGTCAAATGACTTAGTAGATGTTAATTACATGACTAATGTGGTCTGTTAGACCAGTCACAAGGAAGAAACTAATTGCAGGAAACTTGCGTTAGCTTCTATCTAGGGAAAGCAAATCCTTGTGCTGATGACTTAGCAAAACATGCTTCAAAATTAACAATCAGTGAAAAAAGGTTTTCAGGGAGAGCGTAGAGTTTAGTTCAGTTTTGGTCTCATATATAAACATGTTTAATAACTAATTATACGGTGGTGTTGTAAATAACAAACTAATACTAATATTCAAACATTTACATTGTCATGTGAATATCGCAATGACTAAGTATGATAGTATGAATGCAGAATACAAAATTATTATTTTTGCAGATTGGAAATTAATATTCTAAAAAGATACCAGATATTCTTGGAGGAGCAGCTGGCTGCTTACGTTGCAATATGCATTGCATGAACTCTGCAATCAAATTTCTGATTTTTTTTTTTTTTTTTTTTTTTTTTTTAAGTATTTTGAAAATTTCAACATACCATGTTTTAGTTTTTCAGAGACCTCGCAATAATATGATAATAACATTGAAACTGCTACTACCCGATGTGAATAACGCGATGAAGTGCCATGATCAGCAATTCAGGACAGAATGTTCGAACATTTACTCTTTTCAACTATTATTTTATAAGTCAATGAACTTAACCATATATTATGCTTAAGCACGTAATTACATTTCGCGGATCTTTCTAAGAAAACTTGTCAACGATTTCGGGATGGAGAACGTGGAAGCAAAAAGTCTTGCAATTAAAATCACATCTACTCTCTGACTTTTTCCTATGTATTGTGAAAACTTGTAACTATATTACCACAAATATTCACGTGGACATAAAACTAAAGATACATATAGAGATCATGAACTATTCAAGCTTTGAAAGTAATTATATTCAATTCGAACGAGTTTAAAGATTTAAACATTCTAAAAGAAAATGCGTGTAATCGTTCAAATGATTAAAGAACAAAACTATTCGAGTTTTTTTAAGATCCCATGAGCATGACACTGGAACTTCTTTACACATAACAACCAACCTCGGTTCAATACATTTACATATGCAATCTCAGGAGACTGCAACGTGGCAATATGCCAAAATGGGTGTAATCGTTCAAATGGAGACATTATAAAAACATGAAGACTGAATTGTGTTGCTTTTATAATAAAAGCTCTCTCTCGCTGATCAATCAACTACATTAGAAAACATAGCAGGTGACTATCACTTGATATCTGCAGCTCCAAGAACATTTAACCCTTTAGGACTCAAACCGAATCTTGAAGAAATAGCTGCTCCTCGGATGAATAAGCTTCCGGAGAACCGAAAAGATCCAGAAGCAGGAGGATATCAGGCAATGTCAGGTGAAATTCAGGTTGTAACAAGAGGGATTGCACGGGTAAGGACAATCGATTAGCTTCACCGGTTTTCGGTTGAAGAACCAGTCACCTACAGACTCTGCAATTGTCTGTTCCAACAGCAAAACGAACCGGACCAGTTCATTTTTGTAAGAGGAAAGGATCGAGAAAGAAAGCAACAAATTGCGTCAAATGTGTTTTTTTGTTACCTTATTTTCGATTCTTGTAGAGGTTGGGGAGTGCCATGTCATTGACATAAATGTCTGGCAATGAGAAAAGCAGGAGTCTATGAACATCCCACCGACTTTGCTCTGATGAAATTTCCCAATCGCATCCATCAGAGAGCTCCGAAAACCTGCACATCAAACAGGATTCTTCTCAATAGAGCTGACCATATTAGAAATTAACTTATGCTCCGAGGCAGATCTTATGATCCTTATCAAATGTTCAACAAACTTTGCATTCTTAATAAAGATGAAACATCTATACTATAGCTAATCCACTGCTTGCTCATTCACAAAGAGACCAAAACAGATCATATTTACTGTTTGTACTATGAAACAGAAGAGATTTTTGGAGATCGAGTTATAGAACAGATCTTGCATCGTTATGTTTAATTTGAAGTAAAATTACCATGTAGAATATTCATCTGTGCGGCATCACATTCTTTAATATTGAGTCTGCACTTTGCCCAACTTTTATCTGGATCAGCAGCAGCTGGTACCAAGACATTTTGAATCTGAATATGTGCTTTGGTATTAGCAAAACATTAGACTGGATCAAAATCAAAATGGGAATAGGCGAAAAGTGTTAATGTGCAGATTGGTAAACCATAACCTGCCAAAAATCGTAGGCTGCATTGACAAGAAACACCGGAGTTTTTATGTTTTTCAGGAATTCATGGGGAAACATACACTGCAAATCAAAATCAACAAGTCTCAGTACCATCAAGATATTACCAGTAGCTGGAAAGTTTAAAATCAAAGTTAGAGACAAAACCTACCTTAGATGGCTCCATTTTGGCTATACATTTCTGATCCAAGCTCTTATCTACTCCCTGGTTGGTATCGCAGTCCAGTATCATCATAACATATATATAGTAAGGTATGATTTCGACTATTCACAAAAAAAAGGGAGTAAATAGGAACCTGCAGCTTAACAACATCATGATAGAAAGTACTCATGGTAGGGTTTCCACGAACATCAGGCCTGAAATGAAGGAAAACAGGTTTTACTGAGGGACATTGTTTAGCCGATTTAAACATCTACAGTAACTTCCTTAGCTCTGGGGGCTAAAGTGTTTCATTTATCTAGCTAAGGTCCAAAGAACTTAACGAAAGAGCACTAAAACGCGGGAGCAGAGAGCAGTCATAAACTCTGTGGAAAATAGACATATGAAACATACACGTTGAGAAAGAAGCCTCCATCAGAAACACATTTGACAGCTGCAGCTTTTGGCAGATGATCCCGAAAGTAGTCACAATGTATAAGAGTTGCCAAGCCACCAGCAGAACATCCTGTAAGTATCGCCTACATATTTTCTCTCGAGTGTGTAAAAAGAAAAGTTACCAAAAGTAGAAGAATTCTGAAAATTAAAGAAGAGATATGGTAACATAGTTCCTTATGCTTGATCAAGAGGACGCTACCTGTTTCGCATCTGACATGCCCATCGACAACAGTTCATCCATGATTGCCTCCCAAATGAGCTGACCCCGGAAGAAAAGCCGTGTCTCGTTCTGACAAGAGAGGAAGAGACTCTAATGAACATGACATTATGGATCTTTTCCTTGCTCTCGATAGAATCTGACACACAAAACTCTCAGCCTACCAAAGCCTTATTACCTTGAATTCAGCTTCAGGGCGTCCGGCGAACGAGGCGCCATCACAGTACCGTATCTTAACCCTGTTCCAGTTATTGAATTCTGCAACAACAGAGACGAAAAAAGATTCAAAAACTAACTTATACAAACAGAAGAAAGGCCAATTATAAAACTAAAGAAGCTACTATAGATTTCTTCTCCTACCAGGATTTTGAGATGGGTCACTGCTTAAGAGACCTTGAAAGGGAACTTCACGTTCGAAGTAGTTGGAAGAACCTAATTTAGTCATTGCTCGAGAAGAACATGACGCAACTGTGTTGCACCAGCCTCCACCCTTTATACATTTCACTCTAATAAATTCTCATTTCCAATTCAAATTCAAATTCAAATTCAATCAACAAACATAAGAATACCTCCAAATGAAGAAGCCAGCTTTTTGAGCCAGATCCCGAGCCCTTGTGAAAATGGTACCCAGGCAAGCTTCCATCCAAACAAACTGCGAAAATCCATTAAAAACTCAGAAAGTGTCAAACTTTAAAAACGAAATCAGAAGAAGGAGACAAATTTGGTAACAGTACAGGCTCCTCTCTCTTTAGCTTTACTCGACAGCTTCAGTTTGACCAGAACACTTGGGAGTGCGACGGCGGGAGATCGGTCAACGGAGGGGACGGAATCTGAAGTGGGATCAAAGAAGAAAGAGAGGAAAAATACGATCAAGACGAATCCGATGGAGGCGACTAGCCAATCACTCTTGGCCAGTTTTCTGCATCGTAGCAGAGAGTTTAACCTGGGAATCGCCATTGAAGAACAGGCAAATGGAGCAAATCAGTACACTGTTTTCAGATGTTAATTACATCTGTGGGACCCACTTTTTAAGTCAACCCCAATCAAATCAATGATCAAATACGTTAATTGAAAAGAACCTCGCAACCACTTAAAAACCAATTTTGGGAATCCGAAATACCGGTTTAAGTCGGCACAAACGAGCGAGAGAGTTGAACCGGACTTGAGATGCTAAAGCCTCCCTTCCGGTTAGTGGGTTTTCGTGTAATTTTGAATCTAAGAAATAAACCATTTTCCGCCTTGCACGAAGAATCAGTGAGGTGAAGGAAAAAAAAAAAGCCATTGAAGGCTTCCATGGCGTCGTCATCGTCACGATCGCTGGTTTCTTCCTATAGCTTTGATGACAAAGACTTTGATGACGCTGATTTATGGGCGGTGATCGATTCCGCCGCCGCTGCAGCCTGCCAGTCTATCGGGAAATCACCCAAACCCCTCGCGATTAAGTATCCTAACTTCAAATCTCCTCCGACGCCTATTTCTTGCCCTCCTCCACAGTCGAAGCATCTTCAGGTCCCGAATCAAAGCTCTAGCTTTACACGGCGGTCACACGAGGAGTCACCGCGTCCGAAGAAAATGGCCAGATCTGGCGTTTTGTCTGAGGTGAACAATGAGAGTCCTATGGCTCTTGTTACGACGGCGCACAGGAATTCGACCCCGACCATCCATTCGAATAAGTTTTCTTCGCCGGAGAGTTACTTGTCGCCTGGGATCAGACAGTCTACGCCCTTCTCGGAGGTTTCTCCGTCAGCGAGTTGCGTTAAGAACGATTTGGTTAATGAGATGCGACATAGTTTGTCTGGGAGCTTTCCTTCTGCTACTCTGTTCAAGGAATTCCAGAATTCAGCCATGGCGGTAATTCGATTTTCCTCTATCCATTGAATTATCCTTTGTTGTATATTTCATGGAATTGATACGGTGATTTGGGAACCTACGAATAGAAACAGCAAGCTTCTTCGATGATTTGTGCACTGAAGGTGTTCGATGAAATGTCAAGCTGTGTTTTGCATGATATTTTTTCGATCATGGCTTTAGAGAGAATGAAAGAACCTTAGCTACACCACTAGTGTCTGTGTGCGACTGTGAAAGGGAATTTATGTTAGCTGTTTTTGGATCTATGCGACTATCATATTTGTTATCGTTACATCAAATGCTATGATGTTGTGAACTAACAACATGGCTTCATCATATTTTTTTACAGATTCTAGAGAAATCTGATTACACGATGATATCCGGGAAAGCATTCATTAAAAAGTCAGGTGAAGATTATGCTTGCTGTCTCCTTTTTGTCATCTTAACCTTTGATATTGATATTGATACCACATTGTGTGAAATGTTCAGGCTGGAGGAAAATATCGTTTTACTTCAACGTGTCTTATGAAATAAAAGACAAGACCATTGAGTTCGACGAAAACAGGAATGTGCAGCGTGCTGAGTTCATCGTCCGAGCTATCATGCAGTAATGTTCTTCTCTATAAACCTGAACTTGATAGGTAGTGTGAGGTGATTAATTGTTGTTTCACCTTTTGGTTTATCGGCTCTCTCAGTGGGGGAAGATTTGCTGATGGATGGGGCTCCTGTGAGCGACGTGAGAAGAAATTTCTCAAACCAAATCACGATATCCCCAGCACAGCAGAGACCAGAGCCAAAAACAGGGCTTGCCAGGTAAACTTCTTCTTCTAATGCTCCGTTACAGAACAAATTGAAGTCATTTTGCCTCAGACTATACATCTGCATGACAAGTCAGGCTAAAAATGAAGAGGTTTAAGCCTACGAAAGAAATTGTTAAGACAAGACAACAAACTGATATCTTGCACTTTTACCATAAAATGGAATGCTCATAACGAAACATGGTGCTGCAAAATGTTTGATTCCAATATCGGATTATTCTTATAACAAGTTCAAGCATTGAGTTTGAGAAAAAGAAAAAAAGACTTAAGCACATGAACGTCAAGAAACTTATACTTGGGAGTTCTAAAGTTCTAAAAACTCATATTGGTATGGTTTTAGCTTCGTTTTTTTCATTCTGTTATGTTATTTCTAACGATTTAAGAAGCTCTTTCTTTCTCCCGCAGGATCTTCTAGGAATAGGTGAATATCGAGAAAGCTCAACTGAGTTTCCACGATGATCAGACAACATCAAATGTGTTTCCCGACTTTGTGAGTACCAAGCTAAACAATCTGCACATCCAAATCAAGATGGAAAAGGTATGTATATGAAAGCTGATCCCTCAATGGGTTTCGTGGATTTGAGTCTTGACTACACAGGAAGAAAGCGAACGAAACTTGCTTCTAAGTGTAATGGATTATGAATTGTGTCAAGTACTTTTCTAGTTCCATCTTAAATTAACAAAACAAATATATTATTTAAATTTCTTGTTATCATTGTTTGGCATCTTATAATTATTCCTATCTTTATATAATTTAGGATGAAAAAATAATAATTGAATTAATTAAGGATGTCTCAAGAGACAAAAGACAGAAATTCGATCCGATTCCAAAGCTGCCAGACACTTTGGAACAAGAGTATTGAGTTACGGTTTCCGTCGAAAAGAAGGGAGAGGCTTTAATTAACGCATATTAACTAACACATTTTCTGTTTTAGATTAAAAAAAATGAGCTAAGTAAACTAAGCCAAAACAATCGAAAATTTGGCTCCGTTCTGATGTTCATATGGATAGTCCCCAATATATAGCTAACACAAGAAAATAGACAAAACAGAAAAATGAGGGGGACAAACACAGAATAAAATGTTGGAAATACAAACACAAGAGACTTTGAGCGAGAGAAAGCTTAGTCGACTTCCTCGATCTTGGGACCAGCACCTCCGGCAGAAGGTGGAACATCATCGTCCATTCCTCCTGCAGCAGCTGGACCACCAGCTTCACCGCCTTGGTACATCTTCGCTATGATCGGGTTGCAGATACTCTCTAGCTCCTTCATCTTGTCTTCAAATTCATCACACTCTGCCAACTGGTTCCCTTCAAGCCACTCGATGGCTGCTTCGATCGAGTCTTCAATCTTCTTCTTGTCGTCAGCCGCTAGCTTCTCGCCAATCTTCTCATCGCGGATTGTGTTCCTCATGTTGTACGCGTAGTTCTCAAGAGCGTTCTTGGCTTCGACCTTCTTCTTGTGATCCTCGTCTTCTGACTTGTACTTCTCCGCTTCTTGAACCATTCTCTCAATCTCGTCCTTTGACAATCTTCCCTTGTCGTTTGTGATTGTGATCTTGTTCTTTTGTCCTGTTGTCTTGTCCTCGGCCGAGACGTTGAGGATACCGTTTGCGTCAATGTCGAAACAGACTGTGATCTGAGGAACACCTCTGGGAGCTGGAGGGATACCAGAAAGCTCGAACTTTCCCAAAAGGTTGTTGTCTTTGGTCCTTGCCCTCTCGCCTTCGTAGACTTGGATCAAGACGCCTGGTTGGTTGTCTGAGTAAGTTGAGAAGACCTGTTCCTTCTTCGTGGGGATGGTCGTGTTCCTTTGGATCAAAACAGTCATGACTCCTCCGGCGGTTTCAAGACCAAGAGAAAGTGGCGTGACGTCGAGCAAGAGGAGATCTTGAACCTTCTCGTTACCCTCACCGCTGAGAATAGCTGCCTGAACAGCAGCACCGTAGGCAACGGCTTCATCGGGGTTGATGGATTTGCAAAGCTCTTTGCCGTTGAAGAAGTCGAGGAGCAACTGCTGGACCTTGGGGATACGTGTTGAGCCACCGACCAAGACAACATCGTCGACTGAGCTTTTGTCCATCTTGGCATCACGAAGACACTTCTCAACAGGCTCCATACATTTTCTGAAGAGATCCATGTTGAGCTCCTCAAATCTTGCACGGGTGATTGGAGAGTAGAAATCAATACCCTCGTACAGAGAGTCGATTTCAATGGTGGTCTGAGCTGTAGAGGAGAGAGTCCTCTTCGCTCTCTCACAGGCGGTTCTCAACCTCCTAAGAGCTCTCGGGTTTCCGCTAATGTCCTTCTTGTTCTTCCTCTTGAACTCCTGGACAAAGTGGTTCACCATTCTGTTGTCGAAATCCTCACCACCGAGATGAGTGTCTCCTGCAGTCGCCTTCACCTCAAAGATACCTTCTTCAATGGTGAGAAGAGAGACATCAAAAGTACCACCACCAAGGTCAAAGATCAATACGTTCTTCTCCCCAACGCTTGTAGCCTTCTTGTCTAGACCATAAGCAATGGCAGCTGCCGTAGGCTCGTTGATGATACGCATTACGTTCAAACCAGCAATGACTCCGGCGTCCTTCGTTGCCTGACGCTGAGAGTCGTTGAAGTAGGCTGGAACAGTGACGACAGCGTTTTTGATGGAGGAACCGAGGTAGGCTTCAGCGATCTCACGCATCTTGATGAGAATCATGGAAGAGATTTCTTCAGCAGCAAACTCTTTATCCTCTCCCTTGTAGTTGACGACGATCATGGGTTTGTCAGCGGGTCCTGGGATGATCTTGAATGGCCACAATTTCATGTCGCTTTGAACAGAGCTGTCACTGAATCTACGACCAATCAACCTCTTTGCATCTGTTACATAACAAAAAGAGAACACAAATCATAAGAAAACAATGTTTCCGCCACCATAGTTATAGCAAAACCCCAAATCTATACACTCAAAAGCATATGATTAGCTAAATCTTTCTGAAGCAATCAAATCGAACATAAAGCTTCCTATGAAAGCTGGAAACATCCCTACGCATCTTCCATGTATATATCTACTAATAACCTACGCATCGATGCATAAATTCGAACAAGATGAAGAAGAAACAAGTAAATACGTACCGAAAACAGTGTTAATCGGGTTCATGGCCACCTGATTCTTCGCGGCGTCACCAATCAAACGCTCGCTGTCCGTGAACGCGACGTAAGACGGCGTCGTCCTGTTGCCTTGATCATTAGCGATGATCTCTACACGGTCGTGTTGCCAAACTCCGACGCAGGAGTACGTCGTCCCGAGATCGATACCAATTGCTGGACCTTCACCTTTACCCGCCATTGTTAAGCTATACGCAAAATCGAAGGAACAAAAACTTTAGAGGTAGCAAAAAAGTAGAGAAGTAGAGGTCTTTCTCTTTTGTATCCGGAAAGATGAGGATGAGGGAGAAGTCTGTATATAGATTCGCGGAGTCGTGTTTCGAGAATGTTCGATGGTTTTGTTCTGTAACCGTTCGATCTTTTCGGAGTTCAGGATCTGACGGTCGCCGAACGATTCTTCCCCACTTTTCCTTTTCGACCTTTAAAAAATGAGGCGCGTACGAGTTTTGGGACTCAAAAGCCCGCGTTTAAAAGGTTCGAGAATGTTCGATTCGATGACTTATTTCCAAATCAGAAGTCGGTCATTGGCTATTGACATTTCCTTGCGTTTTGATTGGCTTGGAATTGTCCAATGGTCACCGTCAGTGTTATTATCTACTATCTAGACACGTATTCTTTTTTCACTTTATATTTTTAATTAACGTTGGTTAAAATATCCTTTCTTACAAAGTCTGGTTAAAATACAACATCCTTTCTTACACGTACAGGAACAAATAAACAAGAGGACTTTTAATAGTTGAGTTGCTTGAGCTGTATTCATTCAAATACAGCCCAAAGTGGGGAAATAGCAATAGTAGCAACTTTGGGCTTACTATTGCATAGTATAAGAGATATTCGGCCTTCTTTAAAAATGGCCTAAAACAAGATGAAAGAGTGCAACGTGTATTTTCATTTTATTCTAGCTTACATGTATAATTAATAACTAAAACATTCTCAAAGAATAATATTAATAAATGCAGTTAATCAATCAATATAAAAACCGAATAAAAAATATAGAATTTATTTTGAGAAATTAGGTCAAATAACCATATAAATTTCAAAAATATACAAACTAACCATAAAAAACAATGGCTATGATATTTTGTATATATTCTACAATATATACAAATTTATCCTTCTAATTTTTTTACTTTCCCTCCTGTTTTTTCTCTTCTTCCCTTTCACTTTCCTTTACCGTTTTCTCCTCTTCTTCCTCCTCCTTTTCCCCTCTCCTTCATCTCCCATCTTTTCCCCTCCCCACCTCCCCTCCCCTACTTCCCTCCCCCGTCCTTTCTCATCTTCTACTTTTTCTTATACAATATATATAAAACAAACATTTTATAAATAGTATAGTATAGTAGTATAAATTGATATAGTATAGTATAATAATGTGTTTATAAATTTGGTTTGAAGGGTAAAAAAGATAAATGTTAGGGTTTTTGATTATTGAATGAATTATGAAATTAATATGGTTATATTCTTTAGTTTATGGTGTAATGTGGTTATATCACAAATTAACCCATTTATTTTCAAAATTTAATTTAACAAAAAAATTGATTTTTTTTGTGGCACAGAAAATTGCATCCATAAGAAAAGGAAGAAGAAGGTGTACAAGTACCAAGTATATGATAGCGTAGGACCTAATTGATTATACCTTCAAATTCCCTGACCAAGAGGAAACAATACTAACCATGAAGCGTGCAGCTTGTTATAAATGCTCTCTACTTGAACTTGAACTGTTGATGAGACTTATGTCTTTCATACCATTTCTTCTTCTCTTTTGTCTCATTCCATAATCTCAATATTATATAGATTTATCAAACATTACCTTTTTATTCCGTCGACGGAATTCCACATCATTTCAATAAATAAGGTCGGTTATGTGGCTATGTAACATTTTCATAACTTGCCAAAGAAAAACAAAATCAATTTCTCGAGAAACTTGGAGAAACGTTGAGAGTTTTGAATGTAATTTGCTGGTTTAACTCGTTTCCCACTTACCCATAAAAATATCGATATCTCCAATATGGTTTAAACCGGATCAAAATGAAACCATAAGAAGAGAGTATCGACAAGAAATAAAAAATGAATCTAAACAAAAACTAACACTAGTCTTTTGTTCCCTTACACCCAAATGTAACGTGGCATGGCGAAGACCCAAACTGTCTTTGAAAAACACCTGCTTTAGTTCAGTTTCCCTTCGCCTAAACCGTAACTAAACGGATGCATTATAAAGTCTGGTTTGGTTTGCTTTAGTTTTGGTCCCATTACTACAAAATATGGAAAATGAAAATACTTGGATTAAGAGACAGCTGCTCATAAGTATTAACTCTTTGACGTTGCCACTTTAAATCCCATCACGCCTTATTTATACGTACTCTTCTTGCTCACCATAACCTTCATCTCAACATCTTCATCTAGCAAAAAATCTCTACATAAAAATTCACATAACAATTCGTAAAAAAAAAAGAATGCGCGAGACAACATGTCTGGAGCGACTTGGCCTGGCTTTGAGAACCGCCATAGCTTGTCTCATCGTGAGCTTGACCACTCTGTACGGTCCCAAACAACTAAAACACTTCACAACGTTTCCAGCCTTTTCTTACCTGACCACAATCTTAATCTGGCTATCCGATGCTGAACCAACATACGGCGAAGTTCTCAAGTGCTGTGTTGATGCCTTCTACGCCACTTTTCAGACGATGGCCATTGTTCTAGTGAGCATCTTCGTGGTTGGACCATCCTCGCTAGGAAATGGCTTGGTGGCTCCAGTTGCTGTGGCTGTAGCTTCGTTCATCGTGGCTTTCCCAGCGTCCACGAGTCTCCTGACTAAACGAATTGCCTTCGGGCAGATCGTAGTTGTCTATGTGACTTTTGTGGTGTTCAATGGAGAGATTGCTCATGTTGTCATGCTCCCCGTTCATGTGGCGGCTAGTACAGCGCTTGGAGCCATTGCTTCACTCCTCGCCGTGCTTCTACCTTTTCCAAGGCTGGCTCATACTCAGGTGAGTCTTGCGATTATTATTTTTGTCGTTTTTTTAATGACGATGAGAGACGGTAACAAGAAACTTACCTCGGATTTTAACTGGTTTGCAGATGAGTAAGGGTTGCAAATTATATGCTGAAAATGCTCTTGAGAGGTTGAATTTGTTCGTCGAGGTCATGATGGCTCGAGACAACACCACAGCTCAGGTTTTTATCACAAAGGCCGCTTCATTATCTGCAGCAGCAAGAAACACACTCAAGAGCATCAAACTCCACCAAGTAAGCCAACTGTCTTAAATATAATACTGAGTATAATCATCATCTGCAAAATACTGAAGAGTTTTTTTTTGGCCTTGGCTTGTCGTGTTGGTCTAACCATCTGTTTCTGACAATTTTGTTATTTGGTAACAGGAGCGTATGGTATGGGAGCGACCAGATACAAAATTCTTGACAAGGAAGCAGAAGCATCCTGAGGAGAAACTGCAAGCCACAGAGTTTCTGATGAGGGGTATGGAGATGGCGTTGGGATCTTGCAGTTCTTTTCCTCTAGGCATGAGCCGAGATGAACTGACACGTCTTTTAGAAGCTCCAAGATCACAGATTGCTCCTGAGTCAGCACCTACTCTCGACGGGCTGAGATGGCATCCTGAGGCTGCTTCTCTATCTACCGCAGCTTTACCGGTTTGCTTCTTCCGGTACTGTGTGGAACTCTTCAGAGGTGATTTCTTATCTTTGAGACAAGACAGTAAATGTGTAGATAAGAGTAACACCGAGGAAGAAACTCACCAAGAAAACGAAGAATTGTCCACGAGCAAAAGGGTTTTGGATATTCTCTGTGTCTGGATGGCTAGAGAAAGGTTTGTTTTTGCAATCAAGTGCTCGATCTCTCTAGGCCTTGCGGTTCTTTTTGGTATTATGTACAATAAAAAGAACGGGTACTGGTCGGGTCTAACCGTAGCCATTAGCCTTGTATCCGGTAGGCAAGCAACATTAACAGTAGCAAATTCTCGTCTACAAGGGACAGCCATGGGATCAGTCTACGGTCTATTATGTTGCTCTGTTTTCCAAAGATTACAAGAGTTCAGGTTCTTACCTCTGCTTCCTTGGATAGCCGTCACCGTCTTCATGAGGCACAGCAGAGTCTATGGCCAACCTGGAGGAGTTACGGCCGCCATTGCAGCACTGTTGATACTCGGAAGGAGAAACTATGGAGCTCCGACTGATTTTGCAATCACTCGCATCGTTGAAGCTTCAATCGGGTTGCTCTGTTTTGTCTTTGGGGAGATCCTGGTCACTCCTGCGAGAGCAACAACTCTTGCAAGAACCGAGCTTTCAAAATGTCTCGATGCGCTCTTAGATTGCATCCGGTCACTGGTTCTTTGCTCTGAGCAAAAGAGCCAGCAGATGTCAGATTTAAGAAGCAAGCAGGCGAAACTCAAATCTCATGTTGAAGCACTAGAGAGGTTTACAGCAGAAGCCATGACAGAGCCTAATGTTCCGTTCCTCCGCCCACTCAACGCGGTCAGTTACAGCAAGCTTTTGGGTTCTTTCTCGAAGATATCTGATCTCTGTCTCTATGTTTGTGATGGCCTGACAAACCTATCTGGAGCTCAACCTACGCTTGGCTTTCCTTGGGATCACATCACTCATGACCTGAAATCCTTCCAAGAAAAGCTTCAGTCTTCGGTGAAATTCTTAGAAGAGACCGCATCGAACAAGTCTACAGCAAGATTTCAAAAAGAGTTGCAGAAGAGAAAGATATGCCATGATATTGAAGCAGGAACAACATCAAACGACAACCACTCAAACATGGAGCTGGGTCCAAGCCAAGATGATGCAGAGAGGTTTTCAGTTTCTTTTGTAACGCTACTGAAGGATGCAACAGACAAGATAAGTGGTAGCACAGCTGAAGAGGTGATGAAGAATGAAACTAGTCTATGTTTGAGCAGTCTAGGGTTTTGCATTAGCAGATTGATGCAAGAAACAACATGTATTATGACAGAAATCACCCATACAACTTGATTTTGTTCTTGAAGACGTTTAGTAACTATAGCATATAGCATCATGTAAGAAACATCAGGTGATTCAGATGTATAAACTTAATGTTAACCAGAGAGCAAAATGAGGCAAATTGTTTCTCTAATGTATATAAGCTATTCAATCATTCAAAGTGAAGTAGCAATAGAGAAAAGGAGAGATTCATCCAGCTAAAACGACATTGTCAACATATATCTACTGAAGAAAATACAAAAAAAAACAAAAAGTCTTCTTCAAGTATGGAATGCGAATGACAAGTCGAATCTGAGATATCAGAGTGATTGAATCTGAAACTCGTGTCTATTCGAATTTAGGGTCAACCATCACGAAATGGTAGGCTATCACCAGGATGAAAATGAAGATTCCCAGAAAATTGGCAAAGAAGCCCAGATCTTGATCGTCAAACATCTGTATTAGAAGAAAGAGAGAAGCTTTAGCTTGTGCAATACTAATTGTTCAGCTAAAACCAAACAGACATCCACATAAAACAGTCACTTCAGCCAGATCTTGTAGAAATCCCCCTAAAATTCAACTCTTTTAACATGTTCAATCTCTGAATTATGTTCGAATCTCCATCCAAATCGGTAGCAATAAATCATAAAGGTTATACATTCTCATGAATTCAGAATTCTGGTTACAAGTTGAAGATAATGTTTTTTTTTTTACAAACAAGACATGATGGAGATCACAAAATCCAGAAAGGAAAATACTTGTTACATCAAACAAATCGATCCATAAGATAAGCAAAAACCGACATCGATCGAATCTAATAGTACTAGCAAGATAAACCAGATCACTGTGTAAAAATTATCTGGGAAAATGAAATGATGCCTAAGATTCACTACCCGGAATTTGAAATTGAAACCTTTGAAGACAGATACAAAAATCCCACAGAAAGCTTCGAAATTTACCTTCGAAAATGCAGAGAAATTCGAGATGGAGGAGCAAGGAACGCGTGACGTGAACGGTGCTCTTAACACTAATAAAAGTCTCTCTGAAGCAGATGGAGCGAGAGATTGAGCTGACTCCACTTGAAGAAGCACAAGATGCAAACGACGACGTTTTGCGCAATTCAAGTAAAGTGGCTTCAAGTGGTTAATATCGGTTTGCTCCCAATGCAATATCGAGAACCGGAAAGGATTATAGACTTCGAAAAATGCTGCATACCAAGCAATTACAGTATTGTATATGCAAATTCCAGATACATTATACAATTTTTTTTTCTTTACAATTTGAACTGAGAACAGCGTTTAAAGCTTTTACACAATTGGGTTTGTCTTGGAACGCGGTGAACAAATCAAAGGATCATTTATTCATTCCTCGCGGGTAAATACATTCTCAACCTTGAGAGCTAAAAACAAGAAAGAGAGGAGGGAAACGCAGACCATAACAAGCATCACTATGAGCATGGCTTGCAATGATATATACGGACTTAGGAAGAACACAATCGCTATCGCTGCGCTCTGCCATACTTTTAGCTGCGCAAACGCTCCTTCCTGTTTCCACAAAGGACAGGTTTCAGCGGATTTTCTCATGTATGTTTCAGTGTACTGTGTAATAATAATAACGTTTCGGTGACATTTACCGTGTCATGTTTGAAGAGTAAGGCGAGAAGAGCACTGATTTGAGTGTTTAATATCCCGTCGCCAATTCCTAAAATCGCCGCCATTATTAGTGGATAAGCTGTGCCAAGTACTCCGCTAGTTTGCCTGCATCATAATCACATCACCATGGCTGAGTTTCTTTCAAAACCACTTGTTGGCTATGAGATCACACAAATCCCAGGAATACTCCCAAAAGGAAGCTGCTTGATTAATGCCAATATACAAGTAACGAAACTCTTAAGGGGAAAATATTTCACTCACGAAAGCACAAACAGAAGGAGTTACGGAGTCACATAGGGAGTAGGAGTAACAAACCTGTACCAAAGAAGAAGCCAGAGAAACACAGAAGCTTGAGCAACTGCTCCACCGGAAACTATGAAGGTGATTGATGACAAACCAGAGGTGAACCGTCCAGCAGTAATTGAACACTAGAATGATTTTCAGCATAACAAAAAAAAGATAAGTATTAACCTCATAAAGCCAATAATACAAAACTATCAGCTAAAAAGGGATGATTTTTGGCTTTTTACGTTAAACTTACAACTGCATCAAGAGCTCCGTAGACGGCCATTGCCCCACCAACACCTGAGACACCAATCGCAGGTGTAACAATTTCCTTTGTAAACTCAGCCCTATAAACAGCAAGACTCGGTTTGTAAAAATAATAAAGGTATATATCATACCAAACATTACTCGAAAATTTGACTGAATCTACTCTCAATACAGTTTGTTGAGAGGCGTACCAAACAAATGCTTGCTGCAATCCTGAATATGCAAGGAGTGGGACAATCAGTAGCATCCGTATGTCGAGCAAAGGAGTGATTATCATCCTTGGAAGAGAAACCAATGAATCAACTAAGCCCACAGAAGAACCCGCAGGTTCTTTTCCATCTTCTCCGTCAATTTTCCGAATGAAGAACATGAGAATTGTTCCTAATGTCATACTGAGTAGAAACACCAACAACAATAAGGTTGTGCCACTGGTGCTTCCTTCCTACAGTCATGTACACAAGACGAAAACAATGGTGTAGCTACCCAACTAGAAGGTCAAATATATAATTACTTTGTGGTAGCATTGTCTGCAATTCAGTATTTCAACCTTAGGAATAATTACTTTGTGGTCTGATGAGAACTAGTAGTCAAGTTATATTCTAACACGATGAACAAAATTATTATACTATAGCAACCAAAAAAAGTAAGCCATCATGAATTTGACACTCTAATACATGCTATAAGATTTCTGTCTAACGATTGAAAAAAAATCAGTACCTTTCCATCTTTCAGCAATGCAAGTGTGATGAGATTCCCAAACAGCTACAAAAATAATGATGTGAAACGTGTCAGAAGAAGAATTTAGAGTAAGTGCATACAAGATTATGAGGTTATGCAAAAACGAAAAGATTAATAGGAAAGTATGATCAAACAAGCATTTCACCTGGTGGCAGGCGAAGATAGCCCAAAATTCTCCATTAAAGAGCCCAATTACAGAACCTTCATGCACGTCATGATCTTTAGCATGGCTTCTCGCAATTGATGTAAGGTATGTTCCCTGATGCAGTCAAGGCAATTTAATTTAAGATCGAGAAATGCACTACGTATCCGCATGAAATTAACATTAAGAAAACTGGAACACGTAGTTGCACCTGGCCAACCCATATGATTGAAGCTGCGAATCCAAGGTATAAAGAGGCTGGTACCATAGTAATCCTAGAACCATATGTCAAGAGAAAAAAAAAAAGTGTTAAAAGTGTCTAAGAGATTAAGTCATTTAAGACAAGAGAGGAGATGAGATAATACCATGAGGGCTTCAGATTAGCAGCGACGAAGAGCCAATACCCTGTGGTTCCTAAAACCAGAGCATTCTTTGATCCCATTAACCGGACAACCAAAGATGCAACCATGGAGCAAAACATGAAGGACACATACAATATCCCTAGAGAGATTGTTCCCAAATCCTGAAAGAATCAACACACCTCATATATCACCACACACACACAAAAGACACGTGTAATCCACAGCTCTAAGACAATTCAGTGTCTCATCTTAATGTTTCCGGGAAATGGCAACTGAAGAAAATGATCAATTTTTCGATAAGCAATTGATGAAAATGGAAAGAAACAAGCAAAAAAAAGAGTAAAGGGAGCACCTTGTTAACGGTAGTTTCAAGGTTTTGAGCGGCACCGTAAGCGAGGAAGATTAATAGAAAGGAGATGCTGAGGATATGAACATCTCTTTTATAGCTCTTTCCCGGTCTTGCCTTGCGATCCTCACCAGAGACCAACGGCGCCTCCTCGTCCTCTCGAGAATTCATGTCGGATTATTGGTCCGGCCACCGAGAAGGTTACGGCTCCGAGAAAGATGAGCGGAGCACCACCGAGACTGAAAGTCAAACCATGTGGAGAGAGAAAGAAAGAGTGATAGAGAAGTACACTTTGATTGCTTTTCGGTTTATTATGTTCCGGTATAGTTTAAAATTTCGGTTTCGGATGAGTTCAGGATTGAATTGCGAATAGGCCTTGCCCCTTATTATGAAAATCAGTTCCACTTGGGCCAGGCTTACTAAAAAAAGCGACGAACGAATTTCCAGAAATGTTTTAAGTTTCACTTTCTACAAGTGGAACTGATTTATAGTGGGCTCCAATAGGCCTTGCCCCTTATTATGAAACGGTGTCGTCAAGTAGAACTTTCGCTTTCTAGCAGATCTGCTTTGTTCTTCTTTCCCTTTCAGTGCTGTGTTGACTTGTTTGTTCGTTGCTAAAAAAATTATACCAGAAGCAACAATGGCGTCTCCGGCGAAGTTTCCATGCTCTAAACCAACATTTCACCGCCAGATCAATCTCCAGCGAAGTTTTTCTCAAAGACTCTCGCTTCCCCTATTTTCCAGAGACATAGCTAAGTCAACACTGGCCAGATATCCCGTCATCAGAGCTTCATCATCAACGCCGTCGAATCCCAAACCGTCACTGCTCAAAACCACCTGTATCACTCTCACCGCAGCGGCGGCTCTGTTCTCAGCCTCCTTTTACCTCGTCAACAAACCTCCCGCCATCTCACCGGAAGAGGCGACGCTCGAGAGACACCTGGAGACGCAATCGGACGACGTGGAAGCTTTACTATCGCTGACGAAAATCAAATTCGAGTCGAAAAAGTATGACCATGCAATAGCGATTCTGAGCCGTATGATAGAAATCAATCCAGACGAACGAGAGTGGCCGGTTATGAAGGCTCGGATCATGTCATGCCACGGCGAAAGCGAATCGGCAATCAAAGCTTTCGAGGAGATTCTCGCAGAGGACCCGACTCGCGTCGACGCGTATCACTACTTGGTGATGGAGTGTTACGACTCTATCCCCAGACTAACAGAGCTAGAGAAGAGGA